CCGACTTCTGTTATTCAGCAATCTGTAAAAAATAACACAAACAAAAACAATCAACAAATGAATCAAACACAATTAGTTTTACATTCAAATAATTTAGCAAATGTGATTAAGCATGAATTTTATCATACTGACAAGGTACAACTTTTAAAATTCAACAGTTTTCGAATTTCCTTACATTTTTGCATTTATACTTTGCGCTGAAACACTCTCACTAGTTTCGTCTGCATACCCAATCAATAGGTTGATAGTTTTAAAAGATTACGAAAACATGTAACCCGTATATGCAGATTGCTATAAGCCTAGTTGGAATAAACATTTTACTTCTAGAAGGTTGTGGCAATTTCTTTGCAGAACAACAAATGCATAAGCCGCAAAAGAATTGTAATACAATATTATTATAACCGTAAGTAGCGTTGTTTCTTTATTTGCCTTTTTGTTTTCTGATTTTTAACGCCATAAGACGAAATCCAAATGACTCTTTTCGTTAATTTGATTCATGCAGCTTTATATCTTATCTCAACTTTCTGCAGTGGTAAGTGTCATGGTAGCCTCGCGATTTTGTAAAATGAATCTTACTATTCATGAGAAGCCGAACATATACGTGCAAAAGTAAAAGAAGATGGAAATCAAATGTTTTACAAATTCACGAGGTGTCAATGAATATCAAGGTTGAATTTTGAAGTGTTTTTTTTTTATAAGAATACAGAGCGAGAATTTCAGAAAATCTTTTCGAAATCGGCGAGTTAGCACTGTGCAGATTCCCATGAAATTATACGGAAACCACTCCCAATGTCAAATAATGAACTTAGACCTTATGTTTTCAATGAAACCCGTCAACATCACTTTCATACTACCAAATAACTTCAACTATTTTCTCTCTGTGCTAGAAACATTCCTAACAATTCCACGGTATGAAAAACATTTCATCGTCAATCCAAGGTGCCTCATAATGATTTCATTATTTTGAAACACTAATTATTTGGTACATAAAATTTGCAATATGTTTCGTGATGATATAAGGATGGCTCTGAACTGCATGCTCAAAATGTTCCAGATTGATAAATATTGATGTGTTGAGTGCAATCCATTGATAAAAACAGGGGTCTCCGACCCCATTATTCATACAAGCAAAGCACTTAAAACTGAAAATTAAAGGTGTTTCTAAGGGGTCTTGATGTTGCCATCACAAATTTAAATGTCATAAAAATAACTAAAACATGTTGAGAAGTAATTGAATAATCTTTATACACTATTTCTGAGGGAAAGCTCGAGGAGCTGCAGTAGTACGATCGATACATTAAAGAATTGGTTTTGAAATTAATCACACCATCGTTAGCTTTCTTGAATTAAAAAAATTAATAATGCCTTATTGTCCATACACCTCAACACTTCACCCCCAGTGCAGCAGAATTGTCACTCCGATAATTTTCTCGATCAGTTACGAGCTTTTCCGCCTCCATTCGGCCAAAGTCCCTCAGGACTACCAATTACTCAAGACTTTTGTTTGATGCTTAATGGAAAAGTTGACCCGGAACAATGGGCCATTTCTTGATACGAATAACTGACCAAAACGAACTAGGAATTCATTTCATCCCGAGACGCCTCCTGAAGACTGAACAAAACTGGCCAAGACAAAAGCTTTTCTTTTCGTAGGAAAGCAAGAATAAGCTATTGGTAAGTTTGTAGCCGCAAATGATTTGATGACATTCCTTTAATTTGACTATGGGTTTGGTTTTCCAACAAGGGAGTGGCCCCTACGTTTTCGTCATGACGTTGCAAAGCAATACGTCTAGGTGTTTGAAACATCTTAGCTGTTCACCTCGTAAATTTGTAAAACGCTTTGAAAAAGTTGACAATCCGTAAGATCAGAAACGACCCACTTGATATGGAAGATCACGATCGTTTGAATCATTGCATGTATATTTGTTGTTGGTGTTGTTGTTGCCTTTTTTGGGTAGATTTCATTTCATTTCACTAGGTTAAGCAATTGCTAAAAAAGGCTCAAACAAAAAATTACTTACGGGAAAAATAAAAAACGCGTTGAGGTGATTCCTCAGTATTGCACTGTGCATCCTTTACTGCACATGAAAATCACGTAATCAGCAGAATAAGTGAGTGCATTCCGAGAACACGGCATTGTTTTTCAACTAATGGACCAGGTAAAGAGAAACAATGGTCTTTAGCTCTTGAACGAGCGTGGTGACATATGGTTATTATTGCATAATTTTGTTGTGCAAATTATCCCCTTCAAATAGGAGAAATTTCAAAAAATTTATTCATTGGAGGAAAAGCGCGCAAGACGCCCGTTACTCGAGGATGCAAATTTTGACCATGAAAGAACGACTCGAGGAACGTTCAGCGTCGATGTCCCTTGAAATTGCGTTCTTTTTCCACAAATTATATATCACTGTATTGTTCCAAACGCTCAAGACTTTTTTACCTCTCGATTTTTTTAAGCGTTGCTTTAAAAAAACTTTTGCTTCCAGCAACCGTAAAATTCACCGTGAATCGATGAAATGACGCACGCGATTAGTGCCAGCACAGGCATAGATGGGGTAAGATTGGCCTACCATATCTATCAAACAAGCACTCCTTCTTAATGAAATTTTCCGAAATAAGCGTTGGTAGGGAACATTTAAGGAAAGTCTGATAAAATTGCTCAATAACTTTTTTTTTCTGAGGAATCACCCTAAGCTCTCCTGAATCACGCTTGACGTTAGACTGAATGTTACAGAAAAAATAGCTTTTAGACCGAGTCTAACGACGACTGTAATCAATCTGTTTTTAAGGCTTTAGTGCGGAAGCAAAGTTTAGTGTAAATATGGCTACGTTATTTTTGACGTTTTATGGACCGAGACGAAAAGGGATTTGCAACTATACTCCCCAGGAGAGGGTGGAGGAGGCGAACAAGGTTGATCAGCAAAGGATTTATTATATGGCAAGTAAAAAAACAAAGCAACAACAGAATCAATCGCTGATGTAACACAACTAATAAAAATTTCGGCTTCTAGCATTTTAACTTAGTTGCCAAGATTTCAGAGTGACCTTAGCCCCTCTACTCAAAGAAAAAAAGCAGAATGGAATTGCCCATGAACATTTCCCGATCCCCCCCCCTCCCCCCCCCCCCTTCCCCATGATTGTGGATGAATAATTACAGTGTCCTCTTTATCAAACCAAAAGCTATTTCCACCAACGAAAAATATCTATAAATTGTAAAATGCACGGACTGTTTAATAAAACAAGCTTTGTTAATTCATTGATATCCCTTACCTTTAATGCCTCCACTGTATTTCCAACAGAACAAATCTTTGACTCTCCTAGATTCACGTGTTAGCAGTTGTTGTTCCAAGACTGACTTCTTTGAAACCGTAAATCTACTTTTTCTTGTGCTAATCTTGTGCCCAACATTACTTTCCCTTCCAAGGACAAGAACGCAGAGTTAGGAGCTTTCTTTGCCAAAGAAAAACCACAAACCACGCTAACTTTTTGAACTCGTCCGCCATGCTTGTTAGGTGTCGATAGAAGATGAATAATTGAATGTTAATTTGCAGTGATTTATTCAAATGAATATTTTTGTGTTTCTAGCGGGAACCACCCACTTCTTCTTTTGAAATGCAAATACTGAGCGATTTTATCTCAAACTCAGACGCAATGTAAACAAAGCCACAGAAAAACTTAGGGTAATTAACCTCGGTAGGTGATTGGTTTGAAATAATCGTGATACACATGTACTAGGTACTTTATTAGACATGTAAATCTGCTCCCCACGCTTAGTGCTTCGTGTTGTATGATTAAAATTGACCGCTGGCAGGTATTTCCTTAAGCAAAGACTATTACTAGTCTATGAGGATACTCAGTTCAAAAGCGCAAAATATTTTAACCTAAAAAGAAAAAAATTACGGGGAAAATGAAAGAGCACTTTAGTTTCGCAGAAACAACAATCGTCCATTTTACAGATGCGTGCTTGGTTGCCAAGCCTTTGAACAGGAGTGAGGCTAAGGGTGACATTTTTGCTTCTTTTTATATATAAATTATTTTGGTATCATGCTAACTAGATACTTGTCTCTATCGAAACAAGGTCACCTTCAGCCTCACTCCAAGTCAAAGGCTTGGCAACGAAGTAAACAACTGTAAAATGGCCTATCAGCTCCATGAAATACTGTTATACTGGAATATGTTACCATCCGCACATTTTGGATTGGTAGAGACCTCAACCGACGGACACTTGAGCATAACGTACATCTATCATCTTCAAATGAATGTTCAGTTACTGGTTGAAAAACTCGAACTTCTTTTGGAGTTACAAGCGCATGAAGTTAAAAGTAAGGCTGTAATGTTGCCATGTCAAAAATAATCAAAACATACCGAGAAATAATTAAACATTCTTTTTAAACCATTTGAAAGGAACCGAAGAAAATCAGGGGTAATAGTGATCCACGCCAGAATTAGTCGTTAAAATTTATGAAACCTTTTTTGAGCATTAAACAAAGGGAAGGAAATCGTTGACAGTTTTTTATGATACAATTGAATAAAAAGCCTGGACACTGTTATTTCCAGACAGAAAATTGTTTTTCAGGGTCTAATGACTACACCTTTTGACTAATGCTTCCAAATAACTGCCAGGAATCGAGAAAAAAAAAATCTTTGAAAACAACTGAAATAAGGGCAGTAAGAGAGAAACAACTTGGCCCTAAGTATCACGAGCGAATTTCTATCCAGAAGTTAACTAGAGGCCAAGAAATAAAGATAATAAGCCAAAAAAATTCAGGCTTCGATGAAGGCTTATCCCTGTGTCCCTCAGACAGTGGTTTGCCGCCATTATCAAATGCGTTACGAAGTTACTCGAAAACTAGGAAATTGCCTCGCTCCCTAATGTACTTAAAGCTCGAAAAATTCTCAAATTGAAGTTCGCCTGTGAGAATAACATTTCATCATCCATTGTCCGCAGGCCAAAGTGTAATTTCTTTCACATAGTAGTTACCATAAACTGAAATCCTTTCCCTCTACTTCCGGTATGAATATGCGGGGAAAATGTCTTACGGACTGCACGCAAAGACAGTACAGGAAAACAGATTTGAGAGCCTTTTTCAAAGGCAAAATGAAGTAATTTTATTACGAAAAACGTTTGAAAATACACTCATCATACACGTCCAACAAAATCATTTTTAAATTGTTTTTCTTCTTCTATTTTTTTCACTCAAGAAAAACTCCAACTAAGAGAATGATATTACGAGTAATGTTTGGGTGCGAATGAAAGGTATGGTAAGGAAAACTGTTCTGCTATTTACAAAAATTCATTCACTAAAGCTAAATCGATTAAGCTTATATTAGGCTTTCTCGACTTGATCTCCTCAAAACTACAATGCGGTATGAACCGCCTGAAAAAGAGAATAAGATCAGGCACCTAAAACAACGACACTACATTCAGCCATCCTAGAAACAAACCACACAGGAGAACAGACGAAGGCAAACCAAATTCACCTGTGACAGGGTTGTAATTTTGGAGGCGAGTTTCACTAGTCACAGGGTTTTAATTTTGGAGGCGAGTTTAACAGTTTAACAAGAGAAGCTTTCAGTCGGAGTTGAGTGTAAGGCAAACACCTTGTAATACCCAGTGAGATATGTGTTCATGAGTGGCCAGGTCAGCTTCAAAGACCAGTCCCACTCCCATTGCGTTACGACGCTGAGATGTTGTGTACACGGGTGAGCGGTATGTGTTCTACAAAAAAGAAGAAAAAAAATTAGATATTGTATACTTACACTTGAGTTATAGTAAGCGCAGTTGCTAAACGGGAATTAGAAGGAAAAGATCGGGAAGAATTAGACATGTAAACGCTCACTTTTAACAAAAAACTACAGATTTAGAATGGCACAACAAGGAAAATGAAGCAACTGTAATGGGAAAGCCCTCCCTTCAATGGAAATCTCTACTCTAGAAACAAAAAGTTTAGTCCTAACTGAAGCAGGTACGTCCCCTACCTGTTAATCTAATATTAACATTGAAGGAAAACCTCAAATCAAGGAACACATTTGTACGCACAAGGGTCCCCCTTGAAAGAATGATCAACTGAATCAAACAATGAACTTGAAACAAATATTTTATCATAAGCTGAGTGGGAGAACAAGTCATAACGGTAACCGAGAGCCAAATATTTTCCCAACCAGCTGAACCTAAATCAGTCCATAAACATTTTATCATATGACCACGACCTTTCTCTGTTTTCCTTTCTTCTTGCCTTCCTCTGCAGAACCGTACCCTGGCCCTTAAGGCTTTTTACGGCGGGGCCCTTTCGCACGCGGCTCTCATACGGAGATTTGTTTTTCAATAAAAGCGTGCGCGGGCGTCGCACGGATAATAAGATAAACAATACTGCTTTAGCTTTCAACTGCTAAATAACGCAAACCCTTTGGGGAGGATGAACATTAAGCTACTGATTCAAAGACCACTACGCACCGGAAAACATTTCTATTTACCTGTAATTTGAGCCTGTGTCCCTCAATTGGGATCACTTTCAAGACAGGCAGCTCCTCAACAAGAACCTTCGGTTTGGGTCTTCTTAAGCACCCTGCCTCTAAGTCCCAAGAGGCACCTTCCAGGTATAGTCCACTCACAAAGCAGCCAGAATGTGCCCTCTCGGTGACCTCCTCTGCGGTCTTGTATTTCGTAACTGTGGTGTACAGTGTGGACCGATCCAGGGGCCAGCCGTTCTTACGACAGGTGGCTTGCACAAGGGCGGTCAAATAAGACTCCGGGATGTGTAGCCCGGATAACCAGATCACTGCGGGCTCACCGTCATTCACCTATGACAAGAGAAATGAGAATTTGTCCCAATAGTTATCAGAAAAGGTTTCCTGCATTGAGGCAATCTACACTATTTTTGGTGATTCCTACATAAAAATCGGGTTTTGTTTTCCTGGTAAGCGAGTCCTCTCTTCTTGAATGGGTAACATACAAATAAATGATCACAAAATATATTCTCCGAGTCAGTGGGGAAACAAAACAAATAAAAATAGAAGGAAACAAGCAAATGAGCTCGTAACGAACCTGATTTGTTCAGATCGCCCAACAGATTTCCCGTAAGCAAGAGAATGTAAGCAAGAGAATGCAAGCAAGGAGCGCGCATACAAAATACAAAAAACAAAACGAACAACTCGAACACAATCAAACAAATATGCGAGCTTTTAAGGACCCTGATATTTGATTGGTTGAGACGAACTCTACTCTTCTCCACAGAGGATAAATGTAGTCAAATTCACGGACATCCCACCAGCAACCTCTTTCAAGTGCTCATACGAGCCAGTCCATAATAAATAGCTGACACTCTAATTTAATATCAAAATGTTAATAATCAAAGGTGTCAGACGACTACTAACCCATTTGTTGTACTGGCTGAGGCGTTTGAGGAAATGCTCCATCCAGTTGCCGAGCGATTTGAGCGTGGCTGGAGCAAGCTTGCGCCAAATACTAGGAAGCTGACCATTGAACAGAGCACGTGCCACTTCGTCCAGTTCACTACTCATTCCTACTTCCCCCGCAAGGGCCTGGTATAGAGAATTACCATATTTTAAATGAATGCACAGCTGATTAAAGGGTACCGAAACAATAGTACAATATAAGCTAAACATTTGCGGCCAACGATAATTAAAACAGGCACGAAGAATATAGGGAGTTAATTTTTGTCAGTTTAACGTCATCTAAATCGGACACTAGTGTCTAAAATCAGACGGTAGCTTCAAGACTGGCCTTATACACAGACACTAGTGTTTAAAATCAAACACAAGTGTCCAAAATCGAACGCTAGTGTTCAAAATCGGACATTTAAGTCTAAAATCGGACACTCGTGTTTAAAATCGAACACTAGTGTCCAAGACCGGACACTAGTGCCTAAAATCGAATACTAGTGTCCAAGACCGGACACTAGTGCCTAAAATCGAATACTAGTGTCCAAGACCGGACACTAGTGCCTAAAATCGAATACTAGTGTCTAGAGTCGGAAACTGGTGTCGGCATTCAGACACTTGCGTTCAAAATCAGACATTAGCGTCCAAAAGCAAACAATAGCATCTAAAATTGGATAATAACGGACAACGTCTGTGATTCTGGATCGCTTTGCACCAACTGAATGTTAAATTTGAGAACGTTAAATATCTGGAATAACGTTTTCCGAATGTGCGCTAATTTTTGAGTGTCCACTGGAAAAAAGTTGCAGTTGCTCACCCTCTGAAGGTTGATAAGCGAAGTTGACATCTTCCTGATTAAGACATTAAACCGATCCAGCTCTTGCAGTAACACCACATAAGTCGGCGTGATGTCTGTGATGTTCTTCCTGACCCGATCCACATCAAAGAGAGGAGGTAGCTTGCCTTGAATGTCCGTGGCGATCTTGCCTATAAACTCCTCCCGGCTGATGCCTCCTGACTCTCCTCCGGTCTGAGGCTGCAGCTCCACCAAGTGGTTCCACATGTCCTTGGCTGAGTGAGTGTAGTAACCAATCTCCGCGTTGGGGTGCAGACCGAAGACGTCAGGGGTGTTAGACAGGGTCAAATCCTCAATGGTGTCCACGTATAAGTCTCGGTTACACTCCGGAGCATCTAAAATAGTGAAAAGTTTTGATACATTATTCTGTGTTATGCACTTAAACGTTGAATAAATTCTCTTACAAACTGGGTTCAAGGTGCGTAATGCAAGTTACAGACGGAGTTTTTCCGCACGGATTTATAATCCAAAGTGAAGCTTTTGCGCGACAAATCTGAGCAGCAAAAACGAGGGTCCGTAAATCATAGAACAGACTGAGAAAACGAGGTTAATAAGATATTTCTTGTATTCCTGGGTTTTAACCGATAGAGGAGGAAGATTTCGGTTCAAACAAACTTTTAAATTTAGCGGGCTGTACAGTGAAACATGGCCCGCCAAATTGACTAATCATTGTGCACATACTGAGAGATAATGCTTTCGAATTTGTAAGTTGGCCTTGTACTATCGAAACGTCGACTATTATCTCATTGACGTCACCCTTGTTTAAATAAAAAAAAAATAAAAAATAAAAAATAATAAAAAAAAAAGATTAGAGCAGTTTGTTTCACTTTAGGTTTACAAACAGCCTGTTCAACCGCTTGTCTACAACGCAGCCTCTTTAACAACTAAAATGGTAAAAGGCTGACCGAAGAGTTTCCAAACTGACAAAAACGATCAGGGTCTTGGACTGACGGAATAATTCCAAAGAGAGGACAGGTTAGCAGTAAAGGGATAAGATAAAAAAATGAAGTGAGATTAATGCCTACCTTTTTCAGGTTTGGGAATGAAATAATCCACCTCTTCGCCCATGTAGAAGTGGAATGGCTGAAAGGTATCGAATATAAAGTCGCCCATGTACTCGTCCATGTAAGTTTTCACTACGCGGCGATCAAAATCATCGATAACCCGTCCACCATACATGACCTACATAACAAAAAGGAAAAACACCACAAATTCAATTCTCATTACAACAAATCCAATGTATTAAAATAGGAAAGATGGTTACTTTTAAGCTCGATGGTGAAATCAATAAATTTGTTTTTCGTCTTGTCCCGAACGTGAGACAAACAAAAAAAAATCCATAGTTTTCTTGAGGAATCAAACCATAGACAGTCGGATTCCGCGCTCTGATGCTCTACCACTGAGAAACAGAAAACGCGGCGGTGAGTGAGGCCATTAGAAGGTTCTTGTATAACACACGTCCAGCATACTGCCAGGGCGAGCAATGTCGGAAGGTTCGTGTCGATAAGTAATAGACGAAAGATGGTATTTTTTTTTTTTAACAAGGCGAAACCCATATTTCTCTGATTTAATTTGTCAATAATGACTCACCTCGCCAATGAGATACTTCAAACTGGCCCAAGGTATCCTCTTGTCAGGACTCTCCAGTGATTTAGTTAGATAAGTGTTCAGTAAAGTCATACACACTCGGAAATCTGACTCGTTGAAATCATAAGCAATATTCCAGCCAATTTTCCCGTACTTTCGTCTTTCCTGTACCACTGCGTGGAAGAATGCCAGCACATACCTAATTAGCAAACAAAAAACCGGTTCCCTGTTACATTCACAGATAAATTGAAACCACAACAATCTAAAGGTCTGATAAACGAAGCAAAAAAACAGCCAAGAGAGATCTCATACTCTATCTCGTTGAAATCCAACCTGTTCTTACTGTGTGATTATTATGGGCTCTTGCTTTCCTACCTACCAAGATCTCATTAGCAATTCTCCTTACTGTCTAACATACAATTCTTATGATGTTAGTTTGGAGTATTTGGTATTGGATCAACCACTAATCCCCTAATTGATATTTTCGTTTTTTCTCATCACTTGTCTGCTTGATATTGTATTGATTTTGTAAGGAGAAATTCTGTCTTGGTCACTCAGGGGAGTCACAGGGTTAATGGTCACCAAATTAATCTGCCTAATTGACAGGCCAGAAAAGACATCATGAATCCAGAGCAAAACTCGGGAAGGTACACATGCTTTAAAAACTTGACTTTCGTAGTGTGATACTAATAATTAAAACCTCTTCAATGATATTACAGTCACTTTATGAATAATATAGAGAAGTATCCCATCAAATGACCCCCACGATCCTCGCGCGCGCTTTTATTGTAAATAAATACAATTTCTGACGTACACAAGCGGTGGGAAGGACTGGTGAGGACAGTCAGCAAGCGCCTGGTTGGTAATCTTGTGATAAGTACTGCGAAGATTCAGCTTTAGACCATTCGGCGGCTCAGTAACAACCTGAAAAAAAAGTATTTTATGCAAGTCAGACAGAAATGTTAAGAAATAACTGTCAGCATGGCTCTAAAAGTAAAAAAAATTCAAGTGTTTCCCGCGAACCAAGAGGCTCGCACCGCTTGGGCTTATCCTAGTTTCTAAAACACGAAGCATCTAGAAGAATTGTGTCTCTCCTTATCAGACCTCTTGCTTTGCTCCAGAACTTAGACTTGCTCGCGGGCTAAGCAAAGCTCGTGTCGTAGCGCTAATAATGAGAGCTGGCTCACAATCTAAGCCTGGGCTTAAGCTAAGATCTTTCGACGAAGAGTCTAGCGCGAAACCATAATGGACTGCACCTCCTCTACATACCTCAAAGGTTTCGTAAAACATCATGTGGTGATTCCTTGCAAATACTTGTCACCTTACCTTGAGGGACCTCTGTAGGATCCCAATAGGGAACTCCGGTGTAGGATCCGTGGTGAGCCAGAGCCTAAAATCAGGATGCGGTTTACTGATCCGTTCCAAGACTTTTTCAAGTTCCCTCAACCACTTTACCAGTAAATGACAGTTTTGAAGCATCAGCCACTGACCGCGAGCGATCGCTGTTTCAAGCAGTTGCAGGGCTAACTGCAAATGCAAAGAGAAGGAAGAATATTGAAGTGGTTTACGTCATACAATAATTAAATTCGAAATTGGACAGAACTGTGCGAAATCAGATGGAACGAACCGAAATCGGACAACTATACAAAAGGAAGATTAGATTTAAAATTTATCATAAGCAGCTTTTGCAATTTCTAAAACCCTGGAAACAATTTAATAAGACCTTTCTGACTCGTTCATCCTCATATCGCCCATTATCGGTTACAAGAGTCGCAAGGGACAAGAATCGAGTCAGCCGGAGTGGCATGCCACGTAGGGAACGGCGGGAAGGGAGTCTGGGAAAGAAGAGACTATATATACTTTGTCCTTCTCATCTCTGCTTGTGTGCCTCTTAATGATGGGAAAATTTACAAAAAAAAACAACAAATGAAGGCAAATCAATGGTGTTACCTTTTCCTGCCCTTGACCCATTGCAAGGAACTTCAACTTATTTCCACCAAAGCCTGATCTCTCAGCCAGCTTCATCAAGTCACTAGCAGGGTCCGAGCCGGGGCTGAGAATGAAGATTATTGGCGAGAACGGGTTGGACTGCTCAAATATCGCCTCAAAACTGATCACAGGCGGCGTCACATATTTCTCGCTCATTCTGCCAGTCACGAAGTTCGTGATAGCCAGATAAACTCGATCCACACGGAAACAGCGCAGGAGAAGAAGACGTTGAAAGTCTGTCAGTTTTTCTTCGTAACGACCAGGAAAAGGGGCGGATTCTGGTGCATCTTGGTCACACCACTAAAGAGAAATGAAATGGTGGTATTATCCAACCCTGAAATAATCTTTTCATTTATGTGCATTTTAAGTAGAGTTGACGACTTTGTGGCACTCAGACTATGGCCAGTATTTTCTATACAAGTTTTAAAGGATTCGGATCAGTCAAGCTCAAATATACATCAAAGTGAGCGTGGGTTGGCCACGTAGCCTTATCTTTACGTTTAGAAAGTAATTAGACCGTCACACCTCTTTCCAGTCTTTCCCATTCCTTTCTATGTCATCCGCCAGTGAACTGAAAGCGTCTGGAGTCACAGTCATGAGTCTCTGTATGTCTTCCCAGCCTTGATCTGGCAGCCAAGGGAAGGGTTTTGAGCGAGAACTCTTTTCAAGAGAAATGTTGCCTTTGAGGAAGAAATCCAGCTCCTCGGGGTTAAGCTTTCCGTCTGCCTCCATAATTTTGATGGTCATTTGGAATGAAAAGAGCAACTTGTGGCGTTCAAACAGGCCTAAAGATTAAAACACAGATACTCGTGATAAACAATGTTGTTGAATACAAAACGATCCTTCTTCCTTTTCCTTTGAAAAGAAACTGTAAGGATTATTTAACCCTTCCAGCCAATAGTATTCGGGAAAAAAAATGACCAATACTCCAAAACTTAAACATTCGATCGATAAACAGCTCATGGCCTGAATTCTGAAAATAACTTCTGTTGAGGTAGTCAAAACGTTGGTGACTGTCGTTATCAACACTCCATTTCAGGACTACTTTCATCCGGACCATCATCACAGCACACGATTTATTGTTACTCCCAGTACATGTTAAGTTACATGTTAATCACTACTGAAAGTTTAAGGGTTGAGTGTATCATATAGGTCGTCATGAGGTATACCCTTACCAGTACAGGCATAATTGTACACATTCATAGTGAGGGTGTCCATGATGTTTTTGAGTCGTTTTGGCAGAATGGAATCTGGTAAGCTCTTTCTCAAAGACAAGTCAAACACTTGCAAATAGGAAGCCAAAGAGTACTGGTACATAGAATTCACTGCTGACATCTCTGATAACACAAAGAACAGAACCGCTCCTAGCTTTGCCGCTGGCCTGTAACCATCGCGAAGCTTGTCGATGTCGATTGCTGTTTTGGCGCCAAGCTTGAGCTTCTCACCGACCTGGAGAGAACAAAAAGATTCAGTAAGACGTTTGTGGGGAATAGAGACTTAAGTAATATCGGATGAAAGACGAACAGCATAATGACCCGCCCGAAGAAGAGGATGTAAAACAGTGATAAGTCCATTCCATGCTAACTGTGGGAGTAGCTCGGACTGATTAAAATTTAACGAAAGAAATCAAACGAGATTATTACCTCAACAGCCTTTGACTTGGTGTCTTCTAGAGTTTGAACAAGTTCAACATTATCCAACATGTTACCCTGCGACGTAGCCAGCTCACGAAGAAGCGTGTCTTCAAGATCCTTCAGTAGGCGCTTGTTATCACTAAAACAAAATGTTACATCACCATGAAAATAAGACTCGTTTTTAACACTAGTGAGCGATATGTCCAACTATCATTGGTGCTCAGGAACAACTCACCTGGTTTCCTGAATAAGTCTTTCTCTCTGTTCCTCAAGCTCTTTCCTCTCAAATCCCACAATAACACTCAACAGCTGATCCTCAAGTCCCTTCATAGTCACTGTGTAGTTCACAACCATACAGCGACTGAAGTGCGTTGGCGTGTACTTAGGGTTGGACAGCTTTGTGTTCAGGTACAGACGGAAACTTGGGTCATAATCCACTTCTTTATCTCCCAATACAACGAATTCGCGGCCAGGCTCGCCTGATAGAAAAAATACCACAACATTGTCACGATACATACAGGAATTTTTCATTGAGTGTCGAAGTAATTAGGGATTGTTTTGTTTTTGCTTTACTTGTCCCTGTGATTGGTTTGGAAAACTTCCGTTATCCTTTAAAACAATCAGACGCAAAATTAACACCAATGGCGACTTGGTCACTCGCGTTTTTCCGCGCTTTAAGTTTTTCGCCTGTTTTTAGTTTGAATTTCCTTTGGTTTACTTTGGTTTTGGTTTTTCGATGGTCAACTGAAAACTGCTCTACAAATAAAACAATTGCCGAAGTCATTTGTACCCCTTGAAAATGACGTCCTTGTTCCACCGAAAAAAAGTTTTGAGGACGTTTTTTATGACGAAAGGTAAGGAGAGAGTAATGCACAGCATCTGATAGGCTGTTGTTTAGTGACTAAATTTCGAGAGCAAGCGATCAAAAATCAGACTCTACAAGAATATACGGTCGTACCAACAATACAGAATCTTTTTCTTTCTCCTCTAGGAGCTTTCTTTGTCTAGAGGGCTGTTGTAAGTATCGAATAAATACATACAAGAGAAGTACCTTTATCGCCTGACAGCAGTAATAACAAGGTTAATTCATTACTTAGAGTGTTTTGTTCTCTTTGTATTGTTACCTTTAACATTCTTGTCCAGTACGTTATCGATCACAGGATCAATGTACTCATCAACGTCCTTAAACAAAATGGGGAAGCCATATTTGATGGCCAACTCAAGCTGTTTTAGAAAATCTGGATCGTTGAAAGTAACAACCTACAAGATAAAGCAACAAGAAATGACGATTAAATTAGTAATGGCTTTCACCTCTAAGAGATATCAAATTAAAAACTATTCTTACAACTTTCAAAAACTGCCTGATGACTGATTCAGAAAATCATCAACTTGGAAATTTTGTCTTCCGACGGTGATCAAACATCAAATTCTCAGGAATATCCAACAAAGAGATGTATATTTGCCAGGTGCAAGAATAAGCTATTAAATCTCTGAAGCGAAAGGCATGATACAGAGTTAAGAAGATAAGGCTACTCAAACACTGAAAATTCATGATTGAAAATTCTCACAAAGCGAGAACCTGCCGCGCATCCGACTGACACAAACGCACATCTCACCTTTAAATTGTTTTTCTCTTCTTTCTTCTTGATCCAGTTCAGTGCCTGCTGCTGTGGATCAATACACAGTGGATACCGGCTGGCCTGGGTGGTCAGGATACCATTCTCGATCGACAGTTCATCCGGAGGGAGCCCCTCCGATGTCCATCGACTGATCTCCACATCATTAGTGAGGAAGGTGTCCAGCCTAAAGGGTTGACTCACGGGGATGTTTCGATTTAGGACGTCTTTCTCCCACTCTCCCCGATACATGTCATATCGGAAGTCCCAAGTGAAGGCTCCCAGATAGCTGAGGAAGGCTGAGGCCAGGAGACAGTCTCCAAGCAAACGAACTCGTTGACGCTTTAGTTCTTCAAGGTCTTCCGTCCATCTGAGGGAGAGGGACATAAGAAGGGATTCATCAAAGACTTAAGATTGTATATCACCTAAGAACACCTTCCAAGCCTGGATTTTACCCGCGAAGGAGTAGTAGTTGGATTCCAAGGTGCATTTTCCAAGTGAAATCGAAAATCGGAGTCGTAAGCGGAATCACAAGCTTGATGGAATCGGAGGCAAACAGAAAATTTCCATTTTTATCCAATTCCATTAATGACTATGATCCAGTGTAAACTAGATTTTCAAAGTCGCAAGCAGACGTAGAAGAACCAACCGGTCATAATGCGAGTTCTCAGGCCATACTTTGGCTTACAACTTTCGATTTCACTTGGAAACTCCTTGGCTTGGTGCGGTGCATGGGTCGCGCGTGACAGAAACACGAGCAGGATCTATTCTCTATGTAAATAAAGGGAGTACGTTTCTAACTACGGTGCTACGTCGGTGTGGAGTATTACTAAATATTTTTGGTTTGATAAAATGAGTTGATAATTTAAATTGGCCACCGCAAGGACTTTCTAAAGCTGATGTTACGAGCGTTAGCCCATCGTCAGAGCCAATAGGAAGGGCTAAGGAGCGAGGGACGAGGGCATGGCGCTCGAAACGTCAGCTTCACGCTGCCCAATTGACATTATCAACTTAGCTGATAAAAATCATCGGATTGTGTCGCTCTACGCCGATGAAAATAACTCCGACTTTGCCTTCGACGATCGCGAAAACCAGCCTTTAGAGCTATGCTGTGCTCATAACATAAATACAATCTGCTATCTTAAAGACCGTGTCTTGAATCACTCTCCGGCAATGAGAGGTCTCAATTCATTTACCTTATTTTCTCAGATCCCAGACCAGATATGAGTTTATCAGCTGCTATCAGGCGCCGTTCCATAATTTCTGCTTCTTCCTGTAGACTCGACTTCTCTCTCATGGCGGCATCGTATTTATCCCCAAGATTCTTCAGTTCCTCGTCCAAAGCCTTCACTTCTTTCTCGATCTTCTCCAATTCACGCTTACTCAGGTGGTAATTTCTCTCCAGCCTAGCCACCTGTGATGCAAAAAGATACAGAGTTCATCACACTTCGTACAGACTGATAACAATTTGTAAGTGTGGTATAGAGGGTCTCGTTTAGACCCAGTGTAGGATTGTTACACTATGTATTCTTCTAACCTTAGTAACTAACCGCTGTCCAAGACATAAGCCCACGCTCCTTCCACAGGGACGTAAACCAATTACTTCTATTATGGGTTAGATTTGTTTCGGACAACCTTGTGGATCATCTCTACAACACCTACCTTCTCTCTCTTTGGTTTGATTTCCCTGGCAACAGAGCAGTAGCCAAGCACGGCCACCACAAACTTGAGTAATCCAGCTCCTGCTTTGCTGACTTCTCTCATCTCTTCCACTGTGATGTTCATCTCCTTCAACATATCACGGGCGCGACGCACCTAAAGAAATGCCACGGTTAATTAAAGGAGGAGAGAAGAGATAATAGAACCCAATGGAAATTGGAAGCGCCATGGTTTGGCCCTATCGCAAATTGGTTATTTGATCGTGATTCAGTATCGCCTTAGTTTTTTTACTCTATAAATTGTCGAGCACGTTCGGCCATCTTTTCAACCAATCACACCAAAAAATTACAATGAAATGTCAGATGTTAACTAGCACTTTTGCGCGCTTGCTACTTGTCATTGTTACCTTTCCTGTCAGCGTCCGTTGTAATCGTTAGGGTTTTATGACACTGAATCATTATGTAGTGTAACTTGAGTATAACTTAATACCCCAAGTGGTGGGTGAAAAAGACCTACGCATCTCCACTTGCTTCGTTTCACTCAGCCTGTGGAAAATAACCTTTAATCTCTACCCGTTACCTGAGCGCTTGTGATGCCATCCACATCCATATCTGTCAAGCTCTTCAAGAAGTTTGCTTCAGACATCATTCCCTTTGCTTGTTTCCATGATACCTCTTTGTAACCACGCATTACGACGATACACTCTGATACCATCTGTACCGCGCGAGGGGGTTTGGCGAATGACCTAGGGAGAGAAAATGGAGGGTTGATAACCATCATGAGTACAATTCCTCATGTGATTACAAAGAAGAAAGCGAAATAAATAATTAATTAATCATTTCGCAACAGCGACTCAATATTGAGAAACTAGTTTTTACTTAGGCTGTCCCATGTTTGTTTATTTTTTCAGCCCCCTCTCTGAGTAGCACGTTAGAACACGTACCTGATCTCAGTGACGTCAGATTTGTCCAAATCCTGCAAAGCCAGTTTAGCTTCTTCTAACGCAGGCAGAGCCTGGGCAAGAGCTTCCTCAGCCTCGGCTTTCTCGACAACGATCTCCTTGTTCTGTTCGGCTATTTCCTCTCTCTTCCCAACCGCCATGGCCTTTTTCTCGTTTGCTAGTTCCGTGGCACGCTGAATCTCTGAGAGCAGTTTCTCGCAGGCCTCGCTTTTCTCTGTCACCGCCACTTTCTGAATCTCCAGCTTTTCATTCAGTTCTTTCAGCTGTTCGCTTGCGGCCAACAATTTGCTGAGGCCTCCGTCAAGACGATGACACTAAAGCAAAAGTCGAAATATTATTTGGAGAAAAACGCGATCACCCTTTACTAGAAAAATAATTTGATAACTGATTGGGTACATGAGAACTAGAAGTGAAAAGAAGCATTCTGCTAGAAGCAAGTGACGAAGTCGCGTTTGTTTTTAGTTTTGAGAGAATGGCACGAGTTTTTTTCTGGACCAATCACTAATCAAAGTGAAGTAAAAACATTTCAACACTCAAATGAAAATTACTCTATTCCCCTGGTTCAAATCAATATGCTTAATTACGCGTGAATATATCATAACATCCACTGCAGAAAGGAAGAAGGAAAAGTTTTGTTTCGTTTAATACAGTCTCCATTCATGGAAGCCAGCCATGTCATTCTTCCAGAATACAACATGATAGCGGCGAGTCAACGAGCTGCTCCTCATTAATAGCACTTCAGCACCGGCGTTTCTTCGCCCTCGGGAAAGTATGACACCTTGAGCAACGAGAGGAGGCGGCAAGAGGTCTGCAATGGGTCCAGACCCTGGCAAACCTCTTCCCTACTGGTCTCAAATCTTCCCGCGGATGGAGAAACGTGCGTCCTACAGCGTGAATAATGAGGGCGTGATTGCAGACCACAGGCCAGACAGCTGCGTGAACGTGAAGCTAACCTGTTCCAAGACAAACTTGTCTTTCTCCTCCAAGAGTTTGTTGTACGTGTTGATAAAGTCTAGGTAATTCTTTGGTGTGGTGTAATTAACTCTCCTCAGCTTCTGCAAGAATGTTTTGCTGTACACGCCGACAGTCTGATGCACAAACACCACATGGTTCACTACATTTTCACGGTGCTCATCGGGTATCTTGTCGTTCTGAAGAAAAAAAAAGGAAAACGTTTCAACAGGTTGGCGAAGAGGAGTCATTCAGGTTTTAAGAATAACCTGTAAAAAACTGTTTTAGTACTACCCTCAAAAATTAGAGAGAACTTTAACCCTTTCTCTCCAAGATCTCATCAGTAATTCTCCTTGCCATACAGTTCTTATTATACTTATTCAGAGAATTTAGTATTGGATCAACTAACAATCCCCTCGTTGTATTCTTCTTCAGTCCCACCACTTGATTTTGCGTTGATGTTGTTGAAATGTCTTGGTCACTCAGAGGAGAAAGGGTTAGTTGTCTTGGTCACAACATGGGAGGGTAAAACAGGCTCTTTGAAAAATACCTTGACTACTAAACAACCCTGAAATTTTTTAACTCCACATACAATTTCTGTTTTGATGGATCAGTGAAGCGTGTATCTGAGCGGTCGTTTTCAGGACATTTAAAAACAGGATTGTTTTGAAAATTTTACGTAATTCAGTACTTATGAAAAAAACAACCCTATTTATTGAAATTTTTACTCATCTTGAGTGGCATTCAATACAATGTAAAACTGAAAAGGTAAAGTCTGAACTCGAGCCAAGTGGCCCATTTAGCCAGACCTTATCCCGGTTTCCTTAGCATGAAGCAACTATAGGAGTACTGATACTACCCCCTGGATGGGAGGCCAATACATCGCAAATTTACCCTTCCCTCCCTTCCCATTTCATCAGGCTTCCCTGACAATTCACCAGTACTCATTCATATTCCTGAGTAGAGGAGGCACCGCGAGACTTAGAAGTTTTGCCCAAGAACATAACGCCATGAAGTCATTAAGTAGATTGCAATGTAAATACTATGTACAATACACTTATTGACTGAGTAGGAGGGCCAGACAGAAAATATTTGGCTCAAGGTTATGCGTACCCTGTAAAAGGCATTATCATAGAGTTGTCTACGGCTCTCGTCAACTTACGTTTTCTCCCAAAAATACTGAGGCCACAGCATGGAGTGCCTGTTGTGGCCATGCTGTAAACCAGTCAATACTACAGTTATTGACCAGACCAGGGAAGTTGCGGCATCGTGTCCTCAATGTGTCTCCCACGGGTGACATGGCTAAAACGATGTGCAGATTGTTTGCGCATTTGTTAACAAAGTACTGCCAAATAGATTCCCGTGCAGGTGGTACTCCGGCTTTGTTTGCCTCATCACGAACCTGAAGGGAAGAAAAAGAAAAGGAATATACTTTTGTTTAATAAACCAAGCTATGAAATAGTCTGTTCTTCAAATCGAACAGTTTTCTATGGAATATCGTGAAACCAAAATCAAAGTAATCGCAACAACTAATCGAGGCACGAGGAGCCAATGAAAAGAATCAAAGGAAATACATGTCAACGGCCTTAAGCGCGGGAAAAGTGAGTGAACACGTCACGATTGGCACAAGTTTCCACCTGATTGGCTGGTACACGTTTTGCGGACCAATCACAGTGCTTCGCTTTCACAAGTCTCAGATTCATGAATTACCACCTCAATTTCTGAGAAAACTGAAGCTCTCGGAGGAAAGCATTAAAACGAAAACAAGAATCGACAACACATATGACCCGTAGGGATCTTTAATAGCCAATTTGAAATTACCTGGCCGATGATTCCCTCTTTCTCGTCATCTGGGAATAGCGCAGGAACCATTCCTGAGGTGAGCATGTTGTTGATGAGCTCGAGGAAGCCTGGGAATGCAATAAAACATTAATGCTATGCAGATCAGTACCATCTTTATTTTGGTGTTGTTTATCGTATTAATGTGCCAATATCGTTTGGAAATTTTACCTTCCTGTGCTACATGAGCATCAGTGAATAGGAACACCATTTTCTTGTTTTCCAGACCAAGTTTCGAGTAAAGTCCCTTCAGGTCCTCTCTGAGAGAATTCTCATCGTAGCCTCTTGTAAGGGTGATCTCAAATACCTCGCATCCAGCAGAAAAGGCGCCTAACTTGGTTAGGGACTGTTTACCACTGCCTCCAACCCCCACTAAAAGGGCGTGGCCTTTCTCCATGCGGATCACACGGTGTACGCGTGTCAGATGCTCGATGGCGTCATCAAAAAGAACAAGGTTCATTGGCACGTGGTCCATGTTGTACTCCTCCAGAATCTGTTATGAGAGCGGGAAAAAAATTCAAATTTTTTAAACATAAAACTCAACAAGAGAGACTCTTATTCAAAAGAAAGCAGCATACGCTACGAACCTCGTCAAAAATAGCCTTGGCTGCTTCATAATCCACGATGTCTTCATACAAGCGCGGATCTTCAGTCAAAGCATTACGATAATCTCCAAACAAGATGGGCTCTCGATTTACGGTGTCCACATAACTTGTAAAGTTCTGCTCTACCAGCTCGCTAATGTATCCCTGATAGGGGGAAATAACCGTGACACGTTAGTATGAATAGCAATAAAGGAAACTCGCAGAGGAGACACTCAATTTAGTCGGTATTCAAAGTGTTACTGAACCCACATCCCTCTTCTGAAATGTCAAATTTTGACAGGATTTCTTCCTGACATTTTTTTAATCATTTTAAAAGCAAGACTGAGCTGGTTGGTGGTAATTTTACGTCAGTTCCCTGAATGATTCAGTTAAACACCGCCCGTGAAGATTCATAAAGGAACAAATATGTAAATTACTTACATTCACGATCTTCTTATCCGACGAGCTCGTCAAGCGGTCGTAGAACACTCGGAGACATTCGTTCTTCCACAGTCGGACGAATTGCCCGGGGGTATCAAACCTATCGGGTGTGCTTAAGCACAATCCCTGGGTTACACGGGATAAATCCCGCAGATTAAAAATGTAGTGAAATTTAGAGGGTGTCGGTGGTAGATTTTGTATGATCTTGTTGTAAAACTCCAGTGTTGAGGCTGTGATCTTGGAAGCTAGTTCTCTGACTTCCTTTTTGAAAGGCTCCAAATGCCCGTTAAGAATAGAATGGTATATTTTCGTCAAGGATTCTTGTGAAGGAAAAGTGACGTTGAACACGCTGAACAACGAAATGAAACGCGGGTCCACCTCATTACGACCACCACCCGGCTGGAAGAAAAAAACGAAAAATGAAGTGTAAAAAGGTAAAAAAAACGCGTGTGAGAACCACAAATTGCTTTGTGAAAGACATCTGATAGAGAGAGAAAAAAAAAGAAATTAATGCGTTGATAAACAAAAGTTAGAAAGCGTTTTTTACTTCAAAAAAGAAGTATTCATTTTCCTTTGGAAATTCGGTTAAGACTTAAAAAAGTTACTCCCCACAGAAATCTTATCACTTTAACACCCAATGCACATTTTTAAGCCAGTACGCTTGGATTGGAAAAGTCACTGTTATTTTTTGAATCTGATTCGGCACGCGTTTTCTAGAACTATTACAGAGCGTAATAAAGCAAAACCAAGGATGCCACATTACCATCGACACTAACTTGAAACTTTCTCTAATTCAACCTACTGTACCTTTCCCATGGCGGCTACAAAGCCAATATCCCTGAAGTTCTTCCAGATGAGTTCCTTTCCTCTGTCATACATGCCTCCCCTCTCAAGGAGTAATTTCAGTAACGCGATTGGTTGCTGTGTTCCGTACTCATCAACCTGTGGCATGTTCATGTCATCCATAAACACCAGCAGTCTCTTACCCATGGGGGGACCGTAAGTGTCTTTTGTTCTCTTCTCTACGTTTGCCTCGAGATTCCTTTGTACATCCATGGACGTCGTTCGAGACGAAAAGTTGATGTTGAGAAGAAGCTATAAGACAGAAACAAAGAGATAAATAACTAAGGCATTTATAACTGAACAAGGCAAAGCCAAAAGGAATAGTTGGCTCGAACATGAGTTACTTTCAATGAAAAATACAACGCAGTCGATTGAAAGCCGTTCAACTATTAATGTTCAGACACATAAATCTCCTCTCCACTCAGTCCGTTTACTTTCTTTCTTTAAGAAAAAAAGACAAAATATTACTTGATTACTAAATTTCCTTTATGTACAACATACCGTCGCATCTTTATCAAGTCCCCTCAAGAAATTCGCTGTAGTTGCCGATTTGGAGGTCCCAGTCTCCCCCACAAGTACCACAGGTCTCTTAATATTAACCATCAGCTCAAGCAGCCATGTTGTCCTGACAGTGTCCACAGTGGGCACCAAAATCTCCGAGAACTTTTTCTCAGGGTCGTGGACGTACTTAGGGATGACGTCAACCCAGGGTACCCAAAGGCCCTTTTTCGTGTCGAAATAATACTCGAACACCGTGGGCTGAGCGCTCGGGATCTCACCTGACATACAAGAAAAAAGGTGGGAAAATGGCTTGAAAACCACTTCTTGTTATGTCTCACAAGCAAAAACGATTCCAAAAAAGTAAACACAAATTCTACGGCTTTCAGGTGTAAAAATATTTTTCTTAATGCCTTTTCAGCCTTGGCGAAACTGTGACAAGATAATTTGTCCCCCATATACCATAAAAGAAATGAAAAAAAGAAAAATTATGAAAATTGTAGATTGAATAACTTATAGAGTTTCTAAAGCTGACGTTTCGAGCGTCAGCCCTTCATCGTTGAAGAAATTGAATTCAAACCTGGTTTAACAACGCTTCCTTCAGCTGGATTCTGAGGTAAAGACGCGATCCTCTTCACGAATCCATCAAAAACAATCCGCCCATCCTCCAGTAGGCCTCCCCCTAGCGACCAAGTCAACGAGGTCAAGAAAACAGCCTCTGTTGTTTCAGTTCCCAGGAATTGAGCGTTTTCTGCTGGGGGAAGCAGTGCATCGAGCATCTGGGACAATTGAACGACCTAAAGGGAAATACACATGAAATTATCCATTACTCATAACTGCTGCGAGAATCAAGTCTAAAGCATGCACAACCCGTTTCCTAATCTACCGTTCCTGAATGCGATGACAGATCATGAAATGTAACACTTTTCATCATTTTCTACCACATATTTTGGTAGAGGAGGGCAATAAGTACAAACTGACATCGACGAGCTGGTACGAAATCAATGTCAGCATCTGAGCGACGACGCACCTACCCCTCCCTTAGCCCAAAATGAGTAACCTGATAGCAAAATAGGGTTAAGGGAGGGGCAGGTGCGCTGTTGCTCAAAGACTGACATTGATTCCAAATTTTTCGTATCAGCTCGTCGATGTCAGTTTTTACTCATTACCAGAGAGAGGCATAGGGAGAGTAAAATCTCTTTCCTGAAAAAAAAAAACTGGCCAGGACTCGAACCAGGCCCTGTACATCTAGAGTCCACCGAGCAAGCTGGTGCACCACGTCTCTCCATACGTAGCTTTTTGATAATTGGTTAGCAAACATTTTTTTGAACAAAACCATCACTTACCATGTTAAGATTAGTCAGGGGAATAATCGTCTTCAACTTCTTTCCGATTTTTCCTTCGATGATTCCTTCCAGAATCAAGTCGATGCAGGGAGGCACATATTTCTCAAAGAGTCTGTTGAGCTCTTCTCGTTCCTTGTCATTTCCTCGAGCATTGCACCATTTCTGCCAGTAAGGATTGTAGCCCAGATTCTTAGGATCCACGTACACCATTCCGCAACGGGACACAGTGGCCGGGGAAGCGTAACGAAGATCTGAAACCTGAGTTGGGAATTGAGACATTTTAGTCCCTTAATAAGATTAAACATTTTCTCTTCTTCTCGTCGCAGAGTTTTTAACGTACAAATTATGAGAATTCAATTTTCCAAATAAAATAACCTGGTAGAAAAATTTAGAAAGATCTTAGATGAGCAACATTTTTTTTGAAAAGTAATTTTTAACCAACAATTCGCTACAGCCACATGCAATATGATCACCCAATTCAACGGAGTCAACAATGCACCAATATGAAAAAGGAGGTTTCAAATGGGAAGAGCGTGCATTGGTAAATATTTTAAACTGAAGTTACCTCAAACAGCAAGGCGCAGTGTTTCTGAAGCCGAATCCTCTCACCATTAGCCAAAGTCAACAGTCTGTTGTCGTCCATCACAGAGTTCATGTTCTCTACCCACAGGGCGTCCACATCGCTGTCAAACACGATGTACTTGCGTTCGTTTTTATCGGTGGGTTTGTTTATCTCACGAAAGATGTTGGACAGTAATCCATCAGTCCAGTCCCTGGTGACAGGATCCAGCGTCCCGTACAGTTCCACCACTGTGCATGCCTTGGCATTCATAATATGCATCTTTGTAGTTATGCCCAGACTGGAGATAAGAGAAAAGTTGGGTCAATAAAACAGAAGACTAGTTGCGCCAGAAGATGATGGCTGGCCGTATCAATGTCAGTATCTGAGCAACTGCGAACCTACCACTCCCCTAACCCAACAACAGTCAACTGATAACAAGTTAAGTCTAATGTGGGCTGGGGAGGGGTAGGTAGGCAGTTGCTCAGATACTGACATTCATTTCGCAGCCCTTAAATTTCCAAATTCATTTGATAACCGCTAAGTCACATTTGACCTCAGGATGATGAATAATGAAAAGATCCGCTGGAGTAAACTCGATTGCAGAAAGAAAAGCCTAAACACACATTCAGGTTTGAAGTGCCTTGGGACTGTGTCTCCCAGATAGCGGTTCGACGCAAAAAATGAGGGCCTGCTCGCAAGTAATTGATGTAGGTGAATAATTCATCTTACCGTGTCTGCGCCTGCGCTAATGTGTTAATAACAACAGTCTTTCCTCCTCCAGTGGGGCCCACGATCATAGTTGTATGTCGTGTCAACATAGTCTCGTACATTTGAACAACTTTATCGGCCTGTTACGCAGAGACAGCATGTATATTAGTTGAACTTCAAAGCTATCTTTCAACTACCTCAAGCTAAACATTAAAAGAGCGAATGATGTCGAAACTTCTAGGAAGTCAATGTAAATGAAAAAAGGTGACTCGAAGAGAAGACAATATGTTGAAAAGATTTCCCCCTTTTCTCTCAGAGCCGGACAGTTTGCACGTTCCGGATGCCGCTTGCAAAAGGTGCAGTAAAAATATTTTCCAGTCAAATGGAACGCGCCCTTAAATTGTATTCGCCGGATCCCGAGAAAAATTCTCTCTCGAAATGTGGCGTTATAAATTATGCTTTACCTGATGTGGAAGCAAAATGTATTTATTGTCCTGCAACACTGCTTCAACTGCGTCGTTGAAATTTGGGTATCGTACCCTTGGACAATCAAGGCCTGGAAACAAGTCCGCTATGAGACCGAGGAAGAGTGGTACGTCTTCAAACACAAACTTTGGCAAGTTCATGTCACGCAACGCACGCATTAACACTACATCCTGAAAGAAGTAAAAATTCAAAAGAGAAGTTGAGATAGCAGTGGGTACCTTTGAACCGTGACCTCTGTTTCAGAGTTAACGTAGGTAAAGGCAGTGAAAGAAATATGTAGGGGTTAGCAAACGTCAACAAACAACAAATTTGTTTCTACATTTACTGGAAACTTGGTCACGAGTGACTCTCAGTCTCTTCTAAACTTAACACTACTGGAGATGCTAGGCATTTTTACTCTGAATGTACTAAGCTTCCTAGCGACATGCGACCTGGACAAGAGAAAAACTATTGGACGGTTAGGAAAAGAAACGGTTCAGAGAAGTTAAGATCTTAAAGTCGAACGCCTAAACCTTGACAGTGGAACAGTGTTTCACTAGATTTAGAACCTAAGTATTTCTATAGACACTTTTGTAATCGTTTCTCCGTTTCAAACACGAACTGACACTGACCTCGCTCAGATCAGGAGAACCTCTCTTCAGTTCCCCTGCCATCACAAGTACAGCCTTCAGTGCACGAAGCCCAAAGTCGTAATGAGATTGTTTGGAGAGCTGTCCTGACGCAAGTTTGTAAAGTACTGTCATCTTCTTGGCAAGAACCTTTGTAAAAAGGAGGAATTTACAATAATGTTTAACTAGATGCATGCCATGCGTGAATCGTATTTCATCAATTAAGCGTCCAACCCCGGAAAAGCGCCCATCTCGATTAAGCGCCGACCCTGTTGGAAGGAAAAGTTGATAAGCACCCAGCCTCGAAAAAGCGTCCATCCCCTTCTATCCCGGGTGAGTGAGTGAATAAGTGTCGTGAAACTAAACCCAAAATATTCAGATCAGCAAAGCAGAATAAATGTTTATTATCCAAGTAAATAAATGTCCCCATCCTTAAGCGCAAGATAAAGCTGGCGACCAAGTCGACTTAACTTTTGCATTTGATAGTTTGAGTAAGCGACGTAAGTTTCTATCGCCAATCATAAAAGCCAAGAAAAACAATTCCTGATTGCTTTTGACACTAAATTCAGACAATCTCTAAATCGTATTTTCTTTTTCGTGTGTCTTACCTTGGCCAATAAAAACCCTTCGGAGAAAAGCATGATCTCGCAGATTTGTTGCAGGTCTGGCACAATACACATAACAGGTCTGAACAGAGCTTTGACACTCTCAGGAAGTTCCGTACGACCTGCATAGCCAGGGTTCATGGTAATGAAAATCCCCATGCGACCATCCAGTGCTATCTCTGTACCTTCAAACTGTTTAAGGAGAAGAAATGAGTTTACAATTTGATTAACAATTGCTTCCCGTAGGGTTTACTCTGGATCAGTTGGTAGAAAAACTAGAAGGAATAGCTATAGTCTGTATCCTCACGGAGACCTTGGATTTCCTTTTGTCTCACATTCTTGACAAAGTCTTACGTCTTTCTTTAGAGCAGTTTTCGACTACTACGAAAAACCAGAACCAAAGATAATCAAAGCGACCAATTAGATCAATTCACCAACGAGACTAAAAGCAAAGACAAGCAAGTCACATAAAGCGCGGGAAAACGCGAATGACTGAGGAAACTTTGTTTCTATTTTTACTTCTAATTGTTTGAGAGGACGGTGCAAATTCTCCTTGTCAGCATCTTAGTAAATGTACAGAGAACAGTATGGAGAATATTAATGCTAATGTTAGGATGTAAAGGGTTAAAGCAAAACTAAGGTAATCTCAGATTATTTACGAAACGTAATTGCCCTAAACTGTCTATAGTTTGTAACGCTTGAGACGGGTTTGTTATTACGTTTACCATTTTTCTTCATGCAAATTAAGTCAAAGTTTAGGTAAGGTAGACGTAAGTTCACCTGTAGTCTCTTAAGATGGTTGCTGAGTGAATTTTGCAGTGTTTTAATCTGCGTTGAGACAACTGATAGTACAGACACGTCAATACGGTTGAACTCGTCAAAACAGCCCCAGGCACCACACTGCGCCAGGCCTGAGAATATCTTGCCGATGGACTGGAGGAGAAAAAAGTAAGAAACTCGTGCGTTTGTAGACTGATATGCGAAAATATTGCAACAAATTCGACTCCCCCAGTTTCGAGTCACACACTGTAAAGGGTGGCTGGCAACGACAAACATAACTTTTAAAATTAAGTAGCTGGTCAAAAATGTAAAGACATTCTGTCAAACAGCAAGGGTTTGACTGTCACTCTATGCAGGTCGTCGAAGCCATAGCTCTCACTCAATTGCGTGACACGTAAGCGTGACGCAAATTACTCATATCACATGACATCCACAAAACCTGTTTAGCTCACCTTGTAGTCCATACCCTCTCCACAGTTAGTTACAACACACAGTAATCCCAGAGCTTTAGCCAGATCCTTCACTGTCTCGGTTTTTCCTGTACCAGCCGGCCCTGCGGGAGCACCACCGAGGTACATGGACAAGGCCTACAAAAAGAAGGGAAAAGAAGCGTAAAACTACAATTCAGTAAGATTATAAAACACCAAACGTTCATCTAATAACTACACTACCCCCCCCCCCTTTAAATTTGTTACACACTTAAACACCTCACCTGAGAGATAGTCAGGTATATTCTGTCTGTCAGGGGGGTGATGACCAGTCGTCCATTTAGTCCCATGTACTCGTATCCATAACCAAACTCGCCTGTACACTGACGCACCATCAACTCATCAGGTAACTGATCCCAATAGAACCTTAATTGACTCTCCCACTCGAACTCACGCGTGTCCATAATGCTGTCAGGAAAACAGAGGGAATTATGATCATTCTCAACTTTAGTTAACAAGAGCCTCAACATTTTCCCTCCTTCCGAGAGCTCAATCTGACCCAATGAAGACTCAAAGAGAGCTCAAGGTATATAGAGACAAACAAACCGCCGACCTTATGTAAGGGAAAGCATGTGCGACTTATTTGTGATTGATGATAGATTTGCATCTGATTGTCTAAGACAAAATAAAGCAGCTAAAAATAAAGCAGCAAAATATTTTGACTAGTTAGCTCCAGCGGTTTCAATTACTTTATCCGTAAGCGGCTTCCGATAGTGCAATTGGCGGCTGTGTACGGAAAAGGGGCCGTACGCGGCGGTAAGAGGTCCTCTAAGCGGCGGTAGACCAATAAATGGCTTTTATAGAAACCCCAGGTTAGTTCATGTCACTATTCTCACCTGTCTCGAACAAAACTGTCAATGATGTCTCTGGCGTGAACTTCAATAATCAGCACTGTGTTGAACTTCTTGCGATCATTTTTGGTCAGGTTTGGCTCACGAACCTGAAAAAAAAAACCACAAACTTTACATAAGTAAAAAAAAAAAGTGTAAACAGCTTACTTCATGAAGCGAGTCACGTTACGCAAAACTTCCATAGAAAATAAAATTTTGTCTCGGACGATGGTAATTTTGATTTCATGGCAACAGACTGGGATTGTACGTTTTTAGATCAAATTGTTAGATAAGAAATATAACGTCATCTCTTTTTTTTATTTCAGGATCCTAAACTAGCCTTGTCCATTTTAATCAGTGTTACGTTCTCCTCACGCTATTTATATGCGCATAAACAGATCTAGCGTTTCTTATTAGCAAGATAGTTCTCCACAAATTGCCACTTTTTTATGTAATTTATCTTAATTGCTTCTGAAATCATTTATCTATTAATTCATTTTTTTATTAATCTAATTAACTGACCAAAAGCCAGTGTCAAAATACCTTTTCAACAAGGTCGCTGATTTGTTTGTGCATCTTTTTAGCGTAGTTTTTCATTCCCATCTTGTCTCCTTTCTTCACTTTTCTAAACACATCCTCAACTTCCCATGTCCACCAAACTTGGTTTCCAGCCAGTACCACCATTCCTTGATACTCCATCATCCAGTCAATTCTGGAAAAAAAAAACAAACACATCTAAAATGTTACCAGACAGTAACATAAACTTAAAAGAGCAATTTACAACAGTGTCAAATGTAATCCAGGATTGCTTAGGTTTTTCCTTACGTCCCTACATGATTGTTCAACTTTCCTAGCCAATCAGATTCAAAACTAAAATTAATCGTGACCTGGTCACCCACGTTTTCCCGTGCTTCAGGTAGTTTGATAGTTTTATTTTGAGTTCTCATTACCTCCAAATGATATATTTTTATGTCTGATTGGCTTTTGTGATTGATTTGGTTTTGGTTTCGATTTCATAACCTCTAAGAATCAAATTTTCGTTTCAACTGACCACTGTGCGAAAAAAAGACCTTACATTTACGCAACAAGCAAGGCAGACGAAGGCTTAGAACACCTGTTTTTTTTTTCTTTTTCATTTTTTCAAAACTGTCTGGGACGCTAAGGAAACAATTTTTTTAACAACAAAATCGTAATGCTAAAGCAAACACAACCTTAGCCACAGATCATTAAAGCTTAACCCTATACAACCTAACATCAGGACGCATATTCTCTGCACTGTTCTCTATACATTCCTATGGTTCTCAAAAGGAGAATTTGTTTAAAAATCAAGAGCTTCTAAAGTTGGTGAACATTTCCTTTGTTCTTATGACCTTAATGATACTGTAAGGAGAAATTAGATGCTGGTCGCTCTGAGAGATTAGATGGTTAGGTAAAGAAAGAATTTATACCTGGACAGTTCGCCGCCATATTTAAAGATGGCCTCTTTCGTAATGAGTCTGTTAGTCCTTCTCATTTCATTCAGCACGTTTGTCATCCAGTCTTCCACTCGTCCCTCAGCCGCCACTGGCTGCCTGAACTCCATCACCTCAGCCTCGCTACTGAGCATGGCAGTGGCCAACATCTCTTCACCAGTCCCTTCTTCGAAACGCAACTTAGCAATGTTGTCGAACATCTGTAAAAGACGAGAACCAGTAAAATTAGAAAGTAAATGATTAGCTTTTGAAGGAAGCTGCGCCGCATACAAGTTGCGATTACTTGGTGATAACTGCGTTTAAAACAGGTTAGAGGTACTGCCAAGCCCATGCTTCAGATGATGTGTTGACAATCCTTGTTTTCTCTCTAAGATCATCGCCTACAGCGCGCGCGAACAACAAAGGCAAAATTTACTGACTGCCTTAAGCCATTACACCCTAACATCAGTATGCAAATTCTCCTTACTGTTCTCTATACATTTCCTAAGGTGTTGGTAATCATTTCCTTCATTCTCACGACCTTAGTGTGTGATTAAGGAGGGATTTTTTAAGGAGAAATTAGATGCTAGTCACTCTTGGTGGTAAAAGGGTTAAAATGTTTGCGCACGTGAAATTGAAATATTTGTCATTGTTGTCAACTGGCTCTAATAAACAATTAGAGGAAAAGTAAGCAAAATCAGAGGTAAATTTGCCACTCGCCATTAAGCAATAAAATTGGCCCTGATTGCGTCGTACTCAGTTACCTTGATCATATGTTCTTGCACGCACTGTGGATCATGGCTGCCGAGAATAGAGAGCAGTTCGTCGTCAGAAATAAAGAAAAACCTTGGGAAGGCGTTTCTCTTGGAGTCCAGGTAATCATTTAAACTCTTCTGACACTTCTCCAAACCAGCTACCAACATCTGCAGCTGCTCCAGACGACTGGCGGCGTGACAAGCTTCTAACACTTTTGGATTCTTTGCAGTGTCGCTCATGATCTGAAGACAGAAACAAGGTGAAGACCATGAAGTGCAAGATGAATTATTCAAGTGACACAGACATTGGAGAAAATGTGCTCTTAACAGGAGCCGAACTAAGAAAAGATGAGAGAGCAGAGCGGGACATTGTGGTGTTGGCTGGGACGTGCCTTTCCCCTGAAAAATTCATAGTTAAATTTAGAGATAAACGGAAGGGTGTTTTCCCAGATTTCTTCTGAATTTTCTCCCAAGAGAAAAGAAGAATTCGTTTAACAATCAAAGCTTCTTTGACTGCCGATCATTTCCTTTATTTTCATGATCTTAATGGATGATTCGACAGTGTTATTGTGGAGAGAAATTAGATTCTGAACTGGTTATTAATGAAACTGAAATATCCAAACGTCTGGACAAGAACCCTTGCTCTCTGCCACCACTCCCCCCCTCCCCCCGATCACCAATTCTTTAGCACACACCTTCACGTGCAACACAGAAGCGTAACATGCTACAAACCTTCTTGAATGTCTTATCGATGTCATCGAATTTCTTGGCCTCCTCTGGAAGCTGAGCTCTGATGTCTCCGCCGATGAAGATGCTCTCAAGGTACATCCACTTTCTTTGCACAACCATCCACACCTGAGAAGGATTAGAAAAAACGATCCCAGACAGTGGATATCAGATATTATCTGCAACGCTTCATGACATAGCTGTTTCCTTAAGACGTTGATGGTTTTTCGAGATTCCAACTCAAGTAAGGCTTACCATGGGGACTGGTAGAGATCTCCTTCGCAGTTTCATTTTGAGTGGTTTTGATGTTTAGTCGCCCTTTTAGGACAGAGTACCTATCTGTTGGTTGCCAAATTTAACCTTGTTTAAGCAATTTTAGAGCACATTTCGATTAAGCGTCGTAAGACCAAAACCAAATAATTACGACAGCCAATCGGAAGAAAGGAAAATAACATAATGAGCCAATGAGAACTGAAAGTAAAAACACACAAACTGCAAGAAGCGTGGGCAACATAGGTGACCAAGTCGCGAATGAAATTTAGTCAGATTTAAATCTGATTGGATGAAAAAGTAGCGCTAGACCAATCACAGACCAGTCTGGACCAATCACAATGCGAGGTAAAACAAAATCTTAGAACGTGTAATTTGATTACTTTCCACACTCAGTTTACTATTGCTCAGACACTTACCTCAACAACCTCTCCAATGTGTGACAAACTCTTCTCCCACTTGTTAACAGTTTCCAAAAACGGCCCCACAAACCGCGAGGCGGACATACTCTGCAAATTCATGGCATTATCATCCAGTATTTGCAGGATTTCATCAACAGCTCCCAAAATAAAGCCTCTCTCTTGGGTTCCCTTCATAAACTTGGACACAGTGAATTTCATAGCGCCCCACGTGTCACCCACTTCACTGATACCTTTCTCGATCCCAAGCTCCTTTGTGGCGCTAGCCGTGATGTCACCGATGACCTCCTGGAACTTGTGTAGCTCCATGGCAAACATGTTTTGAAGTGTGAAGGTGTCCGGATTGAGATCGAACTTCATGCCCGTCATTTCCATTAATTTCTTCCAATGGCTGTTCGGTAAAGAAGTCAAGATTACAGAATTAATGTACTCTTTTTTTTATATTGGCCTCCTTTTTCCTTCCGACCATGGATAAGAGGTTTTTTTATACAGGCTAAGAATAAATTGTACGCTATTTTGTTAACAAAAAAATTTAAAAAAGATATGACTAGGAATTGAACGATCCAACAGAATTGAATTATGTTTGTATTGCTATACATTTACATAGTTTTATCGTTTTGTCGTCCTTTTTGGTTGAAAAAATTAAAGAACACAATTAACCAAACTTTCTAAAAGTAAAATCAGTTTTCTTCTGGTACTGGCAAGGAGAATTTGTTCAACAATCAACGACCCATTGCCTACCGTTCTCGCAAAGCCTCGTTTTTCAGATCAGAAAAGAGTGGAATGGAATTCTTAAACTCCCTCATCTTCTCCTCCAGAATATGGCACAGCGGTAGGGCTTTCACCTCTCTTGGAAGTCTCTTGAGTTGTTTAATAAACCCGTCAATACCCTCTGATAACACTGACACATCAAGGTTGGCCCATAGCGTGTTGGCCCATTCATCGCGAGCCGCCTGATGGACAGGAACATACACGTAATAAGTAATTAATCAAACAGCCAATCAGAGGGACAGAAACTATCACCAGGAGCCAATGAAAACTCTTGTAGTGAAAAGGACCAAACTGTAAGAAGCGCGGGAAAACGCGGATGTACAAGTCGCAATTGGCTTTTGTTTTGCATCTGATTGGTTTAGAGGGTGGTGCGAAATTTTTAGACCAGAGAGACAGACCAAAATCAAGCAAAACCATTGCATTTTTGGATTAATATCCACATTCAAAAGAAAATTGCTCTAAATCTTCATGTAAGGTGATCACAATGATCAACCACAGCAAAAAGGACAAAGAAAAATGAATCACTAGGGATAAATAAACGTCTTGCAAATTCTATGGAGAGGTTGTAGCAACTTTTCACAAGCCATCTTCATTTGTTTGGCCTCACCGTTTCAATTGTGGGAATTTACTGCAACACTGAAGCCCTAAACATTTGACACTTGGCTTGCTTCCATTTACGCGCAAATGTTTCGAATAATTTTTCATTCAACTTGCCTTTTGATTCTCATAAATAGAAAAGATCTGATCCAATCCCTTCAGCTCTTTCTCCATGTCCAGTAGTTCGGGGTAAAGAGTGATCTGAAGACCAAACAGTTTTTCAGCATTCGCCAGTTCTTGACGCTCCTTTTCAAAGTTTGCAAACTCTTCTTTGAATTTCTTTAACAGTTCCACACCTTAGAAAAAAAGACAATCAAGAGCAGATCGAAAATTAAATCATATTTTATATAGGTGTTGCAAAGTTGAGAAAACCTTACATCAAGCTTCGTAAATTTACCTGCTTCAAGATCAGTGCCAATAGAGCTTGGACCTTCATTGATGAAGCTTTCTTTAAACTTTGAAATGTCTTTGGAGAAGTCGGAAACTTGATCTTGCGTGATCTAAAAAATAGATATATTGAAAAATAAAGATATATTGATGAGGAAATATTAAATAATTGTCCATTTTTTATCGTTAAATTAAATTATGTTGAGTTGTGTATGGAACTTAGGTAAATTTTGAACCTTTTCCAGGGCTGTGCTCAAGCGCGAGTGTCACAGGTAACTAACTTCTGAAAGGTTCTGTCTTTAGGCAATTCGTATAACTTTGCTTTTAAGGAAGTATTTTCGAACGGGGCACCCAAGATTTCGGAGACGAGAGCTTTCACGCTTCTACTGAATTTTCTTAGAGCACAACTTTGTTTTGCATCTCTTAAAAGCCAAGTTCAGACATACATGGATCTAACCATTTACACCCTAACATCAGTATGCATATTCTCCATACTGTTCTCTAAGCATTTCCTAAGGTGCTAACAAAGAGAATTTCTTTCACAATCAAGAGCCTATTTGGTCGCTGATCATTTCCTTTTTTCTCGTGACCTTAATGCTTGATTCAGCGGTTATACTGTGAGGAGAAATTAGATGCTGGTCACTCCTTGGGATCAAAGAGTTAAGAACAACGTTGATAATACATGCAAGTCCTGGGTACCCATGTATTACAATATTGTATCATCTCTTCTTCAACATATGTGTTCTCAAAACTTACCTCAGTGAATTTCTTCTTAACAGAGACCAAACTTGCGTCCACTGTTCGAGATTCCAGGAACAGGTCATCCCACGCTTGGGTGATGTTAGTGGCCAGCTCCAGCTCGCTCTCGGGAACCTTTCAATAACAAAGAAGTGAATACAAACATGAACAAATGAGAACTGTCGATGAGAGCCATGCAGTAGCTAAACAATAGCTGCTTAGTCTGCCATCTATAGCCGGTGATTTTACCATAAGTGCAGATAAAAAGTCATACAATCACTGAAAGACCATCGAAGATAATTTTAGTGTAGTCATTTCACAGTTTGTGAGATGAACTAAATGCATAATTTACTGCAGTGACAGCTTAAGATGTATGATTCAATCAATTCCACGTTCAGACTCAAAGATCCTCCATAAGTATTTCCTCTATAGAAAGAAGTGAGGCAATAACGGACGAAGAATAACTTACTTAGAGGTAAGAGCGATCTTCGTGGTACGCCTGAGACAACGACAAGGGGTTTACGATAACATGGCTGGCCTACTGTTTTTTTTAACTGCCTTCTTCTCTCGAACTTATTGGCAACCCTGATCATACAATGAAGCTTGAGACACGGACAATTTGGCTGACTTTGGGATATAATTATTTTATTTCTTACCTCAATATCGTACATCAGAATGGTTCGGTATCTTTCCTGAATGTCGACATAGCGAAGCTCTACATCAAGAGACTTGTCTCTGATGTCTGCAATCACGCGCAGGACAAACTTCAAGTCTTCTAGCGTGTCTGGTTCTCGCTTGAGATCATCTGTTAAACCCTGTAACAAAACAGTCAAAAAAAAAACTTCTCAGCTAATGCTGCGACACGAAAAATATCCGGCAAACAAGTAGTTCGTTCGCTATTTAGTTCGATCATTCATCTGTCAGTTGTTCACTTAATTTGCCTGTTATTTACTCTGTCGCCTTTATCATTCACCCATTTCATCTTTCATTCGTTGGTTCTTTTTTCCTACTAAGTTTTTCATTCGCTAAATTCTCCAAAAGTTAGTTTGTGCAATCGTTTCTCGGGGCTCCTCAATAGCGATCATTACCAATGACAAGTCACGACAAAGTAACGAACTAAGTAGCGGATGACACTGTGGCAAATGATTTACCGGAAAAGTTAGAGTGAAAACAGTACAAATTATCCATGATATCGTTAACGGATTTTATAAAAGATAGGGAGGCAAATCAAGCTATCCTCTTGAAACATACCTCAATTTCTGCCTTGAGAGCATTCAGATCTTCCCTTGCCGATTCGTTCAAAAACTTGCCCAGCTCCTTGACCCAGGCCCTCGCATTGGCCTGAATAGTCGTTGCCAGAGGGTCCAAGTTGAGACGAACAAAATCAATGTCTTTTGTCATGACCTGGTTTCCAACCTGGTGAATATCATAAAGTTATTACAATCACTGTAGTAAGAATCCCTAATCGCGAAGGAGTAACGCGCGGCGAGATTTTCACCGGTTTAATTTCCGACCATGTGTCGACATAATGTCAGAAAGGATGAAATTGTTGGGTGCGTTAACTGTTCAACCTGTGTGACATAGACTAAAACAATTGTTTACCTCAGTGAACCTCTTACTACTTGCTTCATTGTTAAGTAAATATCCACCGATATTCACCTCTGTTTCCTTGAATGATCGCTGACTATAAGAACTGTGACGTTAACCTAAGAGTATACTTTGCAAAAAGCAGATCTATCTTAATACCTCAATGACCAGATTTGAGTAGAACTGTAGCTTTTCGTCATAAGCAATACACGTTGGTTTCTTCTGTGCAAACTTCTCCACCATGTTACTCTGTTTTGTGGACAACAAACAAACAAATCAGTTATGATAACAAAAACGTGCAAAATAAATAAACACTGAGTGGTTATGTCGATAGACACTACGCAAATAGCCACACACTTAAAACTCTCGAGCGAAAAAGTATATGCACATGTAAGAAACGTATGAAAAACATCTAGATTTTTAATTCGAGGTTCCTTTAAGATAAAAGTCGTAGAGCAATTTTTTGATTAAGTGTCAAAAGTAATTTGGAATTGCTTTGGTTTCGCTGTGATTCGCTGGGTGATCCAGAAAACTTGCGCCACTTTCTCAACCAATGAGAAACTAAAGCCAATCCTCACTTGGTCGACCGCGTTTTCCCGCGCTTTAGGCGGTTTGCTTGTTCTAACTTTGAGTTCTCATTGGCACCTTGTGATATTATCTGTTGTCCTGATTGGCTATTGGGATTACTTTCGTTTTTGTTCCACTACACTCAATCGAAATGCGCTCTAAAACAAGCAACCGCATCAGAAATTACTATAACACGTAATAGAACCTATATGTTTCATAGAAAAAAATATATTTTGTCCAAAAAAAGCTTCAGAAAAACGAACGAGAAGGCACCTAAATGGTTAATACCAGATGAGAAGCTCAGTCAATCCGATTGGCGCATTCCTGTTGGTAAATTGACCGATTTTCACTGATTAAAATGTAACATTTATATTCAGACATCATTACAAACCTTGTCAAGTTTCCATAGCAACCTGTACCTCCGCCAACGAGTCAGATGTTTGTTCAAGTTTCCCAGAGTGTTCTGCACACTTTTCGACAGAGTAGTCACCAGGTCTATGATGGCAGGATTGGCCGAGATATCTGTGAAGAAACTAAACACTACTGGCTCGTCCTCACCCTCAGCGTGCTGGGGCGGAGTCTCGATGCACGTACCGTTCATCCAGCGAACAAACATTCTGGTTCTGTGAAGGAAACCAATGCAACATTGAATCAAATATCAAGATGTATAGCTTGCACAAAAGCGTCTTGTTGTGCCGATGATTCCTGGGCTAAATGTAATTTAGGCCAGGTTAAGTCAGTGCGACGGTTTCGCCAATGTGATGTGGGGGGCTCCAAGGAAGTTTGCAGGGGCATTGCCAGTTCCTTCAATGAAACTTTTAGCTTCACTCCTCTCCTTTCCTCCAACATTTTGGGTAAGTATTCATTCTACATACTAGTTTGGCGGTGATGTGTTGACCAGTAAGAAAACAGCAAAAAGAAGGGTCATCATGAACAAAGGACCCATCAGGCGTTATAGAAACCAGATCTGAGCACAAAAACCAACTGATCAAGCATTTCTAGGGAATCAAACGTTTAAACAAGGAGTAATCCCACTTAGTGCTATTGATAGAGACATCATCCCCTGAAAAACAACGTTTCACTTGACTCTGGTGATGACTTTAGCTCAGGTTGTCAAAACGTCAGTAACTGTGGCCGACAACGGTCCTTTAGAAGAACAATCTCACCTGAACGACCAGACTTTACGATCGACAAGATCCGTACAGACACAAGTAAAACTACACAAGTTTAAAACTACTGAGAAGATCCATGTTATCTTTTAAACTTACCCCTCCACCATGTCTCTAATTGACTGCATGATTAATTTGTAGATCTCATTTGCCGGAGGAGATAAGACAATCTCTGGCGCAGACAACACTGTTTCGATCTGGAACAATGGCTGGCGGGCGTGAAGTTGCTGGTTAAACTGCTGCAGGTTTTTGGTCACCATCTGAAAAAACACAGCTCCAAACTCAACTTTTTTCAAAGTCGCCAAGATGGCGGTCTAAAATCATAAAATGGTCGCCAGAAATAAAAGATAAGTTGCCACAAAAAACGAAAAAAGAAAGGAAAAGAAAAGCTGAAAATCATTTTTTTTAATTTCGTGGGACATTCCAGAACTTAGTACTTGAACAATCAAGAGCAAAGGGGCAAATTTTTGGGGGGAAAATGACAACGAATAATGATAACTTACACAAATGTATGTCTCAGTTTAACTTTAGACCACAAACTTCATATAAGAAAAACGTCACAGCTCGTCACATGACTACCGTTTATAAGTCGTGGATGGGCGACTTTGGCTACACCTTCAGTTGCTAAACTAAGTTGTTAAACTAGGTTACGGTAAGTAAGTACCTTTGTGAGGGCTTCATAGACTGCATTCTCCCAGTAGGCATAGTAAGGTTGTAGTTTGGTTGATCTGCCAGTGTTTGTATGAACGACAAGTCCTTCCATCTTCGTAAGAAGCGGTCCAACGGCTCTGTATCTTCTGGCCAAGTTTTCAAGCTCCAACGCTCGAGCTTTTTCAAGATATTCAAAGAACTCCTGCAAGAATTTTGCAAAAAATCAAAGCGATTACATTGCATAATTTCGAGAGCAAAACATGAGCAAACTAGAAAATCAACATGAATTTGGTAAAGAAGTCTAATAACCTTTGCATCAGGAAGTGCTCCTCCTATTTTGGGCGGTGGCTGTTTGAATAACACTGTGTTCTCCATTAACTCCAGGCGGCTGTTGATGTCTTTGGCATTTTTCTGGATTTGATTCACAAGTGATTCAAATTTGCTGATGGCCTGTGAATACAAATATTAGCGATATTTCAGTACTGCATAAGTTAGCATTCAAATAGAAATCTGAATGTTTTGGCTTGCTTTGAAACTTTTATATAGCTTTCCTCGGGGATAATCTTCAACCGAGTGTCCAAAGCAATACAGAATTTCTTTGTTTTTCTTTACTTCTCTCTGTGATTGGTCCAAAAACCTTGCGCCACTTATTTAACCAATCAGATGCAAAACTAAAACCAATCACGAGTTGATCACCCGCGTTTTCCCGCGCTTTAGGCAGTTTGCTTGGTTTTAGTTTGATATCTTCTGATTGGTCGTTGATATAACTTTGTTTCGGGCTTTACGACACGTCAAGATTAACGATGATAAACGATGATTAACATGATTAAGTGCTTCAATATTTCACGTGTTACCTGTCCACATCTCGTGATGTAGTCACTTATTCCAAGCGAGTTCCAGTTTAATCGTTTTGCTCCTGGCTTTAGAACACGTTTTAACTCTTTGATGTGATCTTCTAGAAGTTGTGTCTGGTGAAAAAATAGAAAGAAATATAAACTTACTCATACATAGCTATACAGCAAGCCCCCCTGGGAATGTGCAGGTGAAGTGTTAATGTCTACGAAATTAATACCTGACGTTCTTTAAACCTAATTTTACGTTGAAGAACCAGTGAAAACATAACTAATTCAAACCTGTCTTAGTTAGAATCAAGCAATAACTCTTCCCCATACTGTAAGGTCACAGGTAGCTATAGTTTGAACTTATACAAGGAACTTGACTTAATGTACTCAAATATAAAGTTACCTCTGCAACATTGAGACTTCCAAGAACAGTGTGGTATCTGTCCAACATAAGCTTCAGGCCATCCACATATTTCAAGTACTTCTCTTCCTGTTAACATGAATTATCACATAAATCGATGATGTTTATTTGAGCACTTAAAAAACAAACCTCACTGTACCTGGAGTCATTTTCTATGAAAAACAATCATCTTTGAGGAAATCAAAACAATCATCTTTGACCACCACAAACAATATCATCCGTACATCATGAACTCCAGCCAAATATTTTCCAGTCTAGCCCTTCCACTCATTCAATAAGCACATGCTTACATATTTCATAAAACAGACACTGACATAAGCTTTTAATTGCAAGTATAATTCACACCGCAACACTTACTATGGCTAAATCACATCACAAAAAACTACTGTTGAAGAGTTTTTAAGAAAGGATGTGGGGGGCAAGTCAGAGAGAAGGGCTCATTAACTCTTTACACCCTAACATCAGTATGCAATTTCTCCATACTTTTCCCTTTACATTTCCTATGGTGCTTGCAAGGAGAACTTTTCTAAAAATCAAGGGCTTAAGTTTCTGATCATTACCCTTATTCTCATGAACTTAATGTTTGATTTAGGGGTGATACTGTTGGGAGAAATTACATGCTTATCACTCTTAGGAGTTAAAGGGTTAAAGAGAAGGGCTCATAAGAGAGATGGCTTATGAAAGAGAGACTTTATAGAGATGAGGACTTAATGGAGAAAGAGCTTATCAGAATTAAGGGTTTATTAGAAACTTAAAGTTTAAGAGAGGGGCTTATTAGTGGGACTCATAGACAGCTTGTCATGGTCACTGGTAAAGACTGCTAAAAATAGGAATGTTTTTGCAATCATCACAAAATTTATTGATATACATGATTGTACAGAAAGCATCACATCCATGTACAAGTATATTCATTTCAAACAGAGTTCAGTGACATTATTTGACAAAATACCTGCAAAGCAACATTTCTGGCCAGCTCAGGAACCTGGAATCCTAGCTGCTCTAAGTACTTTGTCTCCATAATGATTAAACCTAACTCTGGTGCAAAATCTGCTACATACTGTAGGTTGGGATGAGAGGCTGAAATAAATACCAACAACAAACTCAGAACTTGCCAGGGTTCATCTCAGCTGTACAAAATTCATAATTCAATGTCCATCTATATATAATTGAAAATGAGAAATAAAGCTTATTTCCAAGTAACTGTCAAAACCATTCGCAGATTGCCTGGGTTTTGCCTCACCCGGCAAAGTGATTTTTAAAGATTCCACAAGTTTATTTTCATTTGTAATATCTAAAAGTAATCTTTACAATTTATTCCACAATTCATTTTGCTGTATTCCCAGCCCAACCGTTTCTCTTTACTCCTTTCTCTTACTTCTTTTGAAACATAAAACATTGAAATTCAAATGTTTTTAACAAAAAAGAGAAAATTAATCGATTGGTTTAAATCTAATTTAGTAAAGGGATCAATATCATCTTCTAGAGTCAGAGACTAGTTGTAGCCTTGTTACTGGCACTGTATAATGTATCAAAATGAGAGATGTACATTTTGGATACAGAAATCTTAGAGAAATCACTGAACACTTGAAGACTTTTACCTCTGAAAGAGTAACTAGTGGCATGTAGACTCTGTGAGAGCACACAGCAGGTTTATACATCTACAGCAGCAAAAAAAAAAAAATAAAAACCACCAATGTTACCTTGAGCCTGCACTGCTGCAGCTAGGCTTCCAGATGCATCCTCAGAGTTTCCTTCATCAGCAGCACTTCTGTGTGTGGTTGCAGAGCTTGCTGAGGGCTTGATCAATAGATTTTTCTTAAGGTAGATCAAGAGATTTGCTTCAACCTGTTCTTTCCATGCTTCATATTTTCTGTCTTCATATTCTTTCATCTGCCGTGCCACACTAAGATACTTTTTGCTTGCCTGGAAACAAGAAGTAAACATAATGAGGAAGGGAAACCAATGGATTGCAAAGGATTCTTGAATGTGATTTAAGACATGAAGTAAAACTCTGTGTCAATAGCAACCACTTCTGAACAACAAAATATGATTTCAATTGATAGATGAATGATCAGATTCTTGAGCTGTATTTTTATGATGTAAGGAAGAAAAAGTGTTAATAGCATGGACTTTCTGCAGAGGAATTTTAAAGATGGGTCAGCAACCAGGTGCCAAATGTAATTACCAGCACACTTCAGCCAGCTTACAAGCCAGTAAGTCCATCCTGCCACAACTTAACCCAGTTTCAGGAGTGTAAAGTGACTGGAAGCACTGCTACTCCCCTCCCCTCCCACTGGAGATGAGATGCCACTCCAGCACAAGGTTCCCCCCTTTACCTTTCCCAGCTTTCTTTCAGATTTTTGATTTTCACATTTTGCTGGTGCCCATTTGCACTTTTGAGGGAAGAGAATTAACCCTTTCATTCCCCAAATCCTCTCTCAAATCAAAATCTCTACACAATTCTTATGACAATAGTTCTAAGAATTTGGAAGAATCCCCCCTAATTGATATTTTTCTTCATTCTCATAATTTCTCTGCTTTATACTGTATTTAAATTGTAAGGAGAATTTTTGTCTTGGTCATTCATGGGAGTTAAAGGGTTAAGTGTTTGACCTTTCCATCCAGGGACCAGTGTCTTAATCAGTCCATCAAGGAGTCCCCCACAATGCAATGGCACACTTTACCTTCAAACAATTTTGTGAAAAGCCTTTGCTGACTATCTCATCGCCAAGTCTTACCAATTTTCCTTGCTCTGAATTCAGCATGTCCTCCATTTCTTGAAATCTCAAGATGGTGTGCTTTATGCGAAGAAAGAGAGAGCGTTCCCAGCTGATGGCTCCTGCTACAGGAGGTTGATTCTTGAAGATTGGAGGCTTGTCTGCGTGGGCTTTGAACAGTACATGCATAGCATCCACCTTGGAATAGAAAACACAAACCTTAAGCATAGTACTCACTGGGTCACTATGATGAGTACTCCTTTCACAATAGCAGTTAACTATGGCTTCTGAAACTCCAACAAGGATTTGAGTCAAGACAACATGATCCAGAATCTAAATGGGTAGTGATAATCCCTGTACTTCTTGATAAATTTCAAAGCCAAAATTTAAAAAAAAAAAGATTCTTAATGGATTAAAATGTAGAACCTCTCTCATTTCAGTATCTTTCAAGCTGCATCTTAACCCTTACAACCCAACATCAGTATGCATATTCTCCAAACTGTTCTCTATACATTTTCTAAGGTGCTGACAAGGAAAATTTATTTAAAAATCAAAAGCTGTTTTAGTTGGTGATCATTTCATTCATTCTTATGACCTTCATATATGTTTGATTCAGGGGTGATATTGTAAGGAGAATTTAGATGCTAGTCACTCTAAGGAGTTAAAGGGCTAAATACAATACACAAAAACTATGTACCTCTTTTCCAAACTGCACCAAGATGTCATTGAACTTCTTCATCATCTGTGAGTTGATAGCTTCCCGTGATCTAATGTGTCTGAAATTCAAAAGCATATCAAAGGCTCCCTCAGCAGACCTCAGTGTCTTAAACGAGTCATCAATGAAGTGTCTAGCTTCATTTTCAATGGCTGTAACTTCTCTGTGGAACCAGTCCATCACATTGCGCCAACTTGCAGCATGTCTAAGGCTGAAGGCATCAAATCCAACCTAAAAAATATAAACAACCTCTTAACTCTATCAAATTTTTAGGGAAATTTCAGTTTAATTTGCTTCATTAGTTTGCCACAAATATACAAACTAAAAGAATAATTCATTAGTAAAAAATCAGAGAGGCAATGTGGACTAAGGAACTCTGCAGGGCTTATGCAAAGGGCTATCTATAGTGATTCCAGTAAATTGAATATAAATTCTGTTATCAGCGAGATCATATATCTTAATACCTAAATATTCATAATGTACAAAATTAATTTAATTGTTAATTAGGTAAAAAAAAAAATCAAAATCTAATGCAGAAGTTTCAAAGGTTTTTCTTTCTTTTTGGTCCAAGATCAACCTCTCAACTAATCAGATGCAAGTCCAACAGCAAGTATGACTTGATTTTTTAATATTTAAAGGCCATTAATCTGTGCCTACTTGAGTTCTCTTTGCCTCCAGGTGATAATTACCATTGTTGTGGTTAGCTATTGTTATTACTTTGGTTTTAAAGACCCAGTTTTGACCAGTATGCATTACATGTGACATTGGCCATTGGCAACCATTGACTTGATGCTGAATTTATTCCAGAAGCTTCAAGAAAACAATACAAGCCTTGCTCTTGTGAAAACCATAACACAAACAGAGGTGCACAATGCATACTGGCCAACATTGGGTCTTAATTGTTGTAACACTTAGGCAAAAAGTGTCTAAACAGAGAAGGTTAAACAGGGACCAGAATGCATTTTGGCTGTCAGTACACCCTGAAAAGTAGGCTAATTTATCCACTTTAGTGACCTCAAGTTCCCCCTTCCCTCTCACTACAAAGTCATCAAGGACCTATATAAAAAACTCAAGGGAAAACTTGAAAGCAGACACAAAATCTCAAAGCAGAATAAACCTTACATTTTCAATGGGTTTCACCAGTCCATCAACCCGCTTCAACACATCCTCGATACGCTTAGGATCTCCTGTCACTGCCTTCAGTTCAGGTCCAAAGATATTATAAAACTCTTCCATCACTGTTGCAACCTCCTTCAAATCTTCACAGATTGAAGCCATATGATCTGTTCTCTCAAACAAACGCTTCCTGTCAAACTCCCATCTGGCATCTCTCCCTGAAGCCTCTATCTTGGCTCTCACATCAAAGTACGACTCCTTCCATGTTTCCAAGGTCTTCTTGGCCTCTGAGGTTTTTTGCTTCATGAGGTAGGGTGGTTCTCTAAAAGGAGAGATTTCAGTTATGGCCACTTTGAAAGAAGTTGTATGCTGTAGTTGCTGACCTCATATCACAATGCTCCTTATCTTTACTTAGAGGGGAACAGTTTTCAGTTCCCCTCTGAGCAAATATAAGGAGCATCAAGCACATTCAGTAGTGGAAGCAACTGCCCTTGCCACTCCCCTATACCCTTCACTTTTTTAAGCAATAATGATAATGTACTTTCTAGTGATTACATACAGTAATCATACTCACTTGAAAATAGTGCGAACATTGACAATCTTGGCCACTCGCTCGCTCAGTTCCCAAGCAATTCTTTCCATTAATGGCACCATTCTCTCATCTCTGTTGTAATGTCGTGATATAATCCACACCATCCTCAAAGCATTCATCATTGAAGGTATTGTTTCAAGGACTATGTTAAAACTTGCACCATGTGCCAAGTTCTTAAAATGTCTCTCAAGGGTAGAAAGAAATCGCACATTGTCTTTAGCTTCTGTATAATATTTCGTGAGTTCTGCTCGGTGATACTCAAAACTGGCAAGGCTTTCAGAGTGAACATTTGTTAAGATAGCCACAACTTTGTTAACAGTTGGCAGTTTTAACTGCTCAGTAATTGCACTCAGTGTAGCATTTCTCTCTCTCCAGAAATCAATCTCAGCCAAAGGCCCATTTCCTTGGGGTGTTTTCTTTAACTGGATCTCCAGGGCTGATGAAATTGTCACTTCCCAGTTGTGCAGGGTTTCCTCTAGCATTGTTACTAGTTCTGAGTCTTTTACCATCTCTGTAATGTCATCACCAAGAATGACTTCAGGCATCTCCAATCGAATATCACCCTCCAACTGGTGAATTGTTCGGCTGATGTGCGTAGAAAATTTCTGCATGTTCATTAAAAATTCATCTCTTAAGATAACCCTTGATCGACTTTCCTCTGACCCCTGTTCATCACCAGTATGAGCACTACTCTTGTGACTCCCACTATCTGAAGAGGACTCATTCCGCTGACCATTGTGTGACAAAAGGGGTATATACACCAGTGTTAAAAGGTGCTCCAGCATCTGTAGCGAGGGTCCATAATGTGATCCAAACTGAAATAAAGGAGGGAGAATTTCTTCTGCTTCCTCAAGCGTTGATGGCAGAGGAACAGGGCCAGTGGTATTCCGTAAAAAGTAGAAGGCATTTTCATCCGCAAACTCTTCAGGAAGGTGTTCATAGCAAACATACATGACTGTCCTCAGAACTTTCTGTATAATGATTTTCTGCAATTATATTTAAAAGATGTTGATTGATTGTCTATTGTTCATTCAGAAAATGTACTTGTTTGTTGGTCAAACTTTGTTCTAAGCTTTATATTTGGATAACACTTGCAACAAAGGAGAAATCATATCAAATTAGTACATAGTTTAAAATCATTTTCACATGAAATTAATTTTCAACAACAAGATATCCAAAGCAAACTTACTGTCCTAGGCGGTAGAGGTGTGGCATGATTCTCCTCTCCTAGCTCTGCTTCATCACCTTCTCCTCCCTCACCTGAGGCTGTTGCAACCTCCTCCCCAGTCTCTGGATTAGTCTGGGCTGGCTCTGCAGCCTGTGAACCATCCTTGACAGAAACTTCCTCTGCAGCCTTTGAATTTGCAGATGGAACTCTCTCCATGATCAAATCGTCACCCTCAGCAGTCCCTTCAGCACCATTTATTGAGGTCTTCTCAACTTCTTCATCACCATCAGCTGTTATTTCTGGTAATTCTGGTTCTAATGACATAATTTAAAATAAAATTCTGTAATTAATCAATAGAGTTTCACTTTAACTATAATCTTTTTTGATCAGAGCTTTAGTCAATGACAGACAGATCAAAGATGACAACAAACGATCACTTCGGAAAAGTTCGCTCATCATTCTATTCCCTCTGATGAAGGGGTAGCGCTAAATATGTCAGCTTTTGAAACTTTTTACAGTGGCCTTTTACATTTTCAACACAAGTAAAAACCGAGTCATCTTATCAACAACCTCAAACCCCCCTTCTTTGGGGGCGATCTTTGTGATTACTCAAATATAAATACCGACTTTGTCAAACAACATTATTAACGTGTGATAAATCAAGCAGCTTAATTATGGTTGGGTAAAATAAACAGATTTCATATCAGAAAGTATGAAGTTGTAGGACTCTTTCATCTTCCAGAAATTATGTTTAATTGTCATGAAGGTCAATCTTTGACAAACAGTGTCAACTTATATTTCAAATACGGCGGGATTATCAGTGGCAACGACCTCGAATAACCGTTGGAATGGAGACCTAAACAGCTGTTACAAGCACCCTTTATTCATTAAGTTTCATTTCTTTGAGAAGAAGAATTGTCATGTCATTGCACGATCTATATCAAAAAACTTACTGTGCGTAAAAGGGATCTCAAAAAGTCGCTAATCGCTAGCAATAACAGAGCCCTTTCAACGTCTTGTTGTGATACAAAATTAAATGGCGCGCAATTGTAAGTATACTATCATAAGATTATCTTCAATTACTAACCCGCTTCAACTTCAATTTCCTCCTCTTCTTCCTTCAGCATAGAATAAAATAAAATAGTGCATCCTTCCTTGGGAGTTTCATTGAGAAATTTTAAGATTTCGTTTTCAAATTGTCCATCTTCTCGAGACAACAAATCGTCGAACACCTCAGGGTCTGTAATTCCAAGTCCGAGGTATACCTTGTTTCTCATCCACTCAATGCGTGTGTCATCCATACTGGCGAAGTTTGAATCACTTTCAAATAAATATTTCTATTAATTATTCCAATACGCGAGCAATTTAGCCATCTGGGCTCAAAACTTCCTTGCTAGCGATTACTTTGCTCCTCTTATTCGCTTAGTTATCGTCGCCATCTTCGCCAAGGATTTGTTACTATGACAACGTTAGTGAAAAGGGCAAACTTATCACTGACAATTTTAGACCAATGACAGAAGAAGACAGGAATCATTCAATGACTTTAGAAATTGGATAAGTTTTTCATAGCTACTTACTGAAGCAATTTTACTATCTCCTGATTTGGTCAGAGAGCTTTGAAAGAGACTTGGCCCTGCAACTATTACTTGCAGTTGGGCCCCTGGGGACCGGAGGTGAGGAATGTTATGGCTCTGTGCCAGTTCTCAGTCTCCCCAGAGCGTGAAGAGGGCTATTAAGACTCACGGATCAAACCGTAAGAAGCCAGGGCTAAAAACTCAAGTAAACTCGGAGAAAGGGGAATTTCGAGCGCCCTGCAAGACAATATTCGATATTTCTTATTTGTGTTTGCACTAGCTATTACTCTCACTCTGTAACAGAGCATGTTAATTTGATATAATAGGCAACGGAACAGTGGTTGGCAAAAGGAGTCAGCCCCCCCTTAGAAAGAAAATTGGGGGGAGCCTCCCTGCCAGGTTCTGGTGCACAGATCATTGCCAGAGCACTCGAAACTAGCTTGGCAAGATATTCGGTCTCGGAATATTCGGAAGGAGGCAAAGGATATTTTGCGAAGGGATAGATATCCAGGGAAAAGAAAAGCCACCGAAAGGCGAATGAAGCTGGTTTGGGCGTGACTTCAATAAATCCATAGGGAGGGTCTTATTTCTCCATTTCATCACAGGAAAAATTCAAGAATGTTGAAACTCAGTAAAAATGTTGGGGTCAGCAAAATGTTCGCATCGTATTGAAGACACTTAATTTGTTAAGATAAACAGTATTTTATTCTTGAATAAATCTGATTCAAAATTAAAGTAAAATTAGTATCTTGATGAAGCAACACGAGCACAAAAACTCTCGTGGTTAAATGTAGATTCTATGTGATGAATTAATACAATAATTAGAAAATCTTAACATGTTTTCATATGACTGGTAATTTAAGGGCTTTTGACGTTGCAAAATTTAAAGCATAGTCAAATGATCGACTCTGAATCTTCGAGAAAGATAGTCAATTTTGCAGTTCAAACTTAGGAGGCCAGAGTATGCACACAGGATATAGCAAAAGCTCAATCAATATCAGTACCTGGGCGACTGCCCACCTACCCCTCCCCTAACCCAACAACAATCAATTGATAACAAGCTAGGGTTAATGTTGGGTTAGGGGAGGGGTAGGTGGGCAGTTGCCCAGATGCTGATATACAACCGAGATATCTATAAGATAATAATTATTGCAATAGAATATCAAAAAAATCATTGTATCGTTGTTTGCTATTTCCTCCATAGACATCGAATTGTTGCCAGTCTAAATAAAATAATAATTTGTGTGACACTAGACTTCTCCATAATTATGTCTACACATGGCTTATTAATAAATATAACAATTGATACTTTCTCTGTTTACTCAACTATGATATATGTCATTTTTTTAATCAAATACATTTTATGGACTATTACAAAGGATTTTTTTCTATTTTTTAAAGGAAGAGTGTTGGAAGGATCAAAGTTTTGAATACAAAATCTGTGGCCTTTTAAGAACACGATCCACCATAACACTGGCTTCAATAACACAGCCCCATGAGAAAGTCACACCCGAGCCCCCATGTCCATAGTTGTGCAGAAGAGAAGGACACACAGGATCCCACTCCAGACGAACGTTGCCATGGCGAGCAGGACGCAGGCCTGCCAAAACTTCCTCTACATCATCGTCTCCGTAGTTACGAAGGGGTGGATAGAACTCCTTTACTTTCTCAAACATCTTTCTGATTAGTGGATAATCGAGCGTTAGATCTCTGTCCCACTGGTGAGGTTGTACCATTCCACCCAGCCATAGTTTGTCGTCACCTCGAGGCAAAATGAACACGAAGCTTTGTCCTTCTTTATCTGACTCATCGAACTCCTTGATTATAGATATGCACATGGAGTGATTGAGTTTGGGCATTAAACTTCCGTCGTTCCTCACTTTAAGAATCACCCCTGCAATGAGAGAGATTTTGAAGGACAAGGATACGGATTCAACACCTTTCTTTTCACAATCAAGGAAGAGACGTAATTCTGTTAAACATATGACAACTGAACTGATCTCAGACTGCACGTTTCACGAGTTTTATTTACCTCTCAGAGGATAGACATCTTCATCTCCTGCCAGTTCTTTGGCGTTAAGTCCAGAGCAGTTGAAGATCAGCTGAGCTTTGTATTTCTTTTTCAAGTCTTCTGCCTGATCTCTCAACAATCCGTGAATCTCATCGTGTACAAAGCGACAGCCTTTGTCACGACACTGTTTGTAAAGCCACTGCATGTAGGTGACTGTGTCAACCATGGGAGCCATATGTTGATATGCGTCCACAACACCAGTGTCTGTGTTTACAGCTAAATGGAAAGAAAACGTTATCAATAGCAGGTCATTTGGTAAGTCACACAAACGTTTAAGACACATTACACCTTTCAATAATGGAAGGGGAATTAAAGAGAACTTCCGCATTTTTTTTAGTCTTTAATAGCGCTCTAAGACAGGAAATAATCTTTGGCCTTAGGACGGAGATGGTTGAGTCGCTCAGTTTTGGGTCACTAGAAGCTACCGGCGATTGGAATCAACAATTATGTATCAATCAAATTGTGGTTAATTTGTTATGTGACGGGGAAGGCAAATACCAAAGAGATAGGAATGAGCCGAAGGTGAAGAGAACTCGCGAGCACATTCTATTCACATTCTACTGTTAAAATTCTTAAGTTTATTGTAAAAAGGTTGCAACTGTACCAGTTTCTTCGATGAGTTTGGCGTCATGACGGAATCCTGGCAAATGATTCAGTTCATTCATCTTTTCCAACTGTTGAGGAAGATCTTTAACATTCGATTTTTAGAGAAAAAAAAGAGATCAGAGGCCCATTAGAAATTAAAGTTCAGTCTATCTTAAAATTTATCGGACTCGGTACCCCCTCCCTCTCCCCCCTTCCCCTCTCCACTCCTCCCTTAGGTAAGCGGGCACCAAATTCCCATTCAAGCTCATGCAAGAAAAGTCTTCATCAGGCCTCCTCACTTCCAAATGGCTCGTTTACAAGTTTACACGCAAGCAATGCAACTAACAGGCTGGGCATTTACCTTGTCCTTAAAGTAGAAGATAGATTGTCTGAGGAAAGCTCCAGTTTCCTTTGAGTTCATAGCCAACTCCATGAATTTGGCATAGCTGTCCATGCACCAAACCTTGGCTCTCCCCAGTGACTCTTCATTTGTATGTCGCCCACAGACCGCTGGAGGCCACTCCCATAAAGCGCCAGCGATCTCAGAAGTGATGCGTTTACCAGAGGAGACTGGGGAGGCGAACTCTTTGGCTAAAACTGTTACCTTGCAACCTTTCTGCAGAAGCTGTAATGCTGACGTCATGCTTACGACTCCGCCCCCAATCACCAACACGCGTGGAGCGCGCGAAGACCTCTGTACAAGACAGGACTTTAGTTAAAGCAAAATTTACACAGGAAAAATGCTAGATGGAAAATCAATTCCGCAGAAGAGACGGAAATATTAAGATGGGTATTGATGAAAATAAAATGACGTTTTCATCTATCCTTTGAATAATTTGATACTTGTTAACAGAGAGACGTAAATTATAGCGATTAAAAGGAGAAATGTTTCCAGGAGAACTCGTTTTGTTTCATTTTTCTGTATAGATAAAATTGTTTGATTTTTAAAAATAAATTTTCATTTTCCGTTTATGTGTTGTACGTCATGAAGGTAATAGGAGTACAAGTTTTTATGTGCACAACGCTCAAGCTGACGAAAAAGTGTGACACTCACTTTATAACCTAAGAATTAAGACGAGTACAGAAATTTCTGAAATGGCAAAAGCCAGTTTTACCTTAGTGGATCGAGAACCTGAGGTTTTTGACTGTGGAAACTGTATCGGCATTCTCAATAGTTGTTTAAAAGCCCTCCACTCCAATATTCTTCAGCGTCGAGTACTTATTGACTTGTTCATAACCAATAGCAATAAACAGATGAACCCGAACATGCTCTGAATTCGCATTTATATTTCTAGGGTCGAAAAAACACGTGCAGATCTACATGCTTTGTATATAGCCATGCATGCAGTGCCTTAAGATTCCTAGATGCCAAGGATCCTTACCTATCGAAAGGGTTTTTTTCTTCTTTTAATTTCAATATCAATGTCAAGTCACGTTCTTGCGTGCGATAAAGCATGGATAAGATCAACCGTAACGTATCAGCTTTGATTTCTCGAGCGGCAGCTTCAGTCAAGCATGTCTTTAAAAGATACAGCTTTGCAATCATTTATTTTGATCACTTGTCAACATCAAAGTGAGAAAATTATGCTTTTTTAAACTTACCCAGAAAAATCAAAACAAGGAATGACTATTCACCGTTTTGCTCTCCTGTTTAACCAAGCGTGACCTATCGTACCACAATTTTCCGTTTACGTGTCTGGCTGAGATCTAAGAACTGACTGTTTGATTAACGGTTCACCAGGTCGAGCTATATCATTTTTAAATCAATGCACGGTAAAGTACAAAGGTAACTAAAAATAAACGTTACTAAAGATACAATAAAAGATTCTTACGGTAAGAGTAGAAATCTAAAAAATTAGTTTTCAAGAAAACAGCTGCATGTCAATTGAGTCCGACTCTCTTCAACTGTTGCCCCCTTCCGATCCTGAAGTGAAGTTGGAGCTGCACGTCAGTGATACAAAACAAATTATAAAATTTATTGAATTTGAGAAAATACTAACTGAGCAATTTTGTGATTATCGGTATTTTCGTCGAAAAGAAAATCAAATCATCCTTGAATAAGATTTAATGACAGAGATTTCAAGGCCGAGTGGATTGAAAGCAATGTTTTCGCGGAATATGTCTAAATTGGCTCATTCAACCTAATACTCACAGTTATATCTCTTCGGTAAGCATTTTATAATTCGAATTTTTTCTGTGTTTTCAGGCTGTTCTCACCTCTCTCAATTACTTAGAGCGGCCAAACGATTCACCTCAATTTTGCTTTCAGCGTGAAAAAAAACTTGTCAGCCATTCTAAAGAAAATGTGTTATGGTATTAGGCACACACCATTCAAAAAGCTCCATGAGTGCCTAAACCTAATACGACAGGGGAATATTCTGGTAAAACTACGGAGTTGAACATTATAAACTCACTCCCCGTGTTTCATGTCATGCAGATCTCAGACACGTTCAGTAGTGTATTTTTAATTATTTGGCGCAGTATCAAAGATGACCGCTGGTATCACTTCACCTCCTCGACATTTTTTGAGTTGACGCAGGTTCCAAACTGGGCTGCGTTGTTCAAAGCACGATTAGGCTAACCGAGGACTGAATAGCCAAAAATGTTTCGATTTGGTTTGGTAGCTTTGCAGAAAGTTTTAATGTTTATACATTTTCCCTCAGGTCCGTCTTACGCTAAGGTACAATCCTCAAAACGTGGGCCCCAATATACTCTTTATTTCCAAAGGGATCAAGGACAAGTTTTCAAGGTTGTTGTATGGCTTTCAACTTCCTTAGCTTCAAAATGTTGCATTTAGCGCAATTTTCCTGTTTTCGCAATGGTAAATTTTGACAATGAAAGAGAACAAGGAAAAGAGGCGGAAGAGGTGAAAATTTCTTTCCTCTTGATTTCGGGCGTCAGAAAGGGTGATATAGCATGATAAATCAGAAACTGGCTCTTGTCAAAATAAATTTTTTGAACCATCATGATCACGCACAGAGGAATGACCCAAAGCCAGACAAGACCAAGTGATTAAATTTTCTTGGCTCACATTAAAACAAAACGTCGTAAAATTTTAAAATACTTATAAATAAGTATTTCCGTTTTATCCAGGGTGGTTATATTGAGCTCCACCTCTCAAAGATTGTCAGCCGTTGTTTCTAGGAAATCTCGGAAAAAATTCCAATCATATGAGCAGGAACACGACTTCTGTTCGAACTGAATCAAACAGATCGCTCATTTAACTCATTCGAAGGCGGTCAGGAAAAATATTTTGTGGATACCATGGGATGTATTGCCCATCATGATGTATTTTATTTCATATTTTTTCGTCCTTTTGACCAATCAATTTCGTCGTATCTCATCATTTTCGGTATGTGACGTGCTCCTACGGAAAAATTCTTCTTAGTCATTTTCCTGTTACGTGTTTGAATGAAAACATTACAGTTTGAACGTGATCTTCGTAAGTGCAAGTTCCATTAATAAAAGCACATAAGCGGAAAAATTTAATATTACGAAATATTTTTCTTTTAACATTGTATGCCAACGAAGATGAAACAAGAGTTGGTGCGGGTTATGAACAGAAGTCAGTTTAATGCTGGTGTATAAATTTGTTCCAAAATGATTTAGTGTGTTCTTTCGGAAGTTGCTAGAAAGTGAACAAAAACCAGTGAATTTTTCCAGTTTTTATTGTAAAGTCACAGATGTGTGTAAGTTAATTACGTCAATATAATTAACTTAAGAAACAAAACATTTTAATAGAGTTTATGTTCGCGGGCATAAATATATTTTGGGCCCGAATCAGAGTCATTTTAGTACTTTGTAGGGCATTGATAAAATAAACATTTAAAAAAATGACAACAAAACGATCTGAACAATCACACGAGCGTGCAAGCGGCATCAAATACATTTCAGCCCGCCAAAAACTCCATTTAAGTCCACAAAGTGCTCTACAATGCCCGACAAAGTGCTAATAAGTCCCCATTTTGATCGTTTCATAATTCTTTTAAATAATTCAGAATTTGATGTTTCATCATGACCAAACCCTCCACTTGATATACCTAACTAACTACTGTTCACCGAAGGGAAGGTGACTTGTTGGGGATACATTAACCGAGGGGCAAAGCGGTGATGGATATCCACCGCTTCTTAGCTGTTTTCGTGAACACTTAGATAGTGAAATAATAGGACATTAAAAGATGATTTCAACTCATTTATTCCTGCAACGATTGAAATATTTTCAGGCGAAAACTTTGTTCCGTGCGAGTTGCTCGTAAGGTGAATAGCAAAGGATCGTCGGAGCATGATCAGAAGCCAATCAAAGCCCTCTACGCTATCCACTGTTTAAGTATATCTAAAATTTAAATATTCCCATAATCTGCATGCTAAGTTATGTTTGAAATTGTGAACAGGAGTTACATGTTGATCAATTCTGACAGTTCGAGTCGTAATGGAACTCTTTGGGGTCTGCTCCGGCCATGCGGCAAAATAAAGAAATAAATAATTTACCAAAAATAACCTTTATCCAATATTCGCTTCGCACACTATTTCATACAGTATAATACAAATTTCATTTAAATAATAATATAACTTTTGTCTTTCTTTGATAAATAAAATATACAATGCACAAGTAACATTCTCGATTCATTCAATAGCCTCCGATCACACAGCTGATTCAAGACCTGTCTCCTACAAGGAGTTCAAAATGAGCTCATAAATTAAGAAAACAGGAAAAAGTGAAAAAAGATTAAAGCTTTGAAAGATAAATCTGTGGCCTTTTAAAAACACGATGTACCATAGCACTGGCTTCAATAGCGCAGCCCCATGAAAAAGTCACATCCGAGCCACCATAGTTGTGCAGAAGACAAGGACACACAGGATCCCACTCCAGACGAACGTTACCATGGCGAGCAGGACGCAGGCCTACCAACACCTCCTCTACATCATCGTTGAGTTCATAGCGAACTCCATGAACTTGGCATAGCCATTCATGCACCAAACCTTGGCTCTCTCCAGTGACTTTTTGTTTGTGTGTCGCCCACAGACCGCTGGAGGCCACTCCCACAGAACGCAAGCGATCTCAGAAGTGATACGTTTACCGGAGGAGACTAGGGAGGCGTACTCCTTTGCTAAAACTGTCACTTTGTACCTAAAACGAGGGTGATATTTATGAAAAAAATAAGACTGGGCGCCAACAAATGATCTAATAACGTCTAAACCTTTATGTTTCTCCTTATTTTTCTTCGCTTCTTTCTAAACTTTTTTTTTAATAGAAAAACACGCTAGCCCTTGAAAAATTCGCATCGAAAAATTCGCGTGAATTAAAAAATTCCGCGTGACGTCAATATTCCTGAGGAATCTACCATGACTAGGCAACATGTACCGACGCAGACAAACTCATACAATAGCCAAAGGTCACGTTTACTGTACACACATTAAAAAAAAATTGAAAAAAAGGGTCAACAAGTACATGTACGCTGTTTCTTGTGGGAGAGGGGTTTAGTTCTATCGGAGGTATTTTGATTCAAGTCATATATAAAGCTGCTGTTGTTGTTGTTTTTTTTTGGGGGGGGGGGGAGGAGGAAGGGGAGAGAGGGGACTGTTTGACAGCTAAAATCTTTAAAGCCGCACGTATCTGTTAAGCAGTACGTGACTTTTTCGCAAAGAAGCCTTAGGGACTACCGACACATTGACGACTAAGTCTCTCTGGATTGGGGACGAAATTATCATCTATGTATATTCTCTCGATATGTCATTTTCACTCAAAAATTCTCAGAAAACGTTAATTTGAGAACGTGACTTACTGACAGACCCGTCATTTCCCCGTTGACTCACCGAAGACGCTACTCGATCGCCCGTAGCAACAGACTTCTTGTCACACAATACACCGGTCACGTATTTATGCATTACGCATGACACTGGGCACATAGCACGAACGTTGCGTGATAACCTGGAGCAAAGGCTGTCCGGCTGCGACAACTTTCCGGACAATGAGTTTTTAGTATTCCTGTGTTGGGAAAAGATTTTGAGGGGCGTAATGAAAATGCCTATCAAGTTTGAGGTAAATTTGATCTAAGATGGCTCGCAATCAAATCGTTAGATACAGCTCGTTTTGCCTCAATGAATCTGGCCCATATCGATCAATAGAAAACGTGTCGTCAAACTGCTAATTTAAATCATCGGAAGTAAACCCACCCAACAAGAGGCGGTGAGTCAAACGACCTTAAATTGACATATCAGGTATACTCGACTCAGAGCGAACGATCACTAGGTTTGCTTTATAGCGTCAAAAGGAGTTTGCTGTTCTTCTGTGGAGACTAGACAAAAATACATAAGTTGGTAAACTGTTACAGGTCATGAGTTCATTTTCGTGTGTAACGCTCGAAAATAAAAAGAAAAAGAAAACTAGCATTTTACTGGAAGAAAACGTAAAAAAACCGCCTCCACCATGTGCATTTCCGAATTCTCATCACTAATCAGATAGAAGTTACTGATACATGAACACGCAAGTGATAAAATGTAGGTGCGTGGGCCCAGTTTGATTTGATTAATTAAGTATGCTTCTCGAAAATCTGTTGTTAGTGGATTGATTAGATGCCAACAGTGGAGCAAAAAAATCAATTGCCAGCTTGCGTACAGCCTAGCCGATCGTATAAGGCAAAACCAAAATCTCTTGTACTTTTTACACTGTTGGGTTAGCAAAAAAACGCGTTCCTGACTTGAAGAATTAAAAATGAAAAAATTTATAATCAAATTAAGCACCACACAAACGTTATTTTAAATCTAAAGACCTGGTTTAAAATTTTTATGGGGCATACAGTGCTACCAATTTAGGGTTTTCATCACTATTTAGACTGAATTTTTTTGCTTCATTTTATTCTTCATTTACTGCTTCACTTTTTCTTCTCGTGCCAACAAATCTCTTAAGTCATCATTTTTTTGTAGTCATTGCTGTTGTTCTCCAAGGAATCAAAATTGTTGGATATTGTTTAGTTCTTTAACGCGTAATATTCTGTCCAATTTTACACGGCTTTTCATTCGTGAGTGTTTTGATATATTATAAACAAAGTCGCAAACCTATAGACTCAAAAGCGGATAATTGTTATATTGTAAGTGGCTCCGTGTTCGGGCGTGAAAATGCTTTAATGTTTTAGTTGTGATAACACTCACGTCACTCGGTGGCAATGGTAAAGATGTCAAAATAATTTAAGATTTTTTGAAAGGACAACAATAAAGAGTGAATGAAGTTTCCTTGTATATCCGAACTGTTAATTTTCTTTTATTAAGGTAGGTAAAAAAAAAAGGTACACGCAACGTGTACCTTTTTTGCGAACGATAGATTGCCGGAGGAAAAATCTATGGACACGTTTTGCCGTCAATCAGCCGGAAATTTATCACTCAATCACGAATCAATTTGTTCTGTTTTTGGCTCAAGTCACCAACTTCAACTTAAAAGCTTTGAATAGTTTGCACTCTCGATGTGATCTTGTTCGGTATTTTCCTTCTTTTAAAGGGTCTAAGGCTGTATAAAGTGGAATGAAAAATAAAAATTTTAAGCAAAAGAACTCGTTTCTGACACTATAAGTAATACTTGATTACGTAACTTGCAATCCGTGACCTATGTGCTGTGTATGTCAGTCACGTTCTTCCACTGCGTTTGCTTAGAAGTTTGTGAGAGGAAGTACATTTCAGCCCGCCAAACTCTCCATTTAAGTCCACAAAGTGCTCTACAATGCCCGACAAAGTGATAATAGGTCCCCATTTTGATCGTTACATTATTCTTTTAAATAATTCAGAATTTGATGTTTCATCATGACCAAACCCTCCACTTGATATACCTAACTAACTACTGTTCACCGAAGGGCAGGTGACTTGTTGGGGATACATTAACTGAGGCGCAAAGCGGTGATGTATATCCACCGCTTCTTAGCTGTTTTCGTGAACACTTAGATAGTGAAATAATAGGACACCAAAAGATGATTTCAACTCATTTATTCCTGCAACGATTGAAATATTTTCAGGTGCAAATTCCGTGCGGATCGTCGGAGTATCAGAAGCCAATCAAGGCCCTCCACGCGATCCACTGTTTATCGATAAATATATCTAAAATTTAAATATTCCCATAATCTGCATGCTAACTTATATTTAAAATTGTGCTCAGGAGTTACATGTTGATCAATTCCGACAGTTCGAGTCTTAATGGAACTCATTGGGGTCTGCTCCGGCCATGCGGCAAAATAAAGAAATAAATAATTTACAAAAAATAATCTTTATTCAATATTCGCTTCGCACACTATTTCATACAGTATTATACAAATTTCGTTTAAATAATAATATAACTTTTGTTTTTTTTTTTTGATAAATAAAATGTTCAATGCACAAGTAACATTCTCAATTCATTCAATAGCCTTCGATCACACAGCTGATTCAAGACCTGTCTCCTACAAGGAGTTCAAAATGAGCTCATAAATTACGAAAACAGGAAAAGGTGAAAAAAGGTTAAAGCTTTGACAGGTAAATCTGTGGTCTTTTAAAAACACGATCCACCATAGCACTGGCTTCAATAGCACAGCCCCATGAGAAAGTCACACCCGAGCCCCCATGTCCATAGTTGTGCAGAAGAGAAGGACACACAGGATCCCACTCCAGACGAACGTTACCATGGCGAGCAGGACGCAGGCCTACCAAAACTTCTTCTACATCATCGTCTCCATAGTTACGAAGAGGTGGATAGAACTCCTTTACTTTCTCAAACATCTTTCTGATTGGTGGATAATCGAGCGTCAGATCTCTGTCCCACTGATGAGGTTGTACCATTCCACCCAGCCACAATTTGTCGTCACCTCTCGGTAGAATGAACACGAAGCTTTGTCCTTCTTTATCTGACTCGTCGAACTCCTTGATTATAGAGATGCACATGGAGTGATTGAGTTTTGGCATCAAACTTCCGTCGTTTCTCACTTTAAGAATCACTCCTGGAATGCAAAATGGAAAGAGAGATCGGTAATCAAGGCCAACTCAATTCTTGTCTGTTACAATCGGCCCACATAGGATGCCCAACATATATGATTTAGTAGGACATACACAAGTTATTTACCTCTTAGGGGATAGACATCTTCATCTCCTGCCAGTTCTTTGGCGCTAAGTCCAGAGCAGTTGAATATCAGCTGAGCTTTGTATTTCTTTTTCAAGTCTTCTGCCTGATCTCTCAACAATCCGTGAATCTCATCGTGTACAAAGCGACAGCCTTTGTCACGACACTGTTTATAAAGCCACTGCATGTAGGTGACTGTGTCAACCATGGGAGCCATATGTTGATATGCGTCCACAACACCAGTGTCTGTGTTCACACCTGAAGGAGAAGAAATTAGCAATATTCCTTATTTATTTAGCTGTCAATTGGAGAGCTTCGTAGTTAGCGAAGCGTTCAAACGGAATCCTTTTTCTCAGTGTGGACGCTTTTCAGCGAAGATTATTCATTGTTCAGCAAAATATTGAAAAGGGGAAAGCCCCTTTTTTTTTCTTTTTTACTATGATCAAACTTACCAGTTTCTTCGATGAGTTTGGCGTCATGACGGAATCCTGGCAAATGATTCAGTTCGTTCATCTTTTCCAACTGTTGAGGAAGATTGTTCACCTGAAGAAAGAAAGAGCAAGAGTTTGGTGTTAAATTGAAAACTTTTTTGACATTTGAGAGATAAATTCAATACTACAGATGACTTACAGGACACAAGACAAAACGATTACCCCGATAAAATGTTCTGCAAATGAAGAATTACCTTGTCTTTAAAGTAGAAGATAGATTGTCTGAGGAAAGCTCCAGTTTCCTTTGAGTTCATAGCCAACTCCATGAACTTGGCATAGCCATCCATGCACCAAACCTTGGCTCTCTCCAGTGACTTTTCGTTTGTGTGTCGCCCACAGACCGCTGGAGGCCACTCCCACAGAGCGCCAGCGATCTCAGAAGTGATACGTTTACCGGAGGAGACTGGGGAGGCGTACTCCTTCGCTAAGACTGTCACTTTGTACCTAAAACAAGGGTGATATTTGAGGGACAAATGAGACTGGGCACCAACAAATGATCTAAGACGTCAAAACCTTTATGTTTCTCTCGATTTTTTTTCGCTTCTTTCCAAACTTTTTTTCATATATAGAAAAATAAGTCAGTGACAAACTTACCCTTTATTCAACAACTGTAAAGCACTGGTCATTCCAACAACTCCGCCACCAATAATCAATACACGAGGAGCTTTCTGAGCGTTCTAGGATGAAACGAAAAAAGTATGTTCAGTTCCTCTATGTGTAAGTTGTTCCTTTCTTTCATAAATTTTTCCCTCACTATATTTCAAGTTGTAATTTGAGTTTTTCCAAGTCGGTATTAAGCTGTCTCTCAGTTTTCGCTATCTTGTCAGTGTCGGAAACTTTACTGAGAACCAACAATCACAAATGACACTGAAAGCTTGATTAAAATATTTTCCATTGTGAGTTAACAAGATTAAGAATTCTTACTTTTAGTTTTTTGGAGATGTCCAAGGTTGTTCCAAACTGTAAAACAGGCATGTTTTCGGTGGAAATTTAGTCTTCAAGCCCTTATAGTTCTGTTCCTTGAGTCTTCAAGCCCTTATAGTTCTGTTCCGTGAGTCTTCAAGCTGATCTGATTCACTTGCAAATGTATTCTCCGTTTTATAGACATGTCACACAAGGGGGCATCGAAAAATTCGGAAATAGAACAATCCTTTCTCTTTGAACGCGTGACGTCAATATGCATGACTGGGCAACATGTGCTGACGCAGACAAACTCATATAATAGGCAAAGTCACGTTTACTGTACACACATTAAAAAAAGTTGGAAAAAAAGGTCAAAAAGTACATGTATCGATGTAAGCTGTTTCTTGTGGGAAAGAGGTTCGGTGTCTATCGGAGGTATTTTGAATTAAGTTATATATAAAGCTGTTGCTGTTGTTTTTTCTTTTTAAGGGGGGGGAAGGGGAGAGAGGGGACTGTCTGACAGCTAAAATCTTCAAAGCCGCACGTATCTGTTAAGCAATACGTGACTTTTTCGTAAAGAAGCCTTAGGTGACTACCGACACATTAACGACTCAGTCTCTCTGGATTGGGGACGAAATTATCATCTATGTATATTCTCTCGATATGTCATTTTCACTCAAAAATTCTCAGAAAACGTTAATTTGAGAACGTGACTTACTGACAGACCCGTCATTTCCACGTGGACTCCTCGAAGACGCTATTCGCCCATAGCAACAGACTTGTTGTCACACAATACACCGGTCACGTATTTATGCATTACGCATGACATTAGGCACCTAGCACGAACGTTGCGTGATAACCTGGAGCAAAGGCTGTCCGGCTGCGACAGCTTTCCGGACAATGAGTTTTTAGTATTCCTGTGTTGGGAAAAGATTTCGAGGGATGCAATCAAAATGCCTATCAAGTTTGAGGCAAATTTGATTTAAGATGGCTCGCAATCAAACCGTTAGATACAGCACGCTTTGCCTCAATGAATCTGGCCCATATCGATCAATAGAAAACGTGTCGTCAAACTGCTAATTTAAATCATCGGAAGTAAATCCATTTAACAAGGGGCGGTGAGTCCAACGACCTTAAATTGGCATATCAGTTATACTCAACTTAGAGCGAACGATCACTAGGTTTACTTTATAGCGTCAAAAGGAGTTTGCTGTTCTTCTGTGGAGACTAGACGAAAAAACATAAGTTGGTAAACTGTTACAGGTAATGAGTTCATTTCCGTGTGTAACGCTCGAAAATAAAAAGAAAAAGAAAAATAGAAAAATATCTTTACTGTAAGAAAACGTAAAAAAACCGCCTCCATCATGTGCATTTCCGAATTCTCATCACTAATCAGATAGAAGATACTGATACATGAACGCGCAAGTGATAAAATGTAGGTGCGTGGGCCCAGTTTGAACGGGGGCTTATTAATTAAGTATGTTTCTTGAAAATCTGTTGTTAGCGGATTGATTGGATGCCAACAGTGCAGCAAACAATCAATTGGTTTATTGCCAGCTTGCGTACAGCCTAGCCCATTGTATAAGGCAAAACCAAAATCTCTTGTACTTTTTAGACCGTTGGGTTAGCAAAAAAACGCGTTCGTGACTTGAAGAATATAAGGATTAAAATGAAATTATACTCAAATTAAGCACCACGCAAAAGTTATTTTAAATCTAAAGACCTGGTTTAAAATTTTAATGGGGCATACAGTGCTACCAATTTAGGATTTTCATCACTATTTAGTCTGAATTTTTTTCTACATTTTATTCGTCATTTACTGCTTCATTTTTTTTTTCTCCTACAAATCTCTTAAGTCGTCATTGCCGTTGTAGTCATTGCTATTGTCCTCCAAGGAATCAAAATTGTTGGATATTGTTTGGTTCCTTAAGGCGTAATATTCTGTCCAATTTTGCTCGGCTTTTCATGCGTGAGTGTTTTGTTATATTATAGTCTTGGTTCTCTGACAAGAGCATAGTCGCAAACCTATAGACTCAAAAGCGGATAATTGTTATATTGTAAGTGGCTCCGTGTTCGGGCGTGAAAACAGGTAGCATTTGGAAAGATTTGAAACTACGTCAGAGTCTTAACTTAACAGCAAAGACAAATATTCTGACTCTTTTAGCTGGACCAACCTGGGTCTCAATTGGAATTACCTGAAAAGCTTTTCGGTCCCTGAATTAAGTTACGGCTTTTTCAAATTGTTAAAAAAATTGTGTTCTAAGCTATTCGCTACTCCATGCTGAGAGCTACACAGCTACCCAACTCGGGGCCATTTGCTAAAGGAAGGAAGACGTAACGCATGCAAAAATAAAACATAGATCAGAATGCCACGTTAATTAATATCAGGATGTTCCAATGAGCTATTTCTCTTACAATCAGAATATTAAACGTCACATATAGCGATTGAGGAATTTATCCAATCTCTTAGAGACAGAAAAAAATAAGAACATCAAACTGCTTTGTCATTTATATGAGGCAAGTTAAGCTGTGATAACACTCACGTCACCCGGTGACAATAGTATGTAAAGATGTCAAAATAATTAAAGATTTTTTGAAAGGACAACAACAAAGAGTGAATAAAGTTTCCTTGTATATCCGGACTGTTAATTTTTTTTTTTAGGGTAGAAAAAAAAATACGCAATGTGTACCTTTTTGCGAACGATAGATTGCCGGAGGAAAAATCTATGGACACGTTTTGCCGTCAATCAGCCGGAAATTTATCACTCAATCACGAATACTAAATCAATTTGTTCTGCTTTTGGCTCAAGTCACCAACTTCAACTTAAAAGCTTTGAATAGTTTGAACTCTCGATGTGATCTTGTTCGGTACTTTCCTTCTTTTAAAGGGTCTAAGGCCGTATAAATTGGAATGAAAATCAAAAATTTTAAGCAAAAGAACTCGTTTCTGACGTTGTAGGTAATACTTGATTACGTGACTTGCAATCCGTGACCTCTGTGCTGTGTGACTGTCACGTCTGTTGCCATGGACGCGGCAATTAGGAAAAACCGGCCAGTCGGTCAGTCACGTTCTTCCACTGCGTTTGCTTAGCAGTTTGTGAGAGGAAATAATGCATCGGATATAGAGATAAACATTTTATCATCCATCAAGTGGGGATTAATTGTCAAACTGTCCAAGACATGCTTTGAGGGAAACTCACGTATTGACGGAATACGTGTGGATTCGCCGATTTTGGCTAACATGAATTTCGCAAATACAAACACGTTATGTACATCATCTATGATTTGATCAGAAGAATCTGTCATCTAAAGCGACTTAAAATTGCGCCCAGATGTTAACGAGCGCGAAAAAACGATAGAGGTAATTTTTCCTTGATGAACGTGACTGTCGCGTAAATTAGTTTGCGTCAGTTCGGTACATGTTGCCTCGTCAAATATTCCTCATGAACCATTGACGTCAGTCATTAAGGAAGGACAATTGTCCTATTTCCGAATTTTTAATATCACCTTGTTTGAAATGGCTATAAAATGGGAAAAATGTTGGCAAAAGGGACAACATTAGCTTGAAGACTCTAGAAAACAGAAAGCACTGAAGACATACCTGAGAAGTAATCTTAACTTCTAGGAGCAACCTTTAAGACTATGGCTCTCCAGTTTGGAAGAACTTTAGACAACACAAGGAAACTCAAGGTAAGGATTCTAACATATGAGCACGAATTTACGGGAAAAAAGATGAATTACCTGTATGTGATCTGATTTTTTCGAGGAACTGTTTTGTATTAGGGTAAATGATTGTTCTTAGTCAATACTCGATAAAAATGAAGAAAATTTAGGAGAACATATCAGATTAATACTTTTTACATTGAAAATGCACATCAACCACCGAGACATCCCGCCCTGACGGAGATAAAGAAAGAAACTATTTTCTGAATTTTCTCCCTTGGATTCTAGAACTCTCAGAAAGCTCCTCGTGTGTTAATTATTGGAGGCGGAGTTGTTGGAATGACCAGTGCTCTGCAGTTGTTGAATAAAGGGTAAGTTGAAAATTAGACTAAATTTTTTCCGGCTATTAAAAGATTATACAAGATCAGCGACAAAAGCGGAAAGTGAAAGCCCAATCATGCGAGGCACATGCGACATTTCCGCGAACTTTTGCGGCTTTCATGTTACGAAAGCTTGGTTCCTGATTTTTCGGCAAAAACGCGACAAAATTTGTCCCTGCAGCCATCACTGACAACATGAAGCACAGTGCTCAGAATAAGAAAAATATTTATAAATGCTACTGGCTTTGTGCAATTCGCACAGCTATTTAGGATGATTTCTAAGATCTCAAAACAGGCTGGTGAATACGGCTACAGCTAATTTTCAAGTGGAAAAAAGCCAGCGTTCAAATCCGATTACGAAATACTGCCATTCCATTTCTTGCAAAGTATTCTCATAGTGGAAAAAAATGAAGTAAATCCACATTTTATACAAACAGAATTTGGTTTTAAACCTGTCCACTCTTAGACAGTAAATAGGGACGATTCTTTAGGCGGCTTTTTTTAAATAAAGATGCAATGAAAATCTTCTTTAATGTTGTTAAATCATTCATCGTTCATAGGTACAAAGTGACAGTTTTAGCAAAGGAGTACGCCTCCCCAGTCTCCTCTGGTAAACGCATCACTTCTGAGATCGCTGGCGCTCTATGGGAGTGGCCTCCAGCGGTCTGTGGGCGACACACAAATGAAAAGTCACTGGAGAGAGCCAAGGTTTGGTGCATGGATGGCTATGCCAAGTTCATGGAGTTGGCTATGAACTCGAAGGAAACTGGAGCTTTCCTCAGACAATCTATATTCTACTTTAAGGACAAGGTAACTCCACATTTGCCGCATATTCTTATCCGTCGTATCGTCTTGTTATTATTGTTACTATTAGACTCTGATAAATCTGAATAGTTCTCTCGATCTTACTCTTTCTCTCTCTTTCTTTAGGTGAATAATCTGCCTCAACAGTTAGAAAAGATGAATGAGCTCAATCATTTGCCAGGATTTCGCCATGACGTCAAACTCATCGATGAAACTGGTAAGTTAGATCATAGCAAACATTCTCTCACTGTTCTCAATCTTTTTTTTCAAACGAAGTAGATATGCAAGGCATCTAAACAGACCATTTAATTAATCGGGCGCTTTTTTTCTCCTTCAGGTGTGAACACAGACACTGGTGTTGTGGACGCATATCAACATATGGCTCCCATGGTTGACACAGTCACCTACATGCAGTGGCTTTACAAACAGTGTCGTGACAAAGGCTGTCGCTTTGTACACGATGAGATTCACGGATTGTTGAGGGATCAGGCAGAAGACTTGAAAAAGAAATACAAAGCTCAGCTGATCTTCAACTGCTCTGGACTTAGCGCCAAAGAACTGGCAGGAGACGAAGATGTCTACCCCCTAAGAGGTAAATAACTTGTGTATGTCCTACTAAATCATATATGTTGGGCATCCTATGTGGGCCGATTGTAATTGATAAGAATTGGGTTTTGGCCTCGATTACTGATAACTCTTTACATTTTGTCATTCCAGGGGTGATTCTTAAAGTGAGAAACGACGGAAGTTTGATGCCAAAACTCAATCACTCCATGTGCATCTCTATAATCAAGGAGTTCGACGAGTCAGATAAGGAAGGACAAAGCTTCGTGTTCATTCTGCCGAGAGGTGACGACAAATTGTGGCTGGGTGGAATGGTACAACCTCATCAGTGGGACAGAGATCTGACACTTGATTATCCACCAATCAGAAAGATGTTTGAGAAAGTAAAGGAGTTCTATCCACCCCTCCGTAACTATGGAGACGATGATGTAGAGGAAGTGTTGGTAGGCCTGCGTCCTGCTCGCCATGGTAACGTTCGTCTGGAGTGGGATCCTGTGTGTCCTTCTCTTCTGCACAACTATGGACATGGGGGCTCGGGTGTGACTTTCTCATGGGGCTGTGCTATTGAAGCCAGTGCTATGGTGGATCGTGTTTTTAAAAGACCACAGATTTATCTTTCAAAGCTTTGAACCTTTTTTCCATCTTTTTCTGTTTTTGTAATTTATGACCTCATTTTAAACTCCTTGTTGTAGACATGTCTTGAATCACCTGAATGAATTGAAAATTTTACTTGTGCATTGTACATTTTCTTTATCAATTTATTATCTTCAAAGCTTTGAAAATATGTTATCTCAAGAGCGGATAGGCCACGAGTGATGACTGAATTAGCTTTGAGATAAGAGTGTTTTGACTGAATAGAGAAATTCGTGTGTACATTGTATATTTAACAGAATAATTTATAGAATAATTATAAATATGACAATTTCAAAGAAATTTGTAATATATTTTTTATTGTGGAATTGGAAGCAAATATTTAATAAAAGTCATTATAATTGAAAATATATCTTGCTTGTATTTGATACCTGAATAAGGTCCACTGAAACCGATTGAACTTTTAACTCTCTTAGAGTTTGTTAAAAATTAGGGCCTTTCCTTCCAGTTTTAATCCATCATCCAGAAAAACAGACAATGGGAGTTGATTCTCAGCTGGAGGATGTCCTTATGAGAGAACACCAACCCCTTTCAGCCCAGTTCAAAAGGAAATGTGCTGTCAACCGAATGGAGAATTAGTCAGCTTCAGATCTTGGGAGTAGCTGTCCATTCTTAAAACCACATAGTAGAGGTCGGTCCGGTAACTAAGACTGAGACGGCCAAAAAAGTTTAATTATAGAAGTGAAGTATAACTTTAGTTCGATGAAGTCTTTCAAATTGGGTCGTTTGCTTCCAATATAAAGGGAAGTGATATCTTTAGAACAAAGAAAGACTTAAGGCACATACCCCTGATGAAAATCTTGTCACTTCTTATTTACTCTTAGAAAGCTGTTCGTAGTTTACCATGACAATGCATTAACTCAGAAAATCTGAGGGTACATGATTCTCGATATCTCTTCCACACACTGTAATCGACGTACAACTCTTCTGGGCAGCTTCTTGGATAAATTAGGATATTTTTTCACTCACACGCGCAGCACAAGAGTGTTAACTTGGGTGACAAAGAATGCTTCGATGGAACCCAAAATTTCCCCTGCAAATCTTCTTCGAATGAATAAGAGGTAAATACGAAGCATTTATCTTTGGAGTTTAGTGCTATCCACTCACAGTTAATACCGGACGTCGCACCTTGGTAACTTTTGTTTGAGTCCTAGAACATCTAATGTGGTGATGCTCCTACAATTTAGAATCTCTAATTCTCTGAGATCCGTCAAGTTCCGCGAGATAAGAATCAGTGTCTTATTGGTTACATGGGGACAGTTTAGAATGTGCAATATTTGCAACCAGCGGCAGCGCAAAATTATCCTCTCTAACCCTTGAGATGTACAGTCACGACAATCGCCGAGATAGAGGTCGGTTATAAAAGGTATATTTTCGCCAATAGCAATCAAATAATTGTCCTTCATTCTTCCTGAATATAATTTGAATCGTCTCAACTTTTGACATGTTTCTGCGATGGTGGGAATAAAACCACCATGGATGTTGTATGGATTAAAACAATGCTCTCCAACAATGAGAGTTTGTAAGTTCGGGCTTTTCTCGGCAATCTTCGCGACGCCGATGTCGGAAATAGATGTGTCGATCAGTTTAAGGTATGACAGATTAGGAAAAGGTTTAAGGTCTTCCGGTGAGAGAGTAAGAACATCTGTGATGCTGTAAAGACGTTCCAGGTGTACTTTTGACAAGGTTAAATGGCAAATTTGGAACACGGCACGAACTCCGCGGTCTGAAATCTGATGACATTCCCGAACAGTGAGAGACTTGAGATTTGGACAGCAAAACGGAAGTGCAAATAAAGCATCATCAGTGATGAAACAACACCACGTAAGATCAATGGCTGTCAACCCTGGGAAACAAGTGCATAGCCTCCACAGCGAAAGGTCATCTACCACTGGTTCGCCCTCGTCAAACGGGATAACATCATGAATGGAGATTGCTTTTAAATCTTTCACACTACTACACACAGACACTATCATACGATGGCAATTTCCTCTACTCCCCAACTTAACATCCTCTAAGTTTGGGCACTGCTTTAAAAATCTCTCAAAACCTTGTTCCGACACTCCGCTAAGAAAAACGTTTAGCTTCTTTAAGCGCTTGCAGTTTGAGGCTATCGCGTTCATTCCTGTGTCGGATACTTGGAAGCAGCCTTCCACGTTTAAGTCACGGAGATCCGCACAATTTTGCGCGACTTTTTGAATAACGAGATCTGTAAGCCACCTGCAGTCGCTAACATCCATATGCTGAATAGTCTTACCCCAGGCTGTGATCCAACCTTCCAGGATGGTATTATTGACCTTACTCGATAGGGAGCAGTCCTCACTAAGATTGATACTCCTCCACACGCTGTAGTCCTTCAAAAGGTGGTGCCACCTCCAACATACTCGTCGCAACAAAAGGCGTTCTTTGATCGTAAATTGACAGAATATCTGTAATATTATGGAATCTGGCATATCATGGAGCACAAAAGACGTATGACCTTCATCCATGGGTTTAAAGTAACTCGAATTCAGCTCGCCGTCAAACAAATTGTTGATAATATGTCATGATGACAGCCTCTAAATCATTGGAGATTTCGCTTCTTATTAACGACGTAATAAATGACCCTAAATGCGCGCGCTTTTTGCTAATTAGGGAGTTACAGGTAACAACATTTTGTGATGGTTATGGCAGCTGCAACTGGAGAATATTTCTCTAAGCACTTACTTCAAGTCTTAACCGCATAGTTTGAGATGACAATAAGTGGCCTCCCAATTCAATGGTTGGATCTGCCTTTCCAATCGCTCGCCGTGAAAGAAACGGAGAAACTGAGCAGTTGAGCGCAAGATAAATACTTATTAGGAATCTTTTGTTACAGAGCGATTATAAAAAATAGGGAAGGTCTCACACATTTATTTTAAGGTCCATCGAAATAAATCTTAAACATGTGGAACCACAGATCGCAAGAGTTGTGATGTTAACTTGCCAAATGCGTAATTGCGTTGGTCAATTGATTTCAGCGAAGAGACTGGTACTACACTCATCCAAAACAAACATGGCGGACGAAGAAGAGCATCTTTGGCAAATCTCTTCCTTTGTATTCAATTTTATCTTTAAAGGACTGGTAGCTGTAGCTGTGCTATTTACTGCAACAATTTTGACCAATTTTTTCAGTTACGAAAGGGATAGCCATATATCAAACTTAGTTGATACAAATTTTTGTCGATCTTCGGAATGCCTCCGATGCTCTCACAAGTTAACAAAATCGCCGTCGGAAACAGCTGAACTATTGTTGACAAAACTGGACGAGTTTGCACGGGTAAAATCGGACAAGGGTGAACTTGATCGCCTGTACAAAGCAATCGAATACAACAGGGCACAAAAGAAGGGGAATCATTTCTCATCTGCACAAAAACCCACAGTGTTTTACCTATACGGGTTATCTGGCAGACCTTGGCATGACTGCCTCTCAGATCAACTAACAACTTTGGTCTGCTCCGAGAACTTTGAAATGATACGGTCAGAATTCAACCAAATCCGATTTAACGCAAGTGATGAGGGATGGGTAAAGAATTCAACACCCGAAGGGGACTGGTTAGTATATCACTTGATAAATCAAGGGGAAAGAGTTGTTAACAACTGCAGGAAGTGCCCGCTAAGCGTAAAGATCATCGAATCCGTAGAATTGATTATAAAAGGTTGCTCATTTGGTAATGCATTGTTTTCAGTTGTTCGAGCTGGAACACATATAACTGCTCACTACGGCCCGACAAATTGCAGGATAAGGTGTCATTTGCCTCTTTATGTTCCGAACAATTGTCGCTTGTGTGTGAACGGCCAAGAAAGAATGTGGAATGAAAGAGAACTTTTGCTGTTTGACGATTCTTTTCTACATGAAGCGTGGCACAAAGGCGTGGACGGTGAAAGAGTTGTTCTCATGGTAGACCTATGGCATCCAGAGATCACAGCAGTGGAAAAGGAAGCACTTGCATTCATGTTCCCACCACGTTCACACGTTGTAGACATACCATAACTTTTCCACGTCACAATTGTTGGTTTCATTTAAAATGAAATACCGAAAGGGCCATTAAAAAATTAAGTTTCCATGTTTAAATTAGGAGCATCAATTAATCTGCAACTCTATTTTGGAGTGGTACACTACTGGTTTTCTTTAGTCTTTTAAATGAAGTTTTAACCAGAGGAATTTCCTTTCAAAAGGTCCTACTTTCTCAGTCCCTTTAAGCTGATATTGAGAATACACCTTAGAAAAAAAATTGATGACTGAAATTGTCTCAACCAGAATTTTATTTCTTTGGTATGTAGTGTTTTCCATAGTGTTCCAAGGGGAAAAAAAGACACAATATAGTATATGTTATAATATATGTTTTTTCAATTAGGTATTATGTTTGTTACCTATTTCCACTATAATTATTATTTCCTACTTCAAATAAATTACTCAATCTTTCCCAGGTGCTATATGCATGACTGATTCATTTTAAGAAAATACCAAAAAAGTAAGGCTCAAATCTGTAGTCATGATTAGTAGACAAACATCCTTTTTCATTCTTACCAGTCACAAAGGGAATACTACATGTCGTGGTTCTAATGCCTTATTGATTTAAAAATTTTTCAAAGCACATTACGTATATTGCAATTATGCTAATAAATATAAATCAGAGAAAAATAAAATGAAATTGTTTTCAAAGATGTTAAACTGTTGACACCTAAGAGTGACTAGCATCTAATTTCTTCCTACAATATCACTCTGAATCAAACAGTACGGTCATGGAATAAATGAAATGATCTCCATCTGTAGAAGCTTTTGATTGTTAAACAAATTCTCCTTGTCAGCACCTTAGGAAATGTATAAAGAACAGTATGGAGAATAAGTATACTGATGTTAAGATAGAAAGGGTTAAACCATAATAAAATCATACCATTAACTTCCTGCAAAAAGAGTGGGCTATCTCTGTCCCTCGAAAGTTGTGTTTTTTTCCCAAGGTTAATTCCACCCAAATTACTAAAAACTATGTCACAGCTTTAAAACTCTTTACAGAGGCCAATTTTGTTGTCAACTCTGTTGATGATACTAACTTACCCTGTTACCCATAGATTGGTTACAAAATCAGTTAATACATTACCTATCACTAATAGTTATAACAATATTAGAAACAAAACAGAGGGAAAAAATTGACACAGCTATTTTTCCAACAACAATTATTTGTTTATATTAAGAAAATCAAAGTTTGACAAGACTACACACACAATTTGTAGTATGTTACTTAGTATTATATTACAGTGACTTCTACATCATCTTTGACACCCTGTGCTGCCAGCTCTGCAAGAACATTGTCCAGATAGTTTGGGTCTGGAAAGCCATGTCCCATATGGTTTGAAAATGGTTCTGTTTTGTGGTGGATTTCATTCCAAACAACTGTACCATCTTCTCCAGTTGTCGAGGAAGTACCAATAGTAAAAATTAATCTTCTTTTCCAAGCTTTTTTCAAGAGCTTTAAAACCTGTCCAAAAAAGTTTCAATTTGATTAAATTTGAACTAGTGCTCTCTAAAGACACATTTTGCATTATTTCAGGTCCAGTGTTATATTTCACATGTATACAGACTGCAACAGGGCACATGCATGAATATGTTAGGCAAACTACCTTTTTTCCCTTCTCATTATCTGGCAAGTAACATGTTCGTGGGAATCCTCTTGCACTGTATGTTTTCCCAGGATTAGGATGTTCTGGTCCCTATGATTAACAAAACAATCAATAAAAAATATGGAACAATTTTCAATTGAGTGTCAAAAGTAATTTGGAATGTCTTTGGTTTTTCTTTACTTCATTTGGTGATTCTTCTAAAAAATTTGCTCCACTTTCCCAACCAATCAAAATTAACCTTTTAACTCCCAAGATCTCATTAGTAATTCTCCTAACCATCTGCCATACAGCTCTTGTGATGTTAGTTTGGAGAATTTAATATTGGATCAACTTTTAATCCCCTAATTGATATTTTTCTTTATTCTCATCACTCATCACTTGTCCACTTGATGTTGTATTGACATTATAAGGAAAAATTCTGTGTTAGTCACTCATGGTAGTTAAAGGATTAAAACATCTTGGCCAACTGCATTTTCCTGCATTTCAGGCAGTTGTGATATTTCCCAAGATGACAATGATTATTGAAAATTGGAATTCGATTAAAAGGGTAATACAAACTGTCACAAGGAAAGACCAGATGAATAGACAATCACAGATTAAAAGGGGTAAAATAATAATAGTAAATAATAAATAATAATAATAATAATAATAATAATAATACCTGTATTCCACTGCAGAAGTCATATATAATTGTGATCATTCCACAGTCAGCATGGCCTGGAAGGCTTCTTTGCGAGTAAGTGACATCCATAACACCATCTTCAGGCTGATTACCATGTTTAATGCCGTGAATTGCTTTACAAGTCGGGCACTGCAGACTTCCATCCTATGATTAAAGGTAAAAAAATAATAATAATAAAAAAAACTTACAAGGCATAATTAGTTCTCAGACAACAAATCTAACTGGTTTGGCCACTCTTTATTAGTCTTCAACATTGACCAATTGATCCTTTTGAACACATGAAACAAGCAGAAACAGAAAACCACCTGTGAACAGAACAAATCAAACAATCAAAGACCTCAGAATTTGAAAATAAATAAGATGAGTACTCCAATACTAAATTGACTGCCAATTTTTTTCTGTTACTTAATTATTTTTTTTGGTTCTGTAAATTTGACTTATACCCAGCAATTCACAAAAGAATATCTGCAGGAGCTTTAGCAGGTACTGGGTCTTATTGAAAGCACCAGACATAATTAGGCTTAGTTAGAGAGAGAAAATAAAATGGTATAGAGAGACTATTCCCAATTGTAATTAAAAAACAATGGAGTAAAACTATAAAATGGAAGCACTGTGAGTGATATATCTCCCTATCTTACTTTGGGTCCACTGTCATACATTGCTTGGAGACAAGAGGCATGAAATGCATGTTTGCACTGGCTCAACTCTTTGATATTTGAAGATTGTGCTTTTCCACTGTCTTCAGTTTCGTCGTCAAATGAGGAGACATTGCAGAGCTTTTCAAAACAAATAGCACAATCCTGTAGATAACAAAAAGTAGAAGAAAACCTGTATTACCAAACAAAAAATTAAACTTCAATCCAAAGTAATGATAAGAAAATTGGATTCTACCAAAAATGGATGGGCAAATAGATTGTTGAAAAAATTAACAGCTACACTCTAGTACAACTTATTGTTAAATACCTCATCTGGAGCTGTTGCTAAGTCATTACAGAATTCAGAAAGGGGATCCGCAGCTGTTGCACCAACATCTGGAGAAAGAAGTACAAAACTTTCAAATAACCCCACACCACCTTTAAGTGTCCAAGAAGAGTAGTACTCAAACCCTGTAATTGTCAATTGCTTTCATTTTAGCTCCCATCTATGAGTTCAACTGCCAGAAGTGATTAACAAGTAACTTCTCCCTACAATATCCATGTACTATCCAGCAAACAGGTTATGAGAATACTCAAATATATCAGGTAGAAGTTATCTTGATCAAACACCAAATTCTCATAACTTATTTACAAGGAAATGTGTAACAGCTGGAGGGGAGAATTAACAATCAGACCTTAGGAGTGAAAGGGTTAAGAGCCCCACACTCTGATAAGTTCCTGTCAGGAGGTTGTGGAAAAAGATAAACCTTCTGAAAGGGGCATTAGAGTATTTCATGTAACTGATCCTTGCATCAATTAGTCATCTATTTCTTGCACTTATGCCCTCATCAATGGGGTTCAAATAAGGTGCAGCTCCCACCCCACTGATAAACCCCCATTTTTAGAGGTAAATGGAAATCAATAAGTCCTCTGAGGGCTTACTAACTAATTAACTCCCAAAACATTTTGGTGTGACCAAAATGGAATTTCTCCTTACAAATCAATAAAGTTTTGAGCAGAAGTGTGTTAAGAAGATAGATACATATCAATCAGCAGACACTGTCTGATTCAACACAAAATTCTCAGAAATAAAATCTTTCGAAATATACAGGAGATAGTATAGAGAATTGAAATTTAGAGCACAAGACTGACAGGGTAAATACATGAGGCTTAGCCCCAACTCCACAAAAACCTGGGTGGAAGTAATCATAGAAATCAAGTGAAAAAATAAAAATTATAGCAAAGGCTGATTTCTTTACCTTGAGAGTCTTCAACTTTCATCTTCTTCATTCTCTTCACAGTACCACTGGTTTTCACACTTTGTCTTGTGCTCGAAACAGTGGATTTTGAAGGTGTGGTATGCTTAGAGGCCGACCGGCCATTCATGGAGGTCAAGGTATTCCCTCTGCTGTTAGTGGATACCCCAGTAGTTTTCAAGGCCAGGGTATCATTTGGATACTTCTGGTGTGTTAATCTCTTCACTTCTCTTTCAAAATGTGTATGTTTATTGACCTGTTTTATGATATGCCCTCGAAAGTACACATAATTTGGAATTGCAACAGGTGTGTGTGACAAATCCAGTGTTGGCATATTAGACTTGTATGCTTGTTCAATTACTTCTGATGTTGGAATGTCATATGCAACCCAGACTATATCATTATACCACTCCCATCTTATTCCACATCCTGGTACTGAGTTGCTTTGATAAACATTTCTCCTGACCTTTCTTAATCTCCCTGGAATTCAAATATAAAGAATTATTGAATGAGGTGACTGCCAAGGCTTTTTCCCAGTTTGTGTGGCATGATCCACTGAGAGTACTATTGCTCCCCTTGGATTGGGTATTAGTCTGAACTCCTTTTAGACCTTAAGAGTGACCAGCATCTAATTTCTCCTTACAGTAATACTGCTGAATTGTTGATGAAGATCATAAGGTTAAAGGAAATGCTCGCCAACCTACATGAATTTTCCTTGTCAGTACCAGAGGAAATGTATAGTATAAGAGAAAAATGGATACTGATGTTGCAGTGTGAAGGGTTTAACCTCTGGTTTAGGGGTGGTACTGTGGGGGCAGAGCTGTGTATTAGAGCTATTAGTCAGCAAAAATCACCAACAAGACTGCCATCTTTAGTCCCCTACATTCAAATAATTTTACCATGATTACTACTGAATAAAAATTTTGATAAAAAGAATAAAAAAAAGTTGACACTGGCTAAAAAATATATTGTTCTGAACCTTTCAGCTACTACTGTTGCCTTCTTCAGCAAAGATAAAAATGCAAATGTCTAACAGCGTCCTGCTTGGTATATGTCCACAATGTGTGATAAAGCTAAATCTTGAAGGAATTTTTAAGTGTAACAATAGTCTCTGCAGTACTTTTAATGGCTCTAAAAATTCTTAATGTTATTGTATATGTTTGGTAGCATTATGTGTTTGTTTATAGTATTTCTATCTCACATGGAATGCCAAGGTTCAAGAATTAGTCTTTGTTGCCATGCCAATGACCTGTCAACAATTTCAGCAGTCTCCAAATCCATTTGGTGACTGTGAAGCATATGGTGTTTGGCCAACAAAGAGTTTTCATCCAATGTTGCTATGGCCTTTCTGTGTTCTTTCATGCATGCTTTTAGTGCGCATGATGTCTGACCAACATAAACACAATTACAATCTTTACATTTGATCTTGTACACAATTCCTCTGGAAGCCTCTTTCTCTATCTTGTCTTTTGGTTTTTTTAGTTGGAAAATCCTTTACTACTAAATAACTGCACACCAAAAATTCGTTCAGCAACTATTTCCCATTTTTATGAAGAAGTTATTACATAATTCATTAGAAACTTCCACATTCAAAATTGGCCTGAAGATTTCTACCAACTTCATGGAAAGCCAGGCACACTTTAAAAGAATAGTTCCAAGTCTTGTGTGTAAACAAACAGAACATGTTGTCCATGATAATCTGCCCCCACTCCCCCTTAATGTCTCATTTTTTCCTTTCATTTTGCACCGTACTGACAGCACTTAAGGGTGAAGGGTCTCATCCAAAATTACAATTTTATGTGACTCAGCCAAAGTTTGTAAGCTGAGCTTCAATTTACTTCCGGTTTCCAAGATGAGCAGCTCTTGGGTTCGTTAACCTTCGTTCAGGAAATTGGCGAAATTTAAAAGAACAAGCATACCACGTGAGCTCTCACCTGTTTCCGTTCTTTGCTGTTCCATATTTACAAGATCAACTTCATAGGAGAGTAAACCAAAGAAGCGTTTTCCCAAACTTACGGTGGACGTTTTGGATACCCTTTGCTTTAACCTCAAATACTTCTTTTCCAAGTATTCAACAACATCTGCTTGGTAAGGAATCCAGAGACCCTGTCTTTCCTCCCACTCCCAAACTACCACACCGCTTTTCTGGGAGGCAGAACTCATCCCACAAAACAAAGAGAGAGTTTAGGACAGATTTGAATATATTAAAAATCGAAATAAATCTAGTTCTTCTTTTCGCGCTACAAAACTGTTAGCTTGGGAATCGCGACTCAATTATTCCTTTACAATGGATTAGTATCTTTGATTGGCTCAGCTTACATCTTGATAGCCAATGAAGTCAGGTCTTTTATTGACCCATGACGTAAGAATATTTGTGACGAAACCAAACCGGTTTTGTCAGGAAATATTTGTTCTGCTGCTCGTGGCAACGGGGAAGCAGCCATCTTGGAATTGATGGTCAACGAAAGTGAAAGGGTGGATTGACGTGCTGTTATATCCGTTTGATCGCAGCTAAACACCGACAGGACTATAGGAATGACTGGGACGCTAGCTCAGGCTCGTGTACAGCTTCAAAATGCTGAAAGTTCTCTCCTTTTTATGCAACAAGAACACGCAAAAACATTACAGGGACTCTATGCGGAGATCAATAAGCTTCAAAAGAAATGTGGAGGTAGATATCGTTAATATGGTAAAGTTAACACCTGATTTCGTGGGAATAACATTTTATTTTCTTACAGAACTAACTTTCAAACTGGCTATGAACGCTACAACTGCAAATGACGAGGAAGGTATGTAATATTCTATCCAACTAACAGTCGTCTGTGTTTATAAAGAACAGAACAGATGTTTTCTCTTGGCTTGGTCTTGTAATTATTTTTGAGTGAAAACTACTTTTGTAAGAAATTACCCTGTTAATTTTACCGCATAATCTCGTCTCATTGGTTGAATTAATATTTGCAACACTTGTTATGTGACATTTCTCAGTTTCTGTTGGTAAGGTCAGATACGAGACTCTGTAAATTGACAGATTTGCCGGTAAATTTGTCACCGATGGCTCTGTCTTTTATTATTTTGCTTCATTATTACGCCATTTCTTTCTAGTTTATAATCTCATCCAGTTTTGATCTTCTGTCGACAAAATACCAGCAATATGGTGAAGTTCTTTAAGATGCAGTTCTCGTAATATGTTATTTTTTAAAAGGTAGGCTTTGAAAGTATGCGAACATTTGGTTTAAAATTGGATTCTACCATGGGTTGCAAATTTCACCCCTTTATTGGGCAAATGCCCAATCTTTGAGAATCAGTAGTGTTTGACATCATCCCATACTTGCAGTTGTACCTGTCATGCCACTAAATCTTTTGGGTTCAAAGGTGGTTTGCCACAGGGAAATTCAAGACTAACATTGTGCATAATCATTTCACCAATATAATTTCTTTCCTCTCAGAGATTCAGGAAAGGTGGGAAAAAACGTGTTTATATTTTTTCCTTTACTTAATTTTGCAGCTCAAGTAAAACACACTGTAGATGAGTCACAAAAAGTACTGGCTGAGTTCAAGACTGAGAACATTGAGTTAAAGGGAATTATTGAAAAGAAGAACAAAAGAATTGTGGTTCTGGAAGCTCAGCTGAAAACACTGGATCAAAAGTATGTCAAGGATTTATCTGAAAAAGAATCTAATCTGATTGCTGTGTTAAAGGAACTTGAAAAGAAATCGGACACTATAGCATATCTGACCTCTCAACTTCACAATAGCAAAATACGACAGTCTGGAAGAAATCATCAAAATCAGCCTTCAACTGGGAAAAACATCACCGAAGTCTCTAAGGAGTCACGAGAAGCAAGAATAGAAGGTAATACTGCAGTGGAAAATGGATCATCCCACACAGATATCTCAAGTGGAACATCTTCAAGAACACCTGTTCCACCAAGAGAGGGTACTCCTTCCAATGTTCAGCGAAGATATCGCAGGTCTACTACGTCTCCTGTTCCTCAGTCATTAGGCACTAAGATGAAGACTTCAAGAGCTGTTGGAATCCAAGCCTCACCAAATGAAATCCAACTGAATGTAGCACCTGTGAAATCAACCAAAGGCATGCCCTTGCGTCCAAAGCGAGCTTCTTCTCCTTCAAGACCAGGACTAGGAATTTCAAAAGGTTTGCAGCGTTCTGCAGGAAGGGAAAGACCGTTTCCTGATGATTATGTAGAGTTCCTGAGAACTGGAACAAGACCAGACCCACAGGTAGTGGTTAGGGCTGCACCAGAACCCTTACCACCGATTTCTGCAAACGAAAGACTAGCTACAACACCCAAGACTCCTTACACAGGAAGGGTCCAAATGAACAGGGGGCATTCCTCCCAGGGGGTTCCTGCAACAATTTACACAGATGGGTCTACAGCAGTAGAGGATGTAGGAAAAATTATTGTGTCACCATTGAGTTCACCTGAAAAAGGGTGGCGGCATAAGCAGCAATCTCAACAAAATGGACCAGAATAAATAATTCAACTGTATTATATTTGTATATATCACCATTTTTTTATCAACATGACAAGCCTCGAGTCATTTGTTTTGACAAATAGCATGTACATTTTAATGTAAATAGTGTGTATATGTTTCAATTCTATGAGCCCTTTTCTGTTATTATAATGTTTTAAGTGAAGTAGTCTTATGATTTGTTGAGAGATAATATTATATGGTTCAATAATATATAATTGAGGATTGAAGAGTTGACGCATGTCTCCAATGATAGGGACAGAGTGATTAAATGTGTACTTTAGATTGTTCTTATTTTTCATGTAAAGGTTTTCTTGTCACTTGCCAAAAGTTTTTAGCTTTTTAGCAAAGGTTTGTAAAAATCTTAAATGTACAGATGTACAGTTATGTGTATACAGGGATGATAGCCAACATAGATAATTGGTAATTACATTATAGATAGAAACTGTGAATACACTTGTAGCATAAAACTGTTATGATATCAAAACTGAAAATGTGACGTGAATTTTGTGATGAGAATATGAACAACTTGAGGGGATGAGGATGTTGACATCCTTACCTGCTTGATGTTGTATTAAAGGAATAAAGACACTGCTTCCTTATCTGACTGGTTTGTGAAGTTCTTTTTTCCTCTGTTAGGTGGTGAGGAATTCTGTGAAGGACACAAATTTCTTAGCATTTTTATTAAAAACTGTCCAAGATTTGGAGACCAAAGGCAAAATTTATTTTTGACAGAAAATATAAATAAGGTTATCACTTTGAGAAGTAGATTTATTTTCATTTTATCAAAAAATCAGGTCAAAATAGGCTGTAGAATAAGTCAGATACTATTCTCATTATTATAAAACATGAAAATGAGAATCTGATTTGGAGAGTTTTCTTGGAAATTGGTCTCCCATATTAACTAATTTCTTGTCATCAGTCAAATATGTTTGTGACTTCAGCCACGCCCATCAGGCCTTTCACAAAAAGTCAGGAAAATCATGATTTTGGATTGGTACACAGACTCTTGATCCACTGTTAAGAATATGTAACTTGAGACATTCTGATGTTAAGATTCACATTAAAGCTAGGAGAAAAACATTCAATTACTGCTCACACTGCAGGCTTCTACTTAAAAGAACTTAGGGAGTGCTGAACCTATGCACTATTTGAGAAGGAATGATGTACCTGGTAATCTTGTTTCATGAAAATAGGACTCTTAAGGTTTATGGGGAACCTGAGGACTCAACAAAATGTTTTTAAAAATTTAGAAAGGATCACCAACTTTGATTAATGGTGGTATTCCTTCCAACATCGTGAGAGATGAGATAGGCTGCCTGTGTACTCTGGCGCGACTGGGGCGACTAAGTAATATCCCATAGTCCTTTGGTGTTGCACATGCTTGCAAGGAAACAAGATGGCGCTCTTCTGTTCAAGTAAGTTTCTCTTAATCCCTTAGAAAACCGCTTTAAAACGTATTCGATCTTAAAATTCCTACTTCCCAAACATACATTAATTGATTATCTTTGCATTATACCTTGATTATTGTGCGTTATGATGTGCTATGTCGAAATTCAAACTAATGTCATGTTTGTTTTCGCCGGTGTACTCGTAGTAATTTTGCTTAGCGTGGATTGAATGAAATGTCGTTTTCGGATGTAACGTTAAGGCACAAGCACTTAAATCCACGTTTTCACGGCACTACACTGTCAGCTTGTCGGATTCAGAGTCTTGTTAAAGCTCGATCGTGCGAAGTGAGCCCTAGCTAATTTGATCCTTTCTGTACGTACTGTCAGAAATCTGATAATCTTCTTAAAGTTGATTAACTTTGTACCCAGTTAATGCAAAGGAGGCTATAATAACTTACTACTTATTTGAATGAAAAAATTTCTTTGTCTAGATTGCGATCAAGGTTTAACTTGATGATCAGTGCCATAAAATATTATGATAATTTTACCTCTATATCCTTCTTTTGCTTGTTACTACCGAAGGGTATGTCGAAAACGGCCTCTTAGTAATTTTAAAACAGGCAAACAAAGTTGTGAGATAAGTCACTGTAGATTGCAGAATTTTTCTTTGCAATCTTCATTAAACACAACTTGCAGTCTTGTTGAAGTGAAGTTAAAGAAGTAAATGTTATATGAACCTTGCCAATTTGTAGTCAGCAATGAAGTTCCTGAGCACCCATGTGTGTCACCATCTTCTAACTGCGTGTTTGAGAGGAGGCTTATTGAAAAGTATATTGCGGAAAATGGCACTGATCCAATAAGTGGTGAACAGCTTTCAGAAGAGCAGCTGATTGATATAAAAGGTAATTTACGACATATTAAAGTAACATCATTTCACGGAGGAAGATTTTTCCACTTATTTAGTTTCCACTTTCGTAACCTCATTATGTAAAACTGTTTGATTCTTTGAGAAGTTTCATTCAGCTGGGGTTTTACTATGGTGTACTTTTTTCCACAATGCTGTAAGAATACTTGTGTTATGATTGTTTTGCTCAAAAGGTCTTAAATTTTAAATTTAATAGTATATTGTATTATTTTATCTCGTTTACCTTGTAATTTTGTTTCAGTCAATTCATTGATCAAACCTAGACCACCATCAGCAACAAGTATTCCTGCTATTCTGAAAGCACTTCAGGATGAATGGGTAAGGAAGGAAGAATTTCAGCAAAATGCATTAAACTTGAATGCTCAGAGGTGGTAATCACCTATGTCTGGTGCACGCATTAAGTGCATCATAAGTCAGAGGATCTTTTCTTTATCAAATTCCCTAACAGATACTGACAATGGTAAAGAAAATAAGTTTAACTGTAACAGACTGAAAATCTTTTGGGTTCATTAATTCATTCCTTAGTGAATCTTTAGATTATCATAAAGAGCTTGCAATTATTCCCTTTTACAGTAAAAGTTGTGTGTTCTGAAGAGTTATTGTATTGCTATACACATAGTCTTCTTGGTAATAAGAAATACTGAAATGTATAACTGCATCCTAAATACACTGTTTAAGTCAGTACTTGGTGAAACAATACAAAAGAAAACATCTTCAAAATAAAATTTACACCTCAAATTCATGTTCTCTTTTTTGTTTCTAGGATGCCTGCATGTTGCAGAGTTTTACATTACGTCAGCAACTTCAGACTGCCCGACAAGGTAACTGTTACTTCATACTTCTATACTTTGAAACAATGGATGGTAAGTATGGGAAAAAGGTGGCATTTGTGAGTGGTCAGATTATTGTGGCCTGTCATTTCTCAGAATGAGCTTGGCATGAATTGCAGATAACTGTTTTCATTGACATGATTTTTTAATGTTTGTTCCAGAGTTGTCTCATGCTCTCTACCAGCATGATGCTGCTTGTCGTGTCATTGCTCGATTGACAAAGGAAGTCACTGCAGCTCGTGAAGGTATTCCACTACTACATCTTACAATTATTGATTTGGAAAAATTGTAATGCATTGTTACTTACTCTGCTCCTTTTGTCTCCAGCTTTGGCAACTCTCAAACCACAAGCTGGTATGGCTGTGGCTGTTCCTTCAACTGTTCCAGTGCAGGTATTGTAGAGAGCAAATCCAGTCAGAGAATTTTCAATAACTTTTTTTCTGTGGAAAAACAAGCAAGCATGTGTCTATTTAGAACTTTAACTAAACTGGTAACACATATTTTGCCTTTTGTTTCAGATGGAGGAAGCTATGGATGTATCGGCTCAGGTAAGTCAAACTCAAACTCTCAAGATATGTGTGCATGAAATCTCTTTTCATTTTTAAGATTTTAAACTCTTAACCCTCTGACTCCCAATATCTGATTGTTAATCCTACCCTCTAGCAGCCACACATTTCCCTGTAAACTGATTGCAAGAACCATTTATTAGCTAAGACTAGAATTTTTCTCTTCAGCCTGGTGAAGAAGAAGGAATGACAGAAGAAGTCCTGCAGAAAGTAAGTTATTGTAAATGTTTTACAATTGGGCCTGGATAATATTTTTCAAGCTTAATGACATGAAAGATTGAGAAACTGGGTGGGTAATTTGTTAATGTGCCAAAAGCAGCAAAAAATGATCTATTTTAACTTGTGTTGGTTAGTTATGCATTTTGATTATGTGTTATAGTAATCTTAAGCTTTTCGATAGACAGATAAGGCCTCGAAAGTATTAAATTTTGTGTTATTGTTCTCATTTTAGTTGCAAGACAAAGCCACTCTCCTCACAGCTGAGCGTAAGAAGGTATGAGCTTTGTGGCTGTTCTGACAATCACATAGTTACTAAACTCTAGAGACAAAGGTTGGGATACAAGGAGTCAAGGAATGGTATAGTATGACTATGTAGCCAAGAAGATTGTACAGATTGAATGACAAAGTTGAAATCCATTACCATCTACCTATCAGTAGAAATCACCTTCCTAAGAAAACGCTGTCATGAAATGCTTCTCTAGCAAATTTTGTGTGGTGACTATCAGTGATATGTAGACAAGTGCTGTCAACTACTTTGGTGAAGTGGTTATCTCATTTTGTGTTCTCCGTTATCCTATTCAGAGAGGCAAGAAGGTTCCAGAGGACTTGAGTACAACAGATGAGATACAATCTTACAAACCAATCTCCTCACATGCAGTAAGTTGGCATTCAAATTGACACCTTTTTTATAGAATAAAAGAGTGAGAAAATAGAAAGATAATGTACTTAAACCAAAGTACTTAAAGCATACTTAACAATTTGAGTATTTCAAACTATTTTCTTGAAGCCAAAACCTATTAGTAATTACATCAGCCAATCAGGACAAAGAAGAACAATGATAAATGATGCAGAAAGCCCAGAAATCAAAGCTGTTTCTTGAAACTTGTTTCAAATATGGAGAAAATTCAGAACTGGTTTTTAAACTGGCATCCATTGAGAAGCTTGTAACAGTTTTTTAGACCAAGCAATGATAAGGCTACTTAAAATTTTCTTCCCCCCACAAACACAATAAAAAACATACTTTGGTTTCATATGGTGTAATCCAAGTTATCATGTAAGGCTGTGAGACAGCCCATTGACTCTGCCCAAAGCCTTCTACTCATATAAGTTACTGGAAAATATGTGCAGTAGGTGATATATTATTTTTAACATTATGGCTTCAATACATATTTTAGGGCTTACACAGTGCAAGCAATCCTGGAATCTTAGCTTTGGATTTATTTGCTGCAGATACATCCAGAGTCATTACAGGTCTGTATTGAATTTTTCAATGAAACTTGAATGTTGGTTTAGAGAAGTTTGTGTTGGATTGATTTGTTTTCCCCCAGTTGGGGATTGCTTTTCTTCTAATCATCAGGTATTGTCACAATATGTTGATAATGTAAGGGGAAGTTTTATATTAATCATATCTGGATGGAAAGGGTAATGAAAGTGAAGATTTCAGGTATTAAATAACAGAAACAGCTGTTGACAAGTGTGTCACTATTTTCTCTTTCATCAGGTGGCCTGGACAAAAATGCAGTGGTGTTCTATCGTGACTCAGAACAGGTACAATTTGAATCTGTTTAGGTATAACCTTGACATAAACATTAAATACAACCCTCTACAAAACATCCTTAACTCAATTTTTCATCAATGCAACTGTAATTTCCAACAATGATGCAACCAAATGGGTAAGACTCCCACCAACCTGACAACAACAATCATAACCTTTTCAATTACCATCTTGTCTTTAGGTCATTGCAACTCTCAAAGGCCACACAAAGAAGGTTACAAATGTTGTGTATCATCCACACGAGGTGAGATGGGTGTTTGCCAGTCAATTCCATGCAGAGTGATGAATCTCTATCCATAAAGAATCTGATATTTTTGGTTATTTCATGCTCTATGTGACTTTGAAAATGATGTCAATATTTGTTTCAGGATCTTGGTTTCACTGGATCAGCAGATACGACCATCAGGGTGTGGTCCATTCCACAGGCTTCATGCTTACACACTGTTAAGGTACTGATGTCATAAATAGGCTCTTTTATGATTGAAAGTTTTTCTTCTCAAAAAAAAACTGATTTGTTCAACTGCATGAGCTAATAGTAGTTGTGCTGATAATATTCTTGAAATTTTCCCTATCATGTTTTTTTAAAAGTAACCCTAGGCTAGTGAAAGGATCCTGTCCACTGTAAACGTCAAACTTAACTGTCATTTAATGATAACCAGTCTCATAAAACCACTTGGTAAATCTAGAATGCTCATCACTTTGTTTGCCTTTTGGAGTGAAGAATTCCATCCTGGACACTTAGTATTCTGGTTTTTTTTTTTTCAGGCACATGATCAAGCTGTTACTGGGCTTAGTCTCCATGCAACAGGTACCTTTCATTTGTTACTTGGCCATAAAATCTGTTGATTATGTTAGACTTGGTATACATACTAGATTTGTTAGTACTGAGTATTTTTCAATTGAGTGTTTAAAACCAAAACCAAAGTAAATCAATCAGAAGAAAGGAAACTACCTCTAAGAGCCAATGAGATTTCAAATTAACCCTTTAACTCCCAAGATCTCATTAGTAATCCTCCTTACTGTCTGCCATACAGTTCTTGTTATGTCAGTTTGGAGAATTTGGTATTGGATCAACTTACAATCCCCTAATTGATATTTTTCTTTGTTCTCATCACTTTTCTGCTTCATATCGTATTGGTATTGTAAGGAGAAATTCAGTCTTGGTCACTCATGGGAGTTAAAGGGTTAAAAAAAAAAAACGAACAGCCTGAAGTGCAAGGAAAAATGTGGGCAACTAAGGCTTGATTGGTTTTAGTTTTACATCTGATTGGTTGAGAAAGTGATGCTAGTTTTCTGGGCTAATCACAGAGCAAAGTAGAGCAAAACTAAAACAATTCCAAATTACTTTTGACATTCAATTGAAAATTGCTCTATTGAGTAAATAAACCTTTTCAGGCCTGATTTGTTTCTTCATCGTGACTCAAAATAATAAGAGTATATTTTCTTGACAATTGTAATCACTTAAAGTACACATGGTTTATTCAAATTACTCAAACACTATCACCAATGTGCCTTATTTTTTTTCTTTAGGTGACTACCTCCTTAGCTGCTCAACAGATCAGTATTGGGCTTTCTCTGATCTTAGAACTGGCCATGTCCTCACCAGGTGTTTATCAGATCCTAACATCAATCAAGGTAATTACAAGATTTTTAATTGTGTTTGATTCTCTTTGCTTTGGTTTTTTTTTTTTTTTCATACCTCTAGTAATACCACAAGTGACTTCCCATAAACCTTCCCTAGGAGTTATTAACATGTTGTTTTTCTACTAACCTCAGGATTGACATGTGCTCAGTTTCATCCTGACGGTCTTATTTTTGGTACTGGAACCACTGACAGGTTTGTTGATTAATGTCTCATTTCTTCTTACATTATGAACGCGTCAGGAGGATAAGTAAAATATTAAGGGGGAAATGTAAAGCAGAATGTATGGTCATGTATGTATGGTGCGAGGGAAAAGTGATCATGACAACTTTCTTTTATTATTTGTAAAACAGTAAAGCCAAACTTCTGGTCAGTGTTGTTGTCACAATATTTACTGACTTTTTGTTCTCTTTTGCTAACAGTGTGATAAAGATCTGGGATCTCAAGGAAGGTGCTAATGTGGCTAAATTTCCAGGACATTCCGGACCAATTACTGATATTTCCTTCTCTGAAAATGGGTAGATATTCAAAATTTCGCTTTGATTGTTCGTCTTTAGTTTTGTCTTCAGTTTGCTTTTTGTGCTTTTTTTTGGTTGTTTTAACAGCTGTCTGTTATATTGCAGTTACTACCTAGCTACATCTGCGGACGACTCAGTTGTAAAACTGTGGGATTTGCGCAAACTGAAAAACTTCAAAACCATAACGCTTGAAGATAGATTTGAGGTATAAATAGAGTAAACACAGCTAAGCCACATTTTATTTCTCACAAGGGGCAAAAAAATTGGACCATCCTGGTCGTAACAGAACACGGAAAAGATAATTTATGAGAACAGATTAAACTAGTTCTGGACACTCTGGTCCTGTACTATGAAAAGGGCAGTCCGTTTTCACTTTTTCGTGTAAAATACTCAAGAGGTGTGTTGGGGTTTTGAGTGCCTGGCGATATTGTTGATGAAGGAATTGATAACGCGTGGAAGGGTATAACTCACTGGACCTTAGCCACAAGCAAGAATCAGCTCTTTCAGGCGAATGAAGAGCGCCGGGACTGAGGCCGTTCTGCGGAAAAAAATTATGATCGGTTCTTCGGGAAACCTGGGGTGAGATTTTTTGCGATCTCCCGCGAGACAATCCAACTTGTGTGAGACAGCTAAGAGTGATAAAACTAAGTATTTATTAAATTTCTGCGAAATGGGTTGGTTTTTTTTACAAAACTTTAGCAAACAGGCTGGACCTTGATGTTTCGGCTAATGGATGATACAGAATTTGTTTAATGGATCTGATACCTTATCCCGCCCGTTTTTTTGAATCCTTGAAGTGATGCCTGTGTCTTTATTTTACAGGTTAAAACACTCAGTTTTGATCAGAGTGGTACATATTTAGCCGTGGGTGGTTCCGAAGTTCAGTAAGTCGGATATGTTTATTACAAAAATACAAAACCTGCTGTGTGTCCATTCAGTAAAAAGATAACAGATTACATCAAGATGTGGTGAGAACACGAGGCGCAGCCGATTGTGTCTCTGATGTTCCTCCCACATTTTGACGTCATCGTGACGTATTACTGCACAAACCCATTGCAGATCGCAATCTATTTGTTTTATATGATAAAGAAACGAATTAAAGATCAAAAGATCACAAGTGAGAACAATTAAAAAATCACAAGGGAGAACAATTAAAATTCGCATATAATTCAGCTAATTTTTTAAAATAGTGTTTGTTGATGCTATTTATGTACACTTCAGATATTAGGAATGAATGTTAGTTTTGTCTTGCTTTGCTCAAGTAATTTAAACTGACTGTAATTCATCTCATGTCATCTTGTGCTTGTCACTTCAACCAAGACATTCGATTGTCTCAAGACTGGCGACAAGCATTCAATTTTGTTTTTTAATTTCATTTTTTGTATTTTTTTTTTTTTTAGGATCTACCTCGTCAAACAATGGGAGATGATAAAGTCATTTGCAGGTATATTTTCCGTGTGTCTTCCTTTCATTCAATGTAAAAGAATAGGTAAAACGGAAACAAAAAAAAACCTGTTATTGAAGGTTCTAACATAACCTTTCAATCAAATTGTGGCTCAGTACATTACCCATTCTATCCAATCTGGGTAAGAATAAAGGGGGTAAGTTTCCAAATAAACTGAAGTGCTGCGTCGGCGGGGCTATAACACGATAATTTGGTTTTTAAAACAACTAAATCGATGATGTATTTTGGCCTTCGTATAGAGTTTCTAATACTGACTTTTCGAGCGTTAGTCCTTTCCCATTCGCTCCGACAGTTCGTGTAAACGGCTTTTAGCGGGGAAGAACGCGTGTGATTTAGTAGCAGCTGATTTTAGTTTTGCATTTGATTGGTTGATAGGGTGGCATGAGTTTTCATGACCAATCACAGAGCTAATGAGCCATTGGCCCTTTGTGATATTTTCTCATGTTCTGAGTAGAACTACCGGCCGTTGTGATGGCTTTGCTTCTGCTTTTCAGAAGCTAATCGAAAAGCATTCTACGAACTCCTTCTATATCTGAGGTGATCGCATTATTTTATTTTTTCTTCTTTTACAGAACACTCTGATGTGACGACAGGAGTGAAATTTGGCAAACACGCCTCATTCGTTGCGTCTGTTGGTCTTGATCGTCATCTCAAGTTCTACTCGCGATAGAGCAAGAAATGGGGCTAATTTAGTCCCACGTTTACTAACAATTAACTGTACTATTTTACTTATATTTCTTGTACGTCAAGATGGTCACGCTACCATTCTCTTTCTTATTTCACGCCTCATTTTTTGTGTTCATTTCTCTCAGTTATTTATAGATCTCTCTCGTTTTCGGGAATCTGAAGAGAATCTGAAAATAACCAGAACATTAAGGTTACATGCGAGTTGCTTGAAACTTGAGAGATCCTACTTAAATAAGGACGAAGATGACTAAGAACGTGCTGATACAAATGAAAGTGGAAGTTCTGCTCGTGCTTTTTAAAAACTTTGTGTATTTGAAATCTTGACTTGGCTCAGAAAGGCCCCCGGGATGCTTTCTGTCCTCTCATCTGCTATTGTGATTACTTTGCTGTTTGTCTTACACTATCGAAGTGCACTCTAATGCCAGAAGAGGGAGCCAGTTTCATTGACTCGTCCTCTTCTTTCATATGTAAAAGGAGAGATTGCAAGAGACTGCGTTAGCCATATTTTAGGAGAAAGGGAAGCGTTAGACATATTTGTAGTACAGTAAACACCCACAAACAAGAACCTAGTGGATTAGGAAGCTGCATTTTCTAATTTAGCATTTAATGTCCTGAAATGTGAGAACCCATTTCGCTTGAAAAAAAGAAACAGGTTCTTATATGGAAGAAGTAATTTAATTTTAATATCCTATAAGTCTGCCTGCTCAAAAGAGCTGCCTGTGTGTTTGTTTTTTGTTTCCTTTTGTTTTTTGTTTTTTGTTTTTCTTTCGGTGCCTCTTGTGATTATTTGACAGAACCTGTAAACAGTGGCGCAATTGACTAGTTTTTTTTCTTCGGCCTTCGCTATTTCTGTTTTGTATCGACCCCCAGGCGTGAGCCTGTTTAAAGGCTTTCCCTGCCATCGTAGTGACAACGTGAATATTGTATGTGTGAAATCTGTAAGTTTAAGTTTGTGATAAACATAAGCGAAACACCTGTGGTGTCTTGGGAAACTTTGATTAAGTTTCCTATAACTTTGTATAAAACGTTGAAATTTTATTAACTTGTAGCTAGCTTCAACATTCAACAAAAAGACACCAGGAAAGAACATTAAAACCTTTGTCGATCCATTTACGAAATGTCTTTGATTATGTTATTCACCTTATTTGTCATTTGCTAATTTGGCTAAGGAACATTTCCGTTTAAATTTACTTGCTTACCAGTGTTAAATCCACCATCCAGGTGGAGAAACGTTTTGACAACACTGTTACTTTGCGACAAAGTTAAAGTTCAGCTAATTTTGTCTCCGAAGCCAATTGAATTAAGTATTACGAGGGACTTTGCCATTGAAAATTCGAAGTGTTCCCTTGGCTAACAGAGACTGCGTGCACCGAGTATGCGACCCGAAACGAAGACTCTTGAGAACACGAATAAGTTTCAAAGATTAGTATTTGAAAGGGAGAGCTTGAACGTGTCTCGCGCGCAATCTGACTGCTCGGTGGCATGGCGCGGCATCATTTCCCGCCAACTTTTGGATGTACGTGTTTGTTCAAGGCGTAATTTTTTTTGTTTTGTTTAGATATAATGTTATTTTCCAAAAACCGATGCAGCATGACAAAAATCAAAGAGAAGTAGTGAAAACCTTATTTTACGAATTCTTATAGTTAATAACTTATGACCAGCTCTGTATGACGTCTTCGCTTCCTTAAAGTCTTCAGTATGTAAGCGTTTCTTTGTATATGTTGTAACTAAGAACAGCGACAAAATACAAGCCCTTACAGATTTCTTTCTCTCAGTGAACGGTACACCCACAGAAAATTAAAAAACATTTCGGTTATTAGATAAGAGTATATGGTTGATTAATAACAAACTTTTTTTCTCGTTTCTGTCAACATTACGTGAGAGTAATGACTCAGTAACTGCGGAAATTTCCATTAAATTTCTTGATTTTTAAGAAGTTCTCTAAGCTGAAAGAGTTTGAATTGGTAGTGTCGATAAATTAAATTTTGAGCTCAAGATGAAAAATGTCGAGTAGGTTCCCTCTCTTTTAAAATCCTATTGAATATTGCTGTTCTTTGAAGAAACGTTGTCGTTGGTTTTATCAATTGGGTTGATAATGTAAATTGTTCCACCGTGAAGAACTGCTAAAGCTGACGTTTCGACCGTTTGCAGTTTACTCTTTTACTGGTATCTACATGTAATTTCTCCCTACAATATCATCCGTGGAGCAACCAACTAAAGAAATTAAAACAAATTCTCCTTTCCAGTAGCTTTGGAAATGTATAGAGAACAGTATGGAGAATATGCATACTGGTGTTAGGGTGTAAAGGGTCAAGAAATGAGCCTGAACTTCTCCTTCATTAACAGAGTAGAACAGCTATATATGTAAATCATATATAAATCGTTTAGCTCCGTGAGAGTGTTTGAGTAAGAGGATTAATAACTGTTATCGTTTTGATGACATCTTAAGGAACTAATGTTACTGATTATTATTAATTATCAGTTTTCTCCAAGTGCTCTCCAGAAATGGTCATGAAACCTCCTTTCAATTCCATTTGATTCCACGCGATGGAAGACAGTTGTAACACCTGAACAAAATTACCATCGTAAAACCATATAGAGCAAACATTGAATACTAAGCAAACTGCAGAATTAACTACGACGTAAATTTTTCTAATATTTAAATTTGTGCCTCAATACAAATAGCAAAATAACAAAAATAGACAATCAAAGACTCCATGTGGCTACTTGTTATAACACAATTTTTATAGCACTGAAAAGAACTAGAGGTTATATAGTGGCGCTAGAAGGTAGTGTTGCAGAATATTTGTTTCATATGGAAGACAGAACACCTGCCGCATCCCACACATTTATGAGTACCCTGTTCCTCATGATAAAGATGATTAAAAAATATGTTGTCTAATATATATCCAACCAATAATTAAATGGCAACAAATAAAGATATTAACTATTATAATAATGATAACAATTGTAATATGATGATAATTTAAGGGGTTAGTTCAAAAGTCTCATGGTTCCCTTGGGCTCTGGGCTCCAACAGTGATTACCTATGCTTCTTTTAATTTCGCTTCTTAATATACATAATTTTCTTATTTTTTGATGTTTTATTTCATTAAAAAAAGGCATCCCGCGTCTAAGACATTACGTCGTTCCAGTAATCCACCGTTCCTCCGTTCCATCACTCTGTGAAACAACCCAAGGTATCGTACTTTGTGGCTTACTCGCTTCGCAAATTTAGCGACTCTTTTTCGGCGTAATTCGCTAATTCAAACAGAAAAGTGCTCTCTTTTCAGAGAAAAAAAATGTCCCCAAAGCTTCCTTAATGTGCAGATCATAATATCACATGCAATAAGATATTTCTGCAAGAAAAAGTTTTGATTTAATTTCAATCGCGCACAATCCTCAAATGATCATGAGATGTTTACTGTCTTCTGCTGTCTTCCGTAGTGTCACGGCGAGAATTGAAAACATATTTACTAGTGGCCATAAGCCAGAAATCACAAAAGGAAATAACTCAACTGTGTATCGAGTGCGAATGTCAACCACCGTGAGATACAAACAATAAGTAGCACCGGGAAACATCGAGTCAAAATTGATTAAAGATCGGAATTTTATTGTTACACTCACTCACCCATTTCGACGACATATGTGACTTCGCCTCCTGTAGGAGGCAGTAACCACAAAAAAATACACGGAAAGGTAATCGCTGAGTCACTCACAAAAAAAGTGACCTTTACGTTTCCGGTGTCAGCCGTACGCATACTTGATTTGTTCCTGATTAATTACATTCTACCTTAGAAATAAGATAAACAGGTATCTTGTTCCCACAGAAAAACAGAAACACTATGCCATTCTTTCCCATTCTGTCATTACAAACAAGCAAACACAAGAGACGCAAACACAAGAGACGTGTCGAGCATCGAGCAAAAACTCGCTCTTTCTTGTGTTTATTGCGTCGCTGTTTACATGGTAACAGATGCTGCTGACCAAGAACAGTGCATTATCGCTCCCTTGCCATTTCGCTTGGTCGGTCGTGTCTTCATCAGAGTCCCTTGTTTTCCCTTTCCCATCGTAGTCACGTAGCAAACGTAGTGGACTGTCTAAGCTATTGCTAGAGTTTACATCTTCTTTTGTTGATAATCATGAGTGGAAGATCCTCCAACTCGAACGAGGATACAGGTCGAGCAAAGAAGAAAGGCGGTGGATTTTTGGCAAGGCAGTCGAAGGCGAAAAAGACAATAACTGAAGAAGAATTGCTTAAAAAGGACACCGTAACACCGGACGATGTACTGAAGTTGACAAAATGCACGGAAAGTAAGTTGAAGGTGGTTTATATTTTGCAGCCAAGGCAATCCTCTCGCAAATTACCAAATTGTAGCGAAGGTTGCTGAGCAAGAATTTTTTGCTGATTTGAAACTTCATTGTCGTTTGTGTGCTAAGTACTTTTCCTTGCGCTCTGTTATTTACAGATTACCTCTGCGAACCTGGTGCAAATATATACAGCATCGATTTTACCAGGTTTAAAATTCGCGATATGGAAACAGGGACTGTTCTTTTTGAGATAGCTAAACCTGATAACATCGACGACGAAATTATTGACAACGATGATGATCCTAACGCCGGTCGCTTCGTAAGATACAAGTTTACTCCAGAGTTTCTGAAGTTAACAACAGTAGGAGCCACGTAAGTTTTACTTTTATTGGATGTAGACTTTTGTCTGCTTTAATAAATTCAATTAGTACCAATACCTTACCTATATTTCCAACTGATCGATGACCGATACACTTTTACTAATAGTATCCATAAGCTTCGTTGCACGTATAACATAATTGTCTATTGCATGTTCAGATCGACATGTTGTTGTCTCTCTATTGAAAATTACTAATCCATAAGTTTTAGATTGCACGAATTGTGTTCTGACTCATTGCTAATTTGGATCCAATGTTTTCTTTTTCAGAGTCGAATTTACCGTAGGAGACAAACCCGTCAACAATTTTCGTATGATAGAACGGCACTACTTCAGAGATCGACTGTTAAAAAACTTCGATTTTGAGTTTGGATTTTGCATCCCAAATAGCAAGAATACATGCGAACACATCTACGAATTTCCACCGTTAGATATTGATGAAGGTCAGTACTCAACTGATTATTTGTTTCTCTTGTTTAGAATGTTTCTTTTCAATTAGAGTCGTAGTACCTCCCAAAATCTAATTGACACGGGAACTCGGAAAATCGAAAGAATTGCTTGTGTTTTAACCACACAATTACTCATTCGCCATTTTAACCTCAATATCTCCGTTGTCTTTGAGATATTTTTAAGCTTGATTTATCGTTTTCCTCATTCATCGGACCTAGCACTGACGTGCCAGACATCACATACACTTTTTACGCTTATCTCGATGTTTTGACTTTTATACTTATTAAATAATAGTTTTTTTTTTGCATGAAGTGCGAGCGAAGTTTAAGATTTTTAAAACATCTTGTTCCTCTATCGGGAAATATCTTTTGGTTGTTTTTAAATTATCATGTTAACATTAAGTTGTTGTCTAGATGATATCTTGAATCTACAACTTAATCAATATCATGTTAAGTATAAATTAATCACGATCAAATAATTTATACCCCAGAGAAGCAGTGGTAAGGGATAGAACTTTCCTTTGTGTTCTGTGGTATTTTCTCTATTTGGGACAGTACAAAAACAGAAAGGCAGAAAAATATTGATGATCTTACCATTAAAGATAAGTTAAGAAGCTATTAAAGAATTTTTATCACAGTGAGAAATTTAACCCCTCAAGACTGAATAACATTTGCATTGTTGATGTGAAATTTGTTATACATTAGATAATAAAAACACTGACATATTCACCTCCCTGTACAAAGAAAAACCATTAATAGGATATCCCAAATAAGGGTATATCATAAAAACAATAAAATCAAGTAGATAAAATTGCAGTGAAAGCACTGTAAATAACCATAAAATTGATACTGGTTTTGTTTTGTTTCCTAAAACCATTCTAAATCTTTTTATGCTCAAGGATTTTAGGTATAAGCAAAGTTTTTTGTGCAGTTTAAGATGACAGAAAAAAAATATGTGTAAAAGTATGCTACCTGTCACTGTCCAACCAGAAACTGTCCACTTTTATCCCTTAACTAAAAAGAAAGATTTTGATACCAAATTCTTAGGACAAGCCGTGAGAGAATTGTATGATCATTGGGTTGGTGAATTAGCTTTACATTAAGGGAAAGGAAATGATGACTCCACCTATGAGAGTTTGAAAATGGTGTTCATGTGGCTGGGAACAGGAGTCTGTTTACAGATGTTGTCTGACTACTTAAGAGACAAGTTGGTAATAGCATACATTGTTGTTGTAGATAAGGGAATTTTTGATTAGTGAGATGAATACTGATTTGTCAAATTTTGTTTGCAGTGCAAGAAATGGTAAACCACCCATTTGAGACTAAGTCAGACAGCTTCTACTTTGTGGATGGTAAACTTATCATGCATAATAAAGCCGATTATGCATATGATGGGTAGCCCTTCCAAGTGTAATCCTTACAATGTGTACAGTGACATGCAGACAAACATTTAGAGACAAGATTAAATACTTTCTTACGATTTAATATCATCTGTCTAAACTCAACATCAAGATCACCTCAGATTTTCCATACATCTTGTATGTATTCTTTTAGGAAGATTTGGTGTTATGTCAAGACTTAGTTACCAGTTTGGTGATCATAGGTCTTGCATTGGAATTACTTTATACATTGTTGTAGAAAGAAATTGTAAATGATTATTGCTGGAATATATGAAATGATAGACAGGAGGTAGATGCTTGTTTTTGTACCAAAAATGTCAGAGCTTTGTTCCATCATACAAAGTTGTTGTTATAGAGGGGGGGAGGGGGTCTTATTTTCCCTGGTAAATTGTCTACATTTTGTACAAAAGATAGTGAACACCTGTGCATGCAACATCAATAAAATAGAGCTGGTCTGAGTAAGTCAGATTTGCAAAATGTGGCTTATATTTATGTAGCTTGAGGAGATTTTGTACAACCCCCCGATGTAAGCCCATTGATGATGACAATAAAAATTTAAACAAAATTCTCTGTTTTTATTGTTAGGAATATGATAAATGCCTACTTGGGAAGTTTTGAAAGGGGAAAGACTCAATCCACAAGATTCCTTTTTGTATGGTACTAAAGAGAGCCAGTGCCTCTTTTCATGGGTTATGCCTGACTGTTAACCTCCCATTCTGCTATGGTGGTGTAGAATTACACTACCCTTGATTTGGTGTTTCTGTTTCTTGATTATTTAATATTTCAGTGATTTAAATGTATGCCAGAAAATGAATCAAAACATTACTACCTTATAAACTGGAAAGGAGTGGGTTCATATTGTTTCGATCTCTTTGGGTCCATGTGAGTTAATCTCTCAGGACAAAAAAAGTTACATTTCGTTTTTACATAAATGTAAATCAAACCATAACCAACACTAGAAACAGCCTGTCGAATGGGACCAACCATTTTAGATGGTAGTCTAATATGTTGAACTTTTGGTTGTAGGTTCCTAAACCTGTTCCAGGAGTTAAGTTCGTAAAACTAAGCTCACTAGTAATGCGATAGTAGAGGAGGGGTAGAAAAAAAAACCCAAGGGAGGTTTGGTTACGGTTGCTTGAAGTAGCCTTTAGTTAACTGTGAGAGAGAGAGAGAGACTTGAAAAAAAAATCCCTCCTGTTGTATGCAGTAAAGATTCTATGTTTATTGGAGTTCTAACACATTTATAATGAACTTTTTGTGTCGACCCCTCGTTACTAGAACGAGAAATCGCAACAAAAACCAATTCTTCTTTTTAGACAATGTTAATCCAAAGAAAGTGATTGAATGTAATTCACAAGATGTATTCAAACCTAAAATGATTCAGTTATCCAGATTCAGAGATGACCTAGATCAAATTTATCTTTAACCATCCAGTTTATCTAAAACAATGAACGCAGCCTTGCAGTCGGGCATGATTCTTCCAGCCCGTTATATTATGACAGATCCGAAAGGTTCCTGATCACTCACTGTAATCTAGCTGTGGTTTAACTATTACCACGGTTTTGCAATGTAAGAAAACTTTATTAAGCAGACCAACGCTCGAGTCCCGTAGGTGTCCGCTTTTATTCTTGGCTTGTTTATGTTGGTGTGTAGTGTGGTTCTCCAAACCATAAATCTATTTTAAGGTTGTATTCCTCGGTTGAGCGTCCAATTTAAAAGTGCCAAGGTTAATAACCGACTATTCTTTTTCCTAAGCTACAAATGTGAGTTCTGGTTGGTTTAGAGGAGTATAAGAATACCCACGGACACGAGATGAGGAAGAAGTTTCGCAACGACCCGTTTTTTGACAGCAATCCTTCTTTTTCCAACATAATCCTACTCCAACAAGCACACCGATTGCTGTGACCAATATTGGTATGAAAATGAGACTAGTAGGGGACGAATGGATACCTCCTGTAGCCACAAGAACGGTAAATACTACACCGTAAAACATCAGAGCTAGGGATAATGAGCAAACCCATTTTATCCATCCTCCTTCTTTAAAGCAACAGCCAGCGCATGGCCAACATATCAAACTTGAAATCAAACGTTTCACGAGTCTGTTGCGAGCTTCTTTTGCTTCCTCGGCCTTTTCCCTTTCCTGCAATTCTCCTATTTTCTGCCCCAGCCGTTGATACACATCCTGAAGACCTTAGAGGTCGGTGCTATTTAACAGTGACGATTCCGACATCTCGATGATACGAGCCTCCCAAGCGGTAGTTTCCCTTCTCCGTTAAGCGTGTGTACTGTTTGTAATCTGGCCAATTATATTTTCTGCAATCCTCATTTAACATACACGAGTTTTGCTCCATTCTCTTGAAAAACGCAGTCGAATGACTTACCTGACATGGCTGAGAAGATGAGAACAAAACTATCTTTGGACAATCAGATAAACAGATACCTCTGCGAGTAATTGGCCGACAAGGAGATACCCTTGACCTCTAGCAACCAAGAACACTACCCAAACTTAACAGTCCTCCCCTCCCTCAACAACAATTTTAACGAGACACGATAAGAACATAACGCAGATGGCAACTCTGAAAACCAGAAACCAACTCAGAAAAACACAGGAGAGCTCTAACATTGGTATCCAATTTCTAATTATCGTATCAATATATCTTAACACACAAGATCTTGTTTCAATTAATGTGTATGTAGCCGACGTGTAGCCGTACCCTCCCCCTATGGTGAAACGGAAGCGAGGTTTCCGCGGGTTGCCTCGCCTCCGTTTCACCTCGGCGGCGGGGGGGGAAGAGGATGCGGCTACACGTAGGCTAATGTGTATGGGACACAGCTGAGATGTTATGTTCACATTAACACTCTAAGGTATTTAATGTAATTCTCTGTGAATGCGTACATATCTCAGGTGTGTGCATTTTGTGGGTGCACAAAGATCACACGTTATCTGCAACTGATAATTAGCTAATTACACCTACTAACAATATTGTTATAGTCAACGTTTTTTTAGTGGGAGATGCCTTGATATCACAAAAGCTAACTTGTGAGTTGCAAGACAAAGATGGACATAAACTGTACAAATAATAAATATTTTGTCCATCCCTGTCTTAAATAGAATAATACAAGAATAAAATTAGCGATGCTTCTCTAAAAAGTCTTTGACGTCAGTGTATAAAAAATCTAATTTACACTTTTATTAACATGTTTTCTTTTCTCCAATATGCAGTGCGCACATCCCTACAGTATAAAAATACTGGTTGTTTGTTGCTTGTCTCATGAACAATAGCAATGAGTACAACACCCGGCAGGAAATCGTAGGCTCCTTGTTGGTTATCTTTTTCCTTCTGAAGTCCATAATCCTCTTAGCAGCTGGAGGTAGTGAAATATATATATATATATCTCTTTTTTGCCAATAACAGTGATATTGTACCCAGAGCTCAATGAGATGAAGCGATTTTCTTATCACTGGAACCAGAAGCCTTGGAAGTTGATGGTAACTTTGTTGCATGGCTTGTGATACTGAAAACAAATTGTGCACAACCAAGCTTTATGTAACTCCCATGATGCAACAAAGCTGTTCCTTCCCATCCTGCACCACTGCCCCCAATCAAATTTGAGCTACTTGTTGTGCAGTTACAAGCTTTGACAATTTTTTGCACACCAAGTCCCACAGTTCTCCGTGATCCTTTTGGCTTTGAATTGTTCTGCCTCACTTGCGCAGCAGCAAGCAATTTGTTCTTGCTTACTTTGGTAGGATCAAGATCCTTTGATGAAACAACATGTCTGTTGATTTTGTCCGAAAAGTCACAGGAGTATAAAACATTATCTACATATGTTCCGTGTTCACTGTAATTTATGAGTTCATACTGTTTCGAAGTCTGTGGAGAAAAAAACAAACAAAACAAAAAAACTTTTAACCACCAGCTTTTTTTATACTCATAGAAGAATATTATCTTATAGACACAATGTACCAAATAATTAAATAAATAACCAGATAAAAATAAATTTAAAAAACTCAAATTAACCAGCTTGATATTTTTGAAACATATAGGTAATCAGAGCATACCTCATCATAGAATATAGAGCAATGTTTTTCAGATATAAAGTTGCAGTGTCCATATTCCTGGAGACAAACATCCATATCTGGACCTTTAAACAAAGAGAAAATTTAAACAAACTGTTACAAGCACTAAAAATATTTTTTTTGTGAGGCAAAAATAAAAAGTTGAAGAAAAGTAATGAACTTATAATATTTTTCATTTTTAACATTTTCTGTGCTCAATTATATGGAATCACAAAAACTGAAACCCAATGTATTACTGCAACTTTAAAGAGATTCATCAACATCTTAAAATAAGTAGTTCTCATTTTTAGAGGGCTCAAGGTCCATAGATTTAATATGCGCTATGGGCATTGAGCAAATAAATAGTGTAAACACTAACCTTGTCCTAACGACAGACACTTGTGAATCATTGGACACACAGGACCTGTCCCTGACAGTGGACACAGCACTGCTATGGATCTGCCAGCAGGAACTAAAAAGAGAAAAAAAACACTGTACAAACTTTATGCCAAAAAAGAGATGGCACAACACCTTTGAAACACACAGTAAAGAGGGAGAAGTACTGCTAGGTTAAAAGAAATAAGAACAGACCTACAACTTTCCAAACTAACTACATACCAGCTTGTTGTGGAAGAACTATAGTTTCTTTTAAGCCATTGAAGGAAATTTTCCGAGCTGAAACTGGGCTTGGAGGTATGGGCTGCAAACAACAGGCGAACAATGTTATGGTTTCTTTTAATTTAGAACTAATCACAAGTTTGACATAAGATTTAAAGTCACAGAAGGCATCTTAAGACCAAAAGTGGGGTTGTCAGGGATTCTGTCAAGCAAGGGAGGCTTTAACCACAAACCCGTTGACAAAGAAATTGCTTCAACAACACCAAAGCTCTCTCTTAGAGAAGGGTAACTCCTGAAGGCCTGGAACAGATAGTGTGGTATTGGGGGAGAGGGGAGGGACTGAGAAACAACTGCAGCAGATGGAACCATCATGATATTGCCCTGAACACCAAACAAGGCCCCAGTAAAGGGGGAAAACTGTCAATGTCCCAGTCTTAATGAAGCAGAGTAGAGGATAAGAAGAGTTCAACTTGCCTTGGTCTGAGTAAGAAGCTGCTGTAGCCTCTGGTAAGCCAAAACTTGTATGAGCCGCGGATCTAACTTGGCCAACTCTGTTTCTGACAAAAAGTACTCAGTTCAAGAAAACTGTATAGCTATATAGTATATTTACAGAAGGAGAATGAACAACACCCCAACATTTTTCTTGGAGGAAAACTATTGTTGAGAACTACTTCCAAACTGGTACACTATGGGTGCCAATTTTCAGCACCCACTAAGCTTAACAACACCTTGACTGACTTTCAAACATATTACATGAACCATTAAACTATAAATAAAGGGGATAACACTGACCATTGAACGCATCGACTCCTGCTGCAGCACAGATACTGTTTATAGCATTAGCAGTTGCCATAGAGGTTGCTGCAGCTGCTTGGTTAACTTTGTTTGGACTTGACCCAACTGACACAGGTGCTGAAGCATTCACAGTCCCAATTTTCACAGGATTGACACTTCCTGCATTTCCAGGTGCTCCTAATGTTACTATACTACCACCAGGGATTTGGCCAGTGCTAGCAGCAGACAACCCAGCAGTAGCAATTGTCTTAATGATGTTCCCACTGTTTGTGCTCGTAAGCACAATAAGTTTTGTTGGTGTTGATGAAGCAACTTTTGTTGTGCTGGTACCACTTGAACCAGAAGGAGTCACAGTTGAAATTGTTCGGGTAGCTGCACTGACAGTTGTGTTCACAACAGAACTGGATGATGAAACAGCTACCGTTTTTATAGAGTCTGTTGTTACTTTTGCCTTAACATTGTTCAAATGACCAATATCATTGACAAGTTTTGCTGTGTCACTAGAAAGTTGTTTACATTCAGCACTCAACTGGGTCAAGTCACCGCAGGCCACCTGTTTCTCAACAGTTTTTGGCTCCTGTTTGACTAAGACTTGTGAAGGTAAATGTGTAGATGACACAGTACAAAGGTTGACAGAGTTACCTGAACTTGCTAATGACTTTGTATTAAGTGGTCCATTCATATGAGTCTGTAATTTTGACGGAGATGCATATAATATTGTCAGTGGCTTTGTTATTGTTTTCCCACCACTTGTGGTTGTAATAGTGGTTGTCACAACTCTACTTATGCAAGCATTTGGTACACTGCCATTAGCTGCTGTTGCAGAAACATGATTAGTTAAGTCGGACTTCGAAAGCAGACCATTTACAACAGGTTCTTTCCCAGTTCCACTACTTGTAGCATGGGCTGATCCTGAAGTCGATGAGTGATTGTTTGAATTTGACGTTTCCCCTTTAGAGGCATTATCTGTGTGATTGGCAATCAAAGCTTTGTTCACAGATGGTTGTGTCAGATGCTTTGCAATTCCACATTGGAGGCTAATCACACATTTTAACCACTGAAAATTTGAAAAAAAGGAAATTAGTTATCTTTACGCTGACAGAAAAGGACAACAAAACTGCTTACAGAAAAATAAATTGTAACACCCCTGAATGCAACATTATCAATATCACTCCCAGAGTCAAATATGTCTGTGTTTGTTTGTTTATGGGACATGGAATCATCTGTGGTAACAGTAGCTGAATAAAGCAAAGATGATTGATTCAAATTTTCAATTGCAAGGTACAGAGAAAAACCTTAGTCCCATAGTGATAATCCAAACACTTTTCAAATGCAATGAAACTGGCTAAACCTTGTGATATCAGACTAGAGGGACCCACAACAAACAAGGGGATAAGACTAACCAAGGCACTATCAAAGTTGGTAATAATAAATCCTTCAAGACTTTCCCCCAGTTTGTGTTCATTTTCACCTTGTCCCTCTCAACAAGTCTCAGCCTTACCTCTTCCTGCTCCTCTGCAGTTGGAGTGTTCAGAGGAATCGCGTGTAGTGGTAAAGGTTCTTGCATTCTTTTTATGTGTTCAGGAAGAGTTCGATATGGTGGAGACTCATAATGGTCCTTGATTGCTTGTGGAACCTATAAAACATACATCCAGTTTTCTTTTTGTTATTCAAAAGGAACTAATATTATTACTTACAACTCAAATAAAAAATTCAAAGCAGTACACTGTTGGTATTTTCAACCAGAAATACATCAAAAGTAAACACTAACCAACGTTGCTCTTCTTCTTGTTGGTAAAAAGTCCTTTCTTTTAAAAGAAGGATGTTTCTTCAATCTAAAAGTGACATCAAAGAATCAAAAAATGTTCAAAGCACTCACATAAAATAAACTTATTTCACTGGAATAGGTAGTTAACAAATACCTGTGCACACGTTGAAGAAAGTTCATTTTTATAGTATGCTGGGAAATATTACTCCTAAGGTCATTATAGGCTTGAAGTCTTTTGCTAAATCTTGGATCACGTAATCCAGGCTGAAAAAAATTTAAAAAAGACCAAAAAGACAATCTTATTGCAAGCACACACATTCAAATGGTTTTTAAAATCTTTAATAAGATGTTGACCTTTAAAATGCTAATAAATGTGCATGTAATTCCACTATACTAACCACCTAAAACAACTTGGTGCTGTCAGAATCATTCATTTGTTTTCAAAATGACTTTCTTAAGGAATTAATGGTATTTTAACTTTTACATGGATTGAACCTAAGGAGTATTACAGAAAGTATTATCCTATGAGAGAAGCATTCTTTGAAAATTCTTCAGTTGACACACTTGGAGAAATATTCAAGCTCTTTAGTCATAAGGAAAGCCATTGTCCACAGATTGAGGGAATAATAGCAACCAACACTGAACCTTTGAAGGACTACCCTCACTTATGTTTACAATTCAAAGGTTGAAGATTGACTTGAAAAATGACAACAGAAAAGAAATGATAAATATCCATGGCAAATATATTACCTCAGCATGCTCAGCATGATTTGGGCACATCCACATGCCACTTGGTACAGTGGTCAGGGGAGGGTTTATACAGTCCATGTGAAATGCCAGGGGGCAGAAGTCACAATGAACAAGTTGGCCAACCAAATCACTCCTGCAGAACAATGAAACACGATTCACTACACAAATCCTTTCCACTTTCTTTGAGATAAGTTACAGTACTATGTGAAAATCTTGGAAGTTACACTAACAGGATTAAGATTACTGGTGTCTTACCGACTACAAGCAAAACAAAGTCGCCCAGGAGGGATTGTATGCTCATCATCATCAGTATGTCTTTTCCCATTTTTTACAGGAACTGTTCTTTCTTCAGTACTATTTTTCCTTTTTCTGTCGCCTTTCAAAAAATAAGAATGTATATCTTAGAGAATATAAATCACCACTCTAATTAAATACATACCAAGAAATAACACACTGAAATAGAGGTATGTTCCTCTCGTGAAGACACAAAAGATTTAACTATTTCATCACTGCATCAATTACAACACTTAAACTACATGCTACCACAACTTTAATACTACAAACATTTTTGTTTTGATTAATCAAGAAATAATTTCATTTCATACTCTATAACATACCACCATACAAAGACAACACTAACCAGGAAAGAAGGTATTACACTTCAGTTCTGGTGGTAGAGAAAATGTAGTTGGGTTTTTTCCAGTTGTCATTTTTACTAGTGTAGAAAACGGTGATTCTGGTTTTGAATTCTCAGTTTCTTTGACAGCTGGTGTCAAATGACCATCAGTTTTCATTCCATCATTTGCAGGGTCTTTCCCTTTATTATCAGCATCCTGAAAAAGAATTCACACAAATTTTATAAGTTACCTTAAAGTAGATAAGACTCATTTTTTTCCACTTTACATTATCTTTTCAGATCATAGTATTTACAAGTGAAAGGCAAAAAGGGGACAAATTTGTCTAGTTTTAGCAACAGTATTTGCACATTTACTTAACCCTTTAACTCCCATGAGTGACCAAGAAAGAATTTTTCTCTACAATATCAATACAATATCAACCAGATCCATGATGAGCATAAAGATAAATATCAATTTGGGGATAATAAGTTAATCCAATACTAAATTCTCTGATCTAACATTATAAGAATTGCATGGTTGACAGTAAGAAGAATTACAAATTTGATCTGGGAGTTAAAGGGTTAATTCAGTCCAATCTGGTCACAAAGAGTTTGACTTATATTATTGCTATAAATTGTTTTCCAAATTTCCAACTTATATTTGGCACCATTTAGATGCTTTGTTAAAAAAAAAAGATAAGAATCAATTGCCAATTACAAAAAAGGCATTGTTACAATTTGTCTTAGATATTTCAACCATAGCAAATTTAACTTTCTATTTCATTGTGGCCAATTCATGACCTGCAGAGAATGAGATTTTCAGAGAGCAAGTTGTTTTACCATGGTGACTGTCTGAATGAAACTAAACAAATTATTCTGCCATTGTATCTACAATAGAATGGTTAATCTCTCATAGACAATAACTACCTCTTTGGGTAATGCTTTACATTCATTACAAAGCCATTCACCATCAGGAATATCATCTTCTTCTAGCGGAGGATCACTGAAAACAATAGACAACAATTAAGAACAACATCAATAAAATAACACAAGGCTTCTTTTAAGCTTTAGCATTGAAAGAAAGCTCCAAATTTCTATAGATAAAGAGACTATAATCATCACATAATATAAATTCAAGTTTAGAGGAAAAATTTGACCAGATATCAACCTTTCCCAGATTATCTTAAACAGGAAAATAAATTTTTATTTTCTAACCAGTGTTTGTGATAAATAAAAGTTTAAGAAACTACACTCCAATCAAAGTCAAAAACATAGATTACTTTTACATGGTTAGATATCTGGAGGAACAACAAAATACAGGAACACTGAGGAACAGTTTGTAAGCACTTTTAGGAACAAAGGATGGTACACCAGACACTACTATGATTCAATGATTCATGTAGTGTATGGTAATGATTCATTGTAAATAATCTAGACACATTATAAAGTGTCCTTTGATTTGGCTTTATATTCGAATAATGTTATTTTGCAATCATATGCAATCACCAGTTTCCATTTCTTTACAAAGAACAATTAGAGAGGTGTATGAACACTTAAGAGCTAACTGTACCATGTTTCAAAAGACTGACAAAAAAAACCTTCCCAGTTGAGAGGCATAACAGTAAACATCTTAGCCAACAAAATTGCCAAAAACTAAAAAACAATAAATGGTTTTAACTATAGAAGGACTAAACAGTGAGAGTACAGGGAAGTAGTATCTGAGCAAAATAAGGAACATGTTTTATACACAACCATACAACAAAATGACTGATTTCTTCTGTTTGGTTGTTCATAAATTCATCCCACATTGACCACCACATCCAAAACAAAATATCTTGAGAGTAAAAGGAGAACATTCTGTTGAGTTTTGGAATACTCTTTAGGTACGAAATGTGAACAAAAAGCTAGTTCCAGAAACAGACCTTCAAAATACTTTAATTAATAGCTATAATAATGTGAAACAAGATATTTCTATGATGATACCAATTTCAGTGTTCAAACTTTATACTAGACTAAGAGGAATATTTTTATTCCCCTACAAATTCACGCTGTTATTGTATTTTGAAGTGCACTTACCTACGCAAGTTGAAACAATTGAGCGTAGGTCTCTCCTGTTACATTTCGATTCGAAGAGTAAAATTTGATAGAAACCACATTTACAAGTCATTTCCACGTGATTGGAAATCCAATTCGTATAGAAAGATAAGCAGCGCAGCTTCAGGAAAATTACGATAATTAACATCAGCTGTAACTATGAGCGGGTGTGTGATAACTTAAAATAAGCATTTCTACTGTAACATGTTAAAAGTCTTTCAAACATGATTATTGTGAAGTCAAGGAAGAAATCTCAATTCGGACATAGAATATAAAGTCACCGATAAAGACCTCCTTTAACAATGTATGAATAAAAAATCATAATTGAACTGACCAGCATGTCAGGTGAAAAGCGCAGGGACATCGGTCACAGCAGAGTAAATCACCTCCTTCGCCACAGCTATCACAGTTGTCGTTGTTGACAGCCCGTCCTTGCTTCCGCGCCTCTTTATCCCCTTTTTTCATTCTCTTCCCTGAATCTTCCGACTGCGGAGGTTGGATAAGGGCTTGAATCCTCTGTAAATAATAAAGAAATGGGTATGTAATAAAGGTAAACAACTGGTGCGAGTCCAGTTTCAAAGCAAAATTGGTGAAAGGAACTAAGAACTTCTACGCACGTCCATCAAGCTTCCTTCTGGATCCAAGTGGTCGTAATCCATTTTGCAAACTTCTAAGTAACCAACAAAACTGTTTTCTACCGTAGAGTAACCACACAAACAAAACTCGAGTTTTTCTATACGAGAAATTCCAACCTAGGGGAACAATTCGAACAAATTGCCGCCCTTAAATTTTTCAGAGTTGAGGGGCATTTTCTAAGCCCCTCATCGATAAAATGTCTCGCGATTCAGCCCACTACTAGCTGTATCGTTGCTTTCTGAGAGGAAGCAAAGACCTTTGCTTAAACTAGAAGCTTGAGACAAAAGTGCCTAATTTAGGTGAGAGAAAACCCTCTGTTAGCCTCCGAAAAACAGAAGAACAAATTTGGTTTAACTGAGAGCGCATGCGCCAAAGTCTTAGTGCGCATGAGCAGCTGTTTTCGCGCGCTACCGCTGGTAGAGTCAATGCTCATAATTCTCCTCAGGTCTCGCGCGGATTTGCGAGGGACTTTATAGCGATGTGTTTGCCCAAACTTGCCTAATCAGTTTTAAGGAGTCATCTTGGAACAGACTGTGTCATGAAAAATATTACTGGAAAAAAGTAAAAAAACAAAGAAAACTACGGCGTTTTTTGTCGGCTTGAGACAGGTGATCATGGCCTGCTCTCTTACCAGAGATCAGATTTTCTGGCCTACAGTGGCATGTGCCCGCCTGGAAGGGTTTGGTAAAAAAACTGGGCCGTGCTTAAAAACCTGAAAATATCAAAATTGTATTTCCAATTTGTCACGATCTAGTTAAGCTATGTACTGGCAACAATTAGATGTTTGACGTAAAATTTTGAATCCTATCCTCGGGGCGGGGCTTTTATTGTGAAATCCACCCTGGATCAGAAGGAGATAACCATAAAAAAACGTTAACATCTACTAGATCAATTATGGAAAGAAATTCATGAAAATGGCTCTTTGAGTGTAATGATTCTGTTACCCTAACCAAACAATAGAAACTATTTTAGATTTTCAGCAAAATTCTTGACTCATCATTATGAGTGATTACCATCTGACAAATTTCATACAGGATTAAATTGAAATAAATAATTGAAAACACATGTATAATATAACTACTTTCTGAGGCTTTTCACCCCTTTAGGTGAGGGTGTCTCGGAGTATCTAGGCTCTGTGGCACTAGTAATAAAAAATCTCACCCACGCTTCTTATTCAAAATAAGATGGCAGATATAATTTGAAAGAAAAAAATTAAAGGGAATATTTACTGCTTTGTTTTTTTCTGAATGCATTTTACTGAGACTTAAGGTTTATAATTTTGTGAGAATTTTACGTAAGGGTTAGTGTTGAGGAAGGTAAATAGAGCAATTTTTTTTGTTGTTGCTTTGAAAAGTGTGTATCAGTGGTTGTGTTTATGAACCAGGGAATAGATATATGGCGACGAATGCGAGACGCAAGGATGATAAATTAGCGTTCGCACGATGAATAAAAACATTCCTATCCCCCTTCCCACCCCCATCGTGCCTATTGACAATTATTATTTTGCCACGCGAGTCCCGTTTCCAGGGTCGCGCGCAAATATTACGTAATTGTCACAGAATCCGCTGTTTTCTACCATGGAGCTGCTTCATATTAAAACACCTCTGCTTGAGAGCCATGCTATGACAAAACTGACAGGATTTCCTGTTTACTTGAAGCTAGAGAACGTACAACCACCAGGATCCTTCAAGATTCGAGGAATTGGAAATTTGTGCCAGAAGGTTTGATCATCATAATATCCTGTTCCCAGGGCTCACCGCTTTCTCTGCATAATTTTTGATAAACTTCCTGCTTTAATTGTCAATTTTTTAGTTTTTATTTATTCATATGACAGTTACGTCCAAGTTATTGGCTTGTTAATCTGGATTCAAATATCTTCCGGACTTAAAAACACTCAAAGATGACGAGAGTTTTCTAGTCAGGAGGGACACGTGTTCGAAAATGAATGTTTTTGTTAGAAATCATAGTTAACGTCACGTTTGCTAAGCATTGTGTAGTTCATTGGAAAGAATTATGCCCGAAGTTCTGCGGCTTGCTTTTGAAAAGCAACCTATATGTAAATTTGTTACTGGTGGTTCAAGATTGAGAAACATTTATGAGAATGTGACAGTTGAACGTCTCCGATTTATGAGGAAAATTTACATGTAATAGAGGTTATTTTGGTTGCTTTAGACGAACTTTTGGGTGTTTTAAAGCTAAGACAAGGGTGTGCCATAGTTGTCGAAACTGCTTTAAACCACTCAAAGGGACAATTATATAGCCATTATTGAATTTTTTTTTAAGAAGTAGATTGTTAGACATGCACTATTGTAGGATGGAAGGAAAAATGTTTTAGAAGAGAACAATTTGTATCTTAATAAGTTGATGTTAGGAATAAATAATCAGTCATTTCAAAGAATAGGGTGAGGTTTTTTTTCTGAGTTTAGTGGCTCCTTACTGTCAGATCATTTGTTGTAAGGTTTTTGGTAATAACCTTTTGACCCTCAAGTTACAAGCATCTACTTTCTCCTTACAATATCACCCCTGAACCAAACTTTAAGGTGATGAGAATAAAGAAAATGATCACCTACCAAAGAAGCTATTAAATATTGAAAAAATCCTCCTTGTCAGTATGTAAGGAAATGTATAGAGAACAGTGTGGAGAATATGCATACTGATTTTATGGTGATAAATGAAAACTAGCACTGTATTTTTTGTTGGTTCCAGGCCATGCAAAGAGGATGCAACCATATGGTTTGTTCATCAGGTATATTTTGATATTTTGGCTTTGAAAGTCTTTATGGTGGCTAATTTACATTATCAAGTCAGTTGATAATACTTGATTACCCTGTCATACTCCCCCACCAATGGAGCTCCACAGTTTCTTTAAAAACTTACCCCTTTATACATTTAACCCTTAAACTTCCAGACCAAATTTGTAATTCTCTTTGCTGTCAACCATACAGTTCTTACAATGTTAATTCAGAGAATTATCCCCAAATTGATATATTTCTTTATTCACATCACCTATCTGCTTGATAGTGTACTGATATTATAAGGAGAAATTCTTTCTTGGTCACTCATGGGACTTAAAGGGTTAAGTTAGCTTTGAAACTCTTTACAGTGGCCAATTTACGTTATCAACTTAGTTGATAATATGTTATTACCCTGTTATACTCCCCCACTGATGCAGCACCACAGTTTCCTTAGAAACTTACCCCCTTTATTCATTTTAGTTAGTCCTTTGAAGGTACTTATCACTAGCCTTGTAAAAGGATTCTCTGCCCCAAAGGGATACAGTGCTTTATTTTGAGCAAGAGGTGTAACTAGAGGGATTTCCTTAGAGTGGTAAAGGGGAGGTCTAACTAATCTTTATCTTAAAATGAAAAGGCTGGAAAACAAGTTTTTAGAAGTTAGAAAGAGAAAAACTTAGTCTGAGTTGCTCAATTAATGGTGGAATTGTTCTGTCCATTGCAAAAAGTTTGCTTTTTTAGTGTATTGTCTTCAATAAGGTAGAAAATTTGTTATCTCTCTAGTGAAAACTAATTTGACAATGGGCAACATTTGGTACAAGTAACGCAAGGTATCCCTGTGCAAACTATATTAGTTACTTCCTCTGCATTAACCCTTTAAATCCTAGGAGTGACTGGCATCTAATTTCTCCTTACAAGATTACCCCTGAATAAAGCATTAAGGTTATGAGAATAATGGAAATGATAAAAAACTAAAGAAGCTCTTGATTGTCAAACAAATTCTCCTTTCAGAACCTTAAGAAATGTATAGAGAAAGTAAGGTGAATATGCATACTGATTTTAGGGTGTAAAGGATTAATGAGTAGGAAACAGAGTGGCCTACTTGTCATTGCCCTGGACTCCAGGACAAGAGGTCTGGGTCAAGACCTGACTGGATCATTGTCTTGAGTTCTAGAGTTCTTGAGTTCTTCTTCCAGGGGGGAAGGGGAGAAGTAATTCTTCAAGTTGCTTTATAGTAAGGAAATTGTGATAAGCTGTGGGTAGATGGGCTGAAATCATTGATTGAAAACTGTGTTGATGGGTGTCCTTCATTAACCAACTATGTTTGTACGATGTCAGGTGGAAATGCTGGGCTTGCAGCAGCATATGCAGCTAAGAAGCTTAAGATCCCTTGCTCTGTGATTGTACCAGGGTCAACACCAATGTTTATTGTGGAAAGACTGAGGGAAGAGGGAGCTACAGTTGAAATCTGTGGCAGTGTAAGTTGAAAGATATTACATGTTCTCTAATTGTGTTAACAAGTTGTATAATTAAAGAATCCTAGAGGAGCTACAATTAAAATAATTCAAATTTTTATGCATGTCATATTGAAAATTACCACCCACAAGTAGTAAAATCACACAAAATTTTAATTTCAATTGATAAAATAGATAATACTAAATTAGAAAGAATTAATCAGGCTGTTATAAGGATGGCTAAGGATGGGAAAAAGTCTGTATTCCTGCCAAGTGGCCCATTCAGCAGACCTTATTTGGGTTTCTGTAACATTAAGTGACTAGGAAAATTACTTCTCCCCCCTGGATAGGATGCCGATGCATTGCAAGGTTACCCTCAGCATTTCATCAGGTTAATCTAACAGTTGGCCAGTACCCATTTATACTCCTGGGTGAAAAGTGAAGGATGGGAAAGATTGACATAAATACTAAACCACAAATATGCAAAATTTACATAGCTCCTGTTAACCTTTTAACTCCCATGAGTGACCAAGACAGAATTTCTCCTCACAGTATCAATATAATATCAATAGAAAAGTGATGAGGATAAAGAAAGACATCAATTTGGGGATATGGTTCATCCAATACTAAATTCTCTGAACTGACATTATAAGAATTGTGTGGTTGACAGTAAAGAGAATTACAACAATAACCCTGAACAACAATTACATTAACCTCATGGAGGGTTGCTCTTGGTTTCAAGCAACAATCACCTCAGTTCATAAAGGAGTCTAGCAGAGATTCACAGGAGACATTTAAGTAGGAATGGTTTTGAGACTGATTCTACTTTTTGACTGTTTGAATAGTCTTGGGATGATGCAGATGCAAGAACTTTAACACTAGCAAAGCAGCCAGGTAATTAATAATGGTAAATAGGACTGAGTGGAGTCCAATTCAGTCTGAAATCATACAAGTGATTAACAAAATTGGATGCCCCAGAGCAGGAGTCTGATTTTGCAATTATTAGTATGATTACAGACAGAATTGGAAGACACAAAGTCCCAGTTACCAATTAATCATAACTGCTACAATTACCAAAAGCAAAAAAAATGCATTTAGGATAAATATCTCCAGTAGATACAATGTCTAAGGTTAAAAAATTCCTCCGTATTGGAAATTCCACATTTTTTTAAGGATAAGTGGCTGTTGCTATGGTTATTATGCTCAATTCTGTGATTGGTGGATTTAGCTGAGTGGACTTATTATGATTGGCTGCTTCAACTGTTCAATTACAGCTGTCCAATTACAGCCAACCTTCTGACTATACTGTGTAATTACAATTGTACAGAATGATTAGTGAAAAATAAAGTAGCAAATGCACCAATCCCATTTCAGGAAATTGTAATTTCCTTTGGTCCCTAATAGAGATTGGCTTACAGAATGGGATAAGAATCTGTCATCATTGAAAGGTCCTTATAACTAGTTTAAGTTCTATACTTAAAGTTCTGTCATGTGAACAACCAAAAATTTAGTTCTTGTAACTCACTGTATGATTTCAAACTGTTTTGAATGCTTGGGAATTGTTTTGTTTACCCTTTAACTTCCAAGATCTGATTGTTAATTCTTCCCTCTAGCTGCTTCACATTTCCTTAGTTACCAGAATTTGGAGTTTGATCAATAATCTATCAATAATCCAATTAGATTTGGACTTTCATTGGGCATATTTCCTAAACATGGTTTCTCTTATAAATGTTCAGAACACACTGTTTTCCTTTGTCAAACTGAGTTCAGTGTTGTTCCCTAAAGCTGTCTTTATCTTTCCAGGCTATGCATATATTCCACCATTTAATCACCCAGATATCTGGTAAGAACAATTTCTATTTATAATTATAATAAATCAAATGGTGTTCAACATTCTTAGAAATTTAAGTATCTCAACCCTTTTGTTACTTCTTGTAGCTGAATTGGAAGGGCGCAATTTTGACCAAAAGTTGCACTTAAGAGAGCAAATAATAGGAACTCTACACGGAAGATCATACAAAATTTCCTTGAAGTCACTTCCTCCTTTTTCTGCTGATTTTGATCACATTCCTTTGCAAACCAGTCATAACGTGCCTTTACTCTGCAGGGAGGGTGTGGCCTCTGTTATTCACGAATCAGCTGAACAGCTGCCAGAGAAGCCAGGCATTGTTGTGGTATCTGTTGGTGGAGGGGGACTGTTGTCTGGGGTGCTACAAGGTATGCACAATGTAGGGTGGACTGATGTCCCTGTTGTTGCCATGGAGACTAAAGGAGCAGACAGTTTTAACGCATCTGTTCAAGCAGGGGAGCTTGTTACATTAGATGCTATTACAAGGTTTGTGGAAAAGAAAACTAAACAGTTAAGCGCATTGCAGATGTCTAGCATAGGGTCCAAGTGTAAGTGACTACCTACCACATTCCAGGGAGTGAGGTTGCTTCTGCAAGCAAACACTTCCAGAATACCGCATCTTTCCTTGAATGATAGCTAACATTTCATTTGGAACCTCTGATAAGAGAACGATCCGACGTTAAACGCTTGTGGTTGAAATCGGTTATTTTGCTATTGCTTTTGCTGACTTTGATCCTCCGCAGGCAACCACTAAACATGACCCAGCTTAATTCGCTCACGGCCATCTGAGAAGGGTGGGGTTGGGATGAAGGGCTACCTCCACAGCCATCTGAGTAGGGTGGGGTGGAGATAAAGGTTGACCTCCCCTCGGACAGAAAGGGAAGGGAGATCTCAGTTACGTGATTGTAAAAAATTCCATTTACGAAAAATGACGCTAGAGTCCAAACTCCATAGAAAGTATTATTAAACTTGTTAAATGAACCACAACATTCGGCTAAATTGAAAACTCCGAAAGTTCTTAAAAATTCCAAACAAAGGGGTTACAAATTTGCGCTAACGACAGCTCAAAAACAACTAACTAAACTCCGTAAAACAAAACAACAAAAGTACGTGAAAATGTCCAAGTCAGTTTTCCAATGTCAAGGTGAGAGTTCTTTGACGTGATCGGCTAATTTGTGAAATCACGCGCGCCGCACATGAATACAAAAAGGATACAAAGGTGGGAGAGGAAGAGAAAATTTGTAAACGAAATAGATTTTTTACAGTGGTGATTTCCATTCTGACATTATCAAAGTTGTTTTACCTGTTGTATTTATCATCAGCGTTGCGAAGTGTTTAGGTGCAAGAAGAGTAGCAGCAAATGCACTTGAATGGACCAAGAACCACACCATTATAAGTCATGCGTGTACTGACAAGGAAGCTGTCTTGGCATGCGACAAATTTGCAGGTAGCGATTTTTGAGTATTTCTTCTTTTAGGTTAAGATCGTCACCGTGAAGGAATTTTCTTAACCTCTTATTCGTTTTCTTTTGATAGTTTTTCTCGCAATCACTGTCTCTTTGTCATTAAAGCAAATAGACCCGTTCGGCGATTGTTGTTAGGCCTTAATTCTTTAAGAGTTACTGTCATCTGAAATCTCCTTACAGTATCACCCTTGAATTAAATAAAAAGGTCACGAGAATAAAGAAAATGTTTGCCAACCCAAGGAGCTTTGATTGTAAAACGAATTCTCCTGGTAAATTAGACTGAGGAGAATTGGATGTTAGATCAAGTCGTACTTCGTCAGTTTGCGCCATGTCTGACATGAAATCCTCATTGCTTTCGTTTCAGATGATCACCGCATGTTAGTAGAACCAGCTTGTGGCGCGGCCTTGGCATGTGTGTATGAACGACTTTTCAAAGTGTGGCAAGAGCAAGGAAAGCTTGGGGAACTAAAATCGGCTCTTGTCATTGTCTGCGGGGGAAATTTAGTGTCGTTGAAAGCAATGAAAGAATGGAAAGACCAACTTGGGCTTAGTTAAGGGATAAAATCACTGTGGAAAACGAAAAACATTACAGGACACCATAACTACCATTCCTCTATATCATTCGACATTTGATTAGACAAGGGTGCAGGAACTGTACCGTGATTGGTCAAGCCAATTTGCCAATCAACAGTAAGGAAGCATCAACGGGATAGAAGGGAAGAATTGCCGCTTGTTTTCTTCACTTGGAGCAGCAAGTAATTTTTATTAACTTCTCACCGACTGAAGGGCAAAAAAATGACAGTATTTTTAACCTTTGACTTATGTACAAAAAGTATGATTACAATCTTTCTCAAATCTGATTTTTACACTACATGACAACTGAACAATTTATAGATGACCTTATGCCAGTATTATCCAAAGAAATATTTTACAACTGTTCTTTTTAGGGGGACTGAAGTGATATCTTACAGAAGGTTTATATTTTCCTTGTGAACCATTATTTATTTCCTATGGAAAAGAAAGAGAGAATACAATGTGAGTTACTTCGAAATCCAAAATTACAAATGCTGTAAATTCAAAGAAATTGTAATCATCAGAAGTGGGGAAAATTTTACCAAGGGAAAATTGAAACTCCACAAGTCGAACTTACGAGATAAGTCGGTAAATTCCGTAAGAAATGAGAGCTCCGGCAGCAACCACAACACAAGCTTTTCTGTAGAGAGAGGTTTACCATTAAATAACACCTTCCAAGAAAGTTACCCAACTTATAAATTTAGATAGATATCAAGCGTAAAGTCAAGATACACATGAAGTATGAATGACCGCGTGAATGACACAGATTTTGGCATCTAGATAGAAACTTGCATAATTTAAAGGAGCTGTCGGATTATTTGATTGTGCCCTTCAACAACATGTTTTGCATTTTTCGCATACGAAGCAGGAGCAGAAAGAAAGACGAATCCTCTCAAGTGCCCCCTTAAAACCTACCAAACATATGTGTAGAAGACTCGTGTAACAAAGGCATAATCTAGCATGAAAGTAGCGGGAAATGATGAATAAAATTCAACTGCGTCCAACAGCTTGTAGACTAAGAAAAACTGGGGAAAACGAACAGTGAATGTTTTTCCGAAGGCAATGAATGGAACCTAATTTTCTTCGGGATAACTCAAGTATACCGAAAAAGGCCTTTTGTTCCCTCGCGAAACCTGGACCGCTGAACACAAAAATCGCACTGCTCGCTAGAGTTTAGGAGAAAAAATAACTGCTGGCAATTTTAGGTTTGTTCTGTTCTCCGCCACTTGTGTTCTTTTATCATATCGTGAATATCAGACTGCTAACAGCCTAAGTAAGAACCAATCCTTCTCAACCGAACTTACCCTAAAGAGGTCTCGGGATAGATCTTTGATCCCAGTGCCCCTCCCGGTTTTATATGGTACGTAAAGCTGTCAGTGACATTAACTGGGGCCATATCCGGGAGCTGTTCAGGAACTGTGACTTCTTGCCGACGTTCATCTGTAAGAGACGTTTCCATGAGAACGCATGGGGTGCAATTTTCAGTTTGGTGTGGTTCAACTGACTCGATCAATTCTTCTGCAATGCAGACATTACTGTCGGAAAGTAGTGGGGAAACGGCGGAAGTGACATCAACGGGCTCTGTGGCTGCGACCATGTACTCTTTGTCGTCTTCGACGATTTCAGATTCGACCTCCGTTTGTTCTCGCTTTTGTTCGTTTTCGTACTACAGACGACGAAAGAAAACAGGTCGAGACAACAACAACAGTAAAACATGATACTAAATCACTCTTTATGAAAGTGTAATGACAGCTGCAGAAATTCATTACAAAGAAAATGTGAGGAGTTTTCAATCAATTATACTGTAACTGCAAATAAAAGCAACTACCCTTCCCACTTCGAAACAAGCACAGGAAAGTACTCAGCCAATCTGGACAAATTCAAGCACTAGTTTCAACCAATTAGAAGAAAGAACGAGCCCAATCGTGATTTGGTCAGACTCGTTTTCCCATGCTCAGCACATTTAAATGTGCTCTGACATGTGGTCCGTTAATTTACTTTTCTCATAGATTTCATCAACTATTGCCACTAACTGGACCTCTTTCCTAATACTGACCTGCACAAGGAGTGTTTCTCTGGACGGTATCAGCAAACACAGACATCGGATGACGGTGAGAATGACAAGAGTGCTGTAAAACAGTGGGTAGCCGATTTCATAAGGTGCATTCTTCCTCCACACTAGAAAAAATAAAGAACCAGGAAGGGGCTACACAGTCGCTTCTTGGCATTTGCTTCTATTTCTCCCGGCGTTTTTAAGGACTTGATAATTGTAATTTGCTATGGTGTTTCCCCAGTGCGTTGGTATAGGACAAATTATGATCAGTTCATTTAAAAACCTGTTCTACCGCCTCATTAAATCGAATTCAAGAACCGAAACTCGTGGGAATGTTAGATCGTTCTGTTCGGATCGTTCGTATCCTGTGTTTAGTCGTTGGTACGGTGCCGATGGTTGTTGACATCTATTGAGGGGAGTCTGTTCTAAGGTATTGAACCGGCTTTCCTGAGTAAGTCTTCCTAACTAGTTAGTGCTGTCGATTGAGCATTGCACAGACTTACAGTCATTGGTGTGTTTCGTAAGTCGATGATATTCAACAAGGTGATTGTTGACGTCACCGTTTCTCGTCGTCCGTGTTTGTTCAGTCAGTCTTGTTTAGTGGTTCCTGTCAGCCTCTCCGATCTTGGAGGGGCGACAGTTGCAGCGCTTGATCTCCTAAACCGCTGCTTGTATGATGTTCGGTTTGTCCTCACATAGGGAAAGGTGACCCGCGAACTCATTGAGAGAAAACGTTGATTTTCTTAAAAACTAAAATTAAATACGAGCAACCTTCTAACACTTACCTTCTGAAATCCAAAAAAGTTGTGCGTATAGGTCGGAAGCTGCAAAAGTCGGGAAAAGAACAATGAATGAGATTGCTCGCTTAATCCTCGCAAACAAAAAAATCGAAGGGAAAAGTAGTTTTGTGTGTGAGGTTAAAATATATTTCCAGCGCTAATTGCTCTCAACGGAGGGGAAAAGCCCTTTTGATAGCTTTCTATATCCATTTCAAAGTTATGACTTTGAAATAAAGGAGTTATAGAAAATGAGGCTTCGCGAAAAAAGATTGCTTACTTAAGCCGGAGCTTTTTAAAACTGCTGGAAAGTGATCTATACGATCTTCAGTTCTTGATATCTGTAGTGCTGTAACCAAAAACCAAACCAAGAAGACAACAGTTAACGTTTTCAACATGCGGAATAATTTCGTCGGCTCAATGTAGACACACTTTCTTCACATTACAAAAAGAGCTTCAGCTTTCACAAAACTGAGCACGCATCTTGGCTCAGAGCGGGTTTTGTGTAAGTTTACGTCATAAACAATTCATCTATGACGTTGTTTTCAAGTGGTAGTTCATTGGCATTTCGAATAAGTTTCTCGTCACTTCCATTTGATTAAGAATGATCAAAACTTAGAACGTCAGTGAAATTCATGTAGAATGCCAAGATAGTTAACAACAGTTAACAAGCCAATAAAAATATATAGTGATCATCAGACAACACGCCAACCAAGGACCAACTTTTAGCGCGCGTGAGGTAGCGCACGCGATGTAGCGCATGCATGATTTCATAGATAAAAATCGTTACTTTAACTTTGCCGTATGAACAGACAAAAAAAAAATGGTTTAAACCAAGGCAAGAAAATCATTTAAAGGACGAATTTGTCGATCGATAGTGTTAGTTTTCTTCAGGTCCGCAGTATTTTGAAAGACCAAAGTAATATCAACAGTACAGTTAATGCCTTTATTAAGACAGGGCGGATCTAACGTTTGTTGAAGTCTTACAATTCTACTCGAGGAGAAAAGTTTCTGCAAAGAAACTAGGTTATTGTCATTGCAAGCAACTCTCGACCGTCATCTAAAATCGCAACGCATAACGAAAATTTTTCAAACTAGCAGCAAAGAATTAAAATAAAAATTATGGTGTTTTTTTTGCTGTGATAATCACTTGAAAAATTATGCAAAAACAGTTATTCGCCTCAGGCTCAGCGAATATTGCTCAATCTTCTTTGTTTAAAAAAGAACAGAAGAATGACTGAAAACCTTCGAGTATAAAAGATGTCATTTTGATTTTTAAAATTCTTTGCCGATAAAAACGGTAAAAATGTATGCACACCAAAACCCGCCTCAGCACCGACGGAAATATCATTTAACATACCAGCAGAGTCTAAGTTAATATAAACAACCCATTCCTTACACCATACTGTTGCGAAAGCGACATTTCATATCGATAAAACTACGGCTTCACGTTTTTCCTTTTTTAGAGCTGGAAGAGCGCAATAAATCTATTCATCTCTTCATTTATTTATTAATGTGTTTCATGGTTATTTGTCTTCTCACAGTAGGAGGCTGAATACGTCTAGGAGTCACGTAACCAGACTCTAGCGGTCACGTTCGCCGTTTGCCGTCCACGTTTGATTTTCGGGCAAGGCAGTTTCAGGTTGTTGAACTCCTTGAGCGCTTTTTTTCTTCCTATTCGAAAGTTTGATGTATGTCCTATAAATATATGTAAATTGAAGTCTTTTCTTTATAACAAATTTAGCCACATTTTGTGTTTGAAATGCAAGACCCCCATCCTTTGTGTAATTCAAGATGGCGGCACTGATCTAAAATGCTGAAAGTCTCGAAACTTTCTAACTTCTAACCAAAAACTACTGACCACGGTTTGACGTTTAGGTGAACACACCAAACGCGGATCTAAAACTCTCTAGCGTTAATATTTTGGCATGTCACGTAAGCCATGAGGTTTATCGAAGACAAAATTGAGGCATATATCGTTACGTTTTATAAAGTTTCAGTTCCCGTAAGAGTTTTTCCATAATTTATATAATTAACAATTTATCAGCATTCGGTCTTTAAAGGAAAACCCTCAAAGTTTCTGTATCTCTATTTGCTACTAGATCGAGGCTCCTTAATTTGTTCTAATTAATCTCCTTTTTTTAGCTGAAAAAAGAAATTGACAATCGTATGAAAATTGATAATTGATATTGATAACAATGGAATTTCAGTTGATCGACAACTTCCGCTTGATGTTCAGTTTTAACAAGTCTACGCGTCTTCGTTATCATGTTCTGTATTCATCAAACTGTGAAGTTCGCTTTTCTCTTGACATCCTGAAGGGTTAAGGACTACCGACCATCCTGTTGCTTTTCTGAACGCAAACATTACGACCCCGATTACAACAAGATTGACGAGTAAAAACGCCAGCAAGCCCAGTATGTGCCACGAAAAAACAATCGCGACGAATGCGTGGTTTGAACTTATATCTTGCCAAGGATGAGACCCGTACAACACATGAGCGACCTGAAAGAACCAGGCACCGAGAAGAACGACGAGAAATGAGCGCACCATACACAAGATAAGACTCTTGCGTTGCCACGCTTCCAGCATTATGATAAAAGCAATGGAAAATGCAACGGTGTACAGCGGAATATGTACCTTTTGTTCTAGATCGTTGCGACCTTCGACGTGGAAATAAAACAACTCCCCGACCAGGAAAAAAGCCATAGAAAACATAACATAATCTGTTGTTGGAGGCAAAAATAAGATGTTGTAATGGCGAAGAATTTCTGCCATGGCAGCCAACAGAAAACTACCATACATTGTCGCGTGACCGAAGTTGTTTAGGTGCGAAAAATGCCCATGACTGTCTAGAAGGCTCCATTCGCCTCTCGACAGCTCCGCAATGATTCCTACGGTGCATCCTATAACTTTCAAACAAGGCTCGGCGGGGAAATCTCTTAGACATGGCAGAGGAACTTTCATCCACACAGAAGATTCAAAGTCGAGTTCTAAGTCAAATTTCTCTGTGCACCCTTGCTGCGCAAGGGAGCGTCTTTTGAAATAATTTAGTTGGGCTTTCGCAATCTTAGCAAAGATGTTAAACCACCACCATAGGCCAAATATTATGAAAATAGACCCTGGAAGAACATGGCCAACGTAAGAACCCATATTTTAGTTTAGATCGCCGCTCCGATCGTTCCGCTTCCGTGACACTGCGTTTGAACGGATTAATGATGCGAGAACTGCACGTCCGCAAATAAATACTGACACATCCGTTTTGTTGTAAATCAATATAACTGCAAGACATGCTTGATATGTCAAGAAAAATACAGAGACATGTCATATTATTTTTGCGAAAACTGATGAAAGTGGTGTTCATTTTAATGATCCCCCCTAGAAACCAGTAAATTCCGAGGTACAAACACTATTTACTCATTTTAACGTCATGGACCATCAGTTTAGGATACAAACTTCAACCGATGCAATAGCCGTATCGACCCTTAACACCAAAGAGCAACTAGCATCGAATTCCTCCTACAACATCACCCCTGAATCACACATTAAAGTCGCGAGAATGAAGGAAATGTTCACCAACTTAAGAGGCTCTTGATCATCAAACAAATTCTCCCCGTCAGCACATTAGGAAATGTTCAGAACAGTGTGGAAAATATGCATACTGATTGTTAGGATGCATAGGGTTAAACACAAGACGAGTTCTTGTCATTTCCAGACCAATCTCAGCCATTGCGCTACAGGCCAACAGGAACTTGTTCAGCAGTCATGCTCAAATTTCAGATTTAAGGAAGTCGCTGATAACTCGTTGACAACGGAAAACTCCAATGAGCCAAAGTTTATATTGAAATAAGTTAGGATTTACTATTATGCATCTCTGAACAAGAAAAAAAAAACTCTAAGTGAAAATGCTACCGAAAAAATTACTTAGAAAACTTCGAAGCCCTCTAACTATACATTGTCTGAAGATTGTGCGCACTTGAAGTTGAGCGAAACGTAAATGTCCATATAATGTCCACAATATCAGTCGTCATTCCAGAAAACAATTTGCGTTGCAAAATAACTACTTGAACTCTTTTAAAGGCACTTTACTTGCGTGTGAAGGGCATTAATGACTTGAACTCATCACTCTTTTGTTTCGCCCTTTCTCACGCACTGTAGTTGACCAAAAACATATCGTTTACGATCTCTTGAATGCTTACACCACCGCTTTTTTGTTTCTGGAGGAGAGAAAGCTAAAAAACCTCAAATGATCGATGGGTGATTCCACAAAATAAGAAATTGCGATGGCTTTTAAGGGCTAAATTTTAAAAGATTCAAGAAACTGACTTGGATTTAATTGACATATCGGAATATTAATATACAATGCCAGTAAATACCACAATTGAGATTAATTAACAAGTGATTAAATATATAGAGCTTCGTTTTGTGAAAAGTCACTTTTAAAAACAGCTCTCTTTATTTCTCTTTAGGGACCGGTCATTATTCACGTAGATGTGGAGGGGGGGGGAGGCAAAAAAAAAAAAAGGGGGGGGGGTCAAGGATATTTCAGATTGGCTAGAGGGAGGGGGGCTAAACCTTTTATAAAGAAGATTAGAGGGTGTCTGCAGTTTGAAGTACATTTTAAGAGTGGTCCATTGTCTAAAGTGGGTAAAATAGTTAAAAGTAGAGCGCAAGCAATATATGTGAAACAGTAATGTTAAATTTTACAAGTTTGTGTTAATTCTAGGGTTTTGTTTTGTTTAAACACCACTATTTTGAACAACTTTGTGATTTTTATTTCACAGAAATACTGCTTGTACTCTTAACTCCATCGTTATCTCAAATTTAGTTAATAAAGAATCCAGACCCATCTGCTTCAATGTTTGGTTTGACTTTTATTTTGACAAAGCTAAGTGATTGTCACTTCAATAACCCAAGAAGTAATTAAACTTGATATAACAACAAGAAAGAAGTTTTTTTTAAAACGATATGAAAATCATTGGAAAAAAATTTTTTTGCATGATTTTATATTCGTGTTCACCATGAAGGTATAATTTGTAAAATCTATCACTTTTCGAAAATCAAGATACATCAAGTTTTACCACTAGCTAGTTTAACAAAACACCACTTTCAGTAGTTAATAATACTAGTGCGTACACTACACGCATAATTTGTCCAAAATTTGCCGCCCTATTGCTTGAGGGGCAACCATAGCACGGAAGCCTCGGTTGACTAAGTGTTCCAGCATTTCTGCTGCAGAGCCAGTGTCAGGCAAGCTGTCCAATACCTCAAAGTTAATTTCGTCTTCCCAAACTGGATGTTGACTTCTTTGACTGTTATACGATACGCTGATCTTGGGATTTAGTAGGTTAGTTCCGTTGTTATGCAAAGTTATCATCTTATGGTTGTATATGACGCGAATTTTGATCATAACTTGGCATATGAGAGGAGACGCGGGGAGGGGGGAGAGGTCATCACGTAAATATGGAATAAAGAAGGGGGGTCACTTACGTTTTTACATCGCCTGGAGAGTAGGAGGGCTTTTCCCTCCCCCCTCCCCCCTCCCCTTTTCATAAATAATGACCAGTCCCTAATAGAAGATGTAGACAAGATGCAATGGCTTGTAAACTACGAGAAATGCTCATTATTTTTTTTTTCAGAGCAGTTTTCTTTTTCAGACCACTTTGTTAATTGTTAGTTATATTCTGAATCCCGTGATGTTTTCTATTGCTCAGAAGTCGCCGGCAAAGACTCTTTTTCCTTGAAATAAAAAATGGTTTTGTTTTGCTTTAACCGTTTTATATATTTTTTTTAACCTATTTTCTTCCTTTTACGTTTCTTATGTATTATCCAAGCTCGTTATCCTTCCATGAATGCAAGTTAGAAGGAAGTAAACGTTTTCTCAGTATGTCTACGTGCCGAACTCTGACGTTGTCCGATCGTAAACTGACCTTAAAAGAAACTCACCGTTTCCGCACCTTATAAACGTATGTCGATACGTACACGCTGCCGATCGACCGATGAAATGCATCATCGAATTCCCCAGCAATTCTCGTGACAAAGGGTTCCTCTCAAATTCGCGGGAAAGGTCATTCCGAATTTACAATGTAATAAAAGAAATCTAAAACTTGGTTGGAAAAAAACAGAAAGAGAATTGGCAAAAAATTTTGTTTCTGATCATTTATCTTTTGGGCCACTGAGGTAACTTTTCTGATACAGTTGTTGGTTCGTGTCGGTTGCGTTTTTTTGTTTGTTTTGTTTTTTTTTTCTATTCCTTCTTCTTCTTTTTCTTCTTTTTATTATTTTTTTTTCGAATCAAGTGGTCCGCAAAGATGTCTCCTTGGGTAAGGGCGTAACTAGGATTTTTGAGAGTGGAATCGCAAATTGACTTCAGCCTTGCTAATCGTTAAGCACAATTCAATTGATTCAGCATGTCTTTCCTAGTTCCAAAAACGTTTGAAATTGTTAAACCTGCAACACCATCATGATGTGTTTTTAATAACATAATCCTTTTCTCTCCAGGATTAGAGCGATTTCCTGTTGCTTTCTTTAACCTTTGGATCTTGCCATCGGAGGCCTGAGACTATTCTAAATTCTTTATTTGATAGAAATTTTGCGCTCTTTACGTCCTCGTATCGTCCCTTGTAACACAGAATTGTGCAAGTGAACGCGTTCACGGCGGGTAGTCCAGGAAAAACCCATAAATCAACTTGTCAAACCCTTTCCATGAGAAAATAGATTTGTACAAGAAATTTTAAAGTGAAAATTTCTCGAGTTGAAATTAAAGTAATTTTAACACAAAAAAATTCATGCAGCTTTAAGATTCCTCACCTTTTTTCAAACATTTTTACTCTGGTTGTGCGCGTCGTGGTCGAGTGATGTAAAATTATTTGTAAACCAGTCGGTGTGACTGTTCTTCCTCTCTCATATTGTTTATGGGGTTGACATGGAAAACAGCAGCAAAGCTTAGCCTGTAGAACATGTGCAATAATTTTTGTCTTTTAATTATTCAGGCGAACGCCTGCCGGGAGCGAAGTGCATGGTGACTTCCCTCTCGCTCACCCCGTTGCGGCGCGGCCGCCCTTCGCTTACCTCCGATTGCCTAAAACAAGCGACAGAATAAACGGGACGAAATAAACTACAACAGAACAGTGATGAGTTTCAACTTTGTAATTTGTCACCAGTTTGCTTCTTTGATAAAGAAAAATGTTGATTGGGTTATTTTCACCGTCTTTTTCCTTATTAAGATGTATAGCACGGTGTTTCAAAATAAGCAACATAACTGTGCGTGACATGTCAAGATGGTCACGTCATCGCGTGATGCCACATACACTTACACAACATGCGATTGTTCTCAAATTCTCCGGAGGCCGGAGATGCACAGACATTCTCAAGGTCACCGGCTTTGGTCATGAACGTGGAGTGAAAAAAATTGGTTTTATGGAGGGTCATCTCTATTGGTAGATGTTTATACCTTAGGATTAACAACGTTTGACGCTTTCCAAATACCTCAGTGCTACTACAGGACTTTCAACCCTTTATTTGGGGTCAATGTTGTGAATCAATTTTTTTTTATTCGTTTCCGGTCGGAATCACAGATCATCGCCGGTCCTAATCTGTACTTATGCAGGCCAAGACGAGATCGTAGTTTCAAAAGATGCTCACTTGTAAACGCCGTAATTTTCATGGGTGTGATTTGTTCTTGTAGCGACGACAGAAATTGTGGGACAGAAGGCTCTCTTGTGATTAACCACGGATCTATTACATTCCAACATTCAGGGTAAGCGTAAGAATAGGAAATTTTGTTTCTCGGTATGTCACTGAATTCCCATGTACGTCAAAAACCAAAATTTACCATCATTACCCTCTTATTGTTGATTTTATTTAATGCAAGTAGGAGGTAGGCAATATAAAACGATTTAGAGAGGTTAGCATGCATTTGGACATTGTTTATTTGTCACTGCGTAATTATCCATGCTTATCTATGCTAGGTTCTTGAAAACATAAGAAGATCTTATCACAGTGAGACATGATTGTTAGTGATTCTTCATGTTCTAGCGGGGAGGGAGTTCTTTAGCCCCTGTCTGCCCCACCACCCACAGAATAATTCTGTACAGTTCCTGTTTTTGGCCAGCGGCACCCAAATTACGCAATATGGGATGATGTTTTGTCACAACTTGTATGATACTCTATTAGTGGTGTGCAAAGGTCTTTGGTAAAGTTCACGAAGAATCCAAGACGATGAAATAAAATTATTTAATCTTCATTTCCCATAGATCGCCTGTGTTCCGGGTCCAGGTAGCAGTTCCATCGTGTCACGTGACCATGGCTCGCCCCGCTATGAACGAAGAATTTGCAGTCGTCGATCTTCCCTTTGAATATGTGAGTATGCCTGACGGACAAGTTTGCCCGGACCATTTCAGAGGATGGCTCCTAAAGTGGACGAATTACATCAAAGGATATCAAAAACGATGGTTTGTGCTTTCGAATGGCCTCCTCTCTTACTACAGGTATTGAATTCAGACCTGTGTCAATGTGGTTATGTTTTCAAGATGGCGGACGATCACTTTTAAATTTTTTCTTAACTAAAGTAAAATGTTTTGTTCTCCCTCAGAAGCCAAGCCGAAATGGCGCATACGTGTCGAGGAACAATAAACTTGGCCGGTGCGTTTATCGATTCGGAAGATTCATGTAGTTTTGTCATTTCTAATGGAGGGACACAGATCTTCTACATGAGAGCCAGCTCTGAGGTTGAACGACAAAGATGGGTAACAGCTCTGGAATTGGCCAAGGCGAAGGCTATCAAAATGCTGGAGTCAGGTTTGCTGTTGTTATTTGCTTCTGTAATAAAGAAAATTGATCGCTGAAAGTTTTGTCGTTCGGGCAACTTGAACAAGATCGAATAGTGTGTGAAGCCATTTAAACTGTGCCTTAAGTTTTTCTTTGTTAATTGTTTTTGGTGTTAAATATGTTCTTTAATCGAGCGTGCAATCTAAGTTAGAGGATCAATATCAAAGGGCATGTGGTTGTTATTTATTCATTTCTCAAGTTTCGTTTTTGATGTGTGATATTTTATATTTCGGTGCCGGAAAAAATTATCGCAAAGTAGCTGATATGGCGATTTTATTTTATGTCGACGTGTTTATCACATTCGTGTACCAGTACAGTGGTGATGTCACCTGGTATAAATGGTATATTCATTCAATATACCATGTAATGGTATATCCGTAATTGGGAGGGGACAGAGCAAAAACTGTGTCAAAATCTGTTACCTTCCGTCTAGCAATAACAAAGGGATTGTTGTCCATTACAGAGAACCCTGATAGGCCTGTGTATTCTTTTGATCCAACTCATTCTCATTTACCAAAATAATTCTTAATTGAATTGTATCTTTATCCGACTTTCATCATGCCAAAAGTCCAACTTATTGAAAGCAATAGTGGACATAATTTGTGATGGTTTTAGCCACCAGATTCTCTCATTATTATGATCAGTGATAAGAAATTGATGGAAAAAGCAGCATATTTGTGAGGCTTTCGCTGTAGGCAATTTTATAAGGTTTTTGTTAAATTGTTAGAGGACTGGGTTCTAATTTATTTCAAAAAAAAATGTATGACTGGACTTCAAAATCTTTGTTCTGATAGTTGAGACAAAGTTTAGCTGTTGTTTAACAAAACCGCGTCCTAAACAATCCTCAATTAAGCTGAACCTTTCATCTGAACATTTATCTTTTATGAACAATGTCAAGAGGGCTGAGATCTTTCAGTGGAAGGACATTAAATTAAATTGACCCTCTTTTAGGGAAAAGCACGAGGCCCATTGATTGTGTAAAACATTTGTTTGATTGTAAAAAACCAGCCCTTAAAGTCCAAAATTTGGATTAAAATTATTGTTTTCTCAAGTTTGTCAGCAACATATCAAAGGAGTTTTAATCTATCAATGAAAATGTCAAAAATAAGGATTTTGATAAATTTTTTTGATGGCTGATTGATGCTGATGCATGTTTTCAAATGTAAACTATTAAGTCTAGTTTGATGATACACATAAAGAACTCCGCAAGCATATGGAGATTAGATATCACTAGAATGGAAGAGAGAACTAATTATTCTTCAGCACTGATTCCACTGTAGTTGTAGCTTAAAAAGTTATAATGAAGTGCTAACAGAAACAGGTTTCCTTGTATCCCCACAATTTAAGAAAATGGCGAAGAAGAAGGGGGGGGGGGCAGTTATTTGAGGATAGACTATGAGCAGTTCCTCCTTTTCAGCAAATTCTGTTGTGCAAGTCAAAATAAAGCAGAAAAAAAAAATTGATGGTAGCATGTTGCTGGCAAAGAAATTCTCGCAAGTTTGCCAACCAGCTTTGGAGTTATCCACTAAGTGTTTTGTTTTGCAAAAATATTTAAAGGGTGTGTCCCTGTAATGTCATCACTTGACAGCATGGAGGTGGAATATGTTGGTAAACTCAAGGAACTTTGCCTTCCAGTGGTTCAGTTACCAGAAAAGGACAAAGACTTCATAAATGTCCCCTCTAAAGAGAAAGTACAAGCACACACAGGGCAAAAGTTGTTATGCGATGGTTCCTAGACCACCGTGCCCTTCCTAATTATCTTCTTAGAAGTTTTGTTCTTGGGAGTCATCCTTACTGCAACATCTTTCCAGATTTCAAGTTTATTGTGTACCTCAAGATTTGAAGTGGTTTAATTTTCTGAGATCGCCTGTGTCTTGCAATGACATGAAGAGTGACTAGTAATTAAGATAAGGAATCTCTTTAGTCAATTCAATGTCTAAAAACCATTCAGCTCTGGAAGGTCACTTCAAGAGCTCCCAGCAGATGCTAACATCAATCTTATTTTACTGATATTTTGAGTCATGAGATGGACTTCATGGAAAAGGAGAGACTGCTTGTTGTCTAATTCAAGGAGGGTGCTTATTTGAATCTGTGGCCTAGGAGGTGGGCACCTATGCAGGGAAGCCCGTTTATTATTGCATGGATGCTTGTGCGAGGAAACATGGTATATGGTATATTCTTTGGCCTAAATTTGATCTTGATTTATAAGTATATGAAATGCTACACATGTTAAGTGAAAAGGGCCCTAAGGGCACAAAGAAGAAGTGAAAAAAAAAAGAGAAAAAGTGTAGCGTACAATTTGACTCTTCTTGTGCTCACTGGTAAAATGAGGTGTTTTGAAGCTGTGTTATCTCGAGTGAGTATTTATCTTTACACCAGTACCTTATTCACAATAAAATAGACAGTTTTATTATGTTTCACTGTTGCTACGGGGCCAGAATTAGCTTTTTTTAAGCCAGATTTTAAGTGCTTGTTAAAGAATTTTGACTGAATCATCAGAGAAAACTAATTGGTTGCCAAAAAATTGCCCCAACAAAAGAAGAAAATGTGTTATTTTTTATGAGCTTTCTTTGATAGTTTTTGAATTACCACAAGTTGAGTGTTTATTATGGGAAAGAAACATTAGTTCGTGTAGTGTGATCGTCCGGGTGAGTGTAGTTCTGAAAAGAACTGTTGTTGGTGACTGACGTTTCGACTATCTGTGCGATAGTCATCTTCAGAGTCAAGTGAGGAGTAGTTGTCAGTCGATGATGTTATAAAGTCTGGTCTGTTGAACGTGATTGGTCTGTTTAGCCATGATGTGATTGGCTGGAAGACTTGTGTAGAGTTTGTTAACAGTCATTGGTTGGTTTCGATCCGTCTGTTGTTTGTCAGTCTGTTTGTCGGTTTGTTCACGTCGTTAATGAGTCGTTTGTAAGGTGCTGGTAATTGTTGACATCTGTTGAGAGGTGTCTGTTCTAAGTTAGTAAACCAGCTTTCCAGAGTCAGTCGTTGAAAATAGTTTGTACTGTAGGTTAAGCATTTAGCAGAGTCCCAGTCGATTCTGTGATTAGTTTGTCGGTGATGTTCAGAAATGTGATTGTTTACATCGCCATTTCTAGTTGCTCGTTTGTGTTCAGTTAGTCGCGTGTTAAGGTTTCTACCGGTCTCACCAATGTAGGAGGCCTGGCAGTCGGAGCATTCGATCTTATAAATCGCTCCCTGTCTGTTGTTGGGTTCGTCTTTGTCTTTAACGTTTGTCTTTAACGTTCGTCTTTGTGTTTAACGTTGGAAAGAAACATGTTATGAAAGTTTCTTTTCTTGAGCACTGGTTTGCATGAAGAACATTGACAAGACTGTTTGAAGTGACCTCTCAGTAACTAGTATTTGAAGTCTGGCAATCATTAGTTTATTATCATTGGCACTGGTAACTAGCTGGTTGTAATTTGAACCCTGCAGTAAAGGTCTTTATGCTGGCCTGTGATGCCCTGGCATAAATTTTGGAATTCTCAGATGTCAAGTACTTTTAAAGGTCTATTATTGAGATCCAGCCATTGTTAATCAGGTTGCTCATCACACTCACTTTTAAAAGCCTTTTTCCTCCTTTGTCTGCCCTCCCTAAAGCTGGCTATTGCTAATCGTTTGTTTGTTTTTCCACTGAGGCACTCAGTGTAATGGTGTCTTAACATGCCTTAAGGTGGCTCCACAGGGTTGTTGAGGTTTCCTTGGAGCACACCTGCAGCTCCTGCAGACTTTCTAGGCACCATCCCAACATCATCTTAAGGCAATGGGTTTAAATTTCTTCATGCACATTTTATTTTGTAATGCATGTGGTAAGTGGATGGTTTAATTCTTGCAACTGTTTTACCTCAAAGTAATATTCTCTTTTTCTTTTGTGTGAATACTTGATCTGCTCCTTAAAAGCTGTAGTGCAATTCCTGAGCATACACGTTTCCAAGTAAAGTAATATTTATTTGATATCGTGACCTGTACGGCCCCAAGCAAGCACTCCCACAATAAACTATAGTGGAAGCTGATGTGTGCAGGGCCGGATGGGTTGATGTGAGCCAGTCTGGAAAATGCTGTCTGGCCCTGCACTACACAGTTCTTTTGCATTTTCCAAGAATGTGGATTGAATTGTGGACTTCAGCTTGAAATAAAACAAGTGAGAAAAGGAGTCTTGCTTCTTAATGAATTACAAGTTTCTTGTTCTGACTTGATGGCAAGAGAAAAATTTTGCTTTAGAGTCTCTTTATTAATTTTCCAATGCATGCCCTTGGTTATAATTTTTTAAGGGAGTATGTTCTATTTAGGTTAAAACAAAATTTTGGAAATTTTGACTCTTATTTGTTTATTTGATGATATACTTAATGACTGAGTTTGGTTAAGTCAGACAGGAAGAAATTTGGCTCTTGATCCATACGTCATGACCTTGAGTCAAATAATTCCCTTCTGGCCCTCTTATCAGTCAGTAATTACATAAAATTATAGTATTTGCTTTGTGGTTTACTGCTATATTTTCATGCAAAATTATATGAAGATGTTACATTGTTCAACTATTGAAATCTATCTGTGTCAAATATTTTAATTTCCATCTAAAGCAATTTAGAAAACTTCCTGTAATGATTTGGGAATACATTTAAATGTACTTGTGCTTAGATTATATTATCATTATTTTTCCTGCTGAAAAAATGCTAACCCTAAGCAATTACTGGTTTCAATTTTTTTTGTTATTGTCAATTCAATTTGTTTACCTTGTGAGAAGAGGGGAAATCTTCCCAATTATTTTTGGAAGATTGAGGGATTCATGCTTTTCTTGATACAGACAGCTGTAGATGCTTAGCTTATTAGCTCAGGAAGTCATCAATTTTTAGGGTAACAATTTGTTTCTTAGCAACAAAATCTAATCTTGATCATCAGTGTATCCAATGAAAAACTTGTTATTCACAATGGTGATATGTTGTGTAATGCATTTTTTACAGGTACCAGAACTTTTAAGCTAGAAACCTGTGTTGTATGTGTGGGATTTAAGATAATTTAGTGGTAAAATCCAAGAAAAATTCATTTGGTAGAAAGTAAAAACCTTGGACTCCAAGAGAGATTTAATTCAAGACAGGTATTAAAATATAAATTAGCATATAGTTAGTGAGTGTTCCTATTTGCATAATCCCTTGCAATAAATTTAGGGTCTGCCAATACTTTGGTTGTTATATTCTTGGCTGGATTTGTGGTTGTGGTTTTGCTGCCAGTAGGATTGTATGTGAACAATCAAACAAGTTCATGTTGGACTCGCTTTTTAAACACAAGGGCTTGGTGGATTGATGGGTGATTTCACGTTTAAAACCTGAGGGCAGAATTCTTGACTGTTTCCTCTATGGTTGCTCAGTTCTTGTGTGTGGAGTTCATGCTACCACTTGAAATGCAACAAGTCATCAGGAGATATCATTGATGGTGGATTGCAGAGAGGATTTTAGGAACAGTTCTTGTAACTAAATTTATATCCAAATTAATTTTGTCATCATTGCCTGCTGATCTTTTGTGCTGTTTTGCTATCTGTTTGAAGATGAAATTGTCTGGTCAAGGTGTGTGTGTATTTTCTTAGGTTGTTTTTCTCTCTGGTTAAATGAATTATAGATTAGTAACTCCTAAATTTATTGTTATGGTTGTCTGCTTTGTGTGGTAGCCATTTTGTAGTGGTTCATCTTTATTTATTGTGTTCATTGGGTTTAGGCTGACAGGTACCTGTGTCAAAAGTGGATTTACACCTCCTAAAATTTCCTTAGTGCTTTGAACCAAAGGCTTTACTTCAAGTGTTTACTTGATTTGGCTTAGTGGCATCTGCAAATCAATAAATATTTTTACCAATTTTTCTTTTCTGGTTTTTAAGTCCGTCTACTTGTGGTATCTTTATTATGTTGACAGAAATTGTGGCCAACATGCAGATTTATGTAAATTTCATCTCATGCATTTTGACAAAATAGGAGCACTGTTAGTTGTTATTTGCAGGTTTTCTGATATCAAATTATGGCACAAAATCTTCAGTTGATGTTGCATGTATTCCTCACTATTTGCCTTGAAAATTATCAAATTTCTTGGATTGGATGAAAATGTAATTCATTGAGTGAACAGTTCCAAGTTGAGGAGAAAATAATGTTCTCAAAGTGCCATAATTTCTTGTGATGTTTTTGTGGAGATTTGTAAGGCAAAAGTCACGGAAGAATAGCTTATTGGTGTACAGTGATGGGGAATCAATCAAATCGGGATCCACTGAATCACGGCAAAAGCTTTGCACAAGTTGTCCTTGGTCTTGTAAACATGGCATAGGTAAATAGAGGTGTTGTGCTTCATCATGCGAGTTATGTTTGACAACATTTGTTCAACTCAATCAAATTTGTTTCTATATTTAAAAACAGTTAGTTTTTAGACTTGCTTCCATATAGTTTCGCAGATTCTGAAATTCTCAGTGGTGATGTAAACATCATGTTCATGTATACTGTGAATTGTTTATTATATTTTGTCAAGTGCATTTTACTTAACTGCATTTTACAAATGGTTGTCAACTGTAGTCTGCACAACAGAAATTGCAAAATATCTTTGCATAATCCATCCTCTCACCTAACACCAGATTGATTCTGGCTTCCTTTTAAATGAACAACTCCTAGATTTCTTTTTTCTCTATTTTCTGTTTTTGGTTGATTGATTCAGTTGCTACTTTGCCAGTTGCTTATTAAGATACATTGATATATTACAGTTATTTTATGGGACCATTATTTATTTCATTTAAAATGTTTTTCTCCACTTTAAGCATTATCAGTTAAAAAGATATCAAACCTTGAGAATTTTATCGGAGATCATTTTTATGATAAAGTTTTTCTTGAAAGCAGCTGAACGCAATTCAAATAATGTTATTTTTTATTATAGCCAGTATTTGTTTTCTCAAAATTATGCTTGCCCAAGAATTGCAGGCAAAGGCAGATGTGTGTTATTACCTTAGAGTTAACATTATTGGACTTTTCCAAATTTGAGCAATTGGACCTTTATATAACATGAAAATTTTGTAGGAGTTTATTTTGGGGATAGGCAAGTTTAGAAGGAAGTTTAGCTGTTTTTGGTTCAAGCTGTAGAACATTAATTTGGAAATAAAAAAACTTATTTGCTATTTTCAACCAACTCTAACAAAGTGAAGACAAATTAATGGATTTAGATGCAGAGTTTCTTATTTGACTAAAGTTAGCAAATCCCTTCAGCATCTTATTTTGTAAGATTTTTTTCAATGAAAATGTCAATTTGAAGATAAAGTTATCTTTGTAAGGTTCATATTTGTTTGAAGTGCATTATGTATGCATTTTGGATCTGCAAAAGGAAAAGTATTGTTTGTGAAAATTTCGCTGGAGGTCTTAATTTTGAATACAATAATTTGCATCAGCGCTGATAAAGAATGATTTCCACAGATCTCCTCATGTTGAACTTCTTTTCGAATTTACAATACTTTGTGAGAGATTTTCCTGACTTTACAACTTTTTTTAAGAAAGGATTTTGATCAAGGAATGTTGTAGCATGAGAAAAGTGTACTACAATAAAAGTGTAAGAAGAGAAACTGGTTGATATTATACACAAAGTAAAAAAAGTTACTTGGATTCTTGAAATTTATTTAGAGAATAGTGTGTGGTAGCCAGAGAATTCTCTGATCTTTGGTCACTTACATATGCACTGTTAATCCTTCTGCTCCCAAGTTTCAAGTAGTTATTCTACCAACTGAATGCCATACTTTCATTTTTAAATTAGACAGGAGGATTCAATTTTATATCAAGATAACAGTGTCAAGCTTATAAGCTTGTCTTTCCTCATAACCTGGTTTAAAGTTAACAAATTGGAATCTCAAGGAGAAGTTACAAGTTAATCACTTTGAGGAGTTAAAGGATGATGAGCTGTGACTTTTTATACAACTCTTTAGTAAAGTGTTTTTTTCTTGTTTTATTCCAGATGAGGAGGAGGATACCAACAGTGAAAAAGCTGAGAACATTAAACCACTAAATGCCAAGCTTGAAGACCTGCAGACTTGCAATGATCTTGTAGGCAAGCATGGCTCAGCCTTGCAGCGTTCTATTGTTGAGCTTCAGGAGGTGGAAGATAATCCTGCCTTGGCTGCAAAACTCAAGTTTGTGAATGAGAAAGCCACTCTTTTTCGGATAACAGCAAATGCCATGATTAGTGTGAGTAAAAGAGCATAAGAGTTCAAATGACCGCAGAACTGGAATGACCTATGTGAATGGCAAGTGCTCAGACACTATAAGATATTTGGGCAGGCAAGCAAGTAGGAAACACAATTATTTTCTGTGTTTGAGGGGCAGTTTTTTTTTTTTTATGGAGATACATTTTAAGAATATTGAGGTATAAGTTATGGTTACTGTTTTATTGTTCTGGTGCTAGTGGGTTGGTCTGTTATTTTTTAAAGATTTTTTCTTACTGCTTATCCAAAATGGCTTCAAAACTCACAAAATCGTGCACAGGGTAGTTACTTTTTTTTCAATGTGACTTCTGAAAAAAATGAATTTATTTTTAACTGTCATCAAATTCACTGTCAAGCTTGAAATTTTTCCACAAAGAAACTTTTGTTTTGGTTATTTTCTATTCTCAAAATTTTATTGTAAGACAGAGTTTTGGGTGTATTTGTTCCTTTTTTACTCTTTCAGTAAATTCTTCATTTTATGTCATCACTTAATGTCATTTAAGTTTAGTCTTCACAGCCTTCAATTCATATTCATTACAGTCTAATCCATGCTGATAATTAAAGTTGAAAAATTCTCTCTCTTAATCTAACATAACAGGCATGTGCAGAATTCCTGGAACTTGCTCAGACACAGGAAAAGAGGTGGCAGAAGAGTTTACAGCTAGAACGTCAGCGAAGAATCAATCTTGAAGAGACAGTAGAAGCCTTAGCTAAACAGCATAACACTCTTGAGAGAGCTTGTCGAAAAAATACATCTAAGTTACCTGATTTACCAGAATCTGAACTGGGTCACGACAGTGACGATGAAGAAGAGGAGTTGGAAGAAGATGAAGAAAACGCGGAATTTTTTGATGCGATAGCAGAGCACCCTGAAGGTTTCACATTATCTGTTAGCAAGAGCCGTGAGAGTTTACAAAGCTCTAGCTCAGAGCAAAGTATTGGTATGGATGGAGAGAATGCCAAACCCTTATTGGCAAGAACTTTGTCAGATACAACTGGACAAGCCTCAGCAGAAATAAAACAGGAAGTGTCTAAGGACAGTGTAGCTGGAACATCTGAAACATCAACTGCTAAAGACACAGAAGGATCAGATGTTGTCAGTGATGGTAGATCCAGTAGCACTGATCCAGATAACAAGGCAGTCATGGCACCATTTACTGTTGGAGGCTCCTTTGCTGTCACTGTTAGTTTATGTTTTATTTTGTTTCCTTTGATAAGTGTGTCTTACTAAACAAGTATTAAGTCCATACAGTAAATGCTCAGGCCATAAATCAAAGGATAAAAAGTTAGGATCAGTAGCTTGAAGTACAGAAAAAGAAGATAGGGTTAGCAAAATATTTCCTATGCCTCTACCTTGTGCCTGATTAGTTTGAGAAAGTTTTTGATTCATTCAAAACTGAATGATGCATGTCAAAAGCATGACTTTAGGCTGAATTTCAAGAAAATGCTCAGCAAAAGCATGAAAGGGGTTGGCAATAAATGACAAGTAATTTGGGAAACAAAGACAGCTTTATGTTTTTGTGGTCCATACAATACAGGAAAGTTCTCTTTAGTTTTCCAATCGCTACACAACACATGTAGTAACCAAGAGTTATCATAAGTGAGTTAAAGCCAGAGACAGACAAGGAAATTTTAATGACTACAAGGAGAGTAATTTTTGCTATTGCTAATGAGAATACTAGGCAGTTTTCTAAGCTGACTGCAGCATTCTTGCCACCCTAGTCAATTCTATCTTCATCTTGTCTATTTGAATGTTTAAAACCACAGAAATGGAGGTACTAGGCCATCGCTTGCAAACTATATTGCCTTCTCTATTAATCATCAATAGACACTTTCTCTATACCATGCACACATAACAATTCTTGCTGATTTTCTTATTTTGGGCACAAATGACGAATAATTGACATTCTTGAAACAGTGTAAAGCATTATGAGTCGACAATATCCCATTTTCTCCCATAATAGTTTTAAAGTGTTTTTCAAGGTAATAAATTTATTGATGTATTTTCTTTAGCAATCTACTGAAAGGCTTGGGACTAAGCTCTTCAGGAAGAAGATCCCAGACAAGCCAGATATCAGCATTAACTTGTGGAGCATTCTGAAGAACTGTATAGGAAAAGAGTTATCTAAAATACCCATGCCCGTGAGTAGATCAGACTTTCACAAGTTTGTTTCTGTTCATGTTTAATGAACAAACTCCTGCAATTTATGTCTTTTTATATAATTTCTCAACTCTTTTATCCCCATATTGTACTCCCCTCTAACTGTCTTGCATTTCCTTGTAAATTAGTTTGGAGAATTTACAAGGTTCTGTCAAAGCAATATGTCCCAGCAATGAACACCAATACCTTGATTGTTAGAAGGTACTTCACTGTGTATGCAATGGATTCAAACCTTTTGGATTATACTGGCTCTTAAATTAACTTCTCTATACAATAAGTTTTGAACAAGGCCAAGCTTGAATTTTACCCAGGAAGAAGTTAATTGAGTGCATATTGTATAATTCTTCTGCTTCTCCATTTCCCTCATAAAAAATTCTTGGCAATGTTGGTTATGTTCCTCCAGATCCTTGGTAACCTTTTGAAGAATGCGTACAACCATCATCATATTCTGTCTCCATTATGTCACTTCTTCTTCAACTCTTTCTTGCACTCAGTATCAGCTAAGATTCTTGTTTGAGAGATTTTCAACAATCATTGTAGGTGAACTTCAATGAGCCAATTTCAATGCTTCAGAGGCTCACTCAGTATCAGCTAAGATTCTTGTTTGAGAGATTTTCAACAATCATTGTAGGTGAACTTCAATGAGCCAATTTCAATGCTTCAGAGGCTCACAGAAGAGCTTGAATACACAGACCTTTTAGACAAAGCTGCAGCATGTGAAACATCCACAGAGCAGATGTGCTATGTAGCAGCATTTACAACATCCTCTTACTCCACAACTGCCGCAAGAACTGGAAAGCCATTTAACCCCTTACTTGGTGAAACATTTGAATTTGACAGAACAGAGGATTTAGGATGGCGATCACTTGCTGAGCAGGTATTTGACATTTGATACATGTAGATACAGATGATATTTCTACTTCAATAACTTACCATGCAAGTCAGATAACATATCATGTCAATGGGATACTAACATTAAAGTAAAGGATGGATCAGCAACCTTTTGACCCCTTCTGGTGACTAGCATCTAATTTCTCCTTACAGTATTGCACCCAAATCACACATTTAAGTCACAAGAATAAAGGAAATGATCACCAACTAAAGAAGCTCTTGATTTTTAAACAGATTCTCCTCATCAGCACATTAGGAATGTTTAGGGGACAGTATAGAGAATGTGCATACTGATGATATGATGTAAAGGATTCAGTTAAGAGGGCATTGTTGTAGTATTGACAATATTTCTGATGCAATGTAATCACTAGGAAAATCACCAAGGACATTCTTGCAAAATTTGTTGCAAAAATTGCAAAATGAAGACTCTAAGATTAAGCTCCAATTGATTTATTTGTTTCTTGCAAGACATTTTCTGCAAAGAGTATCAATATGCTACTGAAAGACTTAAATGTTACAGAAATCTGTGATGTTTATTCTAGGTGAGCCACCATCCTCCAGCATCTGCCCTTCATGTTGAGCATAAAGAGTGGATCTTCTGGCAGGAATTCACCTGTACAAGTAAATTCCGTGGCAAATATTTACAAGTCATTCCACATGGTGTGGCGCATCTCAAGTTTAACAAGTCTGGAAATCATTACACCTGGAAAAAAGTCACTACTACTGTCCATAATATCATTGTTGGGAAGCTGTGGATTGATCAGGTTAGATGAGAGATCTAGTAATTAATATTGGATATCAATTCTCCTTACTCTGTGTTAAATTTCTCATAACTTTAGCTATGAGAATTTGGTGCTAAATGAAACTATATTGCATAGTTTATTTTCTTCTGTATTGTCATCTCTTTTCTGCTGGCAAATAATGGAACAGAGGAACAACGAATCAAGTTGTAGATGTATGAGATTAAATAAATGATAGGATGGAAGAAAGGATAAAGGAATAAATTGGAATTTGTAGATTTTTAAGTTACTGTTCCACAGTGGATTCTTCATCATTGCCCATGTAAATTAAATTGTGCAGATGATATAATGCTCTCTTGGTCTTGATAATTCTAATGTGGAAAAAACCCCTTGGAAAAAATGGAATTTCAAGCGGCAGTTTTTGGTGGTAGTTGTTGTTTGGTCTAGAATTGTTATGTTGTGTTGGATATTTCCTTCCTGTCTCAATTACTTTATCTTTGCATGTTTCCCTGTTGTTTTCTTAGTCGGGTGAGATGGACATTGAGAATCACACAACTAAAGATGTTTGCCATCTTAAATATGATGCTTACAATTACTTTGGAAGGGACACACCTAGAAAGGTATTGGCAGTATTTTTTTCTCAACTTTTTGCATGGCCTTTTTGGCTGCTGTGGGGGGAGGGGGAGGAAATGGGGGATAGTTTTGTGATCAGTGTGATCATGTTACAGGTGTCAGTCTGTCAGTCAACATATTGTTGTGGTACTGAGAATTTCACTATAATAGGCTAATGTTGACAGTTTTGGGTAGAACACGTGTTGGTCAAAGAGCAAAGAGTGAGGGACAGAAACAAGATAAGGTGGCAGCACTGAATAAAGAGTGTTAGTTGTACAGTATGATGGTCATATGCACCTGCAGGGGCCATGAGAATACATGATAAGGGATGACATGCATTAAATTGTTTCCTAAACCCTCTAACTCTCAGAAGTGATTAACTTAAAAAATTTTCCCTTTAATAACCATACATTCTCCAGTGAACAGGTAAAAAGAACACTCATACTTATCGGATAAAAGTTGTTATCTTGATCTAACACAAAATTCTCAAAAATTAAATTTAAAAGGAAATGTAAAGCAGCTCCAGGAGAGAAGTCTCAATCGGATCTTGGGACTTAAAGAGTTAAAACAAGTTCTTGAGGGCCTCAAAACTCAACCCACCCTTCTTGTAATTTTGTTCTTAATCCAGTACACTTAATACTCAATTCTCAAAGCTTTGAAGAATTGAGATCAACTTTGAGTTTGAGTATTCAACTTACAATTAAGTAGTACTTTGGTGGCATTTTGGTGGATTTGAATCTTACACCCCAAGCAATTTGAGTGTTAGAAAGAAAAACATTATTGTCTTGTAGGTGACAGGTGTGATTACAGACTCATCAAAAGTGGTCAGATATGTGATATCAGGAACATGGGACAACAAGCTGGATGGAGCCAAGGTTGTGTACCATAGATCTCCTTCAAATGTGAAGCAGCCGGCATCTACTCCACACAAGAGCCAGGCACAGACTTTACCACCAGTCACTTTGTGGAAGAAAAATCCAGCATTGTAAGTTTAATTGTTGACAAACTTTGCCCAACAACAACTTAAAAGGATACCCCATGGAAACCTGCCAGTGAAATCAGTTTGACTGTATCCTTGTTAGTTCTGTTAACTAACCAAAGATGCAATTTAATAGTGATATTTTTTTATTGTGAAAAGAAATTGGGATATTGACATTGCACTTTGGGTATGACTAATTTTCATGGCATTAAATTATTCCCTCAATCATTTTGTTCTCAGGCCTGGTTGCGAGAAAATGTATTATTTCACCGAGTTTGCTCTGGCCCTCAATGACTCTGATGATAGTGTTGCCCCAACCGATTCTCGGAGAAGACCAGACCAGAGGCTCATGGAAAACTGTAAATGGGACGAAGCCAATCAGGAGAAGCAGAAATTGGAGGAAATGCAACGAATAAGAAGGCGCAAGCGTGAGGCAGAGGCCTCAGAAGCACAGGCAGAGGGAAAAGTTTATGAAGGTTACAAGCCTGTTTGGTTTGAAAACGTTGTGGATGAAGTGACAGATACTGCTGTGCATGTGTACAAAGGGGGCTACTGGGAAGCTAAGGAAAGACAAGATTGGAGTCTTTGTCCAGAGATCTATTAGCAACATCCACTCAGCAGTTTCCCAGATTTTACCGATAGCAAGCTGAATATGATGTCACTGCTTGTGTCATTCCTCAAACCTCTGGTCATCTTCTTTTTGGAAAGTATCAAATGGCGCACTATACATGTGGGTCAAACATTTTGTGGGTGAATTTGCTGAAGTCTGGCTGTTTAGTGACACTACTGTTTTCCAATAAATGAAATAACTCAGAGATTTGATTTTTAAAGTGGAAAACTGTAAATACATTGCAACAGCCAAAAGAAGCCTACAAAGAGACAAGAATGAACTCTATTACTGAAAAGTGCATTTGTTTTTATTTCTCAATTCTGAACATGGAAAAGTAGAAGACTTTTGTTAAAGGAAAGATGCAGACAGATACAATTCACTTGACTGATGAATAAGATTTAGAAGACGTTTTGGGGTGTTGATGTTCAATTTAGGTTTGCTGAAGTACCAAAGATCTCCCTACTGTGATAGCGTTGACAAAGCCAAATGCACTTATCAAAATTAAACTTGTAAGACAGTTTTGACACTGTGATTTATCAGAGAAATTTTATGAAATTCAGTGAGCTGCTATATGACTGTAGGATTATTTATCAATTGTGCTTTGGATAATGTTCATGAGACAGCAGTCCTCAGCTGAATTAGAGACTAACACAATTTATAATAGATTTCAAAATTGTTCGTATCAATTTCTGGTATTAAATTTAAAATAGTCAAAATAAAATCTCAGATGTTTTGTTCTTTTGTGGTTTAGTTAAGGTTTCTGATGATTCATTCAGATTTAACTTACCTTGAGTTTCATGTGAAAAGAAACAGGATGCTCTTGACATTCATTCACATTCATTCTCATTCATTTTCATTCATTCTCTTGACATTCCTAATTGACATTCATTCTCATTTTCTTTCATTCTCATTCATTCTCTTGACATTCCCAATCCCAGTAATATGCAGGATTACTCTTGCAAGTGAAGTCGTATATGGTCAAACTTGCCAAGTAGTTTTCCAAAGTTTAGGTAATAGATAACTAAACTGACAGAGATTAGAATCCTTAAGGGGGGGGGGGGGGGGTAGGAAGGGGACTCAGATTTGGTTTGATCCCTAGTCCAGACAAATGTTCTCCATGTTTCTTGAAGTTTAGTCAGTTTATTTTTTTATGTGGAGTTAGAAGTCCCTAGTTGGGTTTATTAGGCTGTTGGTCAACTCAAGTTACTATAGAATTAGTTTTTAACAGGCATTACAGCAAAACACTTTCCTTCTCCCCCCTTTAATACTACAGGTTCATTAAAAACATTAATGAGTCAAAGAGGAACAATGTTCTTTTGTGGTTGAGTTAAACCTTTCACTTCCTTTCAATTCTTAAGATTTTAGTTAGAGAATTTTGTTTTGGATCAATTTATAATTCCCAATTCGGTGTTTTTCTTTGTTCCTATTACTTATCTGCCTGATGTATTGATATTGTAAGGGGAAATTATGTCTTGGTCACTTATGGGAGTCAAAGGGTCAAAATAAGTGGGGGGGGGGTGGTTAGTGTGGCAAAGGATGAGCCAGTTTTTGTGATCTTTTGTCAGCTTCATAAAGATGGCACTCAGGACTTTTGAGCAACTGCAAACTTGCCGATTTTGCAAACTGATTTTATTAGCCTTGGAAGTAACACACACAACAGGATGTGAACATCACTTGTCTGCACTTGCTGTTGTTACTTCAGAATAAATACCACCGCAAGAGTAAGCGAGCTGATTTCTGATTCAACAATGCTTTTGATTCATGATACAGTTAAACTGGATGAGTGTAAAGCAATCCCAACATACCCCTTGATTTTGAGCCTCGTGGATGACCCTCTGATAGACACTGTTTTTATCATAGTATCGTGCATGCACATGCTTCAACATTCCTATTTTCTTCGCCACTGGCTGGAAGCACAAGTGTTGTTAATTCCCGTATCTGCCTTCCTCTTTCCATTTGTTCAATAATAGAGTCAACCAGTTCATCAAAACATGCAATGACATTGATATTCTTCTCTGTGCTTGTTTCAAAGAAAGGTAGCTCAAGGTGTTCTGCAAAAGTTTTTCCTTCCTCCGCTTGGACTTCTCGTAAGTGAGACAAGTGACATCTATTGCCCACAAGAATTCCTTTCGCATGTGGGTCACAGAATTTCCTCATTTGTTCATGCCTGCAGAAATTAGGAATAACGTTAAGGTGAAATCGTGTGTGCTATCGAGGAGCGAATATGCAAATTTTACTTCAATCACATTTCGCGTGAAGTACGAGTCAGTCAAGCAAATGATTCGTGCACGATGCTCGATGCAAAAAAGCGACACAAGACAAAAACTCCTCGTCTGCAGACACGATAATCCACCGTAATTTCTCTGGTTGTGCAACTCAGGATGATTCGTCTGATGACAATTTGATGACGATCACGATTTGATCGAATGACACCTGTAAAAGCCTCTCCTGAACATAACAACTCGAAAAGCAGTTTCGATACTTGAATGGTTGTAAAAGTTTCAGGGTCTCGTGATTATGATCACATCTTAGTTAGAAAATGATAGTATCAGTCTCTGTTACGCCAAAGGATCGGAAGAGAAAGAGGGAAAGATTCAATAGCTGAAAGTACGAGTGCCTAGACAGAATACTTCCGCTTTTCAATTAGTTTATGGTGTGAAATGTATTTGTTCTTAAATTATCCAATGGTTTTACTATGAACAAATGCAATTCAACCTTTCACTCTGTCAACATATATAATTCGACCTCGATCGTTTAAGTTTTGACCTTTTTGCATCAAGTTGAGGACAAAAATTCATTAAGCATCACGCTATAGGTAAAAATGTGAACATCGCCGTTAGACTTCGAAACTAAAACTTATAGCCGACAAAAATTGGACTAACCAGTATCCAATATTACGGAAAGACTCTCTGTTCGTAACATCATAAACCAGAATTACTCCTACTGCTCCACGATAATAACTCGCCACAGCCGTACGGAATCTTTCCTGTCCAGCTATATCCCAGATTTGGAGTTTGACCCTCTTTCCGTTCCTCTCCAAATTTTTTGCTCGGAAGTCTACGCTTATGGTCGAGCTTGGTGAGCGATATTGATGGCCAGTGTACTTGCATAGAAGGGACGTCTTTCCCACCTTGTAATCACCGATGATAATAACTTTGAAGCAGTAATGAACCCAATCATTAGACTGTAGCCTTGTCGAAGACGAAGCCATTGTGCTTAACCACTAAAAACAAACGTTTTCAGTACGGTACTGGGTACCAATGGTATCTTCACGCTCGTCACGCAACGTGCTCCCTGGCTTTGAGGGAGACTAGGAAATAAAGTGTTAGAATGGAAGGGACTATAGAAAAGGGAGCTTCGGAATAGTGCTATGAATGTTGAAAGTTTGAATAGGTTTCCTTTATTAATTACCAACCATTCATCAAATCATTTCTTATTTTTTTCTTTTGCGTTATTCACCACATTTTGTGGTAAGTGCAACTACACATCCTATTAATAGTTTTAACTTTCGCATATCCTTATTCAACAGTCTGAGATCATGGGAAAATTATATTCAAATTACGAAGTGCATCAATGATGTACTTGTTCCTGGATACTTCAGAGGTGAAAGAGGCACAGTTTCTAAGCAGGAGTTCTGACGCCCGGTTGTTTTGTTCGTTGTTTTGTTTGTTTGTTTGTTTTTTACATTTCTTTTTGTTTTTGTGTTTGTTTTTTGTTTTTGTTCGTTTTTTACATTTCGTTTTGTCGTTTTTTTTTAATTTCCTTTTTAATTACTGTTTTTATTTTATTTTTTCATATGCTACCCTTCAGATACGACGAAACTCGTAGAAGATCTGACAAGAAAGCCTAACATTGAATATTCATACCACACGCTACACACGGGTCTTTGAAAAATTTCCATAACAAATCACGTACACAGTAGACTAATGAGTAACTACACAAAGCGTTCTTATTGCAGTATGTGACGTATTTTGGTTTGGTTGGCTGAAATCTCGATTGCATATTCATAGTGTAAGGAACAGATCAAAGAAAATAAACGTCAGTCATTAAACTTCGTCGCTGCCTCCGGAACTGCGCCGCTCCCTTTTTCTCGAGGAGTAGTTTCTTCCTGAGAATACTAGATGGCCTTCGTTTTAAAAAAGCTCCGTTGGAACTTGTAGTTCATGGTAAGTATCAAGTTACTTTTAAGTTTACTTTAAGTTAGCTAAGAAGCAATACAGTATTGCGGGTAAATTGTACGGCAACTCTGCACGTGTGATTTAATTTTGGGCTCCGAGTTGTCATTCAAACCCTGTTCACGGCTTCAAGAAATTTTTTAAAAAAACGTGGAGCACAAGGCTACGAATGACTCACAAAACCGTGTTACAACGTGGAGTTTAAAAATCCTTTCTCTCACCGAGTTAGCCAATATTCCAGACAAACTAACGTAAAGTCTTGTTGCATCAAATACTGCGGATTATATTTTGAGATAACTTGCGGTTAGCCCGCAAATTTGAGTACAAAACAATAAGGCCATGGTGTATGGAGAATTTGCAAAGGACGCAGCCACTTGCGTTGCTTTTGTAAACGCGCAGAGGAATTTGGCAAATGCCGTTGAAAATAAACTTAGTGTTTCACTGAGAACGTGATTTTCGCACGTATAACTCCATTACACTGCAAGCTCGCGACAGTTCGCCCTCCCCTCCCCTCCCCTCCCCTAGTCAGTTTTTATATTAATCCTTTGAAAAATTTAAAGTCAGCTGAATCAACTGGACAATTGTTTTCCTTATTTCCGTTTAAGGAAGACCATGGAGAAAAATGGAGAAGAGAGAAAGTCAAAGAGAAGGAAGAGAATACAAAAGGACAAAGTGGAATCAATAAATAAAGAAGAAACTCCACGAAGATAGGATCTCTAAATCTCAGTTTTATATTATGCTAGTGTAGATGGTGGCTGCCAAAATTTCTAAGTTTGCTAGGAACTATGCCTACATGTATTTTACACTGGATAAATGGATTATCAAGAGAGACCCTTGTCAAAAACGATTTGGAGTCGAGGATAAAAGGAAGAAGTTGGTGAGTAGAAATTCTGCGGGGAGATTTAGCGACTATGGCAGCCACCAGCAAGTGTGGAATTTTCTAAGTGGCACTGTTTGTTTGATAATATTTTGAGGTAAAATATCTGAAGATTGGAACAAGGATAGGTCGTCCTGTTACAGCACTAAAAGAGAAAGGAAAACAATCCAAATCTTTCTAAATCGAAAAAAAAAATGTATCTCGTTTGTTATCCAAGCACCATTAAGCTACGAAACGTTGTATTTTTTGGGCAAAATATGCACAGATTTTTAAACAGGCGATCAATTAAAAACGTTGTCGATGCAACTGTCGGTGCCACTTTAAAAGATCCACATATTTGCATCAGTAATTTTTCTTGTAATGGACAAGAGAACCCTGGCAACCAAAACACATTTCTCCATTCATTTTTCTCGGCGTAAAAGAATGGCTATTTGTTCACTACTCGCTTAGAGACAAGACCGCTACATTACCCACCGTACACTTAGGCAAATTGACATACAGAGCGCTACTGACAAGTAATTCACCAAAGAAAATAATTTTTTTTAAGGCTGTTGACAAAGACAAACGTATATCAATAGATTACTGTACACAACATCTCGTATTAAGTTACCCCTTACGACCAGTGGAGTACAACAAATTTACAACCCGCTAGGAGAAAAAAAAATACTCAAAACTGACGTGATTTTAACAAAAGGAAAACACGTCGACGTTATTGGACGAAACACGCGCCCGCTCAACAGCCATGACTACAAAGAGTAGAATTAACGTACAGAATCATTGCACCAATCCTACATGTTCTACATAACCTGATCAACATTTAAGACAAGTTAAAATTCAAGATGGAATTGCTCCACCTGCCAAGCTTCTTTAACAGGAGAAGCTATAGTAGAAAACTGAAAAAAGACTGACCACAAACGTGACGACGTCATCGTTGACATCACTGAACAACTAAAAATGAATCTGGGAGTCTACCAAACGTAAATCCTAGAGCTTTGACTCTTTTCAGCGACTGACGCAAAACAACATGTTAACTAACTTAAAAGAGACCACTCTCAGCGAATGTTGACAAAGACTAGCTTGAACCGACACCACAAATGAACCTGGGAGTCTACCAAACGTAAATCCTGGAGCCTCGACTCTTTTCATCGACTGACGCAAAACAACATGTTAACTAACTTAAAAGAGACCACTCCCAGCGAATGTTGACAAAGACTAGCTTGAACCGACACCCTACAAATGAAGTTGAACAAGACATTTACGATAGCGAACGCAACTTGCAGAACCTACACTAACCAATCATAGCTAACAAACGCTCCTCCACCAACAAATATTTGCAAAGCCAGTTGCCAAAGTTCTCTTGTCGTTTACAAGTTAATAAAGTAAAAATGTCTGGTTCAGATTATTGCAAGAAATTCTTGTGTAAATGGTTCCGATTTACAGTTATACAGACCATAACACCTCCTGCAATTTTAGATATTTTAAGATCAAAGAATTGTCAATTTCTTGAACAAAGTTAACGAATTGAAAAACGAATAGAAACTGTTTTATAGCTCGGAAACACTGTCACACTATAGACATTTTTTATGTAACTCACGGAAAATTTGAAAGCGGTTTAAATCGATCTTTTAGATCACAGTGCAGTCAGTTATCATAGTAATTATACGAAAACAAAATTGTCTGTTAAACTCAAGTTAAAGAGAAAAAATGAAGCCGCGTTCAATTTAATTTATCTTGGACAAGTTTCAGGTAAATAAAAGATAATTCACAAATTCAGCTTTGACCGGTCTGTGATTTACAGCGAACTCAATAGTTACGAGGACCCTAACTGTCTTTGTTTTAAAGAGCAGTTTCCAAAGTATCCATAAATTGTTCTCCTACTTAGAAAAAACTCTCTAAGAGGACAAATTAAACGAAAGTTTCCAAAACAAGATTTGAAATTGACTCTTAAGCAAGACAGTGTCGTTTTGAGGATAGGACACTTCCTTTTTCCATGGTATAGGTCTGTATAACTGATAGCATTTTATAGTCCAAAAAAAGTTTACTTTAAATGTACTCTTTGAACCAGCCATTTGGTTATGTTGTATTATGTTTAATGTACAAAGACCTTTTTCCGCCAAAGATTGTTGCACAGGACTTAAGGATAGTTTGGAAAATGAAATCTATATAAAATAAAACAAAAATCAAAAAAAAAAAAATCTCGTCGCAATAACATAGCAGGAATCATGCAAATATTATGACATTCTGATGCATTGTGACTAAAATAAAATCACGGCGAACTTGAAAAAAGAGAAAAAATAGCAGTTGAAGATTATTTTGGTTCAGCCATAAGTCGATCTGTTTACAAATGTTTACTTGTTTCAAAATTGTCCTGTGCAAGAAAAAAAATGGACGGCTGAAAGAGGTCTTGTTAGTAGCAACATGACAAGCTTTAAAAATTTAGATAAATGGAAATAGGAACTACTACACAAACTAATTGGCAAGGAACAAGCAGATTAAATTTAGCTTGCCATGTTGCTAAAGTAGATATTTTTACATCACCTTGTGTATAAAAAGCTTAAGAGACCACAAAAGCATCTTTGCTGGAAAAATTTGTCTCTCTGAAGAGTAGAATTTGAACGAAGGACTGTTCATAGATTTTGTTATTAATATTTTTGCACAAGGTGATGGTCACTTATTTTTTGGCGGAAAACTTTAAGGGAAGACCATTTTGATTTTTTTTGTTGAAAATCTTGTCAGGGGAAACTCTGTGCAAATTGATCCAAATTTTCCCGCCAAAAGTCTTTTCATCTTTTCGATTATTTAATGGAAAATCACTCAACTAATTAAAGAGTGTTTATTGGAAGAGAATACTTGTAACATTTATTGAAATATTTTACATCGTAAATAAAGCAGTGAACAACACAAAGAGTTTATTGACTTTTATAAATGAAATAACAAATTAAAAAAAAAAAACAACGGCGCATGCGTATTTTGGGCGCCCGTATTTTTCTAAGTTTTTTGGCGGGAAAATCGTCTCGTTTTAAACAGCTAAGTATTTAGGTGGGAAAATTTTGACCGAAAAATTTACAAGTTTGCGATCTTCCTGAGAAAAACATATTTAGTAGAAAATACTAAATAGAAAACGCTGAAAAAGTAATTCTATCCACTACTGAAGTAGATGAAAATTCGACTTAGCGACGCAATTAAATGCTTGTTTACCTCGAAATCAATAAACTGTAAATTTTGCCTTTCAAAAAAATAAGCGAAGGTGCAAAATAAACGCTAGCACTGCTCGTTTTTGAACAAATAAATGAAAAAATTTTAACAAATTAAGGTTTACTTTATATAATCTGTTGTTCCATACTAATTCCCAACAATTTTGATTGTACAATTTCCTTCAATTGGCCCACTGAAATGATGTGGTGTAGCAGATAATTGTAATCCTCGCCTTAACTTTTTTCTTAAAAACTGAACATTCGTAGAAATCATCTCAATCTTACTGATCTTGTGTTTAACGTTTATCATAACAATTTTCAATGTACACATTTCTTGATTTTCTCTAAATACTTTCCTACATTGATCAAGCCAAAGGCGCACAGTTCACACAACTATTCGTGAGCTTGTGTCTAAAAATCGAGTCCGCATGGTCAAACTTCGTCTGCAAATCAGTGTTTGTTTTCAAAATCTCTTTGCCTCGATACTTAAGAAAAATAAGAGGCAAGTCTAATTTACCATCTTGAAACTAGAATTTGACAGAAAATTTATATTATTGATCGTCAGATTGGTTCCCAAAATTCGGTGATTGATATCGTTGCAAATTTTCAACTACAAATTTTTTAAACAAATCGTCCAAATCGCTCTGAAATCTTTCAAAATTGGTTGTAACTGAGCGGAATAATTGCGTTTAAAATGCACCCTCGCGGCTTAATTTTTTATGTTTAAGCTGATCTAGTTTACGATTCTACCTTTGAAACATGAACGCTTGATTTCATTCCATATACTTGTCCATGTCCACTTAAACTCCATTCCAGTCACATGTCCATTTTCCAATTTGATTTCAGTTCATCTGCCAGTTCGATTTCAATCCATTCGCTTGCCCATTGATTCAATCCAACCACTTTTTAACTTGAAGTGACAATCGAAGGTACTATATGTATAGAATCCTGGCAGTAAAGGATATAGAAAAGCTTGTTAGATTTACGGTGCAAGGCGAGAAATAATGTCGCAACTAGTTTTTATCATAATGGTACTATGGAGACCTTGATTAGCCCCTGAAATTTCAACGAATTTTTTGCATTTACCAAAGTTTACAAATTTTGATATTTACACGCCCAACACTTTTGAAAATGAATACGCTGGAGCAATCACACCATTCAGAACATCTGTGTTTGCTGGAAGTCTTTTATACTCGACGTAACTTGTACGTGTGGGTACAGTAGGAAACTATTGAAGGAAATTAAAGCTGACAATGTCTTGGTTTAGGAAACCCGAAGCAAAAATTTATTTTAGCCGAGTTATTTTAAAGTCGGAATATTTATCTCAATAATCAACCTTGAAAAAAAGTCGGTACTTATGTAGTTTATATCAGAGATAATCTCAACGGAGTGAACTCCTCATCACTGTAAGAACATATTCCTTGGGTAAAGTAAGAAAACAGGAGTATAAATCTAACCCATGAGGTCATTCACGAACTCTCTATGGAAAGGAGAAATATCTGCTTACTTAACAAAATTTGGCATATTCCACCATATTGTCGTAACAATTTTTATTATGTTCTATACAATATAAAACACAATTCGACGACATACCAAAACGAAGAAGCCATGCCACTTTCGTCCTCACTTTAAGTCGTTAAAGCGTTTGCAGTCTTTCCCAAATTCAGGTGTTGACGACTTTTCTTCCGAACGAAGAGACTCAAAGCTGCATGGGAACGGTTCTCTGTCTGCTTCATGTTCAGCAACAACCAAGCGGTCGGCGTATTTTCAACGAACAACGCCATATTTTTTAACTCTTCGCAAACGTAATGGTGCAACTGCATACTAAATGAGCTTAACGAGAAAACCATTTGCAATGCAGATAAAATAGCTAATTATGCACAGGGTCGATTCAATAGGTGAGACATACAGGGGAAGGGGGGAGAGGGGAGGGTGGGGCTTTCATTTGAAACCCGACAAACAGAAAAAAAGAAACAGAAGAAATTGAAGCAAAGACGAAATAAATGAGACCAATCAATGAGACGTGATGGTTATGAAACACGGGGCATCGTACACAAAGCGAAGCGCATACTTAAATTGTAATTACTGTCGACTTTCACTCTAAAGAAAGAGACTCTGTGAGAGAGAGAGATTATTTAATATTTCACATAAAAAGAATATCAAAATTATAATGACTTGTACTCTTCAATTGTAAAGCTTTTTCGGTTTACTCCTCATGAACAACTTCTACAAAGCACTTTATCTTAAGCATCACGTCAGGGTATGTTATGCTTGCAATACTGTTGTATTGAAAATCGGTTTCAATTTTTTCAAAAACATGTGAAGGCCTTCTTTAGAGGCGAAATAATAAAACTAGTTAAGAGTACATACCGCGCACAAGTAGATTTCCTGTAACGTGGCTTCTCTTTCAGATGAAGACGAAAACCTTTGACAGTCAACTGTTTTCGTCTAGGTCAAGTGAAATGATGATTTTCCAAATATATAATAAGACTGACTTAGTATTAAGCCAAAGAGTACGAATTTTTTACTCCTAACTCAAAGGGACGGAAAATTAGAAGGGCAGTAAAGGGCGTGACCCATCTGAGGTAGCTGAATGAACTAGGTGTTCATACTCACAATTTTGCTGCTGCCTTTTGTAATCAAAAAGATGAAAATGTCAGAACATCACACTTCCAAGGTTGAATCGTATAATTTTTTGCTTACGAGAAATTGTATAAAATTGAATTTAGACATTTTTATCATCTGGACAGAATTCAAATACTTTGAACCAGTGACGTAGAACTCGCATCTCTCTTAAATTGTCTGATCATGAAAATTAAGCAAATAAGTAAACTTTTTTGTGATTAGGAATTACATTATGGTAAGAACCAATATTCCCATCACTTTCTCCTCTATGTTCTCAGCTTTCCTTTCTTTCCACTCTGATGTTCACATATTATAATTACATACTTGAAGCACTTCTCAAATACCAAGTCAAGGTTGGCAAAATATCAGAAAGCCCTACAGTTCCACATATGCATGGCTTTTTCTTCCTCAAGTATATAACCTATGCTCATCTCACACGAGAGTTTATACAGTCTGTGCATGAAGGAACATTTTTTCACAAATTAATGATTTACCATTTTAAATTTAATTACATTGTTGCCTGGCAACATGTCTACTCCTTGAGACACAGCTGATATCCCTTGGCGTCATTTAACCGGATAATGCACCTGCTCACTCAATCCTAGACTTCAATTAGGTTCACAGAGGCACTTGAGCTGTTTGATTCCCAGTTCCAATCCATTGCAAAGTTAACACCTGAATAACCTCTTGTTTTCCACCCACAATCTATTCCTCAGATCACTTTAAACAAGGTGACAAACGATCTGCAAACCCTGCTTCACAATTCAGTGATGTCACCTAAAACTTTTTTATTAATTTTTACCCTGACTAATAAGGGTCATCACTTTTGTCCAGGTTCTCAATTTCATGCTCAAGTTCTTGAAGCAAAAGCTCAGCATGTTGGTTGCTTTTTGCTGCCTCCTTGTAAAGCTGTCTTGATTTCTCCCAGTTTTTCTCCACACCATATCCAAAGTAATACATGTTTCCAAGATTGATCTACAACAGAAAACAAGGAGGGAACAAATCAGTGCACTGTCCATCAAGAAATCCATGGATATTTTAAGGAAGAATTGAATCATGATCTCAACAGCAAGTTGCTACTTAACAATAAAGCTTTTAACTTCTTTAATTTTAACTTCCATATGTCAGACCCTTCACTCAGTACGTCTCCCAAATCAAGAGAAAAGTTCATCTGATACAACTTTTTTGGTGATCTTTAAACTGGGTGATTATTGGTGTATCAATATACCTGAGCAAACACGTGTCCTTGTTGAGCAGCAAGGTTAAAGTAATAAGCTGCTTTCTTCATGTCATTCTCAACTCCTTTTCCAGCAAAATAGTTGACTCCAACATTGTACTGGGCTGTTAAGTGGCCTGGTGAGCAGACATCATCAGCATTACTATAGTTACTATCATTGTTCCTTCTTCTTCTTGTGGAGAATAAAGCCTCATCAGACAAAGAAGAGTACATAGAAGCCCCATTCAAGAGGTGAAAAAACTTGGTAAATACCTTAATTAATCAATCATTAATTGACAGACCGGCTGATAGATGGATGGATGGATGGTGGAATTGTTAAATAATCATACAGACTTCTGAACTGCTAATCGACTGACTCACAAACTGGTTGATAGATGATGACTGACTGACTAACTGACTGACTCCCTGATCTACAGACTGACTTACTGTTGCACCGACAGACTATGAGTTAACACACAAACCAAAAATAACACGGTTATGTTACACTAAGTATGTTTTTGCCCTTACCATATTGCAGAATTTAAGCTTATGACTTATGTACCTTGGTCAGCTGCTGCTTTGTAGCACTTGAATGACTTTTGAAAATTCTTTTCTACACCAGTGCCTTGACTGTAAAATGCACCAAGTGACATGAGAGCTGGCACATCACCTTAATGAAAGTGGACCACTTTATAGTTTCAAAATCGGGGAAGCGTTTCACCTCATGATAACTCCAATACCAAAACACTGAAGATACAACCCATCCCACACTCTCTCTCTCTTTCTCAAACAGACTTACACATTTCTTAGTAAAAAAATTACCGGAAAGGGTTTCATAAGGTCTTTCCTGCCTTGCAAGGCTAACTTGCATCTTCCCCTATTTTGGCCTTATTCAATACCCCTCCTTGAATGACAAACAAGTAAATCCTTAACCCTTTACACCCGAATATCTGTATGCATAATCTCCACACTATTCTCTATACATTTCCTAAGATGCTGAAAACTCAAGGGGAGTTTGTTTAACAATCAAGAATTTCTCTAGTTGGTGATTGTTCCCATTGTTATAGTGACCTTAATACTTGATTCAGGGCTATTATTATACCACTAATTCAATGATTTCACACGTCATGTGCGCACTCCAGTCATGTGCCTTTCATATGATACACCATCCTTTTATATCATAAACTGTCCAATAAGAAAATTCATTTGTCAGTTTTTCATCTCTCTGCAAAAAGCTTAACATGTAATTCATAATTCATATAAAAACAAACCTTTTTCAGCAGCTTTTGTAAAATACTTGGCTGCCTTTGTTAGATCTACCTTTCCTATCTCTCCAGTAGTATACATGTTTCCTTAAAAAAAAAAAATGATGTACATTAAATGTACATCATGCTTTTTAATAAATTTAACAAATGAATATCAAATGTAGATCATGTTTTTTTATTAAATTTAATAAATTTTATTCTTGTGTAGAATTAGAATGAACTACTTATGTCCTCAAAATCAGAGACCTCATGAGCTTGTTTACCAGGTTCTTGGGGTTGAGAGTTTCAATAACTTTTAACATAAGCGGCTGCTGATGGTTTAATAGGTGGCAGCAAAACCTGAACAGGAGAGCCTGCTAACAGGCTAATCAGTGGATGGTGATAAGTCTTACAGACAGCAATACACCCCCAGTAACTAGCGGTATATTGCTGCCTGGGGTACACACTGGTGGGGTGAAGGAGGGAAAGAGGAGAAAAGATCAGTAGCTGAAAAGGAGGAAAGGAAAAGACCCAGGGAACAACACTGAAATCTGGCCCATAATCATGAGTACAAAGGACTTAACCCTTTAACTCCCAAGGTCTGATTGCTAATTCTCCTCTCTAGCTACTACACATTTCCTTGCAAAAAAGGCAGAGAATTTGACATTATATCAATATAACAACTCCTACTTGATAATTTTGAGTACTCTCATTATCTGTTTGCTGGATAATGTATAGACACCATAGGGAGAAAATACTTGCTAATCACTTCTGGAAGATAAAGGGTTAAATGCAAAATCCAGCTTGATACACAATAAGCCCAGAGCTCTAACGAGTTCAGCAAATAATTTAAGTTTTGCTCTAACATGTAACTGTAGTCATTTATGTACATACCTATCATAGTGTTAGCTTCTCTCACTCCCTTCTTTGCACTGGCCTGAAATTAAGAAGAGGATTAACACATCACATGTGTCAACTTAATTTGTTCTCAACAAAAACAAAATTTTAAAAAAAAATTTTCCTATGCAGAGAATTTCAATACTTTCTTATATATACATCCTAAAAACAGGCCACATCATGTAAATTTTAGACAAAACAAGGGTGCCATTAAAAGGAACAAACTGTTAACTGAAGACTTGAGGGTTCAAAATACTTATTAATTTAAAATTGAAAATGTTTCCATTTCATATGTTTCTTTGTAAAACTTTTCCAATTTCTAAATTTGAGATCTGACCAGAATATTTAAAATGATGAGCACAAACTATCACTTTACACAATGACATTATATCAATGCAACATTGAAATGGTAGAACAAGCACAGTAGAATGGTACCTCATAAAGCTCAAGGGCCATCTGTAAATCTTTTTTCATTCCAATTCCATTGTGATAAAAATGTGCTAAAGTAAACTGAAAAGAAAAGAAAAGTAATTTAATGTTTTGTCAGAACTGGGCACCCGTGATCATGACTTAAAAAAAACGTGTGTGGGATGAAAACATCTCCAAATGTGTGGGAAAGGGAAGGGAAGGGAAAAAAGTAAGGAAAGCAGCAAAGCTGAAAAAGCATGAGCACTTGCTAATGTACTCTAGAAACCTCCCTAATTCCTCGTACACTCCATTAATGTTTTAAACTTAAACTGGGTTAAATTAAGCCATAATCCATATAAAGCCTTTAACCTGAGCAAATGGATGACCTTGGTCTGCAAGTTCTGAGAAAAGCTTTCCAGCCTCAATGGGGTCTCTTTCTACTCCACCCTCTCCTGAGAAAATGCAGATAAAAATATAAAGCACAAATAAAACAAACTGAAATGAGAAGAGATACAGTGAAAGGAAATGAGACAAAGTCGGATGAGATAAGATGGGACGAGATGGGATAGAATGAAATAAAAAAAAAAAAGAAAATGAATGATATAAAATGAAAGAAAGAAAAAAGGGACAACCACTCTATGCTAGAAAGACCTCTCCGTTAACATCATACTTAATTATGTCACAAGCATAGTGAATACAAATATTATCATTCAAATAATAGTAATCAACCTGTTTCCAGGAGTTTTGCATAGCTATACATTCCATCTGGATTTCCAGCCATTGCAGAAAATCTGAACAGTGGAGCAGCCAATTCAACTGCATCTTTTCCAACTACAAACAGGGTAATCAGACATTTAGTATTTGTATGGTTTGTTAGTACAACTTGCTAACATTGCTTTAAGCCTCTGGGGAATAGGTAGATAGCAGCACTAAGACCTCCAACTCTCTTCACTGATGAAGTACATTGGATTTTCTAGAGTTTCCTATGGGACGATGCAATTGTGATAGCAAATATTTAAAGTTCACAAATTTCTCTATCACACCTGATTCTTGGGTTTCAAAGATAAGTGATGCCAGTCTATAAACATCCTCTGAAGATACTGAAATAATAAAAATTTCAAGGTAATTCAATATTCATACAAAGTCCACACACAATTCCATTTTCAACATTTCAACATTTTCAACCCTCTCTCGTAGCAAGTTGTGGAATATAATATGTGTCTTGCAAATTGACTTCTGGTATGATGTGTCGACTTTTAGGGCATGAATCATCCAATTTGAGTAGAATCTAGTTGATTCAAGAACATTTTTGACCCTTCCTTGCAGCTACTTGCGGAACATAGTATCCATGGATCGCTAGTTCATAGTACATAAACCACTTGCTGTTATTTGTTATTATGATCATAGCTTAACCCTTCAACTCTCTAGAGTGACCAAGACAGAATTTCTCCTTACAATATCAGTACCATATCAACCAGCAAAGTGATGAGAACTAAGAAAAATATCAATTTGGAGATAATTCTAGTTGATCCAATACTAATAAAATTCTCTGGATTAACATTATAAGAATTGTATGGTTGACAGTAAGGAGAATAACAAATTTGACCTGGGAGTTTAAGGATTTATTAACAAATAGATTCCATGTTGCCAAGCAGTGTTCAGTAATAGATAACAGAAGACTTCAAAATGTGGTAAGAACAAAAACTTCACACAGGGTGCAGCCAAATACGTCACTGATGTCCTTCCCACATTTTCACATCTTCTATGATCTATTACTGTACAGACCCACAGCAACATGGAAACTCTTTGTATTACAAGATAAAAAAGCAAAATGTTGTTAAAAGTGAAGTCATCTATGCATCTGCCCTTCAATATCTTATCAGCAAGAACCAATCAAGATTTGTGCATAATTTATCATATAATACTATGATAGAAAGTCATGGTTCATATCGAATATAATATTATAATATGATTTTTTTTTCAATAAACAAGGTCTTACAATCTAACAATGATGGAGACTTACATTCTGCTGCTGTTCTTGTGACAGACACAGATAGCACTTCCCCTTTCCAATGCTTGATCAAAGCTTCAAGAACTTTCAAGTGTGTTGCCAAGGAATCATGATTAAGGGATTCTTGTAGTTTGTCTTTTATCAGATCCGAAAGGCTTTCAAATGCTGCAAGAGACCAAAAAAGTAATCAGGTAACCTAAAAACTTCTAAATAAAAAATTGATTTAAAATAGTCATCACAAGCTCCTGAAAGTTTTTTACATTTTTTTATTACAGTAATTCTCCTTACTGTCAAACGATTCTTATGATATTAGTTTGGAGAATTTGGTAATGAATCAACTAGTAATCCCCTAATTGACATTTTTCTTTATCATCGTCACTGATATCATTGATTTTGTATTAGTATTGTAAGGAGAAATTCTGTCTTGGTCACTCATGGGAGTTGAGGGGTTAGGGGTTTTCCTAGAGGCTCATAGGGCTCATCTGATAGGTTAATTTTTTTCATACACATACAGGGATGCAGACAAGAATAAATTTAAAAGCCTTCTAATTATCAGGTATTCTAAACAACTGATGCCAGTTGTAGGAAATACAAGTGAAAATCAGGTTGGCCAAGACTACAGATGTGAAAAAAATAGGACAATCATTCTCACGCATGCAGAACCATTTTAAGCCAAGTATACAGCACTTAAAATATACTGATCTACGTACACTTAGCTTCAAAGTTACTGGGCACAAAAATTAATTCTCTGATTCTGGAATTCAGAATAAGTAAATAAAACAGTAAAGTCTTCACTCAGTTTATTCCTGGTTTTAATACTTAAAGGGACCAAGACTATTTCTCTCCACTGCATGGGATGCTGGTCCACCACAAGGCTACCCTCCAGCACTTCATCAGGCCTCCCTTACACTCCACCAATATCCATTTATACTCCTGAGTGGGGAGAGGCAATATGAGACTGAAGTGTTTTGCCCAAGAACACAACACAATTACCCAGCCAGGTCTTGAGACCTCTCAACCCAGAGTCCAGCACACTAATCATTAGGCAAACACGTCTCTCACATTCCTACAGAGTGCTTTGGGAAAAGATTGTACCTGCACTCCCCCCACCCTCTGCAAACTGAGGTTTGGGTGCTTTTTTTAGGTGATTGTTTTACTTAGAAGCAAGCAAGTGAAAGCAGTATTAAGGCTAAATCAAAGCATCATTAAATTACTTTTTTATGAACCCAATTGTTGTCCACTGCACTAGACCCTAACCCACTTGAACACGCCTCCCCAACACCCACTAGGGTCGTGTGGAATGAGAAGAGATTAAGCATAGCTTTTGGGAGGAAATGGTAACTTACCTTCTCTTAAAAGTTATTTGCATTTTATAATATTAAAAACAGCCACGTTTATGACTTACTTATTTGTGGGTTATCATTAGGGGTGACGGAGGAAGATGTGAAAAATCTCTTCTCCTGCAATCCCATAAGTGAGGTCTGTTGGTATCCAAATGTATTTTTCGATATGGGTGAAATGCCATTTTCTGTCGCTAAGCAACTCAAATCACATCTGCGTGAGAATGATACACATTGTCTCCGCATTAAAAAATTAATTTCGTCCGTAACTACAGGCCGACAAGCCAAAGAAACTCTATAACAACGAAATAAGGCCGCCATCTTTGCGGCCATGTTGGATGTCTCACGAGCCCGCAGTTACACAGAGGAAATATTTTGACTTCTTCGTGTAGGGGATCCCTATGGGGAGAATTAAGACAAGTGGAATTTCTGAAGTAAAAATCCGAGTATGAATTATAGTGCGTAAATCAACTTGTTTTTTTCTATTTGATAAACAAGTTGAAATTATATTTTTTTCATCCTCTATGAGAGATAATTTACGTTTAGTGGAGGTCAAAAGTGCTCCTTTCACCCTCCCCTCCCTAACAAAATCGATTTATTTTGCGTGCGACTATTTGAAATTTCTTACACGACCTGGATATGAAGCACAATGGAGGATTTACCTTTCCAATTTAATAAGAAGATTTAGCTTCGGTGATGAGTCAAAGAAGTTTCGAGGACAACATCTCTTTCCCTGGATATTAATTAGGCCAGCTTTTTAATGAACAAGGGGTTTTTAAACGACTGGCTTTCATCCTCCTCTTGACAATCATCGGACATGGATAACAACAACAATATACCCTACGGATCGATATCTTGGGACAACGAAGATTCCTTTGGCCCGACGAATCAGCGAAGGGAGACTATAAGAAACCCTTCATTAAGACCTCAGAATGCAACGGCCAACAATGGCCTGAGATTTTCTCTACGAGGTCCGCATTTTCCTCCACCACAACAAAGAGTTCATGGCGTTGGAATTTCCAGAAATTCAGAATTAGCTAATCGGTTACCTAGAGGCGATACGACACAATCAAACTTCCAGCAATCGAGCAACTCAAATTCACCGCCGTTTGAAAGATACTTCTCATTGCGACCTTCACAGAACACATCGCATATACAAATGCACACTCCATTACAAGAATCACAGACTTCAAACAATCAAAACATAAGTAAAAGCTTTCAAGGCCAAGCTTTTCCTTCATTATACTCGAATCCTACACCAGGCTCAAGTTCTGGTAACCCTGCAATAACATCAATGTTACTGCAGGGTCATCATTCCCGCAATAATAATGTAGAGATGTCCCGAGGACTTAATGGTAGGGGGTAAGTGTATAATATGTTGTTGTTTAACCCTTTTACCTGTAAGAGTGACGAGGACATAATTTATCCTTACAATATCACCATCAAACCTGAATTAAAGGTTATGAGAATGGAAGAAATGATCACAAACTAAAGAAGTTCTAGATTGTTCAATCAATTCTCCTTTTCAGAACCATAGGAAATGTTTAGAGAACAGTATGGGGAATATGCATACTGATGTTAGGGCATAAAGGGTTATGGTACAATTGGCGCAATTTAATCCTTACAGTTTTCTTTACTGTGGCAGGAGAAATGAAAGCTTTCATGCACACAAAGCGAAACGGAAAAGTAGTTTATCAGAAGGTGATAGGTAAGCAGTGGTTTTTTTTATTTTCTTTAATTCTGTTTAAGTGGGTATAGTCAACTCAATTAAGTTCTACTTATCTCTTTTATTGAAGACAAGAGGGACCATCAAGTAAACGGTATCTGTCAGAAAGAATGGCAGCAAGAATGCACAATTTAAGGATAAGTAACGATCATAATAATCCTGTAAATATCTTGCAAAGTTTAATGGCAAATCAGGCAGTTGGCACCTCTGACGGTCAAATATGTGAAGGCAATGATAATAACAGTGATGATGATGGAGTGAAAAGTACAAATGCAATGCAAAAGTGAGTTAAAGTTATTTTTATTTCTCTATTTTAATTCTTTGTTACCCTAAGGGAGACTAGTATCTAAATTGAACCCATAATCAAACACTAGGGTCATGAGAAAAAAATGAAATGATTACTAACTAGAAAAGTTCTTGATTGTTAAACAAATTCTCCCTATCAGCTTCTTAGGAAATGTATAGAGAACAGTGTGGAGAATATGCATACTGATGTTAGGGTGTAGAGGGTTAAAGACCTTTGGCAAAGTAAGCAATTACCTTGACTGCGTGACATGTCCAAGTTTTTCCTTTATCATTTTTCTGCAGAAAAATTATTTGTCTAAGGACACCCATCACATTTAACATCTGTGGTACATGGCCTCTAATACCAAGCCCTTAAATAAATACCATTGCTACTCTTTGAAAGTTGTGGATATTTTGTAGAACTTTACAATATTATTACTTAGTGGTTTGTTTTATTTTTCAGCCGGCAAGACAATTTGCCAAGGTTTGTTTTGTCGACACATGTGAAGGAAGCTATCACCAAACAAGAGTCAATCATTCCAGAAGCTATCTACAATCAGATGTAAGTTCAATATCTCTATTTCAGTTTCAATGCAACTAATTTGGTTTTGAGCATATTTTTTAAGGAAAAACTATAAAAATTGCTTGTTAATACCTTTTAAGTTACTCCACATGTTTATACTAGGCTTAGTGTATGTCTGACATCATAAAATCAAAAGTTTATTTCTTTTTTATTTATTTTGCAGAAGTAAGCCTTGTTTGGCAGTTGTTCCTTGGAAGAGTCCTGATAATGGGTTTTCTTTATCAACAGATAGCAAGGAGGTTGGCCAGGTAATCAGAGATCTAATGTATATTTCTCCCTTCTCAGCCGCTATACATTTTGTTGTAAATTAGTTAGAGAACTTATCATATATTTAAGTAACTTGCTTCACTGTTACCAAGCTTTCTCAATCAGTTTTCTGGATGATACTGTGAGAAGTTTCACATAAATCACTTCCTTGGGTGAAAATTAAGCACACAGTTGAAAATTGTAGTTCAACAGTGAAAAACTTGTTTTTGATTGTTTCTCGTGTGGTGTGACAAAAGCTGTCATATCAAATGTGAATGCAAAAAGGAGTGGTGGACTGGGGTGGATGAGTTACATAATTGTTTATGAAATACCTGTTATCAGATGTTGCAAATAAGTATGTTTCCCAAGCATGTGTTCTCATATTCTTCATGTTAGGAAAACAATGTAGACCTGCCAAATAATAATAGTAGCAGCACATGCAGCAGTCTGATCATGGAAAGTCTTCCTGAGACGGACCAGCTTCAAGACAAAGGGTGAGTTTTTTCTTTCTCTTCCTGACTTTCTGTGCAGTTTGCTTCGTGATTTTGAAATAGAACAAATTAACTACTACCTGATTACAAAATTTGAGAGTTTGAAAACCAGAGATACACAGTTGAGGTAAAAAATTTTATCAGTGTTGCCATTGCTTGTTTTACCCATATTTACTGAGAGGTAAGTATTGAATGTGAACTCTGTTATTTAATATGTAATATTTCTGATTATTCCTCGCAGGGTTCATCATGTTGAGATTGTTGGTGAATGCAGCACTTTCAGTTTTGAAGATGATGATATGGACCCATAAATAAAGACTATATTTATTTATATTATCAATAATTTGTAAGCTTACTTTGGACAATGTTTGTTGAGAGCAACAGATTGTGAATTTCAGTTGATTAGTTGTCATATGATAGGAAAATATTTTCTTGGACTGTTATATACTTATTTACACTTTGAAACAGCTTCAAATTACAATAAAACAGGTGTTATATAAAAAAGCCTGAATGGTTTCTCTTTCAAGCAAATTGTTGTATACAATTTGGAAATCAAATACATGCAATTAACATTGATTACTAGAAATATATACATATATCTCGCATTTCACTCTAACCCGTTTTTTAGGTATATTGGAGAACTTAAAATGGCTTTAGAGGGTATGTTAGGTGTAGCCCATTCACATATATTCATATTTGCTATTATATTTGCATTAGCAAAATTCAATTAGAATCTCATCTTCTGCAAAATCATGCCAAGCTGAAGTTACAACCTCCAGCTGAAAAATTGATCTATTTTCATTACAGCCCCCCCCCCATTCCCCTCAGTAATGCAAAGAGAAATTATAGCTTAATTCCCTCTTGGGGTGAGGAGCTACTAGAGTGAATGGGTTCACTTTACTAAAGCCTAACATCGTTATTCTCCACACTGTTCTCTACACATTTCTTATAGTACCCACAAGGTAGATTTGGTTAACAGTCAAGGGCTCTTTTAGTTGGTGGTCATTTACTTTATACTTCTGACCCTAGTGTATGTTTGATTCAGGGGTAATATTACAGGGAATTCTTAGCTGTTAGTCACTGTTAGGGAAACAAGATGAAGCAAAGTTGATCGAGCATATTGCAGGAAACAATGATTCCAAGTAAAATCTAGTTTATATGTCAATCATTGCATAGGACTAATGCAAGCTAATATAACAGAGGTTGTAAAAGAATTGTTGTTTTTTCTTTGAAGTCATACAATTTGCTGTGAGTGACTACATTGACAGTAAGCATGTTTGTACCCACTTGCTTGAGGACTGCTACTATCGAAGGCAGTGGAACAAAGATATCTTGAAGACATCAGGGTCTGACTGTAGCCACACTTTGTGAGATTAACATACATTCAGGATAATTAAACCAAACCTTGCATGCGGTGACACATTTACAATTAATTTTACAGTTAAAAAGTATTAAAATCTGAAAAAAAAATAAGCAAGGATTACAAAATCTTTGTTTAGTGTCTGCAATGAAAAGTACGCCAGGCATTGGTTTGTCTCTATACAAAGATAAAGTCAGACTATTGCGGCATAGCGTTGGCTTTCATTTCCCTCAGACGGCTAGAAATTGGAATTCTTTCAAGTCTCGGGCTTTGAGTCGATCCCAAACTACTTCCAGAAGCAATGGTACTTTGTGAAGACTGTAAAGACTCATAACTTGAAGCGCTTCCTGCCGAACTAGTGGAACCGGTACTCGACTTTGCTGACAAAGCGGGATGACCTTCGTTTCGATAGCCCTTAGTAGAAGCGACTTGCTTAAGAACTGTGACTAACGAAGGCGGTGGAACATTAAGCTTTATCAAATCCAGCAATATCTTGAAGACATCAGGATCTAAAGTGACTCCGCTCAAATTACACAGTTCGAGAAGTTCTTCGTCCAAGCTCTTGGAGCTCGTACGAGTTACAGACACCTTGTAAATATCCGGTGAGGACTGCGATCTCGACATGTCTTTAAAAACAGTGAGGAGCTGGTTATATATTTATTAATGTACTTTTTCCCGTTTGATGGTCCAATATTGGCTGGCGCTCAAAGGAAGAAAACACCAACCACCTCAGCCCTACACAACTTCACTTGGGAGCCATTTTGGATATAGTTACTCGTTTCCAGTCTACGCTCACCATTTAAGAGTGCGATTGAGGTGTAATGAAATGTCCCGATACGACAATTCCAGTTTTTAAAGGAAACTTTTAATGGCAATGACCGATCATCAACACCTCCAATAAAAAGAAGTTAGAACTTTGAGCAAATTAGTGGCTCAAAACGGCACAAGGATTTTAACATTCAATGGTTTTAAAGTGCGCTTTAAATGAACTCTCTTGACTTTTAGAAAAATTCTTAATAAAATTTGATGGATAGTAATGTTTTATTTTTGTATCTGTTACTTGAATATCCAAAAACATTTAAAAATTACACCTAGTGACCCCGTAACTATGTTACGTCATCAGGAGGGCTCCAAATGGGTGTGAAATATAATATCTGAGTTGGGCTAAAAAAAGCTACAACAACTAACAGCAACAGGAAGAAGGAAATAGGAAATTAATAAGAGATATTTTCGCTTCGATTCAATTACCTTGGATATCGCAAACGAATCCCATATAAAATCAGGTAGGTGCCGCTACACAAAACTTAACTAATTGGTTCTTATAAGACATTAGTAATGGATATCCCAGAAAAAACATTCTCATTTGAAGTAATATCCCCGAGTTTCAGTTGCGATTAACTCTATCGCTAAACCGTGGGAGACCTCAGACAATCAGACAAGGAACTATTAAGATTTTATGATCACAACGCTTTCAGTTCGCTGCTTTATAACTCTTAAATAAGTCTGCAACAAAGCATATAAAGTTGTCTTCCAAAATTTTGTACGTCGTAAGAGACGATATAATTTTTTTTTTTTTTTTTTTTTAATTAATAATTTTTTTGTTCTCTTCTTATCTAAGGATGCTCCAAGGGTAACCATGAATGGAGCAGATGACTTGATAACGTTTTTGTGACAGTGAAAAGTATTATAACAAACGTAAATGCTGCTCTTATATTTTGTTTCAGGACTGCCCCCTATATTTCATCTCATGAATGACGCAGTTGCTCAGCCATGGAGAGAAAAAACAACAAAACGTCACACAACATAGACAGCGATATTGTAAGACGTTTGAGACCAAAATTTAAAAAAAATGATAATTTCGACGAAAGTAACCATATTCTTAGTTACCATTCGAACGTATGGGACCTTAATTGAGAATTTTATAGATCAACACAATTTTCGCACAGAGGATAATGAGATTCATTGCTCAAAATTTTGAGAGTGCTCGCTTATTGTCAGATACAGGCTGTCTGTTTATTTTTAACAATTTAATGATATGCTAACCTGCAAATAGGCTTAGAGATAAACAAATTCCTTTGATGGTCCGCGGGTCAGACAATATATTATGATATTATTTGATAGCTTTTACGCAACTCGGCGCCCAGGGAGTCACATGGACCGTTAATGAATCGGTTTTTAAACTGAGAGTTTTACTCGTAAGGGAGGAGTTTTTCCGTTGTTTCGCGACAAAAAGTTAGGGTGCTAACATCACCGTTGATCTTGCATCAGTTTTCCTCTGTTATACTTGTTTCTGCCAACAGTTCCGCCTTGTAGACGAAAATCAACCCGGTAAAATGGCGAAGAGCACTATTTTGTATCTTCGCATTGGCGAGGGAAAGAATTTACCTCGGAAGGACATGTGAGTTGGAGCGGACGATTTCATTCTTAAATAATATATTTGTTTTTCGCACGTTATTAACGCTTTTGAATGAAAGGAATTTTGTCCCGGTCAATGTTCAGTTAGTTCACTCGGGAATTATTTGATTTTGTTTTATTTTATTTTGTAAATAGCTCTGGAAAGAGTGATCCATACTGCATTGTGAAAGTGGACAACGAGCCTGTAGCGAGGTAAGTAAATACCTTTGGGCTTTTTCTGTTGCTAATTGACTTATACTGTATTAACAACGAGTGTCAAGTATTTTGATGAAAGCAAATCATTGCTAAAAGGTGTTACAATCTATGAAAATCGCAGGTAACTTTGTATGATTTTAAGTTAAAATTGCTTAGTTGCCACATACTTTACGGGGTTTTCCGCTTTCAATGTTTAAATATCTGACGGGAATAAACAAGAAAGTGTAGAGTCCAAAATTTAACAAAGTAAACAGTAAGTGAACAACTCCATGACAGCTGATTTAATCTCGCGACAAATCTTTGAATAAAACTTACTTCCTTGTAAAAATGCACAGACGAAATCAGTCACCTAGCGGACGTGGTTACATTACAAATTGATTTTCGGCCGCTTAGTTACGATTCTTTCGCTTACGATCCGAAAGCAGGCGACATCTATGATCTGTTCAAGCAGTGTATATCGAATAAACCCGATCACATTCGTAAAAGTGATTTGACCAAAATCTACATACTGACTCAAATATAAACAAAGCTTGGTATATGAAAAAAAAAAAAACGGGAAAAAAGGTCATCGATCCACTTTTTTTTTCATTCTTCCAAGTCGAAGATCATAGAAGAAAAATTATACCCTAATTAGATGTTTATTGCTCAGAGACCATCTGGTGTAATTGACTCTTGCGAGGTGTAAAAAAGCAATTAATTAAAGGTGATAATTAACTGAACCATTTTAACATTGAGTTGAGGTCAATTTAAGACAACGTTTAGTTTGATCGAGCAAAGCGGAAAATAATTTTAATTTCTAAAATATCAATCTGGTGAAAGAACAAAGGGTTCTTTGCCGTTCACGAGGCTATTATACCTCGTTCAAAACGGATAGGAGAAGGGAAAGGGTCTTGAAGATCGCATCAACAGATATAAATCAATTTCCGTCCGTTTTACCCGCTCGAATCGGTTCAATGAATTCAGCTTTGCGTGGGAGATAAATGCAAATCTTGTGACAAATCCTTCGGCCCAGAATGAATAATTCTTCACGCCAGGTAGTACCAACCGTACTGACTCCATTCAAAACACTTCCGTTAACTTTTGAGTCTCCTTGGGTAATTGAATAACTAAATTGATTATAGTAGCGGCCTGATCTGGAGGAACATGTTAAGGCCTTGTTTAGGCAATAACTTAATGTTGTAATAAAAACAGTTTTGTCGCGAAGATCATAAAGTAAGCACGACACACTGTTGTTTCTTTTTTTCTTCTGAACTCCTAGACCACTATTAAAATCAAACTAGAGGGGTTGAAAATCGCTTGTTTTGATTTGCTCGCTCTGTTCACCTTGTCAATAAAGGATTTTTGTCAACGCTCTCGATACCCTTTAGGCCAGGTTAAAATTCAATTTCCCTTTTAACATTTTCAAGTACACCTAGACATTTCTTCGGAACCTAAGGAACATTGATATTAACAACACTTGGCTTGTGCATTAATTTTTTTTCTCGTGGAATAACTTATCACCTAAGTTGTGACACTTTTTCCTCTTTTGTAGAACTGCCACAGTTTGGAGAGATTTGGAGCCATTTTGGGGAGAAGAGTACACTATGTTTCTTCCTGTTGGTTTTACGAATTTGTCTGTTTTTGTTTATGATGAGGACACCATCGGGTAATAATAGCTGCACTTTTCTCGTCTGAATGCTTTTCGACCAACAAAACTGACATTATGTAATGAACCATGTTTCAAAAGACCGTTCCGCGCAAACGGCAATTTTCATTTGACTGTCGATAGAAATATAAAATTGCATTGGTGTTTCTTTTTTTGTGATTGGTCTAGAAAGCTCGTGCCGCCCTCTGAACCAATCAAAAGCAAACAGTTACCCTCTGCGTCTTGACACTTGTGTTTCCCCGCGCTTCAAACGGTCAAAATGTATTGAGTTCTCATTGGCCCCACGTGATATTTTTCTTTTTTTTTATATTAGCAGTTAGATTAACTAAGGTTCATCTGCTGCCACACACAATTTTGAATCATCACAAATGTTATATACCGCAATTCCGCCGAGAGATACCCAGTTTTAGTTGGTAACTTCGAAAGTGCTTTTCTTTTTTTCGCTAGGGTCGATGATCTTATTGGTCGAGTGACATTTGACCGAGAGACATTGGCGCAAAGTTCCAAGGGACTGGACAAATGGTTTCCCGTGTCTTTAGCCGATATGCACAACTATTCAGACATTCAAGGTGATATCAGAATTGAAACAACATTGTTCGAAAAGGTAAGAAAAGTCCGCACAACACGACTAAATTTCACGCGTACTTAAAACCACAAAGTTAAGTTTTTACCAAATGTCCCGAAGAAATCACTACCACTCACGATTTTACGACGAAGACTAACGAGGAACAACACAATAGCAGTAACCTTCAGTTAAAAAATGCTGCGAGAGCACTGAAACAAGTGAAGGTGAAGATTTTACTCCTCTTCACCTTTGGGACGGAATAGTATACTTGTTACCGTCTTCCCATTTCAGGGTCTAACGTGGCGCTTTTTTACTGTGCTCCTGGATGGGTGGAATTCAAAGGGAATAATTTGTGACAGGATGCTTTTTTTTTCCACTTTTGCAACCAGGGAGATGTTAAGAAAATCAGAGCAAAAGTTGTAGAAGTCAGGTAATTGGAGCTCAGATCATGTACCTTTTTTTAATCAATAAAGTGTCCTAGATCTGACTAGAAATTCTCACTTCTGACCTTCACATATTTCTTTGTAAACTAGTCAAGAGAATTTGGTGTTTTCTCAACAGAATATCCTCAAACTAAGATCGTTGTCTATTCTCGTCACCTGTTTGCTGGATAATGTATTAAAATTGCTGAGGAGAAGTTACATGTTCATCTATCTCCTCTAGGGACCTTCCCGAGACAGGCCGTAGCATTTTAGAGCCATCTGTAAAGCTCACCCTCAGGGAATCAAGTACAGGCGGTGGTCAGATGCGATTATCATTACGAGAAACAGTCGTCAAACTCGCAGAGGTAAAAATTTACAGCAGAGTGTAGGAAATGGTTAGTCAATCCAGGGGTGGCGGCAATTAATGGAATAAAATCCACGGCCTTTAAGGTGAAGAGTAAAGTGTCCCATCCAAAAACAGCGTTCGTGTTCCACTGGTATCTTACATCAAGGCTTCACCTGAGTTCCGCTGACAAAGAAGTATTTTATTTGTGGTTAAGAGGGGAAATAAGGGGGGCACCTCTTTCCTTGCCCCCGGTTCTCCCCCCCCCCCACCCATCATTCCAACATTCTCATTGTCATAAAAACTTCCATAATTTCCATAACTTGTACAACTTACGGAGAATTCACAAGTATTAATATATTAAAAGCTTCAAATTTCGGGCAAATTTAGACAGGAACATCACTTATGGGAACCTTAATTACGGTGGCCCCATAAATTTGTCTGAGGGAGATGAAATGATCCTTAAGATATTTTTTTTTATCGTTCTCCAGGGACACAAAAAGATGTGGATTCCCGCAAAACAGAAGTGCTTAGAGGTGGACGTGAAAGAACCGCTACAGGAACTAAAGATGACAGCTGAAATGAAGATCGAATCTGATGCACTCTGCTGTTTTGGGCAGGTAATCAATGAAACTGTAAGGTTTATATAATGATGGTAATTTTCATTCGTAATATGTCCACTATTGCTTTCAGAAGTAACAAAAATATTTGGTTTAATTTTCAAACAGTTACAGGGGTTACAGGCATTTATAATTTTGTGATAACGTGAAAGATTTTGCTAAATGGCTCCAAGCGACAGATTTGAAAAAATTCAGCATTTACATGTTCTCAGCCGATAAAACGCGAAACAAAAACGCTCATCGAAGCAGTATTCCGCGCTTGATGGAGTTGATGGAGTTCTCTACGTGCCCTATGATTACGTGTTTCAATTCTCTTGGTTTTGACTAAGTGCTACAACTGAAAACAAGTAAGAAAGTCAAAATCATTGAATCTACAATGACTAATACAACAATGAAAACTTAAAATAAACGAGACGAGTTCCTGTTGCTATGAGCAACGTGGATCATTTCATGCAAAATGCCATAGTGCACTCGTAAATAGCCATCCGTTCCTTCTGCCACAGCCCAAGGATACAGAACTTTAACTTCCTGGGCTATCACTCCGCAGTCCTCCCCAGTCAGTCCGTAGGTCTTCTGAGCGTTTTCATTCCATTTCCAGCAGACCCCCCTCAAGCCGATATCGTTGAAATCGGAGCAGGAAAGCGTTGTTACATTGTCTTTCAGATCTTCGTCGCTGAAAAATAATGCACCCGCGAGGAATGGGGCAAAATACTTAGCAGCGCTCTTAGCATATTCCCACCAGCTTTCTTCCTCTTGTTTTCTCTTCACTTCTTCTCGTCTTTTGTTTTCTTCCTCCTGTCTTCTTTTTTCTTCCTCCTGTCTTCTTTTTTCTTCCTCCTGTCTTCTTTTTTCGTTTTCCTCACGCTTTCTTTTCTCTTCCAGCGTACTCATGAGTTCTTCTTCCGCCTTTTCTATCTCGCTTTGTAGACTGCATTCCTGTTCAAACTTACGTAAAGCTTTAAACATATTGCTTTCCATTTCTCTCGAGGTCTGCTGCAGTAAGACGGGCTTGATATACTCTTCGTATCTTCTTGTACAAATATATGTTTCCACGACGGCATATACATCTCCGAAATCTTTCCAAGAATCATTAGGACTATTCATTGCTTCAACAAGCTTTGTGGTGAGGACACGAAGTGCTTCACCGTCAATTGGAGGGCCTCCTGATGAATATTTCACAGGGCTGTCCTTCATCTTCTGCACCAACTTTTCGAACGATTTCCAAGCAGAACTTTCTTGCAAGCGCTTTATGTCTCTGAATAATTCAGAATTATCCACCGAAGGGATATGACTCACTGAAATACGATCTTCTGGAAAGTATTTCTTGATTATTTTCTCCTTTCTCATACTCTGCCCGTCAGGATGAAATATTTTTTGACGGATTTTATATCTTCAAGGCTGTCATCATCGGGGACGTTCAAATTTGTTCGTAACACGATTCGAAGTTTGGGGAAATTATTTGGAATTTCTTTACCTTCGAAGACAAGCTCGCTCAAGCGTACTATGCGATAAAGGAAGTTGATGTCTCCATTTTTCACGACTTGTAGTGCAAAAATATTCAGTCCGGAAGACAGCATGGCTGTAAACATACTAAGGCGATCAGTTACACTATCATTTCCTAAATCTGTACCTTCCACATCAAGCAAAAGTATGCTTCCATTTTTATCGGGATGTCGTATTATGTGCGCCCACACTCCACGAGTGACAGGATCCAACGAGGCACCAGATTCAAAAACCTCTTCAATTGCATTAGACTTTCTCTCTAGACTGCAAATAGAACTGAATACGTTTAGGAAGGTTGATTTTCCAACTCGAGCATTTCCAACAGCGGCGATAACTCGGATCGGTGGCTCCATCTGTGATATCTCTTCCAAAACATCAGGGTTCAGCTCAAATGCATTCGGAGAACTTTTGTTATTCACTGAGTACAGTAGGATCTTGGCTTGTTGTGCTTCGGCTACTATAACGAAGCCCGAATCAAAGAGAAGCGTTCCAAAGGCGATAAGCAGTAGACAAATCATGGTCCACTTCTTGCTGTTCAAAGAAAGGGTTTGATACACGAGTTTGATACCCTAAATTATTTATTCGGTGAGACTACGAGGGAAAAACACCTGTTTAAAATTCATGAAATGCACATCCGGCCTAAGAGGAAGCCCTAAGGTAATTTGCGTTTTACCAATGCAGTATGACACTGCATTTTCCTAATCTCTATGGTCTCCTTTTAAAGCCTCAGAAGTTCACTGTTCTGAAGTATGGAAAAGTCTGCTTCATTTTACCTTCGATAGTTTTTCTTTCTTTCTGGGGCGTTTCAAGCCTTGCAAACGTTGCAAAACACATTCCTAGTCAAAGATGCAGTTTAAGCGGTTTCACTTTCCTTATGAATCCGAAGGGACGAACTATGAAGGAACTTGAATCACCAGTGGGCCATGGATGGTTGGGGAACCAGGGGGGTTCTCGTGCCACCGCTCATCACAAAAGTTTCATTGTAGAGATGTTATTTTACGAATTCTCGCACCTCACTTTATCTCATTTAAGATACATATTAAGACTAAAAGACACAATGTCATCACTAATTTTGACTTGTTGAGCATGAAAGTAACTTATCTCGTACGTTACTCGACAGAAAGCGAACATTTTAAACATGGACGTCTTAAAAGCCAACTATTGTAAAGTTTCTCTTCAATACTCTATCCTCATTACTTTCTTCTGAGTCACTGACACAGGTCAGAGCGTGGGGGTTCTTAAATATTTCATCGTCTGTCATGCAGAACCACCCTTTTGTGCGAGCAAGTCCTGTGTTGTTACAGGAGCAGTTTTGCTGACAGGCGGACGTTTTCCACTAGCTCGTCTTCGGCTCGACAAGGCATGCTGCTGCCGGTGCTTATTGTGAAAAGCTTCATTTCAAAAGAATTTAGAGCGGATAAATGATTAAGTAACTTAATGAAGAAAAATATCAATAATAATATTGCATTTTTCGAAGGATAACACAGGTACACGTATAGCGCAAAAGCGATCGAGGCCTCCTCAGAGGTCACGTGCCTGTTCACGTGGCCATATTTTGCATTGGCTGAACATGGCTGGCCTTATGTCATTAAGAGCTTACGATATATTAGAAACATAACTGAGCCTGACTGAGCCTTGTTTCATGTCCAACAGTAAATGGGACGAAAATAGTACAGTCGAACCTGTGTTAAGCAGTCACCCGCGAGGAATGGCGGTATGACCGCTTAATACAGGTTCCACAGAGGTATGTAAAAAAAGGACAAAAACGCTATTTTACAGGTCTAAATAACCTAAAACTTGGTCAGAACTGTAGATTGTACGACCCTTTCATTTAAAATAGCAGAACACAAATGCACATTTTATACATTTATGCCACAGAGGCCGTATAAATGTGCTCATGACAGCACTATAGGGCTATTTTAGTCGGTGCACGGTCACGTGACCTCGATTTGCACAACCTGGGTACGTTTGAGATTCATGTTGTAAATATGTAACTATAATTGAAGATTTCAGTCATAATAAGTGATAAGTGTAAGCAATATCAATGGTTTAATGACTGTGCCTCGTTTCCATGAATTAAAGGAGTGGCGTATGGATACAGCCCCTTTACATAGAACCTATGCAACAATACAACTCCAAACTACTTAACATTAATCAGCCTGCATTTTTCTATCAAAATCCACTATCAAATTTTTTCTCACTCGATCACTTTACGAAACCCTTTTTTGGGGATCCTGGCCTCCGATCTGCATCCGTCATGAGTTACAAGTTAAAAAATCAAGATCATGGATTCTAGATTGACTAATACAACAATGAAAACTCAAAATGAACGTTACAAGTTCCTGTTGCTATGGGCAACGTTGATCATTTCATACAAAATGCCATAGTGCACTAGTAGATAGCCATCCGTTCCTGCTGTCACAGCCCAAGGATACAGAACTTTAACTTCCTGGGCTATCACTCCGCAGTCCTCCCCAGTCAGTCCGAAGGTCTTCTGAGCGTTTTCATTCCATTCCCAGCAGACCCCCCTCAGGCCGATATTGTTGAACTCGGAGCTGGACAGGGTTGTTAAGTTTTCTTTCAGATCTTTATCACTGAAAATGTATGCACCTGCGATAAATGTACCTAAATAACTACTAGCGGTCTTTCCATATTCCCACCAACTTTCTTCATCTCTTTTTCTCTTCTCTTCTTGCATTCTTCTTTCTTCTCTCCTTTGTTTTTCCTGTTCTTCAAACTCTCTTTTATCCCTTGCTGTACGCTTGAGCTCTTCCTTCGCATCCTCTATTTCTCCTTGTAGGTTACACACAAGTTTAAATTTGTCTAAGGCCTCTATCATCCCGTCTTGTATTTCGATTGAGGTTCTCCACTTTAAAACCGGCTCAATGTGCTCTTTGTAACTCTTTCTACAAATATCTCTTTCCCAGGTTTCGTACACGTTTCCAAAATATTCCCATGAATTATTGTTCATTATTTGAACCAGCCGCTCGGCGAGGTCGATAAGCGCTTCACCGTCGATAGAACTTCCTTCAAAAGTTTTTTTTTCTGGACTTTCCTTAATTTTCTCGATCGCGGTTTTGAACGCTTTCCAAGCAGAACTGGTCTCTAACACATTTTGATCTCTGAATAGTTGAGCGGCATTGTGAACATACGGAATCCGGGTGACTGCGATGGAATCCTTCGGAAAAAATTTATAGATCGTTTCCATTTTATCTTCCTTCCCTTTATGAGTTTCACCTCTGAAAATTTCTTCGAAGTTATAATCGCCATCACTACCGAGATTAGTCCGCAACACGATTTGCAGTTTTGGGAAATGATCTAAAATGTTTTTATCTTTGAACACAAGGTAGCTCAAGCGTGCCATTCGATAAATGAAATCAATGTCAGCGTTTCCCACAACGTCTACTGCAAAAACATTCAATTTGGAAGACATCATGGCTGTAAACATGCTTAGGCGATCAGTGACAGTGTCGTCTCCTAAATCCGTACCTTCCACGTCAAGCAACAGCATGCTTCCCACTTTTTGGCGAATAACGTATGCCCATACGTCGCGAGTGACTGCCTTCATTGAAGCGCCGGTTTTAAAAACTTCTTCAATTACAGAAGATGTTCTCTTTTCATCCAAAATATGGCCAACTAGGTTTAAGAAAGTTGATTTCCCAACTCGAGCATTTCCAACGGCGGCGATAACTCGGATCGGTCGCTCCATGTGCGATATCTCTTTCAAAATATCAGGCTTCAACTCAAACTTGAATGCATTCGGCGAACTTGTGTCATTCACTGAACGCAGTAGGATCTTGGCTTGCTGTGCTTCGGTTACTATAACGAAGCCCGAATCAGAGAGAAGCGTTCCAAAAGCGATAAGCAGAAGGCAAATCATGATTCACTCCCTGCTATTCAAAGAAAGGAGTTTAATTAACAAATTCGTTACCCCAAATCATTTATTCGGTGAGACCACGAGGGTGAAACACCTGTTTAAAATTCATGAAATCACTTTCGGCCAAACAGGAAGCCATAGGGTAATTTGCATTTTACCAATATTAAATGATACTAGATTTTCCTTATCTCTATAGTCTCTATGGTCTCCATTTAAAGACCTACACGTTAACTGTTGTTAAGTATGGAAAAGTCTGCTTCATTTTACCTTCGTTGGTTTTCATTCTTTCCGGGGCGTTTCAAGCCTTGCAAACGTTGCAAAACACATTAATTCCTGATCAAAGATGCAGTATAAGCGGTTTCACTTTCGTTATTAAACCGAAGGGGCGAAGTATGAAGGGAGGGTCATAGATAGCTAGGGGACAGGGGGCTTCTCGTGCCACTGCTCATCACAAAAGCACCGGCAGCAGCATGCCAACACAGGACTTGCTTGCACAGAAGGGAACTTCTGCATGGCAGACGATGAAGCCTTCAAGAACCTCGCGCTCTGACCTGTGTCAGTGACTCAGAAGAAAGTGATGAGGATAGAGTATTACAGAAGTACTTTAAAATAGTTGGCGTTTAAGGCGTCCATGTTTGAAAGGTTCGCTTTCTGTCGAGTAACGTCAAGATAAGCCACTTTCATGCTCAACAGGTCAAAATTAGTGATGATTTCGCGTCTTCTAGTCTTAAAATGTACCTTACTGAACTATAGTGAGGTGCGAGAATTCGTAAAATATCATCCCTACAATAAAACGTATTGTGAAAAGCTTCATTTCAGATCGGATAAATGATTAAGAACAAAAATGAAATAACAATAACATCGTGTTTTTCGTCCCAGTACGCATCTCACTGAGTTAGAATGTGGTAAAAATTAGATGTTTCGAAGGATAACACAGATACACGTATAATTTCATTCGTTTGTAACGCAAAAGCGATTGAGGCCTCTTCGGAGTTCACGTGCCTAATCACGTGGCCATATTTTGCATTGGTTTAGCATGGCTGGCCCTGTCATAAACAGCTTACGATATATCAGTAGCTGTTCTTCATGAATGCATAAGAAATGGATGTAAACAGTGATTACCTTAGTAAGCCTCGTTTAATATCCAACCATAAATGGGATGAAAATGGTGCAGTCGAACCTGTGTTCAGCAGTCATTAACGAAGAATGGCGGTATGATCGCTCAATACAGGTGCCACAGAGGTAAGTCATAAAAAAAAGGACAAAAACGCTATTTCATCTAATCATTATCCATGATAGAGGCAAAAGTTACAGCATTTGAAGGAAAAAAATTCTGGACTTTTCGAAATCGACCGTTTGTTACAGGGTACCCGCTTAATACGGTGTCGCGTAATACAGAGCTAAATAACCTGAAATTTGGTTGAAACTGTAGATTGTATGACCCTTTCATATAAAATAACAGAATAAAAATGCATCTTTCACCCATTTATGCTACAGAGGCCGAATAAATGGCGCTCGGTCACGTGACCTCAATTTGCACAACCATGTTTGAGATTCATGTTGTAAAGATGTAACTATAATTGAAGATTTCCGTGTAGGCAATAATAAGTGTAGGCAATAATAAGTGTAGGCAATATCAGTGGTTTAATGGCTGCGCCTCGTTTCCATGATTTAAAGGAGTGGCGTATAGATACAGTCCCTTGATATAAAACCTATACAACAAAACAACTTCAAACTACTTGACATTAATCAGCCAGCATTTTTCTATCAAAATCCACCATCAAATTTTTTCGCACTCGATCAGTCTACGGAAACCCTTTTGGGGGTCCTGCTTCCGATTACATCCATTATGATAAGATGTTTCCATTCTCTTGGTTTTGACTATGCGCTACAACTGAAACAAGTAAACAAGTCTAGGTCAGGGATTCCAGATTGCCTGATACAACTATAAAAACTTAAAAGAAACGAGATGACTGCCTTTTGCTGTGGGCAACGTTGATCATTTCATGCAGAATGCCATAGTGCACTCGTAAATAGCCATCCGTTCTTTCTGTCACAGCCCAGGGATATAGAACTTTAACTTCCTGAGCAATCACTCCGCAGTCCTCCCCGGTCAGTCCGAAGGTCTTCTGAGCGTTTTCATTCCATTCCCAGCAGACCCCCCTCAGGCCGATATCGTTGAACTCGGAGCAGGAAAGCGTTGTTACATTGTCTTTCAGATCTTCGTCGCTGAAAAAGTAGGCACCTGCGAGGAGTGGGGTTAAATACTTAGCAACGCTCTTAGCATATTCCCACAAATTTTCTTGCTCTTCGCGTCTTCTCTTTTCTTCCTTTAGTCTCCTATTTTCTTCTTTCAATCTTGTTCTCTCTTCTTCCCATCTTCTCCATTCTTCCTGTCTTCTTATCTTCCTCCTCGCGCTTTCTTTTCTCTTGCAGCGTACTCTTAAGTTCTTCCTTCACCTTTAGTATCTCGCTTGGTAGACTGCATTCTTGTTCAAATTTATGTAAAGCTTTCAACATATTGTCTTCCATTTCTCTCAAGGTTTGCTGCAGTAAGACAGGCTTGATATACTCTTCGTATCTTCTTGTACAAATATATGTTTCCATGGCGGCATATACATCTCCGAAATCTTTCCAAGAATCATTAGGACTATTCATTGCTTCAACGAGCTTTTTAGTGAGGACACGAAGTGCTTCACCGTCAACCGGAAGGCCTCTAGAAGTATTTTTTACAGGGCTGTCCTTCATCTTCTGCACCAACTTTTCGAACAAATTCCAAGCAGAACTCTTTTGCAAGCGCTTTAGGTCTCTGAATAATTCGGAGGGATTATCCACCGAAGGGATGTGACTCACTGAAATACGATCTTTTGTAAAGTATTTCTTGATCGTTTTCTCCTTTTCCGTGCTCTGCCCGTCAGGATGAAAGATCTTCTGAAGGATATAATCTTCAAGGCTGTCATCATCGGGGACGTCTAGATTTGTCCGTAAAACGATTCGAAGTTTGGGGAAATTATTTGGAATATCTCTTCCTTCGAAGACAAGCTCGCTCAAGCGTACTATGCGATAAAGGAAGTCGATATCTCCGTTTTTCACGACTTGTAGCGCAAATATATTCAGTCCGGAAGACAACATGGTTGTAAACATACTAAGGCGATCATTTACACTATCATTTCCTAAATCTGTACCTTCCACATCAAGCAAAAGTATGCTTCCATTTTTATCGGAATGTCGTATTATGTGCGCCCATACACCACGAGTGACAGGATCCAACGAGGCACCGGATTTAAAAACCTCTTCAATTACGTTAGATTTTCCCTCTCGACTGATAATAGAACTGAATACGTTTAGGAAGGTTGATTTTCCAACTCGAGCATTTCCAACGGCGGCGATAACTCGGATCGGTGGTTCCATCTGTGATATCTCTTTCAAAACATCAGGGTTCAGCTCAAATGCATTCGGCGAACTTTTTTCATTCACTGAGTGCAGTAGGATCTTGGCTTGTTGTGCTTCGGTTACTATAACGAAGCCCGAATCAGAGAGAAGCGTCCCAAAGGCGATAAGCAGTAAACAAATCATGGTCCACTCCCTGCTGAGTTTGATACACAACTTCGACTGTTTGATTGTCGAGAAGCGGATCAAGATTACTACTTTAAGATTTTCCCCTATCAAAAGTGTTAGTGTAAGAAGAGACAAGCGTGAAAAAATCGAAGTTGTAACAATTAATTTGTATGCGCTAAAAACCTGCTATGACGTTGGCGCGTTCAATCGATACCCTGAATTACTTATTTGGTGAGACCACGAGGGAAAAACACCCGTTTGAAATTCATGAAATACACTTCCGGCCTCGGATGTAGGATAATTTTAATTTTACAAATGCAATATGACACTGGATTTTCCTTATCTCCAAGGCCCATTTTCAACCTTGATGCAACGCGGTCGTTAAGCCAGGCAGCTAAAAATTTCGAACTTGATGTTTTCGCCAACCCTGTATACAGAGTACAAAGCCATCCATGCGCTTGACACTAGGAAACTTTTCAATGACACGACTGGACACGATCCTCAAATAACTCCATATTTCTCTTTAAAATAAACCAATTTTCCTTAGGAAATATTCTACCTCTATTTAGAATCCTCAAGCGCTTCTAGAAAGTGAAAGAATTCGAACGCTATCCGTTTCGCCGACTCTGTACACAGAGTACGAAGAGACCAAGCGTGACACTCATCCCAGAGCGTTTCAAGCCTTGCTAACGTTGCAAAAACAAATTCTTAGTCAAAGATGCAGTATAAGCGGTTTCACTGTCGTTATGAATCCGAAGGGGCGAACTATAAAGGGACTTGAATCGCCGAAGGGTCATGGATGATTTGGGAACGGGGGACTTCTCGTGCCACTGCTCATCACAAAAGCACCGACAGCAGCATGCTTTCTCAAGCCGAAGACGTGCTAGTGTAAGACGTCTGCCTGCAAGCGAAAACACAGGACTTCATTGCACAGAAAGGTACTTCTGCACGGCAGACGATGAAGCATTCAAGAACCCCCACGCTCTGACCTGTGTCAGTGACCCAGAAGAAACTAATGAGAATAGCGTATTGAAGAGGAACTTTACAATAGTTGGCATTTCAGGCGTCCATGTTTAAAAGGTTTGCTTTCTGTGGTGTAAAGTACGAGATAAGATACTTTCATGCTCAACAAGTCAAAATTAGTGATCATGATGATTTCGCGTCTTTTAGTCTTAATATTTATCTTGCTAAGATATATTGAGGTGCAAGAATTCGTAAAATAACACACCCACAATAAAACTTATTTTGAAAAGCTTCATTTCAAAAGAATTTTTTAGTGGTTGATTAAGTAACTTACTGAAGAACAAAATTAATAATAAAATCGCGTCCTTTCAGTCTCAGTAACCTCACTGAATGAGAATGTGGTGTATGTACGTGATTTCGAAAGATGACACAGATACACGTATAATTTCATTCGTTTATAGCGCAAAAGGGATTTATGCCCTACGTACCTGGTCACGTGGCCATATTCTGATTAGGTTGAGCATGACTGGCTTTACTTCAATAAAAGCTTACTACCAGTAGTTGTTCTTCATAAAACCATAAGAATGGGCATTAAGAAACGGCGGCGATAACTTGGATCGGTTGCCTCATCTGTGATATCTCTTTCAAAACACCAAGCTTCAGCTCAAAAGTATTCGGCGAATTTTTATTATTCACTAAATGCAGATGGATCTTAGCTTGCTGTGCTTCGGTTACTTTAACGAAGCCCAAATCAGAGAGAAGCGTTCCAAATACGATAAGCACTATAAAATATATATTCTCTTGTCAACAGTATATAATTTGTTTCTCTTGTTAAGCATGGAACAGTGTGCTTCTCTTATGATTCGCCCAGTCTTAAGCGTTTCAAGCCTTGGAAACGTTTCCAAATACATTCCCAGTCAAACATGCATCATAAGCGGTTTCACTTTCGTTTGAAAGCCTCAGTTCACCGAACGTAATGAACCCAAAGCTTTCAAAAAAGCAATGTGTTTTCCTTGCGAGAATGAAGAGAACAAAGCTTATTCATCCAAAGCTTCTCCTTCAAGGTGAAATTTGATAACAAAAACACCATGCAAATAACAACCAGTTCAGCCTGCCAATATTAGACAGGTTCTTCTTGAAAAATTGTAGAAATCACAGTTATAACAAAAAGGAGAAAGCTTTTGCATTAAGAATTGTATTTAAAATAAAAAACTACCCTCTCTTATAGCAATAATAAAAGTGTTATCTAGCGCCAATATCCTAATATCCTTCTAAAATAATATTCAAAGGCGAGCTTTTTCAAAAAAAGTAAAATAATATGCCTTCATAAAAAGATACCCTTTCTTAAATTTTGTAAATCAAATGCTTATTAATTAGGTCTCTCAGTAAATTATACCCGATATAATTTCAAGGGAAAATTACGGACCTCAAATAATATCAGACTGATTACTCACCTCATCATAAAAATCGTAGGTTCTTTTATGCGGGTTGTTACGAAAAATTGTCTAAGTAAAGTCCCAGAAAATTCTAATAGAACATTCTAGAACCCGAAGTCATCTAATTTTTAAAAAAGAACATTCTGGAACGTTCTAAATTTCTTACGTAATTATTCAAATTTAGAAACCCTTTAATCTAAAATTTAGGTTTTAGAGAAGTTTCTAGATCCTTATTTTATGTATATAAGAGCGACAGTTCCATCGAACAGAGAGAGAGATTTGCGAAGAAGCTTAGTACTATAAAAACAAGAAGTCAACTACGTGGAAATAAAACAGTTTGTTGTTGTTACCGACGATCCTTAGTTTTGTCTAGGAACAACCCTGCTCTACATCGACACTCGTAACACGGGTGTTAACTGTATTCCGACCTAACTATATTTCTGACCCTAAGAGCTCAGAGAAAAAAAAGGACAAGGTGGAGATGTCTTAAAGGAAAACGCAAATCATCAAGTTCCAGAGAATATCAGTTGATATTCTTTCGTCAAGTTGTAATTAGTTTATTCAGGAGCCCATTATATGGGCTCCTGGTTTATTTCCACATCTTTTCTGATTGGTGTATACGATGTCATGAGTTTTTTGGACCAATCACAGAGCGATGTAAGGCAAACTAAATGCAATCCCAGATAACTTTCGACAACCATTAAAAAAGAATTGCTCCAATTTGCTGTAGCAGTTTTTACAAACGAGGGTCAAAGCCAGCACAATCTTACAATGTTTGGCTTTATTTACCTTTGTTTTTTATCAGGTCACGACTTTCCTGTCGAAGCTTAAGCCAGGACAAACCCGAGACTGTTGGTACAAGCTGCTCCCGATGCCTCAGTTGAAAGAAATTAAGACGTAAGTCATGCATCATACCAATTAGGGTCTATTTATGTTTTTTGTAGAAACCTGGGTCTAAGTGCATGAAATCGAGGTTCTCTGGTAACTAACTATACCAAGTCAATTCCCCGCCCAACCCCCCCCCCCAAAAAACATTTTAAAAAACTATCGGAGGGAGCTTGTGAGAAGTAAGGAAAACGCAAAACGAAATAATCAAAACTACGACAGAGAACTTTGTTTATCCATAAATTTTCAGTAAAAAGCATTATCTCTCAGGATTTATTAGTAAATCTCGCCTTTATATTCCGAAACCAGCTTTCCAGTCTTCCCTCCATGCATATAGAAATTGTGCCAATCGCTTGAGAAGATTTATTTGAGTCAACTGTTCGGTCAAGAAACACACACAAATCATGTTCATCTCTTTCTAACTCAGTGTTAAGGATTCACTTTCGCGTCTTTCGACAGAGAGAATCTCGGTAGTATCCGAATGAAGGTCCGTCTGACTCAAGAACGCGTCTTACCGCAGAAATGTTACCAGTCTTTAGTAGAGATTCTTGTCAACTCCGCTAAGGACCCGGAGAGCCTGGATCCTACAGCGTTGAGCTTAATAGAACAGCTGACTGCCGCTGACCAAGCAATACTGGCTCACCAGCTTGTTCGTCTGTTTATTGGCCAAGATCTCGTTATACCGTTTCTCGACTATCTGACTCTTCGCGAAATAAGGAATACAAGTATAAGTAATGGCTTTGTACTTTAATTTCTTTATGTGATAAAGACTTTGATAAGAGCATAGGTTATCAAATAGCTGAGAAGGAGTTTATACGAACCCATCGCAACTTAGGCTTTGCCTCCATGCTAAGAATTCAATAGAAATATCCAAAAGCCAGTCCATCGCATAATCCTGCTTCAGGACCAGAGGGGGAAGCTAAGGAAGAAGGGGGGAGGGGTTATTGCCTGCATTTGCCTTACTCTTTTCATGAATCAACTTTTCACGCCTTCAAGTGCTAATAGACAGTAGAGCTCGACTCTCCACCCCCCCCCCCTTTGAGGATATAAACAAAAATGAAAAATTTGGAATGTGAATTTCGCGCAAATAGAAGATCTTGAAGAAGAAGTGAGATTCCCTCTCAGGAAACTTTCCTCAGAAGAGTTCACTTGCTTACCAACCACACAACGTTTTTGTTGTTGTTGTTTTCTTGTTTATAGGTTGTCCTAGGACTCTGTTTAGAGGCAACAGTCTGGCAGCCAAGTGTATGGAACAATTCATGAAGGTAATGTAAACAGTGCTCAACTAAACATGAGATGATCAACGAGGAAATATCATCCTAATTTAACAAGCAATCCAGGTGACTAACATCGAAAAACGTATGGTGCTCGGACACGAAATAAATGCATGTTTTAGATGCGAGGTCTCCACAGAGGTTCAGCCACAACTTTACTCTTTATGGTTTTATGGCCTGGATAGCTTGCTATCGTCCCTCTTTTCAGTAAAATTTTCTGACTACTGAGGTCGTTTTTCCACTGTAAGATTGTAGGTATGCCATACCTTTCGGAAACATTGAAACCAGTTCTTGACAAGATATTTGAAGAACGCAAATACTGCGAACTCGATCCATGCAAAGCTGCGGAACGGAAACAAAGCGCTCTCAGGTGAGGTATACTAGTCAGTCATTTGAACCAATCATCACTGACGAATAAAAGCCTTTGAAAACTTAGGCCCCACAAACAAACCAATCGGAAGGAATAGTAGAGACACGAGATTAGCAGAACATGTGAGTAAAAGGACGCATTTACCTTCCCAGATCGAGATATCAATTATCTGCATTGTCTGCGACACAAGTATTACTATTAGAATAACAGAGATGGCAAGTTTTGAGCTCGGTAAAGACATAGAGAAAAATGTTTTTCGTCTTGTCACGAGCGCGGGATAAAGAAAAAAAAAATTCTGAGTCCTCATAAGGAATCGAACCTCAGACCATCGGATTCCGCGGATTTTTTTTTTTCAATTTTTTTTTCTCTAAGTATTACTATAATGGCTCAGAGAAGTTGGTGTTTGATTGAGCAGTATTTCTTAACTGACTTGACTTCTCGGTTTACTTACAATTTTATTTGGGAACGTTTGTTTAAGGGAGGAGACGGAAGGAACAGTGGGTGGAGAGGGGAAGGGGGAGATGGGTTATTACCAATTTGAAGCTCTAGTGGGGAGGATCGGAGTTCATTCAAGAAGGAACAGGGGTTAATGGAACGGTCATATTCGTTTATGATAGCCTAAAAAGGATCGAGGATGGTACCAGATGCAGACCATTAACTAGGTACCGTTTCTGAGAAGAACACGCGGAGACGTTGCTTTTAGTAAAACCCCCTGTGAAAATTATAACACCTATAAACTCAGTTTCCTGACCTTTTGCAGACGCCTGAGCTTGAGGCCAGTTGACGAGCAAGACAAGAGTCTGTCAGTGTTGACCACTTACTTAGAAACAGTCATGATGTCAATCCTGAACTCAGTAAAAGAATGTCCAAGCTACATGCGCGCGGCCTTCAGGAATCTCGCTCGGAGAGTCTCGGATCGCTTTGGTGATATACCTGATTACGAGGTGAATCACCAGAAATGCTTATTTGTAGCTTGATTTCCAGTTTTCACCATTAACCCTTTAAACTTTAATATATATTTTCCATACTTTTCACCATACATTTCCATTTCCTATATTTCCATGACCTCAGTATTTGATTCAGCGGTAAAACTTTAAGAAATTGTATGTCAGTCCCTCTGAGAAGCTTGTGGTTTTTAAAACAATCTCCCAGTAAAGAGATTGTATGGTATGCATTGGTCGTAAAACCAAAATAACCAAAGTAATCATAGCGGCCAATTAGATCATGGAAAATATCACAAGGAGTCAATCAGAGCTCAAAGTTAAGTTCAAGCAACCTGCCGGATGCGCGGGAAAATACAAGTGGACAAGTCACTGTTTGTTGTAGTTTTGCTTTTTATTGGTTAGGAGGGTGAACTGGAAATTCCTTTATGTGATATAACCAGTTCCTAAAATCACCATCTTTCATCCTGTTGGCCGAAGCCCAAATCTTTCGGGAGAACTAATGAAAATAAAGCGCAAAGTGAAGATGTCAAAGTCCGCAAAACTGAAGATATTTCAGATAGCGTATATTGACACAGTGTAGCCTGGAAACTAAACAGGCACGCCAAGACTGCTCCTCAGTCCCCCGCAGCCTTGATTTAATCGTAGCTAATACAATCTCAAATGTTAGAAATGACTAAATCATTCCTTTTTCAGGACTCTAAGTACACAGCCGTGAGTGGTTTCCTGTTTCTACGATTCTATGTGCCAGCAATACTTGGACCCAAGCTCTTCGGTCTGCGCGAAAACCACGCCGACAAAAATGTGTCCCGCACCCTAACCATCCTAGCAAAGGTCAGTATTTAGGAAGAGAAGGACGATGACGACAAATAAGAAAGTGCGCCTGTCAAACTTAAGAAGGAGAAGGGCAAAGGGTTTGGTTTCATTGATTTGCGAATTTAAGACTTTCCCAATCAGAATTAATTCACGACGATGCAATTTTCTTTAAACGTTCCCGGACAACGTGAAATCTCTTTTGTCGTCAAACCGCAAGAAATATTTCTGATTGTTCTGTTTTGTTTGTTGCCTTTGTTGTTAGACTGTCCAGAAGATTGGAAACATAGAACTCCCTCTTCAAAACGGAAAGGAGGAATGGATGGGACCACTGTACAAGTGGATCGCATTATACACTGATGAAGTAAAGGACTTCCTGGATCAGCTTGCAGACGTGGAAGATACAGAAGGTGACTATCTTTTGATAGCAGGGCATTCGCCATATCCTAACTTTAGTCAGAAAAACAGTCTTGACTCGAAGAATGAAACAGTGAAAAAATAACGAATTTTCGATTGGAGGTGGTATGTGAATGACGGCTTAGGCACACTTTGGGCGTATTCCATTGGCCAAAAAATTTAGTCTCCTCTTGACCACCACGCGAAAGGAGAGGAAATCTTCGTGGATGATTCTCTACCTTTAAGGTTCTCCTAGTGTTTCTTTGATTGCCAAATTAAAACTACTTTTGCTTACTTCTCTTTTTCTCTGTCCCCTATAATTTTTAGTTCCAGGTTGTGACCACAGGAGGACCGTATTCAGTCACTCACTGATCATCAAGGAAGGCTCTCTCAAGAAAAGTCGCTACAGGGACACCAGGCTGCCAAAGCCGTTCAAGTTCAAAAAGCGCAATTGTTGGCTCAGCACTGAGAATTTCCTTTACGCCAAAACAAACGATTCGCAGGTAACACATTATTAAAGCAGGGCGTTGCATAAGATTACAATAGACCTGTGGTGAGATTTATTTCCAAATATCGGTAAATGGCATCGGAGACACCGCACTCTTATGGCTGACCCAAAAGATGCAGGTGCGATCCCTAGCCTCGGTCATGATGTTGTGTTATTATAAAAGACACGTAACCATTGCATTGCCCCCCCTCCTACCCCCAAGACTTAAACGGGTACCGTCTAATAGTCGAAAAAACCACGATAAGCTTGGAAGGGAGCGAATTGGGGGAGGGGGGAGGCAACTTGCATCTGAGTAGTCTCCCATCTAGGAGGGGTAGAGATACTTTTTGTCTCTTCATGACACATAAACCGAGATGCACTTCAGCAGCTGGTCCGGAATCAGTTTTGTATTAAGACGAAATGTATACGAAAACTAATCAGATGGTATAACTTAGTTCGACGTGATCTCTGCGTTCAACCATTAGCTTCTATCGTAATGGTAATAAATGTATGATGTAACAAAATAAGGGGGGGTGTGCCACTCCCACACTCTGTCTAATTGACTTTTCCACTTCACAGACAAGGCAGTTTCTTCCAACCACAAAAATTCTTGCCGTGGAACGAGTTGACGAGTCAGCTTTTCAAAAACCCAACGTGTTTCAAGTGGTCAGTAAGGGTTACGATGAAGCTCTGCAAATTCTCTACCTCGCCGCTCAGGTAAATTATACTATCGTCACATCAGAAACTCATGTAGTAATGCAAACTGTGCGTATTCTTCGTGGAAAAATAAACCATGCCTGCCCCGACAGCTTGTATGCTACACAAAGGTTGTTGCTGAGCCCGCAAGCAAGAGCCTCGCTGCAGGCAACAAAAAAGGTTGATAATGTTTTACTTTATCTTCAGGATGTGAACGAAATGAATCAGTGGCTTTCAGCGATAAGGAAGACCACCATTTCTAATACTAATCTGCTCAATTACTTCCATCCGGGAGTCTTTCACAAAAACAAATGGACATGCTGTAAGCGAGTCATCCAATCAGGTCAGTGGATTCGATCACGTGTTTTGTAAAAGAGTTATAAAAACCAATCCGACCTAAGGAAGAGCTCTAGCGGTGAAGCAGGTCGATTATAACCCACCCACATGCCTCACTCATGCCTTGTAATAAGAAAGTGGGAAAGGCTCGGTTGATTGCGCCTTAATACTTTAAACCCCAGCTTGTGAAGACTAACAAAAAATTTCTGCGCCCTGTTTCAGCTGGAGGTTGTCAGCGGACACATACACACGTGACCTTGAGCGACTGGCGAGATCCATTGGACCCAGACTCCGAAGCGCAAATGATTTTTACACAGCTTCTTCAAAGTCGAGACGAGATTCGAAAGAAATTTCTTGGAATTAATGAGCAGCGGAAACATTCTCAAGAATCTTACGACACAGCGAAAGATGAAGAGATATCAGTAAAGGACTCACATACGTCTTCAACAGCCGAAAGAGCTATGGCTACGAAGCTGTTGGAGGTAATAGATGAACTCGAAAAGGCTCACCAAACATTCGAGGAGAAAGCTATTAGAAAATAAGAGGATTAGATCAAGAGAAAAAGGACTGATTGATAGCACTTTGATACATGAAGGAAATTTTCATATGTAAACATACAAGTTATATTTTTTTCAACAAGACTGGTCCAATTCAAAGATTGTTCTTAAGTTGACATGGGTGGTTCTCTATCAGGAAAAGGGAAAAAGAGTCATAGCTCACTGATACATGTATACAAAAACAGGATCTTAAAGTTGCTTGCACCCTTGACCACAGGACACTATCTCATTTTGTGGTTGACCACAGGACGATGTGGAATACATTTATGCCGTTAGAAACCCCTTATTTCAGTAAAAAGAACATCTTGTATAGCCCTATTATCAATCTTAAATTCATTAAATAGTTATTTAGTATTAAAATCTTTATTCATAAAATTTTTCACAGCAATATATCCAACAACAAAAGATGCAAACATACAAACAAGTCCAATGAACATCAAAAAGCCTTCTTCACTAAATCTGAACAATTCTTTTCTTTCAATACCCAAACTAGTCCTTGTTTTCCTCTACATTAAGTTAAGTTATTTACAAAGAACAAGGAACGTAACTATTGTATAATAAATCCTCAATGCAATGTTTCTGCAAAGACAGAGCCACACTCTAATAGACAGGAGCTGTGTTGGCAAGACGCCTCATTCGTCTGTAAGAGAATTACAGATACAACTCTTACTAAACCATTTCTCTAACAATATCCCAAAAATACGTCAAGAAATTACAAATTGCATTGAATAAAGTACATTTTGTTGATTGCTGTCAAGCTAAAACTAAGGTAATCAAAACTGTTATTCAAAGAGAAAACATGACAAAGAGCCAGTGGAAGGTAAATGGATTACTTTTTTCCAACAAATAGGATAGGTTTTCTTTAATGTTTTGGTATAAGCTGCCAAAATTCTTATAAAAAATGTTTTTTTCAACATCTTGAAAGCAGCTGCCGAAATTGTAAGAAAATAAGCGTACTTATCAATTCAATCCATTGATACATAATTGGTGATGTAACTATAAGAAAAAAACAAATACAATACAATACAAACCTAGTGTTTCTGTCTTGGTCTCGAAGCTTCTTCTCCATCTCTGCATCAGTCAGAGTCTCCAAGTAAGGACCCCAATTATCAACATCTGTCCCTGATCTTATGGCAGTTTCGACACTTGGGAGGGGTGCCTCACTGAAGGCATATGTTTTTGAATGCCAATTAAGTTGACCACGAATACTGTATGCAATGGCTGTGGCAAACTCACCACCCAGGCCCAGGTCTGAACAGAGGCTTAATGCAAATTCTTCAGGTGAGTTAAGAGGTTCTGACAAGTCCCACTCAAACTGGTCCATTAGGGAAATGTTACCAACATGGATATTAAGCTGTTTGGATGAAATTAACAAAGGAACATGGTCACTCAAAATTGAGACCAGAGGCATAGTTTAGGAGGTGAAGGCTTTCAAATAAGCTGACTGACATCCAATTTCTCCCTGATAAAGAGCTCAGAAGATCTTTGAAGGACCCAGAGAGTGTCTCAATGTCTGAACCAATACCAGAAAAGGAACATGCATGTACTCCTACCAAATTCAACTTTAAAAATCAACCCATCACTAAGCTGTTACCTTCATTTGCAAGAGAATTCTTTAAATCAGCAAACTTTCAACTTTAGTTGTGTGTGTGGTTATCATTGCTACAGCTGTTTTTGTAGCTGTTTGGTGCTGAAATTGTAGACACATGCTGTTCTACTCTTTCACTGTCAATTCTTTGAAACACTTCAACTAAATACAGTTGAACCTTGATTATCCAGACTTATTGGGACTTGATGAAATGGTCTGGATAATCAAGGGTCTGGATAATCAAGAATATGAATGTTAACGAGGAACAAACATTTGTGACGCTGTGTAGCTTGTTTATCTTGCATAACATGCTGAACAAGCTAAGAGAGTGCGAAACTTCACATAGCAACAAAGCAACTCTAAGCCAATTGGACCTCGGATGTTCTTCATAGGTTACAATGCATATGAGTGCTGCTTTTGCTTTTTGAAAGTGAAACAAACTCACCTTTACTTCACTTTTCAACGCTATAGTTTTAAAAAGAATATGGTTATGGATCTTGATCAAGACTAATAAATATTCATGACAAAAATGGGACCAGAGAAAAAGTCAAGATAACCAAAAAATTCAGATAATTAAGGTCCAGATAATCAAGGTTTGACTGTACCCAGATTTGACATCACCAACTTCAACTCAGTTGGCAAAAATTCTACTGAAACTGAGAAGTGCAAGGCTGAATAACCCTCTAGTTTTCACACCCTCTGCTTTCCTCTCCATAGGGAAAGAACTTAAGACAAGAAGAGACTGAACAGAGGAATGTCTTGATGAAACACACCAATTCTACATCTCCTATCCCCTCCACACCTGAAGACACACTACAGCAATTCTTACCCTGAGCATCAATTGAATGTTTCATAGAAGGTACATGAACTGTCATATATTTTATCACACTATGACACCTCCTTAAAAAGCTATTGAAATCACTAATTAAGTACACAGGGCTAAGAGATTATACTTTTGACTGCTTTGGTTTAAGGCATTACATACAAAGGAATACTGCCTGCACTTGAAAATGAAACAAGTGCTAAGTTGGTGATGCAAGTTTTGTCACATACTAAGGGACAATGAGACAAAAAATGACTTTTTCCTGAGGTCTGTGATTTAATGCTTCCCTGAGAAATACATTCACTATAGAATGAACTTCTGCTTTTCAACTGCAGTTCTTCCTATAACTAACAGATCTCAAAACTGGGTGCAAAGGGGATTTCCATGACTTAAGAGCAGCTGTGATGGTTAAAAAGAACACAAATGGCATATAACAACAATTAGGCCATTTTCACATATTCTCTGAGTACAAATACATGTATAATAAGTTTTAAGAGCAAAGAATTATCTAAAACTTCCAAGCACCCTACCTTGATAATAACTCTCTGATCTGTTTGTTTGTCCAGGCTTATTTCAGAATCTGAGTCAAACTGTTTGATCTGCTGCCTAATGGCCTGGACAACAGCAGGCACAAAAGCTGCTGCAGGCAAATCAAGATCATCACACAACACTTCTGCAAACACCTCTGGTGAAATTAGTGTCTCTATAGAATGAAAAAACAACAAAGGGCCACCTGAGTGAACAAAAATCAAAAACTAACAGCACAGTCATAAATAAAAGAGTGTGTGTAACATCAAAGATTTCAACATGACCTTTGGAGAGAAGCTTGAATAATTAAAAAAACAGCAAACAAACTGAGTAATCAAAATGCGTCAGAGATTTTTTTTTCTTGTCACATAATCAAATTGAAGCAAAGTGACAGACATGGTTGCATGAGTGCTGAAAGCACTTTGCCAACTTAGTTCAAAAGTGTTGTGCCTTTGCTCACTTCACATAGAAATCTACATAGGCTATGCAACTTGTTACCTTACACTATCTTCGCTTCTACAAAAAGGCAATTTTTTTCCTTTTTGCCATTAAAATGTTCATAAAACAACAACGTACTAAACAAAATTTAGGCCTCTAACAAGGCCTAAAACTGAACAACTAATGGCACAATCTTTTGTGACAGTGTATATGTGACATCATTGACTTCAACATGAAGTTTGACAGGAAGATTTAATACTTGTATCAACTTGCATTTGTCTCACTGTTACTTTGCATACAACTCCATCAAGTGGGTCTCCGTGAAACAGTTGAGAAGGGTTTTCTCCCTACTGCTTACCAATTTCAGAATATAAATCATGGGTAGTTGTTTGTAAGGCTAGGCCACAACTCAAAATCCTTCCCAAAGTGGGTATAATTTTTTTTGTTCTGAGGACAATTTTTTGTTATTCTAAGATATCAGTCAGAAACCCCTTCTGAACTCTTCTTGGTTTTAAAAACTGTAGGCCTCAGTTCCCTTTGTCATTTTGATCGCCTTTACACAAAGATTACCAACAGCCATGCACCAGTATAATCCTTCAAGTGTACTAGAAATATGTTTTCACAGACAGTTAGTGTAACATGTACTTACCACTCTTGTTCCATGTAAATGTATCCCGAAGTTTTTGTCCATCAATGTCTATGTCCAGCCTGATAGGCACCAACACTTCGGGTTGACTTGCAGCCTCATGGATGGCAGCCATGTCATGGTCGTCATAACTTAAATGCAACAACAAAGCATCACTTAGCACTACTGAGTGGGTGAAAGGCAACCAATGTTATCAAGAGGCACCCAAAATACAACTGTTGTTAATCAACAGTGGTGTTAGTTTCTCATTTATCTGAAACCGTATCAACAACAAATGCCAAGTTCCAATGAAAACAAAATAAAACTAGGAAAAAAAATCGACCTCTTTGCTACTATCATCGATTAACCTTGAATAGGTTAAAATTTCGCGACAGAGTTTTCAAACATTAAGTCATTTACCAAGTGGGAAATGTTTTTATCCTTTTGGGTCCTATTCGATTCCTGTTCACTGTAGACGAGCATGGTACAGCATCGAGATGGAAGGAATTACTCGAAAACAATGTTTGTGGTGCCCAAGTCGGCTGATTGCTCCGTTTTGATTTACCACCCGCATTCCTTGACGCTGCATCGGGTGCTTCCGTGGAAACTTTATACTTTTCGTCTTTTCCCTCTAAGATTTCATTCACTTCAGTAGCTTTTAACAAAGTGACATTTGTAGCTATGCTACTGTGTCCTAATCCTAACTGTACAATTTGTTTTCGCTCCTCGAGTGTTGCTAGTCTTCGCCACAAAGAAGGGTACTTTTTGTATAAGGATCCTCTAAACATTCGCAGGAAGTTTCCCACTTCGGATCCGATCATATATTGCTCTCCATCTCCAAGCTGAAAAGAGCTCGGTTTTTGACCATATGTGCGGACCGCCATCTTTCTTTTCTCTCTATCACGTTTACCCACAGTGCTTCGAGAGATTCAAGTCATACTCAGTATCTCACGGTTGAAACGGCGTTGAACTTCTTCTCATGTTTTTCGTATCTATTCGTATCACCTTCAACACTTTTACGGTTTGATTTCATTTCGAGTACCATATACTAGTCATTAAAACTCTATTCAATGAGAAAACTCCACAGCTTTAGAGTGTGGCTAACGATTTACGATTTTCCCTTTTTTTTGTCAAACGTTTAAATTCCGAAAACAACCTAGATGGTGCAGTAAAATTTTCAGTGGCTCTTTCACTTAAACAAAACACAAGTTATCGAAGAACTTGGAAAGTGTGTAATTACTGCCAAATATTCAAATATTAGGGCACAGGAATAAATTTTTTTATAGAGCGAAGAATCAATGGGCAAGGCTGTCAAAAATGTACGTGAGCTATACCGTTCATGTGGTTTTCAATTCAAGGAACCATTTAACAAAGAAAAACGTACTTGAAAAGAAAATTCTCAGCGTTTAAACTTTTTAAAAAATGTTTATGTAATGAAAGTTTGGTATTACAATAATTTTTTGTAAAGAAAGGGCTTCTTTAATTGAAACTGACCGGATTATACCCGGCCAAGTATATTTCACTTTCAAACAGACGTATTTCATTTCATGATGGCATAAATTTTATGGAAAGATGATGAAGAGGAAATGTATCTGTAATGTCTGGGTTTTAATTTTTTTTTGGAGAATTGTGAAGTTAAACTACCCCAAATATTGTTTGATAAAGGCTTAGGCTAGTTTCAGGAAGACCGCAATCTCTAATTTGTGTCTCAAATTTACACATCAACTAGCTATCTTTGCTCTCCATATGGCGGTTTCTCGCTAAAATATTTATTATAGAAATCAGTCTGGTAAGCTTAAATACAACAAGGTTTTCTGAGATTAAAAGTCATACAAGATGGATGATTGGAACTATGTCCACTTTAACCTACCTTAGACTTGGCAAGATCTTTTTCCGTAGTTCTTCACGAGCCTTCCAACTAAACCTGCTGCAAGACTTGCTGTTGTTTCTTGTTTGGTAAGAAACTGCACTAAGATGTTGAACTGAAGAATTAAGCGCTTCTCGAGAAATATTTCCTGGAAAATGAAGTGGTCCAGGAAAATTTGGTCGTCTAAAACGCTGAGCAATGTCTTTCATCTTTCGGTCAGTTGGCGAGTTGGGTAACTTTTCCATATACTGCTCTCCACTACCTCTGATTACTTTTTCAATCTCAGATGCCTTTACCAGCATAATATTCGAATTTGACATACTGTTGTAGCCAACATTTAAAGAAAGCAAAATTTTCCTTTCTTCGATCGTCGGAGCTCTACGCCATAGCGAAGGGAATTTCTTGTAGAGAGCTCCTTTCATGAAACCCATTCGATGGCCAACTTCGCTTCCAATCATATAGAACTCGCCGCCTTCTTGTAATTGAAAAATCGCCGGATTCCTACTTTTCACTTGAAGAGTTTCGTTCGCCATATGGATAAAAGAAGGTGTTATTTGTAGAGCGAACAATTTTAGACCTTCATCTGCTAACAGAACTAGCTCACCACAGTACTGTTACATGGCAGCTCTTTTGACTACGTAGTGGGGAGTAAGCCATTCTAGTGCACCGTGGGAAAAATGTCAAAAATCAGTAGCCAGATTAATATTGCCCAATCACAAGACACCAAACTACTTTTAAATGGCTCCAAACTCCAGAGAGGAAAAGACAGTAAAGGACAAAAAAAAACAACAACAACAAAACTAAAAAATCAAAATAAAACACAAAAACAGAAGAAAAACAAGCACTGTTACATCGTTTTTACTGGGAATCTTTTAATATGGCAGAATTTATAGGAAAATTTATCTAACAAAATCCGAATTCAACCGGCTCCAAAGAGCTAAGGAAGAATCTAGTCCAATACGTCAAGAGCCAGATATAGGATAGAAGATAAAACGGTTTATGAGTTTATGTGCGTTTATGAACTTTTCCTCTTCTGTTATTCTCATAAATTTTTTGTCTCTAACCTTGTATTTCAGCTGTCTTTTTAGAGTTAGCCCAGCAACTTACGACCAGGATCTAAGCAAAGAGCGCGCGCTGGAATACATTACCTTTGTATGCCTACACGTCATAAAAGCGAAGCGTTCCACGAATGTGTTTTCAGTGTGCGAGCATCTCTTTAAAATGCAAAGATCAATCGAATTTAGCAGCTCTACAAATGGTATTTGAGGCTCTAATTTTCAAAATTTAGCTTTTAATGACATTGCGGGGCTCGAAATGAAGATTTCAGCCATGAGTACTAGAGCCAAACGACCTTTGAACGGTGTCCGAGATTCAGGTTTTGTGGGACTTCGTTCGTCTATGACTTTGGATGAGGTAGATTGCGAAAGAAGAGGATATAAGCTTACAAAAACAGTTCTAGGTACAGGAGCTTATGCCAAAGTGAAGCTTGCCTATGTGATGGAAAGTAAAGTGGAGAGGGACAAAAGACTGGCCAGTGATCTCGAAGAAAAAGGACATAATATGGTAGGAAAAGTAGCCTTTAGTTATTCAAACGCAGGAGTCTAGTCTAACTTGACCGACGTTGATGTAGTTTTTAAGCTTTTTAATTTTGCTTTCGTCACGCTGCGCCACTTCATGATACCGTAACTTTAGTGGACCAACGCGATTCCTCGGGGGAGTAAAACACGACAGCACTGGGTAGTTTTTGGCGTTAACTGGAGGTTTCGTCCTGTTGCAAGTTCGCCCCTCTTCTTTCCTTTTCTATTTCCTAATGTTTTTTGTCACTTTGGTAGGTTGCGATTAAAGTTGTTTGTAAGAAAAAGGCGCCTCCAGAATATCTGTCCAAGTTCATGCCTCGAGAAATCGACTCCCTAAACTCAACCTGCAGACATCACAATGTGGTAAGGGGAATTATCTACTTCAACAAAGATTGTCCTTAAACTTAACTGACCGAGACACTTCTCTGTTATTTTCTTTAACTCCTAGAAGTGATTAACACGTAACTTCTCCCTTTGATATCCAGCGAGAATACTCAAATTTCTCAGGTATAATTTTCTATCTTGATGTAACATCAAATTCTCATAACTAATTTGCGAGGAAATGTGTAGCAGCTACAGGGGAGAATTAACAATCAGATCTTGGGAGTTAAAGGGTTGAGAAACCTCAAGTAACAAACTAATAGGGATGTGCCCCTGGATAGGGTGGCATTTTCACGACTGGATTGATTATCATGGGGTTGCATTTTCAATAGAGTTACCACAATGGGGTCGCACATTTTCTAGGTAAGAAAATTATGTCAAGTAGGGATTTAAAAATGGGAAGATTCGCGGTTAAAAAGTTTTAACTGTATTACCAAAAGTGGTCTACATAATTGGACAAAACCTAGACCATAAAAAGGTGAGAGTTTTGAGAGGCCAGCAACAATTGACCCTAGCAAACCCCTGCCCCCGCCCTCTCAAAGGAAGATGGGATAATCGCAGGATCTCATTTATCTCGTCCAATGAATTTTGATCCCAAGATTCAACTTTACGAAACGTTCCACACGGAATCAAAGATTTATCTCGTCATGGAGTATGCTTCAAGAGGAGACTTGCTGGATTTTATTAACTCGCGATCCAGAAAAGGGGTAGGGATTGGAGAGGAACTGGCAAAAAATCTGTTTAGACAGATCGCTGAAGGAGTTGCACACTGTCATCGGAGAAACGTTGTACACAGGTTAGATGAAGAATTGTTTTAAAGAACACTGAGACGAAAATCAAATGGACTAGTCTCCATCTGTTGTTGTTTTTATTATTTTTTAGTTTAGTATGGTCTTGCATGAAGTTATTAGTTGTAGCATTCTGTATTTATTTTCTGTATTTATTTCTCATACCACATGAAATAAACACTTGTGTAACGTCATTGTATATTCCTTTCTTAGCATTCGGGTTGCGCCGGATTGGGTTGTTTTATAAAAGTTTGAAGATACGAGTGACAGCGAGAAGGCCTTGTTTTTACGCAATGAAAAAAGAAGTTGTGATTAATTGATTGTAATACTTCGCTGTTGCAGGGATCTCAAATGCGAGAACATTTTACTTGATCAAGATAACATTGTTAAAGTATCAGGTACGCGTAATGAACGTTTAAGAATGCAGATTACAATTGCACAGTCACATGAGCCTGCGTTGTGTTCTAAGGGGAGATTGCGCTCCTTTACCCTAGAGGGCATCCGATAAAACCACGCTTAGCCTGATAAAAAAAATAGATGGATCATGCAGGGTCGAACATGAAAATGATATTGCGGGTTGTAACTCCTATGCAATTCACGTGTTGTCTACTGAGATTGGGAGCGTCGTTCTAAGGAGTCCAAAGTTCCCTGGTGTATATTTGGTTACATCGTGTCAACGCCAAACACGGCGAAACGACATTGAGCCCACTAGTTTTGCCATACTTCGCTCGCGCAATGCATCCTCTCAACTCTATCAAATGCAAAACTAAAACCAATCACCATCACTTGTTTTAACTTGGAGTTCTCATTCGCTCCTCGTAAAAGTTACCGTTGCTCTGATTGGCTTTGGTGATTGTTTTAGCTTTCATTTCACGCCACTCAATCGCTGCGCACTCCAAGCTACTGGGTGCGTGCCGGTGGTCAAAAGCCACCCTGTGGTAACTTGTGTATGTATTCAACTACAATTTTTTGTAAAATGTCGTGGAATTTGGTGCAAGTGTCGTGTAACTTGATCGTTGTTCAACAGATTTTGGATTTGCCACTCGCTATCCCACGAACAAGTGCAAACTGCTTTCTACTTTCTGTGGATCGTACGCATATGCTGCCCCAGAAATACTGCAGGCGCAGAAATACGACGGAAAATGTGCAGATGTGTGGAGCATGTAAGTGTAGCAAGGAAAATTATTATGGTTAGGAAAGTAAGAAGGAGATGGAGGAGAACGAAACTAGAAGAAGTGAGACCTCCTCAATGTTCCATTGTTTCCATCAACCTCTAACGTACATTTATAGTCTACAGTCAGCCGACTGACAGCTTACTTTCGAGGCGATTTCTCTCGTCATATCGTTTGCTCAAGGTCATGCAAGAGGGGGTCTGACGGTAAAGTTAATGCCCTTAATGGGGTCCAGGCCCCAGTTTTTCGAGGGGTGGATAATGGCATCTCTATCCACTTCTTTGCTTGATAGCGATTTATCGCGTAGGATAGCGTCATTTGCCCTTCAACAACGGGGACGAGGTTGCCTGGTATGGTGAGTTTTACGTGTTAAATCGCGTTATCATAGCGTTTGTGTATGCCACCAGGAACAATTCTTTTAAGGAATACCGTTATCTAGACGATTCGATAAGATAAATACGGCACAAAGTCAGCTCTTTTTACTTAAGTCACTTCAATCTATCCTTTGTTTTTTTGCAGGGGTGTTATTTTGTTTGCCATGGTATGCGGTCGGTTGCCATTTAATGACAAGAGCCTTCACTCACTGATCGTTCAGACGAAAATGAAATTAGCATTTCCTAGCAGAGCCACGTGCTCAGCAGGTAAAGAATACATGTATATCTAACAAAAATCAAATAAACTCATACTCTGACTGACGCAGACGAGGTAGCAAGAACGATTGCTGCATGTGTGCTAAAACCGCCCGTTGAAAGGAGGCGCGCTTAAGAGTGGTGCTCGCTCACGTTTCAAACTTGTTTCCAAGTAGGATAACTTTACAGTCAAAGTTATTCTTTTTTCTTCCAGAATGTCAGCATATTATTCGCAGCATTCTTGCGTGGGACCCCCGAAAGAGGATCACCATTCCTCAGCTTTTAACCCACGTTTGGCTTTCTGGTGAAATACTCAAGGTGAGTGGGAAGGACGGATGACGTTGAGAGCTCTTACCACACCGCACAAAGAAAAAAAACTGAACATAAATCGACGTTCAGATAGACCCGTGTGGGTTGTAAAATGACTGGAAATCAGGCGTTCGTTTTCATTACCTCTTTCTGCTTTGTTGTTTTTGTTGAATGACAAAAATGAAGAGGTTTGACAAGAGGGAGGGTGTCATCCCACACGTCCGCCACGAGCACCCTTGGTATTCACCACGTACCTCTAGCTTCCAGTATTTGCTCTGATTACATTAGATTGGCGCGAACGACAGACCGGAGACAGACTAGTCGTCTTATTTTGCTTGTACGGTAACTAACTGCCATTGAGCTGCAATATCAACTCGATACCTCATCTTGCAAAGATGAAACTTAGAATCAAAGTTCTAGCACCTTTAAAAGTCAACTCTCTTCCTCGATTGCCCACGCTATAGCCTGTTTCAGGCCCTCAGTTTTTTTGTAAGGACGAGCGAAAAAACGAGGCGAACTTCCGTAAAAAAGCTAGAAATTGAGGACCTAGGAGGACCCCGGAGAGGAAAGAAAGGAGTCCCCACTCTTCCTCAGATTCAGACCTTTTAACCCTTTAACTGACTGACTTATAATTTCTCCTTAGAGTATCACCCTTGAATAAAATGTACGGGTCATGAGAATAAAGGAAGTGATCACCAAGCTCCTGATTGCAAAACAAATTCTCCTTGTTAGCACTAAAGGAAATGTTAAGAGGCCAGTGTGGGGAAATGACTACCAATGTTAAGCTGTAAAGGGTTATTTAACTGTCTCCACTTGACGATAATCTGGCACAGAAAAGTTACACTAATAAAAGTTCTCTCGAACTTATTGTGAACAAAATGATTGTTGTTGTACTTTATTTGCTCAAAAGGTATCATCTGTCAACGCTCAAAGTACAAAAGAAAGAAACCCTCTCACTTTGACCTCCATTCAAAGGGAGATCGAGCGCGTTCTTGAGAAACAAAAAGGATCTCAACCAGAGAGGCTGACTCCTGCGAAGCAGACAGAGGTGTTCAGCACACCAAAAACACCAGGTAAATAATATCAGGGGGTATGAATTAAAACAACTCTTTGGCAAATAAAAAAAAGGTATCGTCATACAGAAGGAGTGGTAAGCCAGAAGATAGATGGTTGAAATATTTTAATGATAGGATATTCTATCGGTGACAAAAACGACGTCTGTCAGTGACGAGGATCATTCGAAGATTTCCGAACATTTCCGATAATGACACGAACTGATTGGCCGTTGTCATCACTTAGATTTTAGTTCTCCTCTCCTGCAACGCTCAATCGAAATTGCATCTACGTAATTCTCAGTGCTCTCTACACAAGCTTTCCATATCTGTCACCTTTGCCTTTTAGTTCCAAAACATGGATGGTCTTCCTCACGTAACACACCTGAGCCCTACACTGCCGCAAAGCTCCTGCACAAAAGGGACTACAGACTCCCCACGAAGTCCCCTGCGCCAGAGGCCATTATAATAGACAGCCCTGGAAGAGAAACGCCGAGTATGGATCCGCCCAGAAGCTCCACGCCTTGTCCTCGAAGCTTCACACCATCGCCTCAACCAAGAATGCCCAAAAAGCCAGAACTAGCTGTAAAAGTAGCTCAATTACTCACGGAGTCTGGATACCAGACCAGATCAACCAACCTCAGCCGTGAAACGTACGCGATTATGAATAAGGCGCTGCATGCTTCTCAACGGAGCGCGCAGACCAGGAACGAGACCCGGAGCACACAACGAGTATGGAAGTACGTTACAAATTCATCTTCTAACAAAAGAAGGGGAGTCACGCCACTTGAAGGTAGGGTAGTATTGTTTAAGGATATGATCACATCAAAGATTTCTTTTCTTAAATTCGTTTTTCCGCCTCCAGGTTCAATCAGTCAGCCCCTAAAATTGACCAGCTAGTTAACTAGTCAGTAAGTCCTTCTGTTAGTCAGAAATTCAGTCAGTCAGCTGTTCAGTCGACCAGCCAGTCAGTCGATGATCAGTCAGTAAGTCAGTCAGCTAAACTGTCAGTGAGTCAGTCAGTCGGTGATTCAGTCAGTCAGTGAGCCAGTCAGTTAGTGAGCTGGTCAGTCAGTCAGTCAGTGAGCCGGTCAGTCAATGAGCCAATGAGTGAGTGAGCGAGTCAGTCAGCGAGTCAGTGAGTCAGTCAGTGAGCCTGTCAGTCAGTGAGCCTGTCAGTCAGTGAGCCAGTCAGTCAATGAGCCAGTCATTCAGTGGTTAAGTCAGTTAGTGAGTCAGTCAGTCAGTCAGTGAGCCAGTCAGTGGGCCAGTTAGTCAGTCAGTTAGTGAGCCAACCAGTCAGTCAGTGGGTCAGTCAGTCAGTCAGTCAGCCAGTCAGTCAGTGAGTCAGTGAGTCAGTCAATCAATCAGTCAGTTAGCGAGCCAGCCTGTTAGTCAGTAAGTCAGTCAGTCGATTAGTCAGTCTGTCGATCAGCCAGTCAGTAAGTCATTCAGTTAGACGGTCAGTCATTCTGTCACTGTTACTTTGTGATATAGTATATGTCGCATTTCTTGTATAGTCTCGGATGTAACTCCGTCACCTAAGTCCAAGAACCAAACCGCAGCAAATACAAACTTAACTTCTGTGTGTCTGAACACTGTCGCTCCTGATCCACCCGCGAAGGAAAGGCTATCTAAAACCGTGTTGCCCTGGCGCCAAATGAACCTCTTTCAGAGAGACCCAGCGCGCAGTCCTCTGATGGAGTCCAACCAAACCAGGGGGATGTCTTCCACGCAAGCGCAAACGACCACTAGACAAGAAAGTGCAAGAACATCCAGAAGCAAAGAGGCCCAAGTAACTAAAACCTGCAAACCTTATTTGATGAACCTGGCTATTCCAAACCACTCTAATGCGAGTGCAAGAGTTTTACGCATTCCTGCTTCAACAAAGGACTCCGTAAGACATCCAAAGACAAAACAGAAAAACTCCAGAAATGGCTCAGTTCTGAACCGGTTTAATGACCAAAACGGCAGGGAAAGAGTGAACAGTGGTTCACCTAGAAACGTATCTTCAACGAGAGGCTCGCAACATGGCTGCACTCCAGATAGCACTAACAAAAAACGCGTGAGATTTCTACAAGACTCGCGCCAAAACTAAGACACAATCGTAGTTAGGTGTGGCTCTTATTCCGAGAGGACGAAACACGACTCTCTGTGCAGTTTGCTCGTGTCTGTTGCGTCCTAAGCATTCAGGTTGAAATTACCGAATTTATATAGTTATCATTTGTAATTAGTACTTGTAAGATTGCATGAAGATTTACTCAATAAATAAATGTATTTGGTGCGTCTATTAACATCGTAATATTTGTAACCCTAATCTTATACCTAAATGTCTTCAACCCAAATAGACATTACAGCAAAAGTGTACGATTCTACATACAGTCGATCAAGAGATCAAAGTGACCTCTTTTGGTAGCTCGAGTAAAATTAAAAAAACTTAAACAATCAATCCAGATTATTCATTTAAAAAACTGACTCAAATAAACAAAGGGAGGCCAATTACATCAAAAACTTGATATGGAAATTTTTCCACTCGATGATCAGAGCTGTCAATTTGAGAATTATCAGAAGAAATTAACATCCCGCTTTTCAATTGCACAATATTCACAACCGCATTAGGTGAGCGAAAAACAGCAGAGGTTGGCATCAACACCAGAGATCATTTATAGACAGGGGAAGCGGGTCGGAGGATTTTATGTGGGGAGTGGGAGGGGGGGAGGGTCAGGGGGAACTCGAGGGGATCTGTCGTTCCCAACAAAGTATAAGGGAGGGGACTATAGAAAATCGGCTAGTAATTGGTTCCCAGCATAAAAAGAGGGGTTTGGAGATAAATCGAATACGGAAGAATACAATAATGATAACAGAGCGGTTCACTGTCAAAATACTCCTTTATTCTTTACCTCTATTGATAAAACTAAGTTGTACGAGACCATAAATCTTTCAACGATTTCATTTACACTCTTCGGAACGAACGATCAACTGACTGTATTTTAACGTGCATTGTAAGATTTGAAACGTTGCATCACAGGTTCTAAAATAATTAAAAACTTAACAACAACAAAAACAAAAAAAAAACAAAAAAGCAAATTAAGTCCGCCACCTCAGTTGAAACATTTTACTACAAAAATGAGGTAATTAAATGAAGCAAATTTTTGCAACAAATTCAAAATTAAGTGACAATAATCGATTGATCCCTACGCCACAGGCACTTCCCACGAAATAATACCAAGAATCTGGTCAGACTTTAAAATTACTCTGTTTCCAACCTTCCTGGTCTATCTCATGCACGCAGCGTGTCTAAAGGTTACTACCGTGGAGAAGAGATCTCGACTAAACACTCATTATTGGCAACAAAACAACAACAAAAATTACCATAGTAAAGAAACCACACCAAAACCGGATTTAAAAATCTTCGTGTCCTCCTACAAAGAGATATTTACATTCCCCGAAAGTTAAGTAGGATTCTTGGAGATTAATTAAATCTGTGAATGAACCTACACGCATATACAGCCAAACATTTTGAGTGTATACTCGTGGAACAAGATCGTTTGGCCAATAAATATGTTGAACTTCTAAAATTTACTCTTGAGTGTATGAATAGGGAACGTAGAATTTCCGTAGAATATAATTTAATTCCACGTAATGATGTTACCAATTCATCTTAATCATCTTAATAATATTACTATTACTTTTATGACATTCTGTCAATTAAATTACACATTCTACTGTACAAGTGACATGACACAGACAAAATAAGGGGAGGAATCTAATTGGATCGTTGACCTGTCATTCATCCTCGTAATGTCCAATCTGTAGAAGCCACACGGAGGAAACCCATTTTCACTTGCAACATAGCAGATTTCCTATCATCACATTTTAATGAAAAATGAACATATCTTAAAATGATACATTAACTGTTTAGAATGTTGCTGAGAAAAAAACCATAAAGAGGAATTGATCGTTATCACGAAAGGGCATATTTCAGAAACGAAATCTCGGACGGTCTCAATAACGTACTCCTTCACCCGGCAAACCACCTTAGAGTCCAGCCCTTCAGCAACTCACGCGGGAACGAGGCTACGAGACAGTCCGTTTTGAAGATGTGAATAGCGATCTTAAGTTAAATCTCCTTTTGGAAGTACGATCGACTGCAACGAAGGAAAGTAATGATATAACTAAGTTATCAAGTACTTTCTGGAGTACCATCATAACAAACTAGATCGTCTACTGTTGCCACTGTTCCAATACCACCGTTTTGGTTGGGGAAAAGCCGTCATTCTTCGCCTCCTGGCGTTAACCTCGTGTTCCTTTGCAGCTGATTTCATTTGCCTCTGCACTTGGTCATCTATTAGTGATGCCATGTCAAACTGAGGAAAAGAAGATGAACAATTGATTATTTTCCTCTCTGTGGGGAGCCCATGGTTTATCCAATAAGTATCATATCGCATTTCTATTCAAATAACGGAAAATGTTAGAACGAACCAATGAGACTGCAAAGTACAATTCGAGCTCAGGAAGAGACCGGTTTATGTTTTAAATACGATTGGTCAAAAAGACAGGCGCAAATATTTTGAACCAATCAGAAAACGAAGTAAAGCAAAACCACAGAATTTCCGGATTAGTTTTGCCACTCAATTGAAAATTTCTCCATTATCTTTCCCCCTCATATTAAATTGTTAATATTATTTTGTAAATCTAGAGAGCACAAAATTAAGATTCTTGAGGTCGTTGTTGTTGTTTCATTTCGATGGAGAAAACTCTCTGATGACCTGGCCATGTTCTAATTTCATATTTGACAACCGTCCTTCGAACTGCTTGATTTCAGTTACACATGTTTTTCGTTCACTTAGTCGCTCACGTTGAGTGCATACAGTTTTAGACATTTTACTGTCCTCCATCAAAAATCTAGGCTATTTGATCTTCTGAAGTTCAAGGAGTATCATAAGTTCTTTCCTTTTTGTCTACATTAACGAAAATAAAACGTCTGCACTTGCCTGCCATTCTTCAAGTTGTTTCGAAAGACTAATCTTCTGCTCAATTGCCTCTTTGAGCTGTTTGTCAAGTTCTTCTCGATCTTCTTTGGACCGCATTAATTCCGAAGCCAGTCTCTTCGCCCTAGAGCAGATACAAGAAAGTCATAAGTGTCTTAATTTTCATATGTATGAAAAGAAGAGACCATAAAGATACGTTTCATCATCATGCAATGCCTATCGGATGTATATTTTAGTCTGCTTTCCAGCTCTAAAAATTGCTTGTATGTTTTCCCATCTCAGGCACACCTGGAGCGTGCTTGTCTCGCCTTCTGATTGGCTCGTTTACGCCGATGGGTACAGCAATTTTCAACTGAACTTCCGAACGTTCTGTGATCTGTCTGGAAAACTCGCGCCACACCCTCTCAACCAATCGGCTAAAGCCAATCGTGAGTTGGTCACGTGTTTATTACTCGAGATCTTATTGGCTTCTTGTTATGTTGACCCTTGTTCCGATAGGCCATTGTGACTTCTCTGGTTTTGGTTTTAAGACACCGAACACAAATAGCTTTGTTGTTACGAAGAAGAAGACAATAACTTGGCGCTAGGATGTAACAACGTTCAGATGGAAGTTTTACCTTTCCTCTGCGTTTATCTTCTCTAGAACAGCTTCGTTATATATGATATCATGCGCCAACTGTTCTTCGCATTCCCCCCTGGCTAATTTGTTCCGTTGTTCTTTAACATTAGCAATTTCCTGGTCTTTTTCATTCAATGTCTCCTTCAAGCTAGCAATTTCTTCTTCTCTCTTCTTCAATTCTGATTTCGCCACCTCGAGATCTTGTTCCAGGCTGTTGATGCTTTCATGGGCTTTACATAGCTGTTGTCTGAAATCCTAAAAAAGTATTAAGAAATTATAAGACATCGACTTTGAACTTAAAGAACTCCTGATTAATGCCTTGAACTAGAGAATTATGCACTTATGATCAAGCTTGAATTTTTCCCAACATAATTCACCTGCCCTGATAACGGCTTTAGTTCTACCTTCATAAATAGAACGATTTTGTAACCACTGCAGCTAGTGCCAGTCCTGCTCCCTATCCGGCCATACTTTTGAATTTGTGCCTTCTGCTAGACAGGTCCACAAACCCTTACCGAAAAAAGGGGCTTACCGTAGTTTTCGTACTGTTATCGCTGACCATTTCTTCTAAAACCTCTCTAAAACTCTTCACAAAAGTCGTGAGGCAACCAGGTTTAAAACCTGAATTTGGCTCCAAACCATCCACCTCAATCGTATCCAAGCTCTCGTGGGAACTTCGGAGCTCTTCGTAGAGGGCTCGCAATTCCTCGTGCGCTTCGCAAATCTCCCTTTTTAGCTGAAAAGGAAAATGAGAACAGAAACGTTAATGACACAAGTAACTAATGACAAATCATAAAAAGAGGAGCTAACGAATCCTTCTTTCTTTGTTTCGCAAAATTCCACCACATGTGAGTAATAATTAATTCTCACAACGACTTTTCAAGGCAATGAACGCAAATCAGAGGGGATACTTAACATCTCGATCCTCACATAAGTGTTACCTGAGAGTTGGCTTTCTCTTCTTCTTCGAGCTGAGCATAAAAGTCTCTATTTCTTGTCACTACGTCACCCTCGATTTCCTCCTCATCATATTCCAGATCACTATCATCTGACTCACTATTGCTGACACTGCTGTATGGCCGATGGCGCTTCTTAGAGCTCTGTCCCAGGCCTACTGACGAAGACGCTTGTAACGGCTTCGGAATACCATGAAGACTGGAAACGGGTCTTGGCCCGGTTCCCATCTAAGAAAAGAATATCGATATCAGACGAAAACTTCAAGCTTTCTCGCTCGTCGAATCACGAATCACGTGAATCACGCTTGAACCGCTTAGCACATTTTTGTCTAATTAATAATTTTGCAGAGCTTGCGTGACATTTTATCCGGAAGTTCTTAATGCGCAGATGACCTGGTAAGTCGGTTGAGGGGTGGGGTGTGGTGTGGTGTGGTGTGGTGTGGTGGGGTGGGTCGGGGAAGAAATCTCTATGGTGTCGGCAGTATCCGGTTTGGCTTCCCGCGAGGACCTTGTTTGATCTGGTCATGCAACACGCTCACTCTCTCCGTTGTGTGACGAGACCATTCAACAGTTGATTATGAACTTCAACAGCGTTTCATAGAGCGCAATCCCCTTAGGTGACACAACAGACAAGAGAAGTGATAACGTGACAAAGGTTATCATGAAAGCGTTGTGTGACGACCCGATAGACAACTGCTACTGAGGGGACTGGGCTTTGGGTCCTAACTCACCGTTCTTGGCCCGGTCGCTTCAACAACTTTGTGGTGATCACCGTCATCTATATCTGTCACGGACAGATCGGAAAGCTCGGAAAATAGCGACGTCCTGGACAAATGATCCACTGATGCCTGTGGATAAGAGTCAGAAAGAAGAAGTTGAGGATAAAAAAATACTAATGATAATTGAAAAATCTCTCTGATTCACGAAATGCCCGTGCCCGCCACGCAACATTCTTCCTGTGAGGACAAATTGCACAGCCTGCACTCAGACGACTGGGCTCTGTCCATCTGGATAAACTTTACCTTTATTCAAAATACCATTGGTAATGGATGGAAAATTTTTACTCCGCTTTGCATTCCCTCTCCAGCTGTGAGAGCGTATACCCTATTCCCACCTCCCACAATGAAGTTTTTTCAGTAGAAATATTTGTATTACCTGCATCTTAATTTCCTCAATCTGCTCCTGAAGGAATGCATTGAGGTCTTTGGACTCATTGAGTTCTTCTTCGCAATTTGCAAGCTGAGAAGAGTAAAAATAAATAAATTCAGAATATAGACAAAACTTCCGGTTGTCACGATACACCCACACGGGTCTCCCTTGAGGTCTTACTAAGTCCCACAGAGTCGGAATTCCTATTTCCAAGCAAGTAAGAGCAGAACGTTTCCCATCAAAGAAAGCAACTGAAGCCTTGACCTACCCACAAACCTCACAGAAATTTGCCTAAATATCTTTCCAAAAATTTTTTAAAAACATTCTCTAAATATAAGAATTTCCTCAAAAATTCCCTTTTTATTATAGAATAAACCACAAACCTCCCTACCCACAAACCTCACAGAAATTTGCCTAAATATCTTTCCAAAAATTTTTTAAAAACATTCTCTAAATATAAGAATTTCCTCAAAAATTCCCTTTTTATTATAAAATAAACCAATCATGAATAACTTTTGGTGTCAAAATAAGGATTTCACAATATATTATCTTCTATGCTGAATATTTATGTACAATATTTTGCAAAATGTACTCAGTTCACACATAATTCTAACCTGACTCTTGCTTGAAGTCAGTTTCTTCTCTAAAGAAAGATTCCTTGCTGTCACCTCCTCCACTTCTTTGGTGAGATTTTCTTTACTTGCTTCAAGATCAGCCATGGTTTTTGTTAGGCTTGCATTCTCCTCCTCTAGCCTGGTGAGCTGTAGAGAACAAAGGAATTACAAAATGTTATTAAACACTCATCCCTTCATTGCTGGTGCACTGAGTAAATCATAAATTTATTGTACTACTGCCTCACAAAACCACCTAAGGTCAACTATACTAAAGTCTTAAAATCACCCAACAATACACATATTCTCCATACTGTTCTCCATACATTTTCTATGGTGCTGACAAGGAGAATTTGTTGAATAATCAATAGCTTCTTTAACTGGTGATCATTTCCTTTATTCTCATGACCTTAATGTGTGGTTCGGGGGTAAATATCATAAGGATAAAAGAGATGCTGGTTACTCTTTGGGTTCAAAGGGGTAAAGAGGTTCTATCTGGTAAGAGAACTGTAAAAAACATCAGCTACCTTCTCCCAGAGTTCACCAATTTCGTCTTCCTGATCATCATCAAAGCTTATTTTTCTGCTGACTTGTTTTCTGAGAAGGACAACATCTCTTCGAAGCTGTTCATTCTCCCCCTTTGCCTGAAAATAATAAATATTAATATGAAGCTGTACAATAGTTGTAAAATTTTCAATCTAAAGTTATGTAGTAGTAGAGTCAACAAAAATTGAAATTGGAGGCTTTTTTATCATCATCAGCCACATCCATTTGGATGTGGATGATAATATTCCTTTTGTTTGTAAATATTTTGGGTTATAAAGTAGCCAACATTGTGAAATCTGAAAACAAAAAAATGAAGCCACAAAATACAAAACCAGAAATCTGAAGACAAAAGGTTGTAACCACAAAGTGCATTACCAAAAAATTTGGCAGGAGAAATCAATTTTCACCTTTGTCAGCTTAGTTTTAACATAGCTAATTAAAAATTTGACATTAATATTGCTCATTCAAAATTTTTTGGGTAACTTTTAGGTACCAATATATCCTCTATGAAGTTTATGTGGTTTTAAGATGTGAAATTGTCAATTTTTTGGTAGCTTTTAGGTACCAATATCTCCTCTATGAAGTTTATGTGATGTTAAGATGTGAAATTGTCAATAAGATAACCTGCCATTAACAAAGTAAAAGCCAAACCACAAAACCTAGCCGAGATTCAAATGAAATTTAGTTCAAGGGGCTTGATTCACTGTTTTTCTTACATATAAATATATTTGTCACCAAGATATTTTAGTTAAGCACAACTCAGTTTTTTGTTTCTTTGTCATCTGTGTCATCTGTGCCTGATACCTTCCTTCAACTCTTAACTCCCACCAACATGCCTACTTCGTTAATGACTACAACTTCCCCAATGATTCTCATGAATGATTTAACACTGTTGAAGACACTTTTTTTTCTTCAAAATAACACATCTTTAAACAAAACCTTAACTACGCAAATAGATTTCTTGATTTTCTGAATTTAATTTTTCAAAGCTGACATCATAATTCTTAGGAAGTACTAATTTACCTTCATAAACTACAAATGGGAACATGGTTTTACATCCATAAATATTCAATGATTTAATGAGTGGTTTTTGAGGTAAATACAAATAATTCCCTTTGGCAAGCTTACTAGTACATCACATGTTTTGAACATCTTCGAGAAAGGTGGATGCAGATTTTAAGAAAATTTTTCAAGAGACAAAAGTTGCCTCATTTTGAATTTGAATATCCTGTGGTCTGCATCATTTATATTTGACACAAATAGTGCTCCTTGTTTTGTTTCCATTCATATATCAGTAATGTTTCTCTCCGCACTTGTAAAACTTATCTGTCATGATCTACTGAAAGAGGGACAATTGAGAAAGCTTAAAGTGGGCCAAAGTTTGATCAGTATGCTATTATAACTGTACATTTTCTGGTATGTCATACAGATTGTGGCAAAAATACAATCATTTGCCTTTAAAATGTTATAAGTTTTCCTGATAAAAAATATTTACTCTAGTAGAAAGCAGGTATTAAATGATTTGCATCACAAGTGAAATTTTACATCAAATTTCTCTCTGCTGATTTCTTGCACTGATTAAATGACAGAGAAAGTAAGTTAGGGTAGTTATTTTAGAACATCTTCGACTGGTAGCTACGTGAATTGGATTTTTCTATCCTAAAAAATATCATAATTATTACTAAACACTGTATCACCAAAATTGTGAATTTCAAATTTGATCAATAGAATAATGCCCAAAGCTGAGGGATGATTAACGCTTCGCTGAACAAACAACTTTAAATCCCTTTCTATACACTTCAGAGGACAGCTGTGAAGGATTAAAATTTTAAATGATCTCACACCTGGGTCAGCTTGGAGGCTAAAAATAAAGCAGGTTATGAGATTAAAAGGATATGACTGAATTCATTCACCATGTGACACTTCAGACTCATTTTTTTTGGGACTAGGATAAGGTACTGAGGATACGTGAGAAATTAATGCTTTCTGATTCACTGGAGTTGGACTTTGATGCCAGATAAGCTGGCACTTCTCTTGATATCCACTCCTCTATGACCATGTGATGCAGAAAACAGAAGCAAAGACTGACATATTGACTACAGTCTGACTTGGAACTTGCTCACTAACTTGGTCATCAAAGATAAACAAGGTGTGATAATCAGACTATTGGTTGCTTGAATTGCGTTGAGTAATTCCAACTTGCTATTCTGTTCAAACAATTATCTCAACAAAATATTGAACAAACTGAAGTTTCAATTACAATGAATAGAAACCCAAAACTGTCTCATTTTCTGTGCAACCGAAAAAAATGGAGAGATGACTAAGTTTTCTTCCCATTGACCTTGAGATAGAGACATCATTAGGTTCAGCATAAATAGCTCAGAAACCCATTTCCTGAAGAGACAGATCATTACATAATGAAGTTGAGTACTCTCGTTCGCCTCTTCACGTCAAAAAATTGTATTAGGTTGAAACCTGATATAGAATGTAACCTTACAGTTAGCCCTAACCAAGATATTCTCCAATCCAGAGTTGAGTAAAACAGCAAAGACAAGGAGAACCCACAAACACTTGTTATTTAGAGATATTATATCAGCTCTTCTTTATCACTTTGTCATATCTTTTTGGAACTATTTTTACCTTAACTTTCTGAGAATATGGCAAAATTGTAAGCATTAATTATCCCAATGCAATTTATTTGTGTAATAGTTTTTTCCTTAAAATTCTGTCAACCTGTGTCATTCAAAATGCCTTAAAACCACAGAGGCAACATGTTGTCATTAAAATATGTCAGGCGGTTTATTTGGTGACAAAATATCAAAATTATCTACATCATGATTGCGGAGGCTGTTCAGACTGAAACAGTATAGTTAGAATTACAACCTGATGTAAGTTGATAAAAATACTCATTTGGCCCATGGCACCCAGGTATTTAATAACTTCAAGAAATTCAAAGTACTTTGTAACTCAGTCTACATTCAAGGCAGCTGAAACCTTCAATTTATTGCCATCGTTATGCAACTCATTCTAGAAAACAATCAGGTCAATATCATTTCTCCCGGCGACTGAAATAATGACAACAATTTTAAAATAATTCATGGAAAGTTCCATTGCTTTGATGTACATTTTCTAGAAATCTTTGTCCAAGTTATTGAAATTTTTCTTGCGTGACCTATTTAGCCTAAACTTACAAAACACAAGGGCACCCCGTGGTCAATTTTTCTTTGATAGTCGCTTAATTTTGAAAAAAAACTTAATTTGCATTTATCCCAAATTCTGTCCATTTAATAAAATTTGCATTTTTCTCTCGCAGTTTTTCAATCTGGGTTATAAAATGAAATGACTAGAAAGTCTATTCTTGGTCATTACACAGCGGAAAAAAACAAATATTTGTACACTTTCCGACAACAGTTTTGAAGCGTATTGACCTAAGGCTAGTCAAGTACTTACCTACAGGGAGACAGTATTGTGAAGCATTACAATAAAAGATCTTTAGGCACATGGTTTATAAAAGTCTCTCAGCAGTATACACATCTTTTGTTTATGAAATAGACTTATTCAATTTTCTTTGTTGACAACGGCAAGCAGAGAGATTTCGCAATGAAAGATCGGCTGTTTTTTAGAAAACCCGACTATATTAGAAAAACACGTATTGGCTCACGAACCTTCCATTCTGAAGCCAATATTCAGTTTTCTTTACCACAAAACTAAGAATATATCGATGGTCGATCACTTCAAACTAAATAAAGCATAGTACAAAAGATCTGTTTTGGTACAAGCTCCGTGTATAATTCATGCGCTTGTGCAGACATTCACACCTAGATAATTTAGCGGAGTGAATTTTCGTGAATTCCCGCCTGTTAGTTGAAGTACCACTTCCATTCCTTAGATGTCATTTCCATTGTGATTCGCAATAACACATTTGACTGACACGCTGAAGACCTCGCTTCAGTAATTGTTCCCTAAGTTTTTTTGCCATTAGCTTGATTGTAACGTCGAAAAGACACGTAGCCCTGTTTTTTCGTTCACTCTATAATGTCGATGAGGAAATGTTCCCCGTGACATCAACGATCAAACGTAACAGCAAGGTTGCTTCCACCAGCTAAAGGCATGGCGAATAAGCGGCTATATTGTAGTTACCACGAATTTTTCGCTGAAGGTGTCAATGAAACCTCTCAGCGTCAAATCAGCGTTGACATGAAGCGAAATGACTCCGTCTCATAGTCTCAGTCAGACATCACTAGCGTGTAAGATAGTGTAAGCGATTTCGACAAGGTGCAAATAGGATTTGCTGACAGTTAAATGTCCAAAATAATTTAGCCCGTAACGAAAACTTTCCCAGAAATTTCACGATGTACTCCACCGAAACCGAAAACAATTTAGTCCTAAAAATATTTTAAAGGCATTTTAAATTGTCTGGACAATCAAATGCGATCGGAGCTATCTTTTACGTGCACATAGCTCGTCTTGTTTGAAACACGTTATTCAGTTAACGCTTCAGCCATTACCACTTCCCTGTGGACTGATTCCTTCTCGGATTACCTAAGCTGATCGGGTTTCAGTGGGCTAAAAGTAGTTTAAAACGTGAAATTTCCGGTATAAAATAAAACATTTGTTATGTACATGGATTTCGGAACTAAATTTCATACAAGTTTCAATTCATTATGGAAATTCTAATCTTGGATGCATTCCTGTTTCAAAATTAAAAATAAACATAACTAATAAGGCAATCAGTTCACCTCCAACTCTCTTTCAGCCGAAGAAAAAAAAATCTCGTCACGTAAAAAACAAGGAAATACTCACCTTTTGTAGATCCAGATGAAGTTGTTCATTCTCTTCCGTGAGACCAGCGAACGTTTCTCTCTTGTTTTGTTTGTCGTTGTTCGTGTCGGACTGGAGTGTTTTCAATTCATTTCGCAGCGTTCTCAAATCTGCTTGTAGTTCATGAACTCTCGAATCGCTCCCGTTTTGCAAACGTTCCACTTTGAGTTTAAGCTCGTATTTATCTTGTTCCAGTGCCTAAGAAAAAAACTCAGAGGTTAAAATTCCGTGATGACAAAAATCGAACGCGAACTTACCGCAACCTGCTCTCAACAAATTCATTCGCGCGTGTAAAACTAAAAGCGGATCTAGCAACAAAAAAACAACAAAAACGTACTTCGACTGCTTGAGAATATTCCTCCTGTAATGATTCATACTTCTGGCTGAGCTCTTCGTTCTTCTCCAACAAAGCTTTCCCAAGCTCTGCAGCCAAGAGAAGGTCCTTTTCCTTTTGCGCTAACTGCCGATAGACATCATCCGCTCCGTCATCGTCTCCGGCGAAAATCTCTCCATCTTCGTCTGACGCATTACAATGGAAATCCCGCTCAAATCCGTCACAATCCTCTCCATTCACATCTTTATCACCGTGAAAATTTCCTTCACCAATTTCATATCCATTCATATCCAAAGAGTAAACGATTTCTGGTGGGATCTTCATTTGCTTCAATGCCAGCCGACCGCCATAATTTTCACGCATCAATAAGACCTCGCACATGACAAGAGAAGAACAGACGTAATGTTTTGCGTAAACGAACTGAACCGAATTTGCATGAACGTTCAATTGTTTTCCGCTGCCGGGAGGAACGTCAAAGTGACTTGGCAAACTGTTTTGTACTATAATGCAAATCCGCTCAATTTATATTCAGCTTGTCGGCCAATAGCACGTTTTTTCCTCCCCGCGGGCCAATCAAAAAAACTTTGCGGAAGTAATGCATTAGACAGCCGAACGCGCCAACGTCATAGCAGGTTTTTAGCGCATACAAATTAATTGTTACAACTTCGATTTTTTCACGCTTGTCTCTTCTTACACTAACACTTTTGATAGAGGAAAATCTTAAAGTAGTAATCTTGATCCGCTTCTCGATAATCAAACAGTAAACAAAAAAATATCACTTCGTTCAAGCGGCAACTTTCAATATAGACGCACAACCGACAACATGAATATCTTCACTTTATTTGAACCACAATGTATGAGTAAATGATAATATAGAACTGACAATTACAAAATACTAAGAAGAAAGGTTACACGATTCAACGTTTTCATAATTTTTTTTCGCAATCGGTCAAAAGAAAAATGCATAAATTGAAAAAAAAAAAAAATTAAAGAATGACGTCATATGATTGACGGAACTACTCAATTTACCCGAGGGTCTAAAGCGAGTCAGAAGCGAGTCACGATCCTTTTAGACAGGGGCAAATAAACGATATTTTTATGAATATTACTTACACATTTCAGGAAAAAGACTAAGCGATACTCTGAGAGTGCAAAATGTTAATTATCTGTTCAAAAAATATTGAAAACTTAGTTGATACTGTGTAATGAACTTCAGCAGCTACAACTTAAAAAAAAGAACAGGTTATGAACGTCGAAAATTATTAACTTTTAAAATCAGGGGACCAAACTTGCTTGAAAATAACTTTTGCTGTTGCCTTGAAACTTCCCGTTTCCCGACCATACCATTCCTCAGCAGTTCCTGTCAGTCATCAAGTAGAAAGTACAAATACAATTTTTCTGCCCGGATTAAGCCAGAGGGTCTTTTTCTTGTCTTCTTTTTTTTTTTTCTTTTTTTTTTTTTGCAAGAAATTAATTTCTATTGAAAATTAATTATCCGTAAGCCCGCCTCGCTCGCACCGCGTAAATTCAAGAACTCCTCAGGAATCTGACTTCACTTATTACGCCTGTCAACGGTAAAGAGACATTATTTAAGAGAACAGAACATCAACCCTAAATTAAGAGCCATGTTTCATCGAGTAATAGCGATCTTATCAGTTTAACACTTCCACGCCAGAACACAACTGACAAAAATAGCTGCAATGTAAATATCATGACTTCATGGAATTTTTGATAAGAAACTCTAAGTAAATAATACTTAGTCACTTATAGACCTGTGACGGAATCGGATGTTCAAACCTGTTCATTTGATAACCGATGTAAGTGATGTGAATCATCGATGACTGCGTATATTTTTATCGAAATCATATCGAATATATCTCGGTGTAGCTGGGAAAAAGGACAGCTTAAGATTGTCGCGTTTTCTTTCGGGATATTTACAAAAGGACTTGTTGTACTTGCAATGGAAACCAGATCATTGATAGTCACTGACCTTCGTGACATGGTAATCTCGGAAATTCCCATTTAGCTGACTTATTCCCACAATAAACAGGCCATAACGTATTAATTCAAGAGCAACTCTAACTCGAAAGCACGATCAAAAGTTCGAGAGCGCGAGGGAACTTTTTCTTTAATTATAGACGGGGATGATCAGTGGAAGTAAATATACAGAGAAAATGAGTTGAACAACAAAACGGGATTTCAAGTCAGAGACCTTTAGTAGAAATCAGCTTAAATTACGGTCTATTTCTCCAATTACGGCAAATCCAAAACGAAGCTTTTAAAACGAAAACGCTCCTTCTGTCCTTGCCAAGTCAGTGCTGGTGTTTTCTCTCTGTGATTACTACTATTTTTTTTAAAGAGTACTCTACTGGCTGAAATTCATTTGTTATTGTTAGTTCTTTTTCCCTTAAATTTTCCAATTGTTGCGGTTTTCTAAAAAATTCAGCTTTAAATGCCTAGAGAATGAGGCCAAGTGAAAAAGAAGAGAACTTAATTTTTCATTTGGTAAATTTTCACCTCTCACCTTCAATCAGTAGAAGCTGTTACATAGCAGTTTCGAATTTGACGCAAATCCAACAGTTGCGTCAGATAACAGCTGATTATACCACGATCGTCACAGCAGCTGATCACTCATTACAGTCGCAATAAACCCGACAAGCCAATCACAGAAGCAGTTGAGAACGCGCAAACCATGTCAGAACGAGGGAAACAAGTCTTGCCCACAACGGGGTACAAGATTTTTAGCTGATGTTCAATAGTTTATAAATAAAGAAGCGAGTTTCTATGATCAGTCATCCTTTTAAAAATATACTTCTTATCTTAACCTGCATTCATCAACCTGTTGTTCAATAGTTTGTAAATAAAGGAGCGAGTTTCTATCATCAGTCATGCTGTTAAAAATATACTTCTTACCTTAACCTGCTCTTATCAACCCGTTGTTTCCTATAAAAAAAGAATTCGGCTGTTTCCTCTATTTCAGTTTAAAGTTTCAAAAGAAGCGTGATCAAGAAATTTATTCAAGCATAGCAGAGGTCAAACTCACAACAGGAAGATAAGTCGCAAAAAGCGATCCCAGCTCCACCCCCATGGGGCGTGAATGTAAGACATTTGTCGTGATTTTGATTAAGAGGTGTTCTTTCCCCCTCCCCTCCCCTCCCGTCTTATGTGCCTGACGCCGACCATAAAGAGAGAATGCCACACTTTGAGGGCCTTTCAGTCAAAATTTTTTAAGGTCTCAGAAAAGCGGAACAACGAAGCTAAGGTTGATCCGGAATGGAAGGTCGCATTCCTTTTGTATTAGGTCGATAAAACTGAAAGGGAAAGTGGAATGGAAGGCCGCATTCCGTTCGTATGATTATGTAAAAAAAAAAAATGAAAAAGCAAGTGGAAATGCGATACTACTCAGTTAAAATTTTTTAAGGTCTCAGTAAAGCGGAACAACGAAGTTGGGGTTGACCCGAAATGGAAGGTCGCGTTCCTTTTCTATTAAGTAAAGGGAAAGGGAAAGTGGAAGTAGAAGTGCGATAGTATTTCTTGATTTCAACAAAGAAACGAAAGTAAGGTCAAGTAAGCTGACAAGAGATTATACTCTCTTGAGGCCGGGTAAGACCAGGTTTCACCCAGAGCTAAAAGAGACATGGACCACATTAAAATTTTACTTTAGTTCTGATCTTTCATAACCGAGGTACCATCCACATTAATTGCGTCTTCAAGAGTTTCTCGGCGGTTTCTTCTCAAATAAAACGAAATTAAAATATTTTCGTCCGCCTCATTTTCATCTAATGTCCTCATCAGTATGCTCTTCATTGAATGTTTACATCTTTGTGCATTTTTCACCTACTTTAGTTCAAACTAAAACGCCCTTTAATGATGCTAATATCTACAGAAAGTTTCGTTTGTTATTGTTTGTCACCGAGTTTTCATCAGTCTACACTAAATCTTTTGTTGAGTCTACGTTTTCATCAACGTTTTGGGTATATTTTTGGTCAGTCAAGTAAAAATGTATCAAAAAAGTAATTTCTGTTTCTTATGGAACTATGCAGTTGGCTCTAATGCAGGGAAATTTACTCCATAACAATGAAAACCCAATTCACGAGATGTTTGAAGGGGAAAAATCAAGAGAAAGATTTCAGTGGACTCCATTTTAACTGATGGAGAAGTCACTCTTTATTTGAGAATTGCCTGATGAACCCCTCCATTTGAGCTAATGGTTACTACAGAGACCTATGCCAGATGAGGTGATAAAATAATTAATACTCAAGCATTGTTACAGGAAGTTCCTCAAGGAGCAAACTTATTCTCCATAACCAATATAAGCAATATTTACTCCATACCTCAAAAAGAAATAAACAACAAATATCTGAGTTTAGTAACTTCTCTATATTTAATAAGCACAAAAATATCATTAAGTAATATTACCATTCTAGTGATGTCTAGTGATGCCTTTTCCCTGACAAATGTAAAATTTCTCACACTAACTGAAATAAAAAGTTTCAAAAACTAATCCTAGTAGTGGCCTACAACCTCCACTCCCAGTCATCTTCTTTGCCATAACTTAATGTTTTCAGCAAGTCACATACAGTGCATATTAATTGATATTTCCTTTAGGTATAAGCATGGAAAAAGGAGTGATTTTCTTAGAAGCCAACATCAGCTTGCCATTCAATTTCATAAACCTAACTTCTACCACTCCAACCTTTCATGTCTATAAAGTGAATCCAAGAATTAAGAATGTTAGAAAACAGTGAAATAGAAGATTGAAAAAAATGAACAATTTCATTCATGAACCAACTTAAACTTGCATCAAAACGAGAAAGTATATGCTGGTCAGGAATCTGTCAACTGTTCTAAACAGTGTACAGAAGTAATATTAACATTCTTTGCCTTTCCCAACCTGTAGCAACCATAGTAATCAGAGTGAAGACTTTATCCAGGCTCCTTCTCACTTTCATTGACAAAATGTGTTGCCTTCAACCTTTGCTCAGAACATTTATCACTCATGGACCAAAATGCATATCGGAAAGCTATAAGATTGGGGAAAAACTAATGCACCATAAACCTTCAAACCAGATCATTCTACGGGCAAAAAAACTGTCATATAACCCTTAAACATTTGTTTAGTTACTGTTTCCAGCTACAGTCTGTTTTAGCTTTAATTTGCTTAAAATCTATGAACTCATCGGTCATGCTGAACAATTCAGTGTGTAATAGGAAAGTTAATGTTATTGTGAAAATAGAAAGAAGCTCATTTGTCCACTAATAATATTTAACCCTTTGACCCCTAAGAGTGACTAATATCTAATTTCTCCTTACAATATCATGCCTGAATCAAACATAAAGGTTACAAGAATAAAGGAAACGATCACCAAGAGGCTTTTGATTGCTAAACAAATTCTCCTTATCAACGCCTAAGAAAATGTATAGAGAACGGTATGGAGAATATGAATACTGATCTTAGGCTGAAAGGGGTTAAGGCAAAAGATTTATATCCTAATAACGATACTTGGTGGAATAATCCTTGGGTGAAACAACCAAACCTCGGCCTTTCCGCGCTCCACGATAAACAGTCTCGACAATATCAACCATTTCTTGTTTATCTTCCAAAGCCCAGTTGATCTTATTGTTGTTTCCTGTGCCCAAGTCAATCATGATGTGTTTGTTTCGGTAGAAGAACATTGTCGTACAGGGGTCGTACAATTCATACATTTTGTTAAAATCCGGACACTCTGTAATATCCACTAAGTAGATCACCGCAAAGTTCTTCACTTTATCCGCAATGGTGTACAATACTTCGTCCATTTTCATGCATGTCGGATCCCAATCGTGACCAAATCGAATAACCACAACTCGATCTTCTTCCGACATGATTGCCTGATCAACTTGCCAACCATTTTTAAGATGCTGAAGCATGTAAGACATTTTGAAAGCTGTTCTTGGACCTTTCTTGAGTATCAAAATCCAAATAACGACGAAGGGAAGATCTCAGCCCACTCTGAAGTAGATTCCCCACTGAATTTTCGTTTTCAACAACGTTGCTTTGACGTTGGTGATTAAGATGGCGGAAGCCGGTCGTCCCATCATGCAACAGCGTTTGACAGTACTTCAGTCGTTCCAGTCTCTCATAGAGAGAGGTGAAAAATTTAACAGGTTACTGAGGACTCGGGAAGACGGATCAGCTTCTCGGAACTAAAAGTATAGTTTTGTTGGGACCTATAATATTGTTAAAATGTCGCAAATGGTGTAAATAAAGAAGAGTTTCGCATTAAGGTGATTTGAGTGATCTCGCACTTAGAGAAATATCTCGTTTCAAAAATTATAGATTGGGATGACAATCTCAGAACAAACGAACAATCTTTAGTTTTTGATACTTGAAGAGATTTCATGACAAGCCAAGAGGGAACTTATTCAGTATTGAGTACTCTTCCATGGGAAAAAAAGTAGCAGCACTTAAGTGGCCCTTTTTTAAAATGAGTGGTACTCATCGTTATGGTTTTGCTAATGTTAAATTAATAGCCTGAGAGGGGAGAGATATTGAATCAAGAGACTCACGAAGGTGGAGAGAGGATGAAGCTAATGGGGCAAGGAATGGGGGGGTTACATCAAGACTTTGCACGAGCCTATTTTATGCTTCTTATGTCTCGTATACCCTCAGAGAAAACAAAGAAAAATGTTATTTTTAGGCAGAGCATCATGTAAAGATCTTTGTCAAATTATCTGTATATTTCCTTAGACGTAATTAATCGGTGTCGTTGTCGTATCACCGGGTATTTTTTTTACTAAATGCGCTGTATTTTGACGAGTCTGGTAGTTAGATCATCAGAGGTAATTATTTTAAGAAGGCTTATTGCAAGTCCTAAAAATAACACATCTTAAGTTCCGCAACTCTAAAACCTTTACATTCGGGGTAGGTATCGTTTCCAATACAAACAAGGATTGGTCTGCTTTTCAGAGGCCGTTTGAGACGGTTTTAAGATCGTAAAAATAGCCCAGAAACCGCGATTTACGTGAGGAAATAAATTTTTTTCAGGAAGACTAATTTCTTTAAATAGCAAGAGTGATCAGTCACTTGAGCGACATGTTTGCTAATTTCAATGATTCACGGTCGCGCCAAGTTTGCGTGTCATTCTCTCGGATTTGAGAAAACCGATAGAAAAACTGACTACATCTCAGATTCCCTGTATATATTGAAAGAATATTTGAAGGCAGAGTTCTTGCCTCAAGGTGAAGAATTCAAGATTGATCGTTCTCTTTTGGCGACGGTTCGTTTTAACTTATCGGTGAAATGATAATGAGATCTCACCTGGTTTTATGGTAAAGCAATCAAATTTTTTTTTCCGGTTCGGACCAGGCCTTAGTCAGAACTTAGAGTAGAAGTTCGAAACGTTTACATATTGTATTCCAAACATCTTCCACTCGCTGTTCTTTAACAATACCGAATATTGGCGCGATATAGCTAATACCGTCGATTTTCCAATTAAAACGAGTAGCATCATCTTATATTACGATATGCCGCATTCTGTAAGAGTCTTGCGTGTCTGACCCATGTTGGTGGTCGTATAAATGATGCTAGGACATGCGGTAAAGGAAAACATGTACTTCTTTCGGCTAAAGCTTTGTATCTCATTTCATAATCATGTATTTTGATATGAGAAAAGCTCATTTGCGTTTACCCTCAACTCGTATTTAAATACACTTCCACATTGCCATAGTTAAGTTGATAGAGCTTGTCGGTTAATACTCTTAAAATATAATCATTCTAAGAGGATAGTGTTCCTGCCTCAGCGCTTGGAAAGAACCAAAAATGGCAAACAACATAATTAATTACAGTTCCACAAAGATTTTGAAGTACCACTTTTATGTGTAAATATACTCTCCCGCATGGTGACCTTTTCCTGGGTTGAGGCGACTGATTCCCCTCCACAAGAGCAAAAAGGGAAAAAAGAACCGATGTTGGACTAATTAAGGATATAAATAAAGCAGTAACAACAGTAAGAATACTGTTCACCGATATAAATCTGCTGTTGAACCAATATTGGTTGAGGAGTTTGGAATCGTTACATCCAGGGGTCCTGAATCAGCACATTTAGTCCAGAGGGTCTTAAAACCTGCTCTTTTCCTCCACGGCTATATGTCATCTTTAAGTAATTTCTTCTGTTATGTCTATATATTTGAGTGGCGTGATTTACATTAAGGAATGGTCTTAATTTTTCCATCTGATTTCCCTATATGGGGCTATGCCCAGATGTTGCTAATAATGTTGATAGTGACCCGCATTTAAATGGCGACATGGAAAGCCCTCAAGGGGTGTTTTCCTTTTTTTAAATTTCCCAGCACGATGGGAAATTAGCAATATCAACACGTAGCTTTCATGTAAAATTCTTAAATAATGTAGTGTATCACACATCAAAATTTCTTTGTCCACCGGCCGAAATAATAAGGACGAAGTTCGCGACATCTGGAATGAAAATCTCTTTTTTCTATCAAGCAATTTTGGTGCCGGATTTATGCTTTTACGTTAAAAAAAGTAGAAACAACAACGAAAAACTACTGGAAAGCAACAACAACAAATAAAAGAAGAAAAGAAAAACCACAAACTTCGTATCTATTGTTTGTTTTTGTGTCAAATAGTTCATCCGTGCAATATACATAATCATCTGATCGAAGTTCAAGTTTCCTGTTGACAACTCCAGCCACAAATCTGTCCACACCCCACGAATATAGTAAAGAAACACAACGCGCTTCATATCGTCGCCGAAGCATGACCAGCATCTAACTTCTCCTTACAGTAACACGACTGAATCATTTAAGATCATGAGAATATAGGAAATGATCACCAACATGAGAAGCTTCGATTGTTATGTAAATTCTCCTCATAAGTAACAAAGGAAATGTTTAGAGAAGAGATTGGGGAATATGGATATTGATGTTAGAATGTTGGTTGCGTCTCTCTCTAATTGGGTTGTCGAATGATAGAGTCAGAAATTTTACGAAGGCTAAGACAAAGAAAAAAAAAACGGCCCTGATATCTTTGACAGAATTTGCCTTTCTGCCAACGTTATCAGTTCTGAGACACCAACAATGGTTGATTAGAAAGATAGGGCAGCTACATTCCCGTTCGTTGCTGTCCACTTTGACGATGTTATTGTCAAGTAATTCCATTAAATTATGTACTTTTATTAAAGATAAAGTTCCACATCAGTACCTTAGATTTGCTGTATAATATTTATCAGCAAAATGATTTAAAAACCAAGCCCGCTCGCACATCTCGGTGGTAAAATAGTTAACGTTCTACACCGTAGCTACATGATTTAAGTGCTAAAAACTAAAAAAAATTAACTTAAATTTTTTTTCTTCAAGACAGGTCTATTCCGGCTCCTCCTTGATCTCGATAGACAAAGACGGCCTGTTCTTAAAATTAAACCCGTGTCGCTGTCTACTTTGAAGTTTTGACCGCAAGTCTAAAGTGGGTTTTTCAGTCCGGACTTCCATTTTATTTTCTTTCTTCTCAATTCTTCCTTTCCATTTATCCCTCTTTTCTCTTCTGTCGTCGTCCTCGTCACTTTCGCTGTCGTCATCTTCGATAGCATCAGCGTGCATGCGCATGCGTAGATTTCCCGGTTCATTCCTTTCCGGCTGACCGTCGTTGTTGACGACAATCTTAAGCGGAGGTTCGTCGATATCCATTTTTTCTTCTTTTTCAGTATCAATCTTGTCGAGGAAGACAACTTCTGGACCACCTGAATACATGTGCTTCACTCGCTCCTGTTCTTTCAATAATTTCCTCTTTCTGGAAAAAAGAAAGTGTAAAGAGTGCTGGATTGAGTTTCGAAAGATAAGTAATCCAAAAGTGTTTGTACGGTTTTCATTTCCTGCGTTCAGCGATTGGTTTAAATGATATGCTACCTCCTCCATCAATCATAGCGGAGCTCGCAGAGCGCAGCCTCATAATTATACAAAATAGTAGTGGCCCATCAAGCCGAAAAAATTTGGATGTACGACCATACGACCGACCGTATAAGGTGCCACTTTTAGCATGCGCGGCCAACTGTACCATGGGCACTATCTTATAATCAGTCCTCTACACGGACACGCAGAAGTTGCGAATGAAAATCCATTAATATTACCACGCACTTTATCCATAGTAGGGGCTTTAGTTTTATTGAAGAGACGTGCGGGGAAAAAAAATGCGAGCTCCGCTTTTAGGCTTGCCTAAATCTCTATATCATGTAAAACCGCTTTGGTCGCACTCCTTTTGCCCACCATTTTGCCACAACTGGCGCTTGTCACGTGCATCTGTTTTGAGCTTTGATTGGTTCCTCGAGTTAAAGCTTATTCTGATAGGCTAATGAAGTCGCTTGTAGCTTCTACTAGTAACCTTAAGAAATTAATCACCTTGATGAACTGACGATGCCTTTTCTTCTGCCTGAAAAAAGGAGAAGATGAAACGATATTCATGTGTCTTTCAACAAACTTTACCAACAACATAAAAATCAAACAACTTTACGAAAGCAAATCACATAAAAATGATGGTCATTCAAATAACAAGGCAACTGTTTCTAACTCTGTTTAAGCAAAACTCTTAATTAGGGAAGAGGGACGAGAGAACGGAACATAGCGACAGAGTAAGCCTCAGAATAAGAGGATATCCACCTTGTCCAGTGTCGTTTGCTTTACCATTGATTAAGTAATACATGCTTCTTCCGGCTGCCCCTGGTAGTTTCTTGTCCTCTAAAACATTTCAAAATGACATAAAATGAGTATCACGAAACCTTGACCTTTTCACGTGCTGTTAAAAACTGCGCCAGGTTATTCAAAACAGGATTAAGCAAAGCCGGGGTTAGAGGAGGATCTTTAATTTAAGCCAGGTGTGAAGACCGGCGAGTCTGGCGAATGTTAGCTTGAATTGTCGCAAGTATTGCAAAAGTTGTATATGGTCTCGAAATTTTGTCTTCCAAACGCAAATATAACACAAGTGCAAGAAACAATACAGGAAATGGTAAGATTTTCAATGCCTTGCATTAGCGCTTGGGTTTGAATATGCATTAAACGTGTCAACCACACTAATGTAAGCGTGCGATGAACAACCCGGCTCTGTTTGTCGTTCTAGTTCAATGCCGAAAACAGTTCAGCCAGCCATGGTCTGCGAAAAAAGAGTAAGACGTACTTTAAATCACCAATACAAGCAACCTACTTTTCGTTGCCAATCGTAAGAGGAGACATTTAGCTTTGGGATGAGGAGGGCCTATCTTCCATCTGACTTCCACAGCGTCACTGATATCCTCATCTACTTAATATCAAACGGTAAATAATGGTTAGGTGGCAAAAAAGAGTAACTTTCAATTGGGTGTCGAAAATAATGCGGAAAAGATGTGGCTTTGCTTTTTGTCATTCTGATTAGTCTAGAAAACTTGCGTTCATCTATCAAACAATCAGACGCAAGACTAAAATCAAACCGGACTTTGACGACTGCGTTTTCCCGCGCTTTTGATTGTTAGCTTGTTTGTTCTGTGAATTCTGATTGGCAGCTAATGATATTCTCTTTTTTTCTCATTGGCCGGTATGAGAACTATAATCTAGCATTTATAAAACTCAATTCAAAAGCGCTCTAGTTATTAGAACACTATAGAATTTGGCCTTTTTTGGAAAGGTTTGGGTCCTCTAAGAAAAATCCCAGCGCACTCAAACAGTCTCGCATTTTGACTAAAACTTTACAAAACAAGTGGGTAAGAAAATTACCCAAGGCCAAGATGACAGTCCAAGATAGTCACAGTTCAAGAAATATCAGAGAATTCATCATATTCTGAATCATCCAAAGCAACCTAACAAACAAAAGTGTTTATGTTGAGAACTACCATTAACTTTTTTAAAACCTGCAATTGATCTTCAGAGTATCCCTTGTTTTTATAAAGAGATCAGAGTTTTTTATCACAAGGCATAAAATTTAAGAGGAAAACTGTTTCTTTGAGTAAATGCATTTGAGAATTCACCTGTTGGGTTTTCTAATTGTTTTCCGACTGCCATCAAAACTCTAGAAGCAGTGAATTCATCATCCCAGACTACATTACCTACAAATAAAAGAAAAAAATTTTGAGGAAAAGGATTTAAAAATAAATATCCTGGTTAAATTTCACAGAACTGCATAGTATCTTGTAGGACAACCAAGCTTAAACAACTACTTTTCGAAGCTGGAGAAACTTTGACGCTGCAGAAAAGGTTGGGAATCAATTTTCTACAGTGATTTTGCAGCAACAGCTTCTACATTAAGGTGTGTTCTTGAGGGAATGGTGCCTCCTTTCACCAAAAAATTACACTCAGTGTTCCTATCAGCTATGTAGGCTTGCAATGTTAAGTTGATGTGCACTGCAGGGGCAAATCTAAGAGGTGAGTGTAGGCACCCCCCCTTCTCCGCATCAAGGTTAAACAAAATCTGCTGTATCATTAGCTTTGCATTCTCAGCAGTTTGTAATATGTTATTGCTGAGTCATAAGCCTCCTTCTTCATCATTCCCTTTCAAAATTTGTTTACATTACACATCCTCGGTGGTGCACCTCCTACAAAAAAAAACCTGGATCTGCCCCTGCAGTGCACTTGGCTGTCAATATACTTGAAAAAAGAAAGCAGAAAGATATAGTGGGTGGCCAGGTTATCATGGAAGCCACATTGTTTTATCAGATTACACCTTAAGCTAAGAACTGTTCAGCTAAGATGTTCTGAGCATTCCAGTAATTTTTCACAAACCTTCCAGCAAATTTTGAAGGTGGAACTGACCAACTAACACTTTTAAAACTGCTTAAAGTAAATCACATCCATATAATTTCACTTAAGAATTGGGAAATGGCTATCCTAAAAATTTCTCCAATGGTATTTCAAAAATTGTATGGTTTGTTTGCAAAATGAGGTGAAAGTAGCTGGCTAAAGGTAACAGATATGCCAGCAGTTTTGGCTGACTGCTTACTCTTATTAACAGCTCTGGCAGTGTAGAGTAGACAACACTTTCCTCTTAGAACAATAGAAAAGCTATGGTTGTGTTATTTGCATCAGTGTCTGGCTTCAGCAAATAATCCAAACCTCAGCCTACATAATTCTCATCCATTAATCACTGTCATTTGTTAGATTACTGAGATCAAGGACTTACATGAAGAATCATCAATCCATTCTACAGACCCAGGGGCAAAGTCTCTGAAATATGCAAACACATCCTCTGTGCTCATCTCATTCACACCATGAATAAGAATGGCATCTGATCTGGTCTCACCTTCAAACAAAGAGCCAGTGTCAAGCACACAACATGAAATATGATTTGCATAATAAATAGAAGCACCTTTCACATGAATGCTGAAAGGAATACATATTAATTGATTTGCTTTTTTTGTGACCAATGTGAGCAAATGACTCCTGATCCTTCAACCATGCTTTAGCCTCCATGCTTATGGCTGTTTTCATGTAGTCACACAGTTTCCCACCATTTCCTTCATAACTGGACCTTTGTCATGTCTAGACCTTAGGTTAGGATTAAGATACTCAATCAAAAAGCACTCTATTCAAAAGAATACTACCAAGTACTACTGAGATATCAATACATGTTATTAATTCTGAAAAAAGTTCAGACTTTTTTAATGTTAAATACTTCATGGGCAATTGATATGGGGAGAAAGATCCTACTGGTTTGTTGATTAAAAAAAAGGGACTATGAAGAAACAGCTTTAACCCTTTATACCCTAACATCAGTATGCATATTCTCCATACTGTTCTCTGAACATTTCCTAAGATGCCAACATGGAGAATTTGCCTAACAATCAAGAGCTTCTTTAGTCCGTGATCAACTCCTTTATTCTCCTGACTTAAAGGTTTGATTCAGGGGTGATATAGTAAGGAGAAATTAGAGGCCAGTCACTCTTAAGGGTTAAAGGGTCAATTTACCATCAGTAATGGCAGGTAACTCTTTGGGATCAACAGATGGCAGTCTGAAAAAAAAAAAAAAAAAAAAAATAGCCAATTACAAATAACCAAAAAACTCTGTGAAAAAAAAACATGAAGTACCGTTAAATAAGAGGTTACTACATGGAAAACGCAATAAATATAACAACAAATCTGAAAGTGAAAAGGCACATGCAAGAAGTGGTGCTGTATTACTAACATTATAAACCAATGCTGTGCATTTCAAGACAGATCAACAGCAAAGATGAGCTGTTAATTGACAGCTATGTCAGTACTTCCATTTGAAACATTTCCCAGGAGTAATGAAAAAACAGAGTGGAAGACTCAGGATTCTGCCTGGAATATATCAATTCTATTACAGCTATGAAGAGCAAAATAGAAGTCTGTTTCCCTACATGTCTGCATTGTAAATTCTCCCCAAGGAAATTTCCCTTCTTCTCAAGGCTACTCTTTAAATTGACAACATGGAAAACACATGTCCACTCATGAAACTATCTATAAATAATTATAGTGTAAATGAGCTATCCCAGAGCTTAGAACAGGAGCCCCCCTCTCTATTTCCTTGTGTGCTTTTCATTGCTTCTAAACATGGTCTCCACAGCAGCTGTAATTTATGCTTTTCATGCAACTTTCTCCCTCCCCCTCTCTCACTCTCTCCCCTCCACTAGCCCTACCCCAAAACAATTGTAAAAGACAGAATGGACAGGTGAAGAGGGTGAGATTTTAGTGTATAAAGAGCCTTAATGACCGTAGGAAAGGAGACTTAACCGGTTTACCCCCAGATCTAATCAGAAATTCTCCTTACTGTCTGCCAAACAATTCTTATAATGTTTGTTCTAAGAATTTGATACTGGATAAACTACTAATCCCCTAATTGACATTTTTCTTAATTCCCAGTGCTTGTCTCCTTCAGATACTGTATTGATATTGTAAGGAGAAATCCTGCCTTGGTCACTTATCAGAGTTAAAGGATTAAGAATCATATACTTCTCTGAGTTAATACACCTACACTGTATCTGGGTCATCCTCAGAATGACTGTCATCCTTTTCTGTGTCTTTCTGTTTTGCCTGAAGGCCAAATCTTTTTGCCCTTCTTTCTTTCCTCTCCTGTGCTTCCTGTGAACCAAAGAGAACAACATTTGTATGATGAAAATGAAAGGTGACAAATTTAAAAAGTATTGCTACTGACAGTAACTGCAAATAGACAGAAGGTTGGTTGCTTTACTCAGAATATTCCATATAGTTTTCACACCTGCTCACTGGTACACATTTTGTTCACTATCATGGTTGAGAGAAGCACCATTTGAGTTAACAATCTTTCTTAAAAACAAAACACGAAAAAAACCTTGCCAGGGTGCACACCCAGACATCACAATCCTCCACGCAAGCCTACACAATTGGCAATGGCTACCAATCAAAAAGGTGGTTGATAACTCCTGAAGTTTTAATGCAAGTAGCAGGAGATTTTGCAGCCTATATCCACCACAAACGACATCAGATGTAACGAACCTTTCCCTGTATATCACATAACGTTTACTTTCGTGTTATAAATTGTGAGGTGTATGTCTGTATTTGAAGGCATGTGATATATAAATAAAATCACCATTGGGCTCGAAAAAAAGGTCCAAGAAAAATAGAAAAATGGCCAGTTTTTTAGGAGAATTTTAAGAAATAGATATTCAGTGGCTGGCTTTAAAATCTAAGGAGATCAGAAATGTCAAATGCTAAATGTCACATGGATTAAATTTAACGAATTTCGTTGAAGTAACTTGAGGCCATGGTACTGTAGCTAAATTCTTGGTTGATCAAAACTTCTTGGAGTTTAATAGGAATAAATCCAAACATTTCAAGTTACAAGGTAACAGGAAATCAGTTCCATTGCGACTGAAATTATAATTTAAACACTTTATAACGATATGAGTACCTTCGAAGTTACATCAAATCCTGTCACGAAACACCCAGACTTATTTTCATATCTTCTTTCCTATACGTGCAAAATTCATGGAAAAAAATAATTACATGTTTTTATAGATAATAATTATAGTTAAATTAGTAAATATCCTTCATACTTACAAAGTAAAATGGTAAATCTTTCTCCTCTTTGTCGCTATCATCAGCAGGAATTTCAACTCTCAACTCCTCAAACTCCATCTTGAATTAAACTTGTACTCAGACTTCCTCTTTAAGTAAAACATGGTATAGGTCCGCTTTGTGTCCAGGAGGAGCTTCTGTGCTTCAGACTTTTGAGAACTGACTTGAAGTTGAAGAGGGAACAAGGAAGAAAATAGAATAAAGTCTAGAATAAAAGAAGAAGTTTAAAAGGTTGTTTTAAATTATTTAGAAGAGGTCTTAGAAAGGATCACAAGAAAGGCCTCGCAAGAGAAGTCATTAGAATTACCGGGCTCTTACGTAATCAATGCTATCCTTGGTTGCTCAGTCGGGAAGTCAAGCGCTTTTGTCCAGTATGGTTCGGATGGTAAGCTGCATCACGAGAACCTCTCGAGAGGCTACGTATGGCAGCTTAATAAAAGCGTGACAGCTCCTTGCTACAATATAAACCATATCCTAACAAGGAAAACTTCCAATTGGTTTATTTAAAAAAGAAAACTTCAAATGCGGCAGAGCTAGTCGTATAGGCCACTTCGGAAGTTCAAAGTATATCAGGTCAGTTTCGACCCACATCATGATCAACCTAGGGAAGAGCTGCGCATGTTGACAGACGGTTACGGAGTATATAGGGCTGAAGGAGGGGGTCTTAATACAGAAACGTATAAGGTACGTAATAGATCTTTAAACCACAGATGCGCGCTTTGACAAGGTAAAAGACTTTTCTTTCTCGTATTTTCATCAAGATAAGTCGAATTTCAGGATTTATTTTGTAAAAGAGAAATTTATTACAGAAAGACGACGATATTTTGGTTTTTCTCTCTTAGAAATACAGGGATGGAGAAAGATGAGTTAGACTTTTCACAATATCTAAATGTAAATGCTTGATGTAAGATATGTAAACTGCGAGTGAATAGTACAGATTCGAAGCCTCAGTACTTTAAGTATTGAGAGTATGGTCGAACCTGCATTAAGCGGCACCGTATTAAGCGGTCACCATGTATTAATCGGTTCGGTTGTAATAGTCTCGAACTTTTCTACTTAATTAACTTTATCATTATGCGGTCGTGGTTACCCTTAACTGAGACCCAACGGCTTATTTGTATTGTTTTCCACCTGAATTGAACGGTCACTTAGGGTGGAACCACACAAATAAAACTAAGAATAATATCTCAGGTCAATATATTCCATGTTTATCTCCCGAAATTCAATGTTAGTAGTAAGTTTGAGCGAGTGTTTGTACACTAAGTGGTTAATTATGGAATGAAACGACGTTTTTTTTTTTTTAAAATAACCCAATTCTGTGAAACCTGTATTAAGCGTTCAACCTGAATTTAGCGGTCGCCCCATCACTCCTCGCGGGTGAACGCTGGATACATGTTCGACTGTATCACGTGAAGTACCGTTTTTCAGTCACTTGCACTGAGTGCTTGAATTACAAAATTCACGTCTTCTTGTCGTTTGATAAGAAGGCTGATCTCTGAACTAATCATAACTTGGCTATACCGGCGCGTTTTCTCACGCACCAGGCAACATTGAGATGGGAGAGAGGGAGAGATAAATGAGAGATATAAAAGGTTCAAAAAAGTACTAGAGCGTGCCAAGAGTTTTGTCACACATTGTAGTATATAAGTGCTTTACTCGAATTGAGTCTAAGATGAGAACATGGATGCAGAAAACGTGTTTCCTCGGATGTTAGTCTTACATCTCATGCCTAGGTATAGCTAGCGTGGCAGACGTTACCGATGTAGGTCACATCCACACGCCGCCCGTAATCCTTCTTAATCACGAATCTCAATTTAACGCTGCACTCTGGATACTTGCACTCAGCCCCTCCCCTGAAAAACACGGACGAGTGCATCTTACGCGAGTTTTCCGATCTCACGTGATTATTCTTGAAACGCAAACTGCACCATGGGTTGCTTTCCTTCACTTTGTTAAGGAAAATGCGGGTCCAGTCTCCGCTCAGTAGACGGCCACCGCTTGGAAATGACTTAATTGGCATCTTGGCCCAATCTTCCTCTGTCAGCTTGAATTTCGCAGTCGTGCCGTCCATGTTCACTCGAAAGAACGTTTCTTGTAAGTCCTCATCATCTTTGTCTTCTTCAGAAAGATCGGATTCCTAAATGAAAGAAACATAATTTGACATTGGCATTACTCTAATAATTGTGGGAAAAAAAACCTTTAGCAAACTGCACTTACGACCAAGATCTTTCTGCGTTTTCGCTTGTCGACGAGGGATCATGAAATGCAGACCCAAGGGGGGAGGGGAAAATCGTGTCAAAGAAGTTTAAAGACTTGTGTGTAGCTGCACAATAAAGGCTGACCTTCTTATGGGAATTTCACATTAAAACTTTGCCAAAAAGAGCGCAACATAGACTTAGTTAGTGAGTTGAAAACTAAAGCCAGTGATATTCAGGATAACCTAAAGAGCGCAATTATAAAATACACTGTTATACAAATACAGTTTGCATTACGTTTTCCAGAGGCCTTTTTATCGGTGATGGCCATTTCTGATTTCCTGCTGCAAAATGGTTGGATGTTTTCTTTGTCTCCTCGACCTGATTGTGAATTAAAATAAAAAAAAATTAAAATCTTGCAGCTCGTTATTTTTAATATGGTGGCCGAAGACTATCTTATCACTCTGTATACTGATTCTCAAAGAGGACCGGTGTCACTGAACCACATCCTGCATCTCATCATCCAGTCCCGCACCCACCTGTTTGCTATGGAGACAGCAGAAAGTGTGGCAGAATCTTGCCCTCCCTTAGCTTTGATCGCACCTTGTGAAGTGACTGATTTGATGCATTTTTGTCTTCCATCATAAGTTAATGCGCATTGCTTGAATTGCGAGTAATATTGGTCAACAGTTCAGTTGATTGACACCATAAGAAGCATGACACAATTTAGCTGATTAAAAGTCAAACTCGATCGCGGGATAACGCTTCAAATTGAAGACGATAAAAACTTGTCAACGCCTGATGCTGAATTTAAAACGTTTTCCAATGAGCGTGTCTACAGTTGATACTTAAATCAATCCTACCTCTCTCCTTTGAGGAAGCATGATGACCGATGTTCGTGTGTTTTGTATGCCAGGGGTTGTTGGAGGAGACGTCGTTTGTGGTTGGCTCGCTACAACGCAGTGACAACGAGGGCAAGTCCTGGTGAATCCTCTTTCATTGACAGTCGTTTGTTGAGAATTAAAGGGAAGATCCTTGGATCGAATCCTTCCATCGGAGCTTGTTTGGTAAATGAAATTGCTCCCTCCTTCACTGCCTTTCTCGTATACCTGGCTGGCTAATTCTCCTTGGAACGTAGCGTGGTAGAATGGCGCCCCTCCTTGCAACCTAATAGTTTTTTGAGACGAAGTACCAGCTTGGCTGCATGTCTGATTAAGTGGATAGCTCAGTATCGGCTGAGTGAACTGCGAGTTTTCTTTGTGTGTCACCTGATGAAAATTTCTTTCCTCAACATCGTAATTTATTCGTTTGAGATCAGCCCTGGTAGCATGTGTCACCTCGGGACTTTCCGTTTCACCAGATTGAATGCCGTTCCGATCCTTTTTCCCTTTTTCATAAGTCGTATGAGAAGACATCATTCCATTTGGATCTTTCTGCCTAGGATTACCCAAATGATAGTAGGGATTTCTATCCCCAGAGAAGTCCATAGCGTTAGTTGGAATACCCTTGGGATTCGTTCCCCTCGGATCGACTGAATGGCGATCGGGAATCATATTGGTAGAGGTTGTTGGATGAGAATGAAAGGAATGGCTAACAGGTGACCGTATGGTAATGTCCACATCGTAAGATGGGATACCCGTAAGATTCGTTTCCCTTGGATCAGCTATGGGGTTGTATGAATTAATTTCCGTAGAATCATTTGGAAGAGACTGAACTAAATTGTTTACTGGTAAACGTAAGTCCACTGCATACGGTTGCATCCCATTTTGAATATCCCTCGGGTTTAACGTGACTTCCCAGGGATTACTATTGGTAGAACTTGAACATGACGTTTGGTTCGTAGCTGTGCTTCTGTAAGGCTCTGGTCCACGAAATCTTCTGCCACTTTTGCCACTATTGAAGTAGCTTGGTTCTTCTAATCGACATGATTGTCCTGCATTTCCAAAATTGCCTCCAAAAGTTTGCATTTCATCTTGAATTTCCGCTCCATATAAGGAAGAAGACTCGTTTAGGTTACTAATTTGATGAGCCGTTGTTGCATTTGAGTAAAATTCCATTTCAGTGATGATTTAACTCGACATCTATCGGCGGAAACGAGTTGGGTTTAAATGTTCATCTGCTTAGGTAACTAACCGCGTGACTGTCTTCGTCAAACAATTTCGGTAGAATGTCTGCAGTTTGAATTTCCTGTATTTGTCATTATAACGTAAATGTAGCGTGAAGGAAAGTTTTCAGCTGAACTAATCCTCGATAGTGTCAGCCTTTTTCAAAAAGTGGAGCCAGATGAAGTCTAAAACAGAAACAAAGAGGAAACCCAAGTTAGGGCTGGTTCATGAAAAGCCGCCTAGGTGCAATCAGTGCGCCAGACCTAATTTGATAAAGTTAGACTTTGGAACGACATTGAATTCAAATCAAATTTCCATAAGTTCAAGTTTTCAAGGTCGACTGAGTAAAAATACTTATCAAAATAGAAATAGAAGCAAACAATGCAGTGAAGCATGTAAATGATCAAATATAAATAGACAGTAATGGGCAAACATTCAGTTCCCGGAATGCGGCCAGCCCAGTGTCTTTCTCACAATGGGCCTTTGTCTAGCTGTAGCCAACAATCCTTGAAAAGAGACGACTTTGTCGTGTTTTTACGTTTAGCCAACTCGAATAATACTTCATTAGAAACTAATTAGATTTACACGTATGGAGCATCGGCGTAAATGGGCTAAAAAGATTTTTTCAAGATTACAACAACCGTTGATTAATTTTTTAAAGATCTTTTTTAGGTAAATATGGCATAAATTAATCTCCGAAATTAGCTCTTCACTCTTCACACTTGTGCCGACAATATCAACACGCTCTCCACTAAAAGAGTAGAGGAGGCGTTATTTTGATATGGAACTGAATTCTCAATTTACAAAGGAATATATAACAGCTGGAAAGGAGAATGCCACTTGAGAACTCTGAGGCTATGGCGATTACAGGATTTGCGTCCACATCCCTGAGCTTCCGCTTGGCTTCACTGCGCGGGAAAATGAGCAACCTCTCTACCACACTAACGTTTGATCGCCAGCCGGAAAGCACTCGAAGAAAGTCCTAGGAAGTGTACACCGTCGAAGCCTTGAAACCCCGACCCTGTCTGACACAAGATCTTTTCATTTCTTCACTCAATCTTAAACAAACATATTCAGGGAGAATACTGAAATGCGATCAACATTATGCATCTCCAAGGCCTGCATCTTTTTCAAGGCTTTCAGTTTGGAAAGGTCCCCTGTTCAAGAGGTTGTATAGTAAAATTGTATACCTTTTTTAACAGTCGAGACCCACAAAATCTTCCACTTTTTGAGAAGTTTGCCTGTTCAGGCCAAATAATAAAAAAGCTAAAAATAGCGAGACTAGAAGATTCTGAGTCAAAACAAAAACCCAAAAGTTTAAAGAGCGCCGCTGGGATAACTTCCGGTTTTTCAATCCAGGTTATCCAATATCATTGCCACCAGAAGGTTTCATTGATTACTGAGATACAATTGTGATTCGTACTCTCGAGTTACTAATTTTAGCCCATGTGATTAACCTGAATTAAAATTAGCACCTTCGAATGGAAATTTGCCGCCTTATACTAAATAGGAATTTGCATAAAATACCACGAGCTAAGAGAGTGGTTGTTTTGAAGTAGTTTTTGTCTTTTTTCTGTTAAACAACCAGGCTCGTGACTAAACCTGTCACGGCGAACATGTAAAGACTTCGCCATTAGTGGCTATTAAATTGTATTTACCGATAGGTCATGGCATGGTACGAATGGAAGCATGCACGAACCTCGTGATTTCAGCCGATTTTGTTAAATGCTAGAACCGCGTAAATGGTTCAACCTGTTATATTACTGTGTGAAAACATGTAAACGATTCCCGGTTGCTGTACAGACCATCTGATTCTTAGTATTTATAATCGTGTTCATGAATTTACCTCCGATAAGTGAAGTTTCCACGAGTGTGTAGCGAGCAGTCTGGAACTGCGTCAAAATCATCAAACTGTGCAAAGATAGACTGATCGCATCAGCTGATGACCATGTGCAATCAAATATAAATCCTTCCTTCCCTAACAGCACCCAAAAAAGTTCAACATCCTAGTTTCACCCAGATCTTACCCAAATTAGGTCAGTACTTTTAAGCTGATGCCATATGAGGAGGAAGGAGCAGTTATAATGAATGTGGATGCCTGATACGTCTACAAAACAAACTGATAATTTAAATGTAGTCGCCGTAAAGTCTAGGGTCTTGTGAAGGAAGATGGGTCAAGATCTAGAAGGCGACACTTTTTGCACATGCTCACGTGACACTGCTGCACAGCACGAAATTTACACGTGCGCGGCACTCATCGTTCGCGCCCCACTCGTCTAAAAGCTAAATCCTCTCACCGTCCCCCCCACCACCACCACCACCACCACCACCTCCACCACCTTCTCCCTTGAGTTTATCGACAGTTGCCTGCGTCTCTGTAGTATAGTATATTCCGACGAGGCAGGAGATGGGTCCTCTGGACTCCACCGATTACCTCCTCCTCCTGGTTACTGTCGACCATTGTCTGCGATTAATTGATGTTACAATTGTTGTCACAATGGTTTTAATTAAGCAGCCGTTTGCATTGTTTCCCATAACGAAACATTGTTGCATGAAATGGAATGAAACAAGCATGACGCCTATGGTTTTATCTGTTGTTGTGAAATGCCCATTATAGCATGAACCTTTCAACTCGTTGTTTTAAAATGTTAAAAAGCTCAAACGATTCTCGGTCCAGGTTTAAACCATCTGATTCTGAGTCAATATAATCTAGTTGATGTATCTACCTCTGATCAGTAAAATTTTCAAAATTGTGTGACCAACAGTCTCTTCTAATATTTGCGTCGAAACATTAATCTGTGTCATCAAAGATCGGCTTTAGAGACTTTGTAATATAAATCCTGTGCGTGTTACTAGCACTTACCAACACTTAACCAGTTCTCCTCAGTTGGAGCTGATTCCTCGAGAGGAATAGGAGATGAGGAGTATGGACACTTAACTTATGCGTTTGCAAAACAAAATAGCTTCGAGCCAGTCACCGTAGATGGCTTATGAAAGAAAATGACTCATGATCTTAAGGTCAACTCACCCAGGCTCGCACGTGCGCACGTGACGCTGTCGTGCTGCTAAAATTTAACACGTGCGCGCGAGACAGCTCTTCGTGTTCGCGCCGCACTCGTTTTAAGGGTAAATCCTCTAGGAGAAGCTCCTTAACTGTTCCCTTCTCCCCTGTTTTTATTGAAAATTGCCTGCGCTTCTTGGTCCAACGTAACCGCTCGAGGCGGATGGGAGGAGGGAGGGGAGGGGAGGTATTAGCCCTTTGGGCTTCACAACTGCTCCGTCAGTTGGATCTCTCCCCAAGCTGCACTTTTGTTGAATCCCTTAAACAGATCCTCTTTGAAATCTTTCATTCACACGAGGTTACTCAGATGTTTCTGACTCCTTGCCCCGTCGACAGTCACTCCATTTGACATAAGGCAAACGCGCCACCTGATTGGCTGCACCGGCATCCTGTAACAGTAAATAAATGGCTTCCCTGAGACGGAGTACTGAACATTGAACACGATGGTTTTTCTACAAGGATCACCATCTCAAAGGGAAAAGGGATTGTGCCGCCTGTAAAACCCGGCTCCAGCTATTTTCATGTGAAGAATCATACCTTGAATACCTCGTCTAAGGATGAAGCCCGCGAAGAACATAAAGTCGTGTGGTAATTCGAGCACCTTTAAAACGCTTTTCTTGATAATTTTAGGACTTGACCTTTTCACTCTTACGATCTCACTAGTAATCCGCCTTACTGTCCACCATAGAATTCGTATAACTTTAGTTCGGAGAATTTGGTATCGGATCAGCTAATAATCCCCTGAATTGATATTTTTTCTCGATTCTCATCTCTTGTCTGTTCAATATTGTATTGATATTGCAAGGAGAAATTCTTTCTTGGTCACTCACGGGAGTCAAAGGGTTAAATTAAACAAAATAACCGCACGCACTACAGGCTCCCGCTCATAGCAATACAAAAGGTTGTTTGACTGCTGAGCACACTTCACAAAGATAAAAAAGTGAAAAAGGCATAAAAAATTTCTCAACATTTGGCCATCTGGCTAGTTTCTCCATACATGATAATGGAATACTGATATAACAAGATTAAATAAGTAGAGCAGATGACATAACATTACTTATTTCGATTATTACCACATGATGTGCCAAGTCTGATCTAAATAGCATTCAGGGCCACAAAAAAAAAAAACAAACAAAAAAAAAAAAAAAGACAAAAAAAAAAAAAAGATGAAATTCCAGCACGTCTGACCTGACGCTGCATTGATTTTTAGCTTGTCTTGGAATTGAGCCTGTTTGAAAATGAGCAACAAAAAGTTGGTTGCTTGGAAGCTAAATGTGTCTTGTTTTCTTTACCTTGAAAATTATCCAACAAAGCAGGTTATTTAAAACATTTTCTTTGACCAGCTCATATACAATGCAAACTCACATTTATGAAACCTACTATAGAAAATGTAAATTTTTATCAGCCAATCAAGAACCTTACAGTCTGGTCTCTCACGAGACATCCAAACTTCATGAACCACTTTAAAAAAAATTGTTTATTATTTTGCAAGCTCTCCCAGTGCATGGGAGTTTGAGTTGAATTTTTGTATAAATTAAAGTAGGTAAACAACAGTTTTTAGCTTACAGCATGCTGCTCCACCAGCAGATAAATGAACAAACCACATATGGCTCACACCAGTATTTACAACAATGTTTAATAGAAAAATTGAAAATTAGTTTTTTTCCAGTCATATCAAAGAACAGTAAAAAAAATTGTTTATTACTTTGCAAGCTCTCCCAGTGCATGGGAGTTTGAGTTGAATTTTTGTATAAATTAAAGTAGGTAAACAACAGTTTTTAGCTTACAGCATGCTGCTTCACCAGCAGATAAATGAACAAACCACATATGGCTCACACCAGCATTTACAACAATGTTTAATAGAAAAATTGAAAATTAGTTTTTTTCCAGTCATATCAAAGAACAGTAAAGAATAGGAAATACCTAACATGTAATATCAAGTAAATTGGAAGATCAAAAATAAAACAGTGACAGTAACAACAACAGAAAAAAAAGAAAGAAAGAAAAACAACAACAAAGAGATAATTGAAAAATCAAGAACTATAACTTCTTGCTAATTGAGCATGGGGTGGTACTGGGGAATATTGGCCTGAGGTCATGGCAGTACGGACCAAACGCAGCAAGGTCAGTACAAAAACATACTGAGGTCTAATATTCCCCAGTACAGCTTAAGGAAGTGAGGTTAGTGGGTAGTTTATTACATGGCAATCAAACCAAACTTGTTTATTTTTGGTAATTTAGCGTTAGCAGCTGAGTTGAAAACATAAATTGGCCACCGTAAAGAGTAAAAAAGCTGATGTTTCAAGCATTAGCCCTTTGATTTGCCATCTTTTGTAACCAAAAATACATGGCTAATGACAATTTCCATGGAAATAGTCCTTATGGTAAAAATACTGACCTACTAAGAACCAATCAGAATTAACCTCTGGACTACCTTGCCATATAATAAATCTTGCCACTGCAGAACAAGTGGATGAACTGGATTCCTTGATGGTATTGATATCTCATATATGATATCACCTTGGGTGAAGTAAATAATAAATAATAATTCCTGCACCAAAAAGCCCTACTTTTTAAAATACAAGTACTTAGTAAAAAAGTTTTTAATCATGCAACAAGTAAATACTTTTTTAATAACATGTCAACTATATTCTGTAAAAGGAAATCTTGACTGATAAACAAATCATTTCATTTGGAAAATGTCTTCTGGGCATTTTAACAACTTATTTTCTGGCCACTGTCTTTAAATGGTGCTTACCAGCAGTGTAAAAATTCTCAAATAACAACAAATTTTACTTTTCCTAATGAAAACATCAAAACAAATATTGAAACCCTGATGCTCTCTACCATCGAAAAAAGCTTTCTTCTCAAAGCAAGTTAAAGCAACATGATAAAAAGAACTTCACCAAATTACCATGACAGTTCACAAACAACAGATTATATAACTCAAAGTACTTGCAACCAATGTCTAAATCCCTTTTTATGACCAAGCAACTAGAGGCAAAACAGACTCCATTCTTGTTGACACAATACCACCACAAAAAAAAAATCAAACCCAAAACTAAGAAAATTGGATATAATTAAACAAATTTAAAAAATATTACTATTCTTAAAACTGAAAACAATTCTTGCTTATTTTTTCTAGCAGCTGAACACAGCACAAGAAAGAAAACAAGAGAACCTGTTTTATGCAACCTAAAATGGCTGCTCACAAAATGAATCGACCATTGACCCACTTGGCTGTGAGTGGGTAACTAACAAGTACCACACAACAGGGAATAAGGATAAAATCACTGTATGCATCTGTCAAAGTACCCCATATGTCATATCTGTAACCATTGTGGTTCAATTTTATCTCTAGGACACAATAACCTAATGGTTGCCTTGCTGAACTCCAGATCAAAAGTATGGATTCATTTTCCCACCAAAGCCACATTCCCTTTTTCTTGGGGAAGATACTTCATCCATAACAATAATGAATGAGTATAAAAAAAATATAATGGGAACCATGTTAAAATGCATAGGGGGGTGGTTAACCTGTGGTAACCACAAAACCCATCCAGGGGAAGTAATAATTCTCCTTGTCATTATATGATGTAAAAACTGGAAACTGCACCTCATCTTTTCAAGTTTCTCTCTGGTATCAGTGAATATGTGCATTTGTAATGAAGGAAGAATAAACCAAAGATAAAACTGAACCTCCTTACAATCATGCCTCTTTGCAGCAGGGGATGTTGCTTGCCTACCAAAGCCCATGGACAGATGGATGACTATGTTCATCAATCAAGATTCCGATGAAATTACAGCAAAGCTACATTCAGTGATATTCTATCTAAAGATACAAAGGTTAAGCTTTAAACACATGCACAATCCTAGAAATATGTTGTCGACAAATTGGACAGTCTGAGATCTGCTTGCCGCAGTTTGTACAAGTGACCATGTGACCACACTCAAGTAGAACACAATCTATTCCATTATCCATACAAATCTTACACTGGTCCTCACTATCATCATAATCAGGTGTCATTGTACCTGACAAAAAAAAAAAAGAAGGAAGGAAACAAAGCAGTTAGGAAAATACATTCTGAAGTTGACATACTTGAATTTACATACATGTGTAGTTATTAAATACATTTTACAACTTGGATTCATGTTTATAGGTTTTCATGAGACCACAGCAGCTTGTTTGAGTGCTGTTCTAGGTGGGTCGTTAGTTAGAAGTAAAACTATTTCACAAGCGTTCATAAATTACTTATAATTTAATAATATTGTTGATAGGACAAATTTACCGTAACAGAGGAAATCAATGTACAATATCCTCATTATAGGGACTAGAACTACAAAATAACCCATGGACTAACATTTAGGATATAACATTTTGGCTCCTTAAAAAACTTGCTAAAATCAGTTTAAAAAGTTAATCGAAGCTTGACCTTCTGAATGATTTGTTGAGTGTTAAAAAAAGAGTCTAAAGTGAGAACGTCAAAGACTTTTATTTTTATTTGACTTTGGAACCACTGTACAGTACTTGCACCCTTAAATTATTTATATTCCTTTTGCAAGCATTTCTTTAGGTCTTAGAACAAAATGACAAAGCTATTCACCAGCCAGGGTTGGTTGGTATTGGGAAAAACTGAGCCCATCTGTGCTCTGCGAGACATCTGGCACAGTTTTTCCCAAAAAAGACCTCCTGGCTTGTGCATAGGAATAACTTATGTTTATCCTGACAGCTGACATGGCAGACTTTGGAACAATTGTAATTGCAAATAAGAACTGACGGCTGGCAAACTTTGTTTATGGTAAGGGAACGTTTTTGACTCAGTCATTTATAAGGCACTTTAATTTTAGCAACGTTCATGTTTTAATTAAACAATTCTGAAATAAGACAGTGCAATTAACGAGTCTTGTACTGCTTGTTATTCCATATCAACACCTTCAAAAAGTAATCACAAGATGTTTGTAACAGTGATGAAGATGTAGCTGTGCCTGCTGTTTCTAGACTTATCAAGTTTTCTCTTCATTCTTTTGAAACATGATTACTTGCGAACCCTCTTTCCACAAAAACAAACAAGAAATGTTGCCCAAAAAAATCCTTTCAGAGAAATGTACATGATCTTGGTACTTACTTTTCTTTTTGATATATTCTTGTTTAGAATTCCAGAGGGTTCTAACTCGCTCTAAGAGCTCTTCCTTTTCACAGCAGCCCGTGAAGTCCACAAAATTTGCCCTAAGAATACACTTGAGTTCTTTCACAGAAAGCTCTTGCACTTCATCTACATTCTTGATTTCACTCAGACTCTTATTCAGAGAGGCAGGTGGTGCAGAGGGGGGAACCTTGACAATAAAGAAGAACAATAAATTAAGGGCTCCTCATAATCATCTTGCTTGATGAACACTTAACCCTTTACACCCTAACATCAGTATCCATATTCTCCACACTCTCCACACTCTCGTCTATACATTTCTTTTGGTACTGACAAGGAGAATTTGTTAAACAATCAAGGGCTTATTTGTGACCTTAATGTTTCTCCCAGGGGTGATATTGCAAACCAGATGCTAATCACCTTTAGGAGTTGATGGGTTAAAGAAGGCTATCAAAGACAAAATTGGAGAAGACATCCTCAGTGTTCTCCAGAAGCAATGGTGTCCAGTAATGTCACTGGCTACTCCTATCTTCAAGAGTTTTTCTTTATTTATGGCTGGCCTATTAAAACTCCCTGCCAGAGAACACTGCATCAAGCCAGTAAATTACTTTGAATAAAAAAAGGAATAAAAAAAAACCCTTTGTGCCATGTCACTTTAAATTATTAGTAATATCCTGGCTATAAATAATGATACAGACCTGAACGGGCCGAGTTCTTTGAGATGGTTGAGAATGCGAACTCCTTGGCTGACCTAGCCGTGTGTAAATGGCATCTGGTGCATGAGGATGTGAAGGATTTGTCTGTGATGGTTGCCTTCCTTGTTGAGGCTGAGCCGCAGTAGATGAGGGAGCTGTATTTGTTCCTCCCTCTACATGCCGTAATATTAATTCTACAAGGTCATGCTTCTCTCTACAATGATTCATGGAGATTTGTTTAGACCTTAAATATTCTTGGAGGTCTTTGACTTTCAACCTTATCAGGTGATCTCTGTATGCAATTGGGGATTGAAGGGCTCTACAGGTGAGGCAGTGTCTGCTATTCTCTCCTGGAATAAATTTAAGTTCTCTTGAAAAGCAGTCATTGCAGTAGTGTCTTTTACAGTTTCGACATAGATTCTGAAATAAAATGATGAACAGTATGAAATAAGAGATGAATCAAGTCTTTCCATGCTTGTTAAAGGACATATCAAAATGGTGTCAGCCAGAAATAAACTACAAATCCTTAGAAAGAAAAAGAACAATGTCAGCTAAGATTGGCAATCACATTGGTGATGCTTTGTAACATCTTACTGTTACCCTCTGCAGTCATCAAAGTTAAGGTCCAAAAGACATATTCTGAGTGGTTCACTTATCATCTAACAATGGTAACAAGTTGGGGACAAAATTCCAATAAAAGGGAGTGGTAGGGAAATTTTTGTGACAAGCAGTTTGGGGTAGTTCAGGTATCAGCATGGATTAATTTTTATTACGATCAAATGCAATGGGTACATTTTTTAGCTTGATTTCCTACCACTTCTATGACTGATAATGAGTGCTTTAAGAAATGTAAGTCAACCAAGGCTAGAATATTATTGGACAAGCAATAGACCTTACCATAGTTGTTTTTTTTTACCCCAGTTTTCATCATTTATCCAATACTATGGTAAAAACTTGAAAGTTGAAACACTGAATTAAAATGGCAATTTTACCTTTTATTGAAAGGATTCATGTTGAAAACTCTCAAGAATTCTACCTATATTAGAATTGGGCAAGTGGTATTACCAAAACATTTTTTTTTTATATTTTCTGCTCAGACTAAGACATGAAATCTATTGGGAAAAAATACACCAAAAAGTGTACAGGATAATTTATAAAAATTTTCACAATGCAAACTATAGTGCAGAGGACCTTAAAATTTAATAAACAGAATCCTTTGATGGCTATATTGAGTTTATTCAATCATTTGTTTGCTTTTCTTTCCAACTTGATTACCATTAAGATGGCTTTCAAAACTTCAAAACCAAGATAAGTTATATAGTAGGGAATAGCTTAATTTCTTAAGGTATAAAAAATTTAGATTAATCCTAGTTATTGAGAGTACAGACAGATCAAGTCTAGTAATTTCAAAGAGTTGAACTGATGGGAACAATTTTGTTTGAAAATTGCCTCAGCTAATTAATATTTTCTAAATATTTATGAAGATGTAAATCTTTAACTTTCTTTACAATAACTTTAAGAAATGAAGCTTTCATCAAAATATCAAGGCAGGAGCTAATCTGATTAATTTTTGACTAGAAGACCACAGAATCTTCACATTACATATATTTCTACTTTAAAGGTGAAACTATATTAACAAGAAAAGGTTTAAATAATTACACATTTTAAACTTAGACAAAACAAATACTATTCACACTAAGTACATCAGCAAAAACAGCAGAAAATGGGAAATATTTAAGGGATCATACCCGAATTAGACCTGGTCAAAAAAAAATTCTTGTCGGTATACCCTCAATTGTTAATGTAAATAACCTCTATGTTGCCACAACATTGAAAGAAACATGTTCAAATATTTACTTGGAATGGGAACCGATCAATATCTAAAGGGCACTGTTAAATAATGATGACCGGAAAATAGCTGTTTGTGGATAAATAAAGCTTTGGCTGTAGAATGTATTCCCTTGTTTATGTCTGATATTCTGAAATTCCTTCCCGTGAAAATCTAAGCAATTACATAATTTGGACTCGAAAACGACAAATTAAAGTAAACAGTCTGAACGATGATTACGGCAACTCACATTAAAAAATATCGAAACTGTACAGTACAGAACATAATTTGAACATTCGTTTCTCTTCGATCAGGTGTTCTCTTGGTAATGGCACATCATGTTAACTATATCATTTAATTTTAAAAAATTAGAATTACCACATGAATTTAATAGGGAACAAAATGCTATTTATGGCCACTAGTCTGGAATCGATCAAAATTACCAACGCTTAATAGATTGAAATCCTTTACGTTTGCGCTAAAACGGAAAGTGAAACATTACCTGAAGGTGAAGCATTCAAATCTTTTATAAAAGCCGAGACAGACAGTGCATAAAAGTACCCTTGCCATAAACAAACCAGATGCTGAATTAATCCTAAAAAAACTACCAATTCGCTTAACCTAGGCTATTACCTTCCGCTTGAACAAGGTAAAATTGGAGCTGCAGTTAAAACAGGCCATTTCTTCGAAACCGTCCAGAGAAATATTCGAACTGCTGCTACCTGAGGATGCAGTTCCTCGAGTCGGACGGGAAGAGGGAGACGATGCAGATGTTGATGGTCTGCCGTTAATTACATTAAAATGCGAGCGAAATATAGCATCAACGTGTTCTGAGTGATCTCTTAGCTCTCCATTAATACCACCAGCGCCCATAACAGGCAACAAAGTAGGTGGAAAGACTAGTATTTCGGTTCAAAAATGAAACTGTAAATTCCTTAAATCGAAAACTCGACAGTGTGTAGAAGGAAACCCAAAGAACGCGCTGAGGAACTAAGACGAGGAAAGTGTCATGACGTATGATTTGAAAACGAGGCAGGATATGACCAAGAAGCGTGGCGTGTCTTGGGTTCTTGCTTTCGGTTTCACACGCTTTCTCTCTGTCATTAAATCGAAGAATTTTACCTTGTTAGGAATTTACAATGGCGGACCAAGGATGTAAGTAGCTTTTGATGCTTTTTAGTGTACTTGATTGCTAAATCTCCATCGAATATTGGCGAGATTACCTATTTCACAAGTTCACATGTCAACTGAAATCACTGAAGCTTTCCATTGTCACGCTCGCGAATTCCTTAAACAGTGTTCTAAAAGTACCGATTCAAACGATCCAAAGCCTATATCATGTAAGAGAAACGTGTAAACTACTTCTTGAGGGAGGTATTTAGTTTGTAGTACTTTTGATCGACATCTAAAGCCAGAAGCTCACACTTATAATGACAAGGTGGTCATTTTGTGTAGGGTACACAACACAATATTTGTCAAACGTCTCGAAGCTTGCTGCTTAAAAATATTGTGGAGGCAGCGGCTTTGTAGCCATCATTTTACTGAGGAAGTGGTTGCACACGAGTATCCCAAAAGAGTGTCTGGTCAAAAGCACGGAGAAGTTGATCAGGGTTACCGAATAAAGCGTCGGCTGGCAAAAATTTCCTTCTGTGATATTTCAGCAATTCCACGGTAAAATATGAGATAAAAGTAGGATTCATTCTTTCAATTTGGAGGTGACTGAAACATGAATGAGAACTTTTTACTTGGCTCCAGATTAACAAATCAACAGACTTTTATCCATTGTTTACTTGTCACTGACTACTAGGTTACTGTTGGTTTCAACCCCCCTTCCCGATGTTTGTTCTTTCACTCACGTCTATTATAATAATATATTGGTGATTTTTTTCCCTCAGATGGGGGTGGATATGGTCAGAGTGGTGGGGCAGCAATGTATGGTGGAACAGGAGGTGCTAGGTGAGGCAGTTAAAAGGAATGATTCCTCTTATGATGTGTTTGAGAGATGATCAGTTCTCATTAAAACCCAGCTTGCTGGCAAGCCTTCTGCAGCTATTTTAAACATTTAACTCTTGAGAGTGACCAGCAGTTAATTTCTCCTCACCTTTTCACCCCTAAGTCAAACATAATGGTTATAAGAATAAGGGAATTGATTGCCAACTTAAGAGGTTCTGGACTTTTCACAAATTATCCTTGTTTGTACCATAGAAAACATGTAAAGAACTGGACAGAGAATATGGACACAGATATTAGGAGATGTAGGGTCAAATATTTCATCTCGCTCTAAAATTAAAAGGTCTATGGTCTAAATTCTCATGGTGACGTACACTTTGTGTTTATTCCATGTTTGAGTTACATCTCTTTATAGACAGAAACCTTGATCAAGAGAAACTTTGAGAGGAGGACAAGAACTAAGAGGAATAGATATCAATTCTTCTTTGAAGTCCTACCCCTCATTCAGTGCTATGATAACTATAGTAGTACCTGTTGTAATTTGTCTTTAACATTTTTGTCTTAGTTATGGTGGAGCTCAAAGTTACCAATCTTCTGGTTACCAAGCTCCTACCAGCTCTTACCAGTCAACTGGTTACCAGGCCCCAGCTCAAGGAGGAGCTCCAGCATATAGTGCAGCAACTGGATACCAGAGTGCCTCAACAGGTTACACAGGCTACCAGACAGACACCAGCTCAGGTGGCTACCAGCAAGCATCTTCAACACAGTACCAGGGGTACGAACAGCAACCTCAGAGTGGTGGCTACTCACAAGCGAGTGGAGGATCAAGCTACCAGCAACCACAGGGATACCAACAGACTGGAGGGTATCAATCTGGTGGTCAGGGTGGTTATGGCAGCAGCCAGAGCAGCGGAGGTGGATACCAAGGTGGTGGGTATCAAGGTGATGGTGGACGCAGTAGTGGTGGATATGGACAGCAGGGCTCTTCCTATGGACAAGGAGGAGGAGGAGGAGGTGGCTATGGAGGAGGAAGAGGGTAGGTTCTGATTTTCATTCTATCACCTAAACTTTACCAGTGACTATGGAGATGTGTCCTCTTGATTTTTGGGTTAGATTTAAAAAGATTATACCTTTTCCTTAGAACTGTGCATGTTAAAGATTGGGGGGAGACTGGTGTGCATTCTTTTAATTGTTGTTCTGGCTCAAAACTTTCTCAGGAATTTGTTATAGCAATTAAAAATTAATCAGAGCATTTTCTCCGCGATATGGGATATGGATAAATGTTAAATTTCAATAACTTCTGTTACTTCAAATTTGTTGTTGAATATGTACCCAGGTTTAGTAGTCTCAATAATTCAACCAGGTGGTTCAGGTTTTTGAACAAGAACAATTCCCTCTCAATGTATAGTTTAACCATAAGGGAAGGTAAAGAATTGGAATTGGGGGGTTGAATACATTTACATCATGTAACTGGTTACTGACTTTCAATTGTGATGATTACAATCACAGGTGCCTCTGCTCTTTGGAGCAAAATGTTTTGTAGCAAACTGTAACATTTTACCCCTAGACATGTATTTGTTGCTAGTGATAGGATTATCTTTCTAGTATCTGAGCTGTGTGTGTATTGTGCACTTGTAAGCTGTGTGTGGGTTGTAGGGGAGAGTTTCTAAAACAGCTGTGGTGCTGCGTCCTTGGGGGTTGTTCAAGATAAATTTTGCTTTATTAACTAAGTTCATTAACTAGTTTGGCCACCATTAAGAGTTTCTAAAGCTGATGTTTAAAGGTTTATCCATTTGTTAGAGCAAATGGGCAAGGTGTGAAGGGCTAAGGCTTTATGGTGGTAAATTTACATGATCAACTCAGTTGATAAAGCAAACTTATTTTGTGTGTGGCCATGTTCACTATTTTGCTTTCTGATAAAATCCTATGGGAAAGACTCGGAGTTGATTTCAACATGCCTTAAAACAGGGTGCCTTTAAATGCACAGTGAAATTTTGCATATTACTTCACAATTACTGATTTTTACAAAATGTATTTTCAAGAGTGAAATAAAAATGATTCTCTAAAACTTGTAAAAAATTGGAACATTAATTTGGGTCAATGTAGTTAATATTTTTTTGTCAATCTTTCCAGAAATTTGATGATTTTCCTCTATTGTGCAAATTGGTTTATCCTGTCTTGTATCCTGTCTTGTGTGGAATGTTGAAATCATTGCTAAGTTAGGGCTGATGTGCTATTTCCTTGTTGCACTTTTTATTAAACTTGGGTTTTAGGGAACTATTCCTGTGCTTGTGAACAGTGGTCATACTTAGAGTGCACCGTGTAAAAGATATTCACACAATGGGGTGATGAATGTTTTACCTCATTGCGAAGGGTTTTAAGCACTGGTATGTCCATGGCTCATCCTAGTGGAACTATTCTGGGTATATGAAATTACAGATCGTTCAGGCATTATAGAATTGTTGTCCACACCCAAAACCACAGCAGGGTTCAGAAAAGAATGGGTTGAGCTTGGATTTTCCCACCAGGGTAGAAATTGTTCCTAGAGCTGATGACAAAAAATGTCAAGTTTGAAAGATTTAATGAGAGGATTTGTTGTCAGGGTAATATTTTATAAATACTGTAGGGATTTAACTCTATCTTTAATGTGCTGGTAAAGATAGGCCTTTGAAAAAAATAAAAATAAAACAAGGAGGGGTATGCCAAAAAAAGTGGTACACAAGATATTTCTAGTGTCTTGGTGTCTCAGATATTTGTTCCACATAAACAAAGGAACTTCCAGCTGGAAAGACAATTTCAAAAGTGACCAGGGCTCTCAAAATGTTTTGAGTGCATGAACAGCTTTCTTCGGGGTTACATGTACATCACAAGTTCCCTTATGGTTTAGTCAAAGTCCTACGTTGGGCAGTGGTGTCCTTAATTAATAATAGTAATTGAACTGAGTGGAGTGCAATTTGGGCTAAAATCATATGCGTGATTTCAAAATCGAATGAGCGCGCAGCGCGAGTTCGATTTGAAATCACAAGTATGATTTCAGACCAAAATTACACAACACGAGGTTCAATTACCACTTTATTACATCCATTTTGAAATTGCCCAAATACAGGACTTGGTCAGTTTGAACATTTTATTGATGCAGTACTGAGCCAGTCTGAAAATTCATCTATCTCTTGGGGGGAAAAAGTAAGAGTTTTGGAAACAAAAGTTGCAAAATTTGCCATATGATACTCTTTGTCTTTCATTTTTCTGCAATTTGATCAGTTACTTTAAACAAGCCTTGAAATCTGATTGGTCATTTCGTTTTTAGTGTAGCCTCCTCGTTGCCTGGGAAAAAGATGTCATTTAAATAAAAAAATGGTGCAATTCGTGAATAAATCACATCAATTACAGCCAATCAGATTACAGGGACCACCAATGATTTCAAAATGGATGTAATAAAGAGATGAATCTTGAAGTAAAAGTTACAGATAAATTTTGGATGAGGGGTCTTGGGAAAAGACTTGGCTTGATCTAAGTAAAAGATTATTAAAAGAAATCGGTCATTAATTTATTTAACATTCATATAAGGAACAGACTCCACACACCCTGTATATTCCATCTAAAGTGCTTAGGATAGTTGATCAGAAGAAAATTTATGTGGGAAAAGTGGCTAGTATAGCTTTGTCTTCAGTGGGTGGCAGTAAAGTTTAAGCACAGCTTGTGAGAATACTTGGAGTCAAATTGGGGGATGGAATAAAATCCTATTTAGGGGAAAGGTCAAGGAGTACTTTTAAAGCCTACCAGTGAAATATGCTTGGGGGACAATGTAAAATTTCTCTCTACCTTGGAAAAGTATATCATATGAAATAATGATTCTGACTGAGTTAGGAGATTTCAAACAGTAACCCTGAATGATGGAAAATTGTCTTCAAATGTGTTAAAATTTCTACTCTGCATGCAGCCATGTTGAATCGTGCTTATCAACCAGGTTGCTTACCTGTTTCATAACAAAGTCGTGGTCTTCATTTTCCATATCTTGGCAATCTATTTGAAAGGTTAGAGCTGCTCAAAAGGGCACTCTTAACTCAAATATAGATTTTTTTATTGTGATCAGAGAAGCAGCTGTCGATGTACTGGGCAATTTGGCTTTGCATATGTGGCAAGATTACCAAGTCATTTTCAAAAATTTTTTTAACACATTTGAAGAGAATTTTAGAATGGTAAAGTTACTCTTTGAAATTCCAAACTGAACAGTTATAGGGGAATTTTACTATATACTTTTTCAATGGCATAGAGATAGAAAATTACATGGTTCCTGGAATGCACTCCTCCTGTAACAATGTAAGAATTGCAGTAAACTTCAAAACTTGCAACCTGCTACTGTTATTCTTGACTAAGTTTAAAATGCATTTAAAAGATATCCCTTCTACTCCCAAGATCTAATTAGTAATTCTCCTTACTGTGTGCTATACAATTCTCATGATGTTAGTTTGGATAATTTGGTATTGGATCAACTAATAATCCCCTAATGGATATTTTTCTTTCCTCTCATCGCTTGTCTGGTTGATATTGTATTGAAACTGTAAGGAGAATTTCTGTTTGGGTCACTCATGGGAGTCAAAGGGTTAAATTAATAATAAGTATTGGTGTTTGCTACTAAACTGGTTGATTGAGGTACTGTGGTACAAGGCAGTGTCCTCCCACTCTTGATCATTGAATTCATTTACTGGTACTATACACAGTGGTGGCAGAGGAGGTAGCCGACCGGGTGGATACAATAGTAATATGGGTTATGGTAAGTCACATGATGCAGACAGGCTCTGTCCTGCAGTTTTATAACATGCTGTCTGTGGTGTAATTCAATCACTCCGCCAGCCGGTCGGCTAACAAAGCTGGTGTTATCATTGGTCAAAAGACTGAGTTTAATCTTGTTTGGTATAAGAAAGTGTTAAACATTCCTCGACTTGCTTGGTTATTGCTCATGTCTGAATTTCATCCGTGTGGGCATCATTTACTGTATAAGCTATTGGGTAATATTCCAATTTTGAATCGGAACATAATGGTTTTGGTATGATCTTAAAATTTCTGTCATTCAGGTATATTCAAATTAGAAGCTTACAAAAAGTTCTTCTAGGGCCACTGGTCAAAATTATGGGTTTCTGAAATGACCTCTGATATTAGCTTGCGTCTTGATCACTGAGCTCCGGAGTTCTTGTGTACTTTGTGTGTGGTAGTAAACATTTGCTTGGTTGTATTGCCCTGTATTTCAAAACTGTTGTCAAGGATTGTAACAAATCTTAACAATTAATTTTTGTTGTTTACTTCTGAGAAGTGTCTGATCATAGTATTTTTAGTTTGCCTTACATGTAAAACTCTTATAGGATGTTGTAATTAGGGATTTATGCAACTGTTGTTGAACATTGCTCAAGGGGATTTTATGTGGGACTTTTATGTCCCACATAAAGAAACATATGAGAATTGCCACCTTTAAGACTTTTCAACAGTTTTTATCATGTACCAGGTATTGTTGAATATTTTTGAAATGTTGAACAACATTTTTGAGATAATGTTTTGAGAATCAAGAAAGTCTGTTAAGTGAGTCATAACAAAGTTTGACTTCTCTTCCTTCCTCCAGTGGTGAATTTTGATCCATCCAGGGTACTTAAATGTCAAAAATTTTGAAAAGTCTTACTGGTAGGGAAGAGCACCTGTTCTCTGGGATTCGCTGAATCTTAGGGCTTCTCATAGCGCTCTTAAGGTTTTCACTGCAAGTAGTTCTGTGCTTTAGAGGTCCAACAAAAAATGGCATGATATGTCTTTGGTATGATCAAAACTATAAAATCAAGGCTGAGCCTCTGTTGTTGTGTTGTTGTTGTTGTTTTTTTTATTGGTTTTCAATTTGTGGACTGCATAAATTGCATTTCCTTAATCCAGTTATCCAGAGGGCATAGGGTATTTCCGATCAGAAAGAAATTTGAATCCCTGTTTACAGTAATGACACTTGTTACCCAGTGGTCTCTTTGTTGTAAACCTTCTTGAGGATCTGTTCTTGGAACTTTGTCCTTCTGTTTTTATCAATCGCAAGAAGTGGCAATCATATAAAGCTGTAAATGACTGTGGGTCAATGTCTGACTAAAATTGGCACATGATTAACAAAATCTGAACTGCAGCTGTATATAATTTTGGGAGAATTGTTTACCAAACAAAGAATAAAATGGATATGTGACAACAGGTTTGACAGATAGGGTATTTTCTGGTGACAAAAACATGATTTAGAAAAAGGGGAAATGTAATAAAATGGTGGATTACATTTCTATTTTGTCCAAACAAAATGGAGACATTGTCTGATATTTGTCCTTTGCAGCCTTATGCCACTACTGTGCTGTTGAATGTTTGATTGGTATTGAGGGAAGTTATTCTAATATGCTGTTGCATTGTTGTGGTAGATTGTATTGAGTCCTCAATTTCACTGGCACAGATTTTGAGGGAACAGGGCATGGTACACAGTCATATTTGCTATAATAAATAGAATCTCAATTTTCAGTGTTCTTGTCATGACTAAGTGGTTCTTTTTGTGCTTTTTTTTTATCTAGGTAACTCTTCTGGAGGTGGACAGCAAGATCCAGGTGAGACTTTTTTCCTATGTGATTGCCAAGATTATCGTGCACCTTTTGATTGGGTGTTCTCATTCTGTACAGTGATTGGGTTTAGATCACCCCAAATGGAAATGAGTTTTTTTTGGTTTTGATTTTGCAGGGAAAGAGTATGAAACAGATCAGGTTTTCATTTCAAATCTTGCCTCTACGGTTACAGAAGCAGACATCAAAGATCTTTTTGGCTCAATTGGTATAATAAAGGTAATGTGTTTAGGATGAGGCACTCAGTTTGTTTGTTTCTTTGCTAAGAAAAGAAAAGAGAGGTGCAACTGACACTGATCTAGCTATTTGACCAACAAAGCCTTCCACTCATTAAACAGACAAGATTAGTGAAGGAGACTCATTGGCATATAATAACAACGCCTAAAAGGAAAAACTGTCACATCAGTAAAATTTAAATCTATTTAACAACAAGATTATGAGCTGGAGATTTCTATCATGCATAGCATTTAAGAGGAATTAGCCTTCTAATTTTAGTATAAATCTACTAGTCATTTGAAACTTAAAACAACAGGTCAGACTTGAGTGTGTTTTTATATATTTTTTTTACCATGGCACACTGTTACTCTACCTATTGTCTGTTGCAAAATAGACAGGGAGTAGCATAGCCAATCAGATTGAACCATTTGTGATAGACTGCCAGTAGATTTATACTGATAGGATAGTATAAGGTTAGTTTACACTGTCTAGGTTTGCAGTTGAGTTTTTATTACACTCTTAAACAACCTCCATTTAAAATGTTTGTCTCAGATTGACAAAAAGACAGGCAACCCTAAAATCTGGATTTACAAACATCCTGACGGGACTCCAAAGGTAAAAACCAAGTCTTCATTACACTTGCAGCCTTGTGTTGTTTTGTGAAGAGTGCATGTAGTGAGTTCAGATTGTTATTGGTTTAAAAATATTTTTATTTACCCCAGGGGGATGCTACTGTTACTTATGATGATCCGCCAACAGCTAGTGCTGCTATCTCTTGGTTCAATGGTAAATTGATTTACTAATAAAGCTAGTTGTGACATTATGGATGTCATTTTATTGTAATGCAATGAGCATCCTTGCTGTGCATGATATCATGAAAGATTGACTTGCTGCAATTAATCTTTCACATTCTAACATCAGTATCCATATTCTCCAAACTCTTCTTTTCACATTTCCTTTGGCACCACAGGGCGTGAAATTGCGCCTAATACAGGCGCCAATGCGACTAAATTTTTCACTTTGGCGACCAAATCCTGAAAGTTAGTCGCCAAATTGGCGACTAGAACGTTTCATCATAACCTTACCAAGAGATATAGTGAATTAAAAAGATTTGCAAAGATAAATCTGCGGCAAACTTCCTCATTAAGTTTGTTTCTAAAACGTAGCACGTGCTTCTCGATCGACAACTAGACGCCATCTTGGATTTAGATGAGCCTGAATGTTGTATATCATCCATCCTAGTGTCCACTTTGTAGCATGTTAAAGATCTTTTCCCTAACTTAATTTTGGAGGGTCTATCTAGAACGCTGACAGCGTAAAGAAAGATTTTGTTTGTCTTTGAAAATGGCGACCAACTTTTTTTGAATTGGCTACCACTTTGAAGAATTTAGGAACCAAGTGGCTATCAGAAAAAAAAGTTAATTTCACGCTTTGCACCAACAAGGAGAATTTATTTCCCAATCAAAGCTTCTTAGTGTGGTGATCATTTTCTTTATTCTCATGATCTTAATGAATTATTAAGCAGTATTACTGCTTACTCTAAGGGTTAATAAATGACAGCTTTCCTTTTTGTGTAGAGCTTGTCTGAGAGATGAAGCATAATCTTGTTAACTGATTTTAGTTACCGGTAGCTTTTATTTTCTCTGTCTTTTAAATTTATTTTCCTTTCAATATTTAAGGAGAATTAGTTTGTAAAAACTTGTGAAAACATTATCTTGTGGAACAGAATCTTGGTTCATAGAAAAGGGATTCTAAAGATTTAAGAAAATACAGTGATGCACTGACTTCAATTCAAAGGAGGTGGCTGTCTGGAGTGTGTTTCAGTGGAAAAAAAGATGTTAAGATTCAATTATTGTTCATATTATCTCTTCAGGTAAAGAGTTTCTTGGACAGACAATCAAGGTTGAATTTGCCGAGAAAAGAGTACCCAAAGGAGGCTTTGGTGGAAGAGGTGGTGGAGGACGAGGAGGTGTGACCTCTTTTATTATCGTTCTGTCGTTTATTTAGTGTGGGGTTGTTGTAATCAAGCTGTGGTTGTTATATGAAAAGTTTTCAATTGTGTGTAGTAAATGATACTGGATTGGGTTGTATTTCATTACCTTTGCTTTCTGATTGGTCCAGAGAACTCATGCTTCTCTCCCAACCAATCAATCAGTTGCAAATTGATAACTAGTTTTTTCCTGTTTCAAGCAGTGACTTATTTATGGTTTGAGTTCTTTGTTCTGATTGATCATAGGATAACTTTGGTCTCCGGAAAGAAATCTTACCTCCCCCCCCTCATGTTAGTGCTGTAGTGAAAACAGATGTTTGTTTTCACCTTGGCACAGATTACATTTACTATTGCTTCTGTTCCTGAAGACCCAAAGCCACTTTTTAAATAATAAAGCAAAATTTTGTAAGTAAGTTAACCCCTTCTCTATGCAGGTCATCGTGGTGGACGTGGGGGTGGTGGTGACAGAAGGGGTGGTCGAGATGACCATCGTGGTGGTGGTGGTGGTGGAGGAATGGAAGCTCGTGCTGGGGACTGGGACTGCCCATCGTAAGTGGAGTATTTTATATGAATTGCATTTTCAAGACAAGAGTGGTCCATGCCTTAATATTGTAAAAAGAGTTATTGGTTCATGGTGTTAAGTGTCAGTGGGCACTGGCTAATTAGTAGTTTAAATTCAGACATATGTTTAAGATTTTATCTTGCATCTGGTTGGTGTATTACTAGATAAGTGGCTAACCTTGTATCTTGTACAAATTCACAATCATGGAATCTGACCTTTTATACTAGTAAATTCATCTTGGAATGCTATGTGTTAGAAAGTTATTTAAGAGGTTATTAATAGATCCTTAGAGGCTTTTTTTTTTAGTTTTTTAAAATATTTTTGTTTTGTTTTGTTTTTTTGTGGACAGGTGTGGAAACATGAATTTTGCCAGGAGGGACACCTGCAATCGATGCCAAACACCAAGATCTGGTGATGGTGGTGGGGATGGTAATTATTTTCAATGTTTGTCTATTTTTGTGGACCCTTTGCCTATCTTTTTACAGATGATAAATTGTCACAGTAACAGTACCAGTATTATCTGGTGTTAACTTCCTTATCTTTTGCTCCAGGTGGTGGTGGATATGGTGGAAGAAGTGGAGGAGGTGGAAGAGGAGGTTGGGGGGGAGGTAGAGGTGGAGGCAGAGGTGGAGGGCGTGGTGACAGGAGAGGTGGAGGTGGAAGAGGTGGTTATGACAGGTAAAATGCTGAGTGTAGTTTGAAAAACAAATTTCACCTTTAATACCCATATTATCCATACTGTTCACTAAACATTTTCCATGCTGCTGATATAAAGAAAAAAATTAAAAGCCTCAGAAATTGTGTTCAATTCCTTTATCCTCGAGACCTTAATGTGTGGTTCAAGGGTGTTATTGTAATAGGAAATCAGGATGTAAGTTGCTTCCTGGAGTTATGCGAAAAATAAAATTCTATGAGTCTTTGTGGAATAGTACTTTAGAGATCTTTTACTTAGAAAGTAAGATAACCATACACTTTATCAAAGATTTTTATCATGATAACAACAGCTTGTTTTTGATAGTTTAGTAACCAGTTAAAAATAAGAAATTGCTTGGCAGCTAGCAGTAGGCTGTGTTGTGAAATGCAAAAGTGGGGGCCCAGTTTTTCCTCACATAGGTATTACTAATGGAAAATCAAGGAATTTTTTTTGGTTGAAGTGTGATTTGGAGATGTTTTCAGTTCCTCATATACTTCATGTCTGATTTGAGGGATAAAAACTTCAGATACTCAAACACGTTTTCTTTGGATTAAAATTACATTAATTGGGCTTTTTTGTTTTGTCTTTTTGCCATTTGCAGACAAGGGATGAGGCAAGAGCGAAGAGACAGACCATATTGATCAAGTTGCCATAAAACATCTACAAGAGGAGCTTGTAGAAGCTCACATCATGTCATCAAACATGAACTTTCTCAGAAAACTTAGTGCACTGCCCCTGTTGACGTTGTTTGTAAATTATTTGTTTTAAATGGAGATGTTCAGTAAGATCATGTAGTTGAAATAAAGTTGTTTGCTGAACTGTTCTTAGAGCTATTCATATGTCAGGCTACGTTTAACTGAATACGTTACAGATAATCGTACAATTCAAAAGTTGTCTCTTTATTTTTTGAACTGAAATATGCCTCACTAAAAGAGTAACCAAAATTAATCATAAAAACTTCAGCCGAAACTCTAAACTGATGAAAAATAAAACATAAAATTTCAGTTTGTTCACTTTTAAAAGCACCTTGAACCTTTCTGTAATTTTTAGCCCTTACCCTTTTACTGATATTAACCCTTTACACCCCAACATCAGTATGCATATTCTCCATACTGTTCTTATACATTTTGTTAGGTGCTGACAAGGAGAATTTGTTTACTAATTGAAAGCTTCTTTCGTCGGTGATCATTTCCTTTACTCTCGTGACTTTAATGTGTGATTCAGGTTTGATACTGTAGGGAGAAATTAGATGCTAATCACCCTTCAGGTTTAAAGGGTTAACTCATATGTGATATATGGAATTCAGTATGTTATCCCCAGTATTTAAAACACGGTATAGATGCTTGCAGTTTATTCCACTCTGGTTTGTCTGCACAACTCTACATTGTATAATTTTAACCCTTCACTCCCAAGATCTCATAAGTAATTCGCTTTTATTTCTCCCATACAGTTCTTGTGATGTTAGTTTGAAGAATTTGGTGTTGGATCAACTTATAATTCCCTCACTGATATTTTTCTATATTCTCATCACTTGTCTACTTGACATTGTATTATTATTGTGAGAAGAATTTGTCTTGGTCACTCATGGGAGTTGAAGGGTTACGTGCTTTTCTTCACTTCAGTGAGGATGAGCCATGCCTGCAGAGAATTTGGGTTTGTATGGAACAGAGATAAACTAAATAATCTTCCACATGTGAATGTTGATTGCACAATGAAAATTTAAATGTCACACAGCTCATTGTAACAATGATTGTTTCAAAGTTTTTAATACATGGTTGAATGTTACTATTTACAGCAATGACATTCTCTGACTGAGTAAATATATGCATGTTGACCTTGATTATCAGGAAACGAGAGAAATTACACTGGGAGAAAATTATTTTCAACACAGCTGATAGAAGAACCTCTAGAGGTTAATTTTTTCCTTTTGTTCTGTTTGCAATGTTTCCTAAAGTTACAAGGAACCACAAAACTTATACTGAAATGATAGGCAACTGGGTAATGAAATTAGAGAGATTTATGCTAATTCAGAGAATTTACTAGAGCCAAAGAAGGATTGGATATAAAGTGTGATAAACTGACAACTGGGTAATGAACTTAGAGAGATTTACTCTAATTCAGGGAATTTACAAGAGCCAAAGAAGGATTGGATATAAAGTGTGATAAAAACTGAACACTCCCAGCAAGGGTACTCACAGTGCGACATCTACAGATTCCAGTGGAGACAATTCCCTCTCTAATCTATATTGACAAAGTTTACAAATAAATATCTGTGACCTTCACAAACAGCACCTCTGTATAATGTACACAAGTAGATCTCTTATAGACTTTTTTGACTGCAAATTTTTGCCAAAGAAATTAGATTTCTGAAACAAAACTTTTATGACCCCTTGCATGATAAACTCTGAAAATGTTCCCAGTTTTAACATTTTTGGTTGGTTCAATCTTTCTTAGTGCTGCTCCATATGCATGGAAAGTTTATCTGGTGTCACTTTATTAACAAAGAAAACATTACCAGTTAAGAGTTATGGACTGGGGCATCAATTATTAAAAGTAATTGTTGATATAAATGACCCTAAATGTCCTCAGAATGAGTGTTATGTACTGGAGTGATTCACTGAAGGACCAGAATTCATGCTATTATTGCTGCTGCTGGAATTTTTCTTCTTGAGATGGAATTTCCCTTTCATCAGTGAGGAAATGTAAATTCGCACTTTTGTGTTATCAGTTTTCTTGATCCATATCTAAAATAATGTGAAAAAAAATAAATATTCAATATGTAATTTTGTATGACAAATGTATTAAAGGAAGTAAGACGAGACTTGATATTAGGATTACTTAAGTTGTGCAGGCAATGCTGTATTTCAATCATGATACCTCACATTTTTACACAGGATTTATACTCATGGTGTCACCATAAGCTATGAATTAAAGTCCAAAAGAAAGTTTGGAATGAGAAGTGTTGCCTTCACGATTAGCATTGCATATTAATTTAACTAAATGAGATCTTTCAAATTTGATTAGTGTCAAAAATGTAGGTAATCTCACCTCTGACTGGCCAATAGAATGAAGGGATCCACTGAAAGAAAAGAAAATGTTTCAATGACTAAAATAGAAAAGAAGCTTTTTGCAACTTAATAATGATGATAAATTTGTTTTTTTAAAAAGGTAACAACAACAATTAATTCTGCAGGTGCCATGGTAAACAACTGTAAGAAATCTCACCTATATCTTCCATTCTCTCTTGTTTCTACAACAATACCACACCCTTTATGGAACCTAATAACGATGGAGAACCAAAGTCAAGAGATCTATTATAATACTCCTTTACAGAAGAGCACTCAAGCTAAAAATACTGCAATAAGCAATCAGCTGCACCATCTACACAAGTTTTTATGCATGGTGCTCAAATTACATTTTTTTAATCCTCCTTGAAGGTAACAAGCCTTCAGCAATTAAAATTATCCTAGGGCAGTTCCTTAAGACTTATGCTGAGCTATAACAATAAACTGCACATTAATTTCACAAGACATGCGTTTACCATTTTTTGTCATATAAGAGCCTTCCATCCTCGGAGCGGACCTCCACTGGGTATGAGATTTCTGAATGTGAGCCGTTTCCTGAGATATTTTATAAGAAGATTAAGTATATATCACATGAGTTGTAGACACTATAAGGCCTCCCACTATGAGCCTGAGAAGCAGTTTGGTCTAATAAATAATGAAAATTTTGTCTTTTACTAAAAGGATAACTTCTCCTTGGTGAGCAAGCTGTATCATACATGTGCTGCTTGTGAGAAATAATTTCATTAAGATACCTGAGGATGTTTTAAGACGGCTTGATCCTGTTTTATTCTGTGACTGGCCTTGTGATGATGACACCTAAAATACAGCATTAGAGATCATCAAAGTTTGTAAATACCACCATAAATTTCATCTATGTGCAAATAATGATTGAACAGTTTATTCACTACAAGGTCACAATTTTTTTTTCGAATAAAAAAAAGGGTTATTCACAGTTATAAATCATCCCTAAACTAAGAATAACTTAACACATCCTTTCGAAACATCCTTTTAAGCAATCACAAATGACTTTTTTTTTCCTGTCCTTTTTGGAGGCACAGAAAAAAGGTACATATAATCAATCAATACTTTTATCACACTCAAAAACATTTCATCACCTCTCCTGGAAGAGAGACCAACTTGTTGAGGGCTTTTAAGTCTTCCATGATATCTTCTTCATCAAGCATGTAGTTTATCTGGGGTGAGGTTGGTTAAGATTGCCAACACAACATAGAACTCAGGTCAAACAGAAACAAACAGAGTTTTTATTGAGAAAATGCATAGGCAGGAGAAGAGTGATGAGAAACAGAAAAATATGTTCCCAATCAGAATAGAAAGTACTTCAAGCTTTAACCTTTTACACCCGAACATCAATACGTATATTCTCCATACTATAAAAATAAAAGCTAAGTTTTTTTTCGTTTGTGTCATGATGTAGTCACGTGAGACAAACAAGAAAAACTTTGCTTTTATTGTCATTCACCACGATGAATAACCACAACCTTTTCTATGAAATTCTCCATACTAGTCACAAAAATTTTCCTATGGCACTCAAGAGGATTTGTACAACCATCAAGACCCTCTTTACTTGGTGACCATTTCCTATATTCTCATAACCTTAATGTTTGATTCAGGGGTAAGATCCTGGGGAGAGACAAGATGCTAATCATTCCAAGGGGTTAGGAGGTTAAGACTACAGAGTTCTACCTAACAACCCCAGAATTCTCCAATCTGAAATGGCTACACATGACCTGGCAAAGTGATCCCTTCTATCTCACTCTCTGTTCATATCAACAGTACTTATCATATGCTGACAAATTTTTTGTACCTAGTAACAAAATAACAAAATCTTCAATAATTGAATTGTAGGGCAATGAATTCATAAGGATATGAGAAGTCTTTCTTCTTTTTTCAGGAGCAGGTAATGGGTCATTTGGTCTTCTTCTCAGTTTTCGTGTAACAGCAGGTTTCACTTCCACTGAATCTATCAAAATAGGAGAATTGTCAGTCATTTAGCATTATTCCCCTAAACAATTTGCTTCTAGGCAACATTTAAATCAGAGGAAAATTTTTGATAAAATGTACAGGTAGTTTATTGCTGGTTGAAATCACCATGAGCCAACTATTATTGGTGGCTAGCAACTGTTTTATCAAAGATAACTTTTTTTTTTTTTCAATAAAGGATGCTACAAAAACCAGAGATTGACAGCAAAACTAACTACTCAATGAAAACCCTGTAATGTGGAAACTCCAATGAAATGAAAGCTCACGAGCTGTGACTTTTTGGTTACTTTAATTGATGCAGAGCTTCTGGATCAATATCAGTATCTGGACAACTGCCCACCTACCCCTTCCCTAACTCAACAACAGTCAATTGATAACAAGTCAGGGTTAATTTTGGGTTAGGGGAGGGGTAGGTGGGCAGTTGCCCAGATACAGATATTGATCTGAGCTTCTTTCTGTTACTGCAAAATGCTTTGGAATTTTTGTCTACCCCAAATAATGTGTTATTCTGCGATGATTCCTTTTGAAAAAATACCTTTATTTAACTAACCTCCGGTGAGCTCCATGGATGACCTCTCTGTCTCTATCACCTTTTTCTTCTCTTGTAGTTCATTTAAGAGTGTCTCTTTGAGTTCAACTTTCTTTTGCTAATTAAACAACGGAGAAAAATACAAACAAATGGCTTATCTTTAAACCACAACAGCAAAACCCTTAATCAAAACTCTGTAGCCATGTTAATTTTCGTTACTAAAAGTTAAACACGTCTTCAACTAGGTTTTGGAGAATTTGGGATTAAATCAGACCAACATACCATAGTTGACTATTTTTAAAATTTGCATATACATGTTTGATGTTAATTGTACCAAATGCTGTAGGAAAGTGCTCAGATTAAATCTGTCTGACGAGTGTGTAAGCACGAAACTCTGAATAACAGAGAATCATGCATGGTTCATTTTAGTTATTTTGAACTGTTTGTTGTTAGATATTTTTATGCATTAAGTTTTATTGTTATATTGTTGCTAAATCTACTGGTAAACAAATTTTTACATAGAGTAGTTTAAGTAAGTTATATGAATGATATAGGGTAGTGTTCTTGTTGTGAAAGATCATAATGCTGTACAAAAGATATTTGTGAAAGGAATAAAAAATAAATAGAATTACGAAATAATCACACAAAAACAGAATAAAACATCCCCATAACTGAGAGGCAGCCCTTACCTCATACTCCTCTTGTGCTGCTTTCTGTTCACGGACATATTCCTTCTCAACAAGCTCAATCTTTGTGAAGAACGCAAGAATATCACTGTTACAAACAAATAAGGCTGGGCTTCATTTTATATAGACCAAAAGCAAAGGAAAAAGGTGTGTTATGTAAAATCCTAACAACAATCAAATATATATGTGAAATCAGAAAGCACTGAACGAGTAAATTTTACTTTCTTTACATTATTTTAAAATGTGGGTATACAAGGTATATCATTTGTGAATTGAATAGAAACTAGTTGATAACTATGGAGTATATAAATTAAAGCAAGCAGTTTAGAGTTTAAACATGATTTGAAGAAAGCTGATGCCTTACTTGAAGTAAACAATAGTGGCATACAAAGACAAGATGAAGAGAAAAGTTCTTAATTCTGAAGTAGGAAACAATTGATCCCTAGGTGCCACCTTTAGTTGATAACCCTAATTGATTTCATACTTACTGACACTTAAATTGCAAAGTTTTATCTCTGATTGGAACAATGTATTTCCACAATAGTTTGCTTTGTGCTTTATTGTGTAAATCTCAGTACATATGAAATATAAAACATCATACTATGCAAAGTGCTTGAAAATTTTTATTCATCAGTTGCAATGTCAAAAAAACGACTGACTGAGTGAAGCAAACAGGTGAATTTTTTGATGCATCAAAACAAATGAATAAAAATCGTTTGCGTATACTTTCCATGGAATAATATCTATATCCAGTACATACCTCATACTTCCTACAGATGTCTGAAAATTCAAGAGAAACAAGAATAGAACCAAACAAAAACATTAATGTTTGTAATAAAATGTAATCCAACCTTGTATTGTAATGCACATGTATAATAATGTTACTAATGACAACGAGTAAACAAAGATGAAAATTAAAAGAAATGCTTTTAATACTTTACCTGCAATGAGAAGTCTCTCTGTTCTAACTAAATCAAGTTTATTCAGCCTCTTAGTGTAGTCAGAATGTTTACCTGAGAAATAGTGAAAATCGCTCTATCATTTCAAAGACAGTTTCTCACTTCCATAAAGGGTGAAGGGTGAAGGGTGAAGGGTGAAGGGTTAAGTCAACTACACTTAGCAGTGAAAATCCATTTTAATTTTGAGTTCAAAAGCAAATTTAATAGCAGCACTCATCTTCTTACCACTGTTCAAATTCTGTAGCTGTTGTTTAAAATCCTGTAACTTTTCTTGGTACATTCTGAAATATAAATAAACCTATAAATTAGCATTTTTAAATCTAATGAGCACATCTCGTGAAAAATACTGTGATTGTCTAGATTACATGTCAGCTCTATCTATGGTGGATTAGGTAAGACAAGTTGTCCATAAGCAATTTCTCTAACTTTTTATCAAGTGGGAAGGAATACTTACTGTTCTTTCATTTCTGTAAACTCCTCTTCAAGCTTTGCCATATCAGTTTCACTTGCATCTTCTGTATCTAAAGTTCAATTTAGATAACATTTTTAATCATACATGTACCTTGTAGCATGGGTACAACATACTATTCAACATTACAAAAATGGATTTCTCAGCTTTAAATTTTCAATTCTCTCTAGCATACAGTATATCAGGGATTTATAGCTGAATAAATAAATCCACACTGTCTGGCTTTAAAAAGAATATTATCAAAGTCTTATCAATGATAAAAAAATATCTTGATTGATCAAAGCCCATAAACCAATTACAAATATTTAATCAAACATTATTTTGTTAACCATTGCCATGGGACCCATTCTTTCATACAGTCAAAACATAGAGAGGGAACTCCTTTCTTAACTGTATGAATCTTAAGTGTTTTTGGGTTAATCGGCATATCTAAAAAAAAAATACCTGGAGCTCACATACATGCACAAGTATCCAAAATTTCGTGCAGACACCTTAGCTAGCCCTGAGAGCAATGAAAAACTGTACCCACTAATACTCAAAATGAATCTACTATCAAACAATGCAAATCAAGAGTCTGTTGACTATAATGTATGAAACATTACACCCTTCATATTTTGCAACTTAACATGTAAACATATCCTTGCATGCACTGCTGAGTTCCACAAGTAAAACAAACTACCCATTTTTCGATCCATCCATACAAATTGTTGCACTCTCAATAACTAAATTATACCTTCATCTGATTCGTTCATGTGGAAAAATCCCCTATCTTCATCGTCATCATAAACATCAGAACGATTGTCATCAAAGCTCGCCTCTCGATTGAACACTGCCGCCATTTTTTTGATCCTTCCCGAAGTCCGTGGTGCGCAGGCTTGATTGCTAAATACGCTGTCCTCTGATGAATCGCTCCGAGGGCTCACGCTCCTTCCAGACTGCTACAAAAGAAAAATAATTTTTTTAAAACTCGATACACTAAACTCTGTCTATGTGTCACTGATAGAAAATTTCAGCGATCTTTTGTACTATCCCTTAGAAACTGTTTTACGCAGCTTTTTTCAATTATCTCCTGAGAAACGGGTACCGGCCAGAAGTTTCCTTCAAGATCGATCTTGAGTCCTCCTTCGACGCAACAGCAAACGCGCGCAGATAAGAGAGTCACAGCTGACTTTTGATCGCCAAGAAACGAAAATCGCTCCGAAAAAATTACCCCTGAACAAATATGATCCAAATAGTTGACATCTTCGGTTAAGGCTTTGTTCCCCTAATTGAAATCAACTCGAAGTTGTAAGTTCAAAAGCCAACAGAAAGGTCTAGAGAACTATGGATGTCTGAAATCGACATGACAAGTACTGGGCAAAGCCATACAGTACGACTCCTGAATATCTCCAACATAAAATATCAAATACATGTTCATCCTCTGCCTGACGCAACAAGATTTTTCATCGAAAAAAAATTATGTTTTATTTTACAGATATATCGAGAAACTGTCTGCACACTATAGTCTCGAGACCCTCCTACCTACACAAAAGATCGACGCGAGTAGTAACACTTCCAAGCAAATTATTTCAACCATTGCGTATTATCCAAAGACAAGTGATACTGCACTTTCTGAGAGCCTTGAAAATTTCAATGTAATTCAAACCGTAAGTAAACATGACAGAAGCGCCCTTACTTTCATCGCGCACTACACTGGATTTATGAAGAAGGGAAGAAGGAAGACAACATGAACTATTTCGTCCCACGCAAAGATCTTCAAAAAGAAGAAAATCATGCCGGTCGTTCTGTCAACGCAAACTAAATCTTAGGTGAAAACTGCAATAGTTAGTTACCTTTTTACCCTTGCCTCCAAGTTTTCTTTTTCCTTTGACAGTACTCGCAGTGGACCTTTTTCTTCGCATTTTCTTGTGGGATTTTGTGCCTTCGACTCCTTTCAACTTGGGCATCTCGCTGTCTGAGAGCAAAGCCAGATAGACTTTCCTATTTTCAGACCAAGGCAAATTTCATTCAATTTGATCTATGCCGGAGAATCCACCAGGAGACAGGGACTAATATAGGAAAAAAGGGAAGAAACCCGTGGGTGAAGATTCACTCCAAGCCAGAGCGCGAGTGAAAATTGTTGGTTACATTTCCTGCAACTATTTTTAGAAGAAAGCCGTTGATTGGCTCTCTGTTTGCGATTTACTTCCGGTTTCTTCCCTATGCTGAGTGACCACGCCAAATTGAAGGTTGGTACTTCCATCGCGACACTCACGGGAGTCAATATGGTAAGTTGTTTGTAATGAGAAATTTTAGCTTAATTATATTCCACATTCGTCATTTTAGAGATGATAAGAAAGCCTTTACCTTTGATCAAAATTATCCGATGGTATTTTGTGGCTAGTTCACCTTTTATGGAGCTTTTAGTTTCGAGTGTAGCAACATGTAATACTCGGTCACATGTCAGATCAACCCTTTGCCCAGATTTTCAGTTTTATCCTGCAAGGTTGTTTCTTTTTCAGACACAATATGGCATGATAGAAAAGGCTGACCGAAAATATTTTATTTCTTGGTTGGGTACAAAAGGCAATACTAGTATCATAATATCAGGGGTGCATTTAATACCCGTGGGATACGGAACAGAGGAGTAGATGATGAGATCGGGAACCCGGGGTGCTTGATTCCTTGAAATTTTGGTCTTAACTTCTCACGGTAGCGTATACGAATGGCTAGAAGTTACACTATCACAATAACCAGACTATACTTTTTTAAAACCTGATTTAGGTAATCTTACAGAAAAGTGTTATAACATATTACACAAAAAAGTTAGAATTTGGAAATGGACAGGAAATGCAAGGGAATGTACAGCAGCTACTTTTATTAGAAATCCAATTGATAATGAAATTTTTACTGTATTTACTTTACTTCACATCTTGCAGCTTGTTCTTGTACTTGGGGACCTTCACATTCCTCATCGGCAACACAGTTTACCAGCAAAGTTTAAAAAATTGTTGGTGAGTCAATCATGTTAGTATAAATTCTTACTTCCTTGCTACCTTGCACTAAGTCATTCAGTCTCTGCAAACAGAAATAATACATTTAATACACAAACCCTGTGTGAAAATGACCATAGACTTAACAAGCATATTACAAGTTGCCTGGCATTTTTTGCATATCTTTATATATCAGAATAATTAGTTAAATCTTTACACCCCAAGAGTGACTTGATTGTTCAGCAATTCTCTGTCAGTACTATGAGAAATATATAGGGAACAGTATGAAGAATATGTATATTGATGCCAGGGTGTAAAGGGTTTAGAAATTGCCCTCCTAATGAAATTACATCATCCAGCATAAAGTTGATGAGATTAAACAAACTTGTTTGCTGGAGAGTGACATCTTGAAGTAAGAACAACTTCTTTAACTAATTTGGAAAGGAATATACCAGGGTGTAAAAATTGAAGGGTAGAATTTCTTGTAGAATTTGAGAGTTAAAGGGTTATAATTTCATTTGGCTTTGTCTTTTTATTTCTCAGGTACCTGGAAAAATACAGCACATCTTATGCACTGGAAATCTCTGTGCAAAAGATTCATATGACTATCTCAAAACACTGGCCAGTGATGTCCATGTTGTCAGAGGGGATTTTGATGAGGTAGTTTGAAAACCAAATTTCCTCTTTTGCTGTGGTAATGTGATGTAATGTTTGCGTGATAATTTAACTGCAAATTGGAATTCAAGCTCTTCACTTTTTGACAGCTTTTAAAAGGTTATATGTTATTGAGTTTCACAAAGTCCTCTGTTTCTTTGTCTCAAGATGTCAATCTTTAATTCTAGTGTGATGGAAATGGTGAAAATGCTGGCTGAGACACCATTAAATTCAGTTATTACTGTGTGCAAATCTCATACTTAACCACTTAGTTATTAGTCTTAACCCTTTTTAACTCCCATCAGTGACCAAGATAGAATTTCTCCTCACTATATCAATACAATATCCAGCAGACAAGTGACGAGAATAAAGAAAAATGTCAATCAGAGGATTAGTAGTTGATCCAGTACCAAATTCTTTGAACTTATGTGATAAGAATTGCATGGCAAATAGTAAAGAGAATTACCAATGAGATCTTAGCAGTAAAAGGGTTGAAAAGAGGGGGAAAAATGGGTGTATAATATCAGAACAACAACATGAGAAAGTTGTTTAGGAATTTTAGATTAGAGTATTCATAGATTGCTAATCAGAAGTGAGTGATTTTTCATACAGAAATGTATTGAATTTAATATTTCAAGTGGTGTTTCAGAGTTTATAGAATCCACAGATTGACAAGGACACATTTCTTTTCAGAATTTATCTTATCCTGAGCAGAAGGTAGTGAATGTGGGACAGTTTAGGATAGGAGTATGTCACGGTCATCAGATCGTTCCATGGGGGGACCCTGAGTCCCTTGCAATGGTGAGTGATGTAACACTAATATTTTATAAAGATCTAATCAGTAAATCTCCTTTTTAGCTGCTTTATCTATCATCATGATAGAAATTAATTGGAGAGTTAGAGGTATATCAAGATACAGCTGATGAATTTGTCAAGTATTGTTTAATGTGTAATAGTTGTATGGAGTGTTGTTATGATAATAGTTTTGTTTTTGTCTTTAACAGCTTCAGCGGCAGCTCGATGTCGACATACTTATTTATGGCCACTCACACAAGTTTGCTGCATATGAACATGAGGGAAGGTTTTATATCAATCCTGGTTCAGCCACTGGAGCATATCATCCACTACAAAGGTAGAAATAAAAGTAAAATATACATCTGGTATCTCCAAGCTACGATCATTTCGATTAATTGTCATAAAGAAAAACAAGCATTTTTAGCCACTAAATTTGCAGCAAATTTTTTTATTTGGTGATCTGTACTTAATGGCCATGCAGTAGTTTTGTAAACATATACATAAAAGAATATGACTTGTATCTATTTCTTTTAGACAACTCTTTTTTCTTGTGAATAATATTTTATTTTTTGCAAGTCACCAAATGGCAATTTGCAAAAGGTTAAGCTTGGAGCCCCTCTTTAGAAAGGAATTTATGAAAAATAATAAAGAAATAAGGTAAATCTGTGAAAATTGAGTGAAATTTAAACAATTCTTTGCTAAAAAAATATTTTAAAGAGCATCTTTTGAGCACCCTTTGGGCTTTCCTTGCACTCACCTTGCACTTCTCTTCCATTTTCTGTAAACACAAAAAAATAACAGTGCTGTGCTCTATGAATACAGTGGTGGCTACCCATGGTGATTTTGTATCAAAACAATTTTTTTCCTCTACTGCAGTGACACTGTACCATCATTTGTGTTGATGGACATTCAAGGAGGTACTATTGTAACATATGTGTACCAGCTCATTCAGGATGATGTGAAGGTGGAGAGGATTGAGTACAAGAAACCAGTGTAATGAAATGGGTTCATCATCGTTTGTAGTCAGTTTTTTTTTAATCCCAGATGCTAATATTGTATATTAGGTATCATTCTGAGTGTAAAAAGACGTTTACAAAAAGAAAACTTGAAAATGTTTGACTTGTAACTGTAAAGAATGTAAAAAAAGGAATAGGAACAGTACAAGAGGAGACACAGTAGCTATGATTACTCACAAATGAGTTGCTTTTACTGAACTGAAAGAAAGCAACTTTATCTTAGTCTATATTATCAGTTTGATTTGTTGGTAACTGTTTGAATAAAAAGAGACATGTGACTTGTTCTTTTTGTGGAAAAGGGTTTAAAGTGGCAGTTTCTAAACAAACTGAATTTCACTTTAGTCTGCACTTCTATTGTGCAGGCAAAACCCAGCTTGATTAGGTGTACTGTTGTATACATTTTGTAAATCTTTCAAATAAAGGTTTGTAGCTTCTAAATGCATCTCATCCACATGCTTCAACTATTTTTATAGTTAGGTGAGACCTATTGAGGTCATAACTGTACTTTGATCATTTATCTGGGATAGGTATACTGAAGGTTTGAAGTGAAAAGATAAACTACCAAGGGTTACCCTACCCTTCAGGAAAAAAAGGAAAGGTCTCAGGCAAGGTGGGATGGGTAATAATCTTTGAACCACCACCTCAACTAGTTACAATGTAGACTCCAAAATGATTCTCCCAGATAACCTTAAAACCTTTACACCCTAACATCAGAATGCATATTCTCCGTACTTTTCTCTTTACATTTCCTAACAATCAGGGATATTGTAAGGAGAATTTAGATGCTAGTCACTCTTACTAGACTAACATCTAAATTTCTCTTACATTTTCACTCTGTAACCTAACATTATGGTCACAAGAATAAAGGAAATGATCACCAACCGGAGAAGTTCTTGACTGTTTAATTCTCCTTGTCAGCACTTAAGAATTGTGAAGATAACAGAATGGAGAATATGCATACTGATGTTAGGATGTAAGGGTTTAACTGGAAGTTTTCTCAATCAAGCCTGGCGTGTCTTTTCCAGCCTTTCCTTGCAAGTGACAAGGCAGGGAGATTTTTCAGCAAATTTCCTTGCACTTGTTTTGAACCCCCCCTTTACTATCATGATCAACTCATTTATTAACTCTCCTCTCTAGGTGCAAAACACTTCTTCTTAACCCTTTCACTCCCAAGATCTAATTAGTAATTCTCCTTATTATCTACCATACAATTCTTAAGATGCTAGTTCAGAGAACTAGGTATTGAGATCAACTAATAATCCCATAATTGATATTCTTCTCTATTTTCATCACCTACCTGCTTTATATTGTATTGATATTGTAAGGAGAAATTCTGTCTTGGTCACTTGTAGTAGTGAAAGGGTATAATTACTTACAGAGTAGGAGAAGTTCCATCTAACTCAGTTGAATTCTTACTCATTGACAGGTTTGTTTAATGTCTCATCCAGTTTGAGAAATGTATTGATGTGTGGAGAATGCACAGGTTGATTGCTATTACAGAGTTCAACAATTTTAAAATTTTTACAAAATTTAAAAGAATCCAATGCCAACACTGCAGTACATTGCAAGGTTATTAAATCAATTTTATTTTAAATCTTCTTAACAACTATCATTCCCTCTATCTCCCTGCCCTTTTTCTTACAACAATAAAATTAATAAACGGAAACTCCTCTCCCCAAGTAACATATAATAAAATTTCTGTGGAAAGAAGAGAAGCCATATCCTCCTCAATTGAAGAACTAATTGAAAGTATGTTACAGTCGCTAATGATGACCAAAATTAATAAACATTTAATTGGTAACACTTATCTGACCCAAAGCAAAATACTGTGTACTGAAAAAAAGGAAACAACATTTATGCTAGCTGACAGACCTTCCCTAGCACATGCAGAAAATTTGACATGATCAATATTATTATGGTAATCTTAAACTATAGAAATTGCAAAAAAATTTTGATAAATAGTCTATAAAATAAATAACTGTCTACAAATGTGCGTTTCCATGAAAAGGATACTCAGTGCCTTTTAAGAGGTTTTTTGTACAAAATTCAACTTTTAATGAACTTTTTAGGGTTTATATTCATTATTATGGTTCACAGGTGAATTTCTAACAAAACATTTTCCTGAAATATTTGGAAAATTTAAGCATCAATTAGAATCAAGCATAAACAAGACTAGCAAAAGGAATAAATGTACCATTTCTTACTGGTAATTTTATTATTTCCAATATTAATATTAGTGAGATAAACAAAAGGCAATATTATTACAACATCAATCAGTTTAGAAGATGAAATACTGTTACTTAAATCAAATGTTAGGTCTATCTTGCAAGAAAAGGACTAAGTTTTGACCCTCTATTTGAACTCAAGGTCCACATATAACTTATCACATTTATTTGGTCAACACAAAAACAAGGACCATGTTGGAGCAAATTTATCCCTTTTGTTTTCATTTTTGTCACTTGTTATCATGTACTTTTTTTTGCTCTTAGGTATTTTGTTAATTATGCTTTTTTGTTACGTGCTGTATGTAAATTTAGTTATATAGTTTGTTGTCTCACCCCTTTATTTTAACCAGTGTTTTTGGTGCCTATCCATAATCAGTGTTTGTAGAAGTAGATTTTTCCTTTTCTTGGTTTTCCCAACCACCACCCATAGGTATCCTCAGCATTTAGTAAGCAGCTTTATTTAATTTTTAATTTTGTTTTGCAGTGGCTTCTAGGTAGTTTGTCCTGTGTAGTAATTATTATTTTTTTGCTTTGTAAGAATTTACTTTTTTCTGACCATTATAGTAAAACATTTGCTGAGGCATTGTTTTGTTTTTTTGTCGAATTGGTCCTTGCCTGTTCAGAGCATATCTTATGAGGACTTTAGTAAGAAAACATCTTCATAAGCTCTCTTTGATTTTATTTTGTCCACATCTCCATTTATCCTGGAGAAAAAACTATGCCAAGTTAAATGCACAGTAAGAAAACATCTTGATTAGCTTGCTTTGATTTTGTTTTGTCCACATCTTCATTTATCCTTGAGAAAAAACTATGCCAAGTTAATTTCACTAGAAGTAGGCCCTACAGTCAACCATTTTACTATTAATTTTAAAATCACTTTTAATTAGTCTCAGTAAAAGTAATTTCAACATATAAATTGCTTTCATACATCTTTGTTACTCCTATAGAAATAGTAGGTGACCTTCTGAGAATCTATTAGGAGATCGAAATTGTCACTAGGTTGATTTTCAGTAAACCTAAAAAGCATAGACATTTATTACACGAGTTTGAAGAATATATTAGTCATGTTATTGATATGGAAATGTGACACATTTAAAAGTTGTCCTGTTTGGTAACCAGACATTTCGCACAAAAGACTTTTCACACAAGTCTTTTAGCACAAGTTTTGGACCATTCACACAATTCTTAGTGGTCATTTCACACAATAATTATAAGCAAGAAACATCAATATAAAAGGAATACTGATTGATACTGATAAGACATTTCACCAAGACTTCCACTGGATCAAAATGTTTGTCAATACGATTACTATTCTTACTTGAAGAGAGGAGAATTACGAATTTCTCTCTCTGTGAAAATGTAAAGAACTCCCTATTTGAATGACTACTTCTATAACTTTTCCTTGAAGGTGACAAGTGAAGGTAAAATGTCTTATCAGTATCAATTAGTATATCTTTTAAATTGATGTTTCTCACTTATAGTTATTGTGCAAAATGACCACTAAGAATTGTGCGAACGGTCCAAAACTTGTGCTAAAAGATTTGTGCGAAAAGTCTTTTGTGCGAAATGTCCTGTTTTTATCGCCATAATCACTCCTCTTGTTCAGCAGCAGCACCCACTCGCTGTCCCTCACCCCAGTTGAATCCCCCAGGCCTGTCTTCCTCTGGGAGGGGTTGGTAGTTTGGATCCTCAGGGGGGGCATCAAAAATGGCTTTCCTACATACAATTCAGACACAGAGAACTGATGTTAATGAAAGGTATGGAACAACAAAAGATCCCAGTCCTCTGAGAGGATTCAAAACCCCAGCCCCAGTTCTGATTTCACTTTCCTGTGCTTAGAAAAAACTTTGTTAGATATAACGTTCATCTTATTTATATTCCTAGACATATCTGAATTTTTCTCAAGGATATTTTAAAGATGTCACTTCTCCTTTCAACTTAATAATTGCACTTTTCTTGTAGTTTCAATTATTTTAGATCCATACATGAAGTTTTAGAGTCATATTAACTTTGCTTATCCAACCAACATGTTCCAAATGGGGTTAGAGCAAAAGGAAATGGAGAGTATCAACCCTTTCACATCCAGGAGTGAGCACTTCTCTGAATTCTCCTCACAATATCAACATGTTATCGAATGGAAGGGTAATTAAAAGAAAGAATTACATCAGCCAAAGAACCCTGTTGGATCTTAAACAAATTTCTCAGAGCTCAAATTAAAAGAAATGTATGGCAGACAGTAAGGAGAATTCACTTGAAGATCTTGGGTGTGAAAGGGTAAAGAAAGACCAGCAGATTAAGCAAAGAGTTTGGCAAATAAGGCCCCAAAATAAGACTGTAGGTTAAAAAAACCCAGGCTTGCACCAGAGACTTTCAGAAATCCTTTTTTCTTTTTTCTCTACACTTGATGGTAAGTAATTAATCAAAATTATGCAAAGTAAGGGTGTTTCAGAATATATTTCATACAGGATTCCTGGAGTCCTGAGTATCCTAAACCCTCCTGGCTGCTCTGGAAACACATCCTCCAAGAAATAATACACATGACCTACAGCAATACCTGCAAAGATTTGTGAAGTTTGTCAGTTAAAACTTTATTTAATCCCAAAAATATCAGCTAAACAATTAGTGTTTGGGACTCTCACTCAAATGGGGAGAAGGAAGCCAGAAATTTTATAATTTCCAACATCAGGCTAAAATTTAATGAGAGCCTTCAGGTCTTTCTAAATAAGAAAACAGCAATAATATACAGTATTTACTACTAGTAGGTTGTCGCATGGGCAACAAACAAAGTTTACAATCTTAATCAATTTAGCTACTTTCTAACAGTCCCAGGTAACTTAATATTAACTGAAACTGACTGAAAAAGCTGATAAGGAAATATCACAAAACACCAGTGATTTTCCTATTGACCACTTTGACAAGGATTTCTTTATAAATACAAGCTCTCTTAACCCTTTAACTCCCAGGTGTGATTAACATGTAACTTCTCCCTATAATATCCATACATTATCCAGCAAACAGGTGATGAGAATATTCAAACTTATCAGGTAGAAGCTGTCATCATGATCTAACAACAAATTCTTGTAACTAATTTACTAAGTGCATCAGCAAGAGAAGAGCATTTAACATCATATCTTGGGAGTTAAAGGGTTTACATACTTAAAACATAACTAGCACAACATGATAAAATTTCTAGTAGGAAAGATGAGGCAAATCTGAGTGAAATTACCTATAAGGTCCACCATGACAGAATTTCCCAACATGAGGGAAAACCCAAACAGCACCCATGGTAAATAGGGTGCCTTAAAAGTAAGAAGACCAAAAAAGTTCATTCGTATTAAGGGGTTTCTCCTGCTCCAGATGTACACTAACATAATGGTGAAAGCCTGGCCCAGAAAAACTAAATTAACAAACAAAGCAATCACCTGATGACAAGGTGTCAAGGAAATTTTAACTGAAAGAAAAATCTCTAGTATGAAATTTTCTGTTACAAACATTTAATGACATTTAACTATTCAGTCAAACATGTTCAAGTTATCACTCACATTATTAGTGACTAATTCATATGCTCTTTTCTGAGCAATGTTCCACGCATTTGATGTATGATTCATAAAGGATACAGTCATTATAGCTCCACCAAATATAAACATGAAAACAAAATCTGCTGTTCGTCCTCGGAATGACCCTTCCTCTAACATCCTACAGTAGCGGTAGCTTTCAAGCGTCAAGGAATTTTCATTTTTCATAATCATGGCAAAACATTTTTAATCGTGAAAACCATAAGAGTACGATCTTACAATATCACCCCTGAATGAAAAATTATGGTCATGACAGTAAAGGGAATGATCACCAGGTGGAGAGGCATATGATTGAAATTCTCCTTATTGCTAACAAAGGAAATGTACAGAGAAAAGTATGGAGAATACAATTAGCGATCTCAGGGTGTAAAGGGTCAATATCCATAGTATCACTTCATAAGCACTTAAGTCAACCATTTAAGCAGTAACTTTGCAAACTTAAAAATTAAAGAGAAGGATATGTGAAAATCATGTTGAAGAAGAAATTGAATCCAATTGTTCCAAAAAACATAAAATTAGTTACCAGTCTCCAAAACTAAAAAGTAGAAAAATTCTTCAATATCTCATCAGAAGAGTAATTTGATTACATTTCTTGTTTTTCTCCATTTCAGGGGCCGGTTGTGCAAAAGAGGGTTAAGTCTTAACCCAGGGTTAAGTCAGCCTAACCTTGGGGTAAAATTTTAGTCAAGTTGTTCGAAGGTTAACACTAACCTCAGGTTAAACAGTGGGTTAAATTTAACCCACTGTGTGAGTAGGCTTAAATAGCTAACCTCTGGTTAAATAAAGAATAAAAATGGTGAACTTGTTGTTTTTCAGAACCAGCACTCAGTTCAAAATCAACGATTTCACAGATGAAGAGCTGCGTGCACATTATCGCTTTAAAAGAGAGTCCATTTTATTTATTACAAATCTCGTTGCCGATGATATAACTTGCAACACTCAACGAAATCACGCCTTATCACCACTCCACCAAGTTTTAATTGCCCTCCGGTTTTATGCAAGTGGAGATTTCCTTCAAGTTGTAGGCAACACCTTTGGTGTGGATAAGTCCACTGTTTCTCATGCCATTACGGATGCGTCTCAAGCTCTAGCCGCAAAACAGCCCTGCTTTATCAAGTGGCCTTTGACACATGACAAATGTGCAAAAATTAAAAACAAATTTTATATTTGTGGAGGATTTCCTGGTGTTGTTGGATGTGTGGACAGAACTCATGTGAGATTACAAGCACCTACACAGTGAATGAATGAAAACAACTATGTAAACAGAAAAGGTTTTCATTCAATCAATGTACAAGCTGTCTGCAACCATGAAGGTGAGTAAACTTTTGGCTATAGCAAGACTTCCCAAAGAAAATAAAAATGTAGACATGTAAGTTAAAATTCATACACAAATCAAAAGGAGGACCGAGCTTTAACCTCAACAAAAATATTATTTGATTTGAAGGCATGTTTACCAATGTTGTTGCCCACTGGCCAGGAAGTATTCACGATAGCCACGTCATTTGCAGTTATTTGCAAAATAACCATCGCTCCCTAAATGATGGCGTTCTTCTCAGAGACAGTGGGTATGCCTGCAGTCCATCCCTAATGACACTATTCGAAACAACAAGAACTCCATCCTAAGAAGGCCTACAATAGTGCACACACAAAAACAAGAGTGGTGATCGAGCAAACGTTTGGCTGATGGAAAAGGCGATTTCATGTGTTCCATGCAGAAATTAGAATGGCACCTGAAAAAGTTTACATGATTGGGGGTGCTTGTGCATTGTTGCACAACATTGCTTTGCTGTTACACAAGCCTATGGAGGATAAAGAGGTAGAAGAGCTGGCAGATGTGGATCCCTACCATGGACCTCAACAGGGTCTGTCAATAAGGGACCACATCTGTCAAACATTTATTGGTTGACACTTTTAACATGTGTGCTGTCTTGACTTTCTGTGATCTTTTGTTATGTAAATTATTAATAGGTGATGAGTTGTAAGTTTGTTTAAAATACTTTTTTTCAAAGACTCCAAATTGCATTCGCCCATTTTATTGTCTTTAAAAAATTTACTCTGTAACATAATTACAAATGCAATTTGGTGTAAGTAAATCAAATAATTCAAATAAATTGTGGATTCTTTATTTTTATATTGTTACTTCACTGGTATTGTGTATTTGATATTGTACTAATATGCTACTGCAGAATATTGACCAAGGCAATGTGCAATAATGTATAATGTACTGCATTTCACCCCCCCCCCCCTCCAATGCTGATGGAAATATTTCTAGGCTTGTGCGTGTAAATTTTTCCATTTTTCTCTGACCTCAGTGGTCATCCTCCAAGCAACTCCTACGGCGTTGACAGCATCCACAATTTTACACCATATTTCATTTTTTTTTGGTTTGTGACGCTGTTCGTAAGTTTACTTTGTATAATAAAAAGGTTTTCCTCTACTTTTTCCGTTAAGATGGCTATTTCAGACGTGCTGAAATTTTGTTTACAGGCTTTACATGAGACTGCAGGGGGAAGCCATTCTGTAGCTCGCAACTTGCTCACCATAGTAACAATTTATTAAAAGAATATTATGGGTTGCTAACCTCAGGTTAGCTGCGCCTAACACAAGGTTAACTAACCAGCTCTTTAACCGTACTTTGAGAAACGCTATTTTAACCCTGTGTTAACAAACCTGCGGTTAAGAAATTTAACCCTCAGTTAGCCCTAACCTCAGGTTAGTTTAACCCTCTTTTGAACAACCGGGCCCAGATGTTTAAATTTTTACACTAAAAAGTAAATGACGAGTAAAAGGTTCTAAATAGAAAATGCATGTCATCTTAACAAGCTTACATTAACACACATATATATATGCACATTTCCATTGAAAAATGTTATCTATCAATAAGAAAATGTGATTTTTATGGAAATTAAAATGTAGCTAACGTTTATGATGTAGGTACACGGAAGAAACGACAAGAAAGACCAACCTGATATCTTTGAAATATAAGTTCGGGATTGAAATAAAGCTGGAACGGAGTTATCAGCTCAAGTTGCTAAAAACAAACAAAAGCAAGAAGAAAGATTATGACAGATCAGTCCCCTGCACAACGAGAAATTTCTCTGTTTTCTTCCCTGCATGCGAAGAAAAGCGGCAGAAACTTTAACTACATGGTCATATTTACCACTGCAAGTGTTGTTACTACACAGGCAGATGTATACGTCCGTGTAACCACGGGGATCTGCATGTATTCTTGTTGGAAAGTTTGATACGCCATCTTGCCTGAGCTTCCTCAAAGACACGTCAGTGATTCCAGACTTCTGCATTCATTATGATCTGCGAAATACTGGAACTAATTCGTCGTCATCCAAAATGGCGGATTCATCGGCGAAAGATAAGCAAGAAAGTTTATTGCCAAACACCGGGCAATTACCGCTGAGTTCGATCATTCCAGCCATTGAAGAGGCGAGAAAGCAAAGGCCTCCGTTTGTACCATCAGTTGGACTTCCAAATGTAATCAGAACTCCACAGGAACTTATGGTGGAAAGGGGCATGGAAAATTGTGCTTTCAAGTCAGTTTTAGCCGGAGTTGTAGGTATGAAGATGTCTTGCAGTTGTAAAATGCATTTAAGTGATATCACGAGCAATCTATTTAGTCAGTACCACTTTCATAGATGATCGTCTTCTTTCTTTGGAGAGTGAAAAAATTTAACTTCCGCGCACACCATACAGACCTAGAGATATTTTATTTCAGATCACATTCCATCCCATTCCACCCCCTTTTTCACAGTCTAGACCTTTTCGACCTAGTCTCTCCGCAAGGAATTAAGAAAAGCGCCAAATCCAAATTTGAAACAGTTTAAGTCACAAAAATTCTACAAGACTTACAAATAACACCAATAAAAGGTGGAAATGTGACCTTCTCTAGGAGATTTTGTAAACTGTACACTCAGGAGACTGGGATATTTGTTCTGTGTCCAAGCAATGGGGCATAAATGGGCTCTTGAGTATTTTTGTTCAAAGTAAGTGACATGTTATTGGGAAGAATAGCTGCCTGTTTTATCAATTGCACACTTTTTTCATACAGGTTATGGACTTGGTGCTGTGTTTGGTTTGTTTACGGCTGGAATGGACTCTTCTATGCCAAACCCTATGACTGGGGTCCCTGATCAGTCAGCAAAAGCCATTCTACGAGACATGAAGTCACGCGCAGTGTCATATGGTAAAAATTTTGGTGTGGTGGGTCTGATGTTTTCTGGAACAGAATGCCTAGTTGAATCTGTAAGTGTGCTGGATAAGTTTTACACCACTCAATTGTTTTATCATTGTGTTTTTTACAAAAGCCTGTGGATAATGTTACAGTAAGAAGAGAAGAATTAACAATCATGTGATTACCTTATACAATGGCATAAGAGTAGCACCAATTCTCTTATTGCAAAATGTGCCGCCCTTTAAAAGGTCACCTCCCTCCCCATCTGTTGTTTTTCTTTTTTTTTTCTTTTTTTTTTTCCCTAAATCCATCAATACAGTCTGGAAGGAAAGGAATAGTTAAGTCAAGATGGTTCAAAAACTGTTATAGTCCTAAATAGTATACAAACATGTCAATAAAATGTTATCTTTGCTATGTTAGCTTTCTCTATAATATTATTTTTCAGTTTCGCGGAAAGAGTGATTGGAAAAATGGAACACTGTCAGGTGGTATCACAGGAGGTCTCATTGGGCTTAGAGGCAAGTTGCATTCCAATGATTTGTTCCCATTTGAATAAATATATATCTTGTAAACATAAGAATAGTACATAAAGTACATTTTCCCTCCATCCTGGCCAAAGAGACCTAGAAAATGCACAAGCAAGTTTACATTGAGTAGTTGTAATAGGCAATGGGTTTGCATCAAGGGCCCGAAATGTTCATTTTGGTTTGTAATAAATCTTTTTGTGGAAATGTCAATATTTTTCACCAAGGTTTTTGTTTGTTTCACTAATGTTTTGTTTTTGTTTTTGTTATTATTTTTTTATGTTCATCTGTGTGTAGCTGGTGGTAAAGCAGCTGTTATGGGTGCCCTTGGATTTGCAGCATTTTCTACAGCTATTGATTACTATCTCAGATGACAGCAATTTCAACCCTTTCTTGGTACAATGAACATAAAGAATGAAGCAGAATTGCTTTTGAGTAGTCTGATTTCCTTCAGACTCTTCTTCAGTAATCATTTGAGAGGATTTGTGATGAGCTTTACAAAATGTGTGCAGCAGCCTTTTTGAAAATGCTTTTGATTAAGGCACATGATCGAATGTGGACTGGAACTGTCAGACTTTACGTTACTGGAGGTTTCTTGTTATGAGCCTTTCTTACTTTCAGATAGGCTCTGAACTGTTAAGTTTTGTTCATAGAGATATCAGGATCTCTTTTTCAGTAACAGAACTGATGACCATGTGTGACCACAGGAAGAAAACCGAAATGATGATGAAAATAAGTGGGGCTTAAACCATGCACAACAACTGGTTCACAGGATTATTCCTTTTATAAAGACAATCTAAGTAAACAAAACTGAGAAGCCTGATCAATCAATTCTGAACTTGTGTACACTTATTCAGAAAGAGGTCTCTAAAAATAGGCAACAAATGGCTGCATATGTCTCCTGCTAATATGCATAAAGTAGCTGTAACTAGAATTTATCAGGGTTTATAGTGAGTCATGTTGCAACATTTTTCAGGGGCTTCCCAGTTTCCAATTTCTGTGCTATGTTAGCATATTAAAATAAGTTTCATGCCAATCAGTCAGATTTTTCTAGAATGTCTTTATATTGTTTCACATCAGTATCCTAACTGTCAGGTATTTGTTCTTTCTTTGTTCAATTTTCATTTACCTTGTTTTTTATCATTGTATACTACTGTTATTAACATCACTTCTTCACGTATTTCAGAAACCAGCGGTTAAGGAATTGAATTTTGAAAATCTACCAGTGCATGCATTACAAACTCATTAAGCTCAATAACTGAATTGGTCAGAGAAAGCATTACCACTTTGGAAATTCCATGCAGTGGTCTTCCAGATGTGGTATTGAAGATTTCAAATCCCCACAAATAATTTCCAGTAGAATTTACAAGCTTGAATTGGATAGAAAATTTTGTATGAGGTAAAATAAATGAAAAGTGGTCCAGATGTTTGTACATTTGGATGGAGAAGGGGTGGGAGGAAAGGTTGCAAATGCATTGTGAAACCAGACATGAAACAGCAAAGAAGTAAATGATGCCTTTGGACACAAACAGAAACCCTGCTTATGTCAGCTAGTTGTAATAAGCAAATCAAAGGTAATTCCTTCAGTCTTGTAGAGTGGGCTACTATTACTACTTCAAAAGGTCTCACATCCATAGATAAAGCAGAACTTTTATACTATAATAATTGCTTCTGTTTTAAAGTAGTTTAATAGTAGCTGTAAGTCAAGATAAGTAGGTTTTGTTGGGATCTATATTCCATTTGGAACTTCCCTTTTTTTTTTTACATGGTACTTATAGCATGATTTGCACAATCTTTCAATATCATCCACACTTCATTGCTTTTTTGAGAAAATAATTTTGAATATCAGGATATTTTAGTGTTATATTTGTGGCGGATGAAACAGCATGTTTATACCAAAACTACATATGTAAAGTGGTCCTTCAGAAACAATAGTATGAAACTTTACTATTCATTCTCACAAAAGCTGTGATTGACTTTGCTTGTGGTACAAACTGTCTTCAGTTTTTCCACCCCTTACAATGCTTATCAGACTTTGAGTTTCATTGGCACTTAAGTATTTCATGTGCCTATGGATTTAAGTAAAAATTTTGGAGAAACCAATAACATAATGTGCAGTTTTTACAAATTACCCTTTCCTGAAAAGTGCTCTAATGAAAGTGGAACATTGAAATAACTTATTTTCAAGGACAAAAACACTAGACACAGATTTACACAGAAATCAAAAAGATAATGCAAGAGTTATTTTTTTTGGCTGGTTGGGTTGAGATGGAACACTTTGTAACAGAAAAAGAGCACGACTGTCAAAAGAACAAAAATATTGCATCACTTCACCTTAAGACAAAGGAAAAAAACCTAATTTATCTGAACTCACACAGGTATTTTGTGGTCTGTTGTCTCTATTGTCAAAATACTTCTAAGCAAAAATATACTACATTGTTGCCATGCTTACTGTGGTCTCCTTCACAGCTATTGTTTGGTCTCTTCTCACAATGCCCTCTATTCCCTGTTAATATGCCACCTGCAAAATTTGCTAGAGGTAAAGCTTTTCTTATCCCTGCTTTGCATTCATCTTTTGACAGAGACAACAAGGGGTCTTTGTTTTCAGGTCTTCATTTTCAGGTTTTTTTTCTTTTCAGGGTTGTTTTATTTGTAACTAGTGTTTGATTGCATACTTCATTTTTCTTATAAGATTAAAACAGAAGCTGGATATTTCCTGTGAGAAACCATAACAAGATCATGTTAAATAAAGAAAATAAAGAGGTCTTCATTTTCAGGTCCTAGGTCGTAAGTCTTTGTTTCCAGGGGGTCTTCATTTTTGCTATAACCCATTTCTCAGTGAAGGGGTTACCAAGGGTATATTGTTTACTTATGCACTTGGCTTTTTCGATGACTAAAGTGTCTGCCATTTTCTAAAGCAGTAGACACAAAGAAACCAGTAGACATACCAAAAATAAATTCTCAAAACAGAAAAGCTTTGAAAGAGGATTTGAACTTAAAAGACTCTGTACTGCTCTCTAAAGCAGTAAACACAACAAAAATGAGAAATTCTCAAAACAGACATGCTTTGAATGAGGATTTGAAATTAAAAGAATCCATTAAGCTTTTTTTGTGAATAGCAAAATAAAGTTAGATAGTCTGTAAGGGGAAATTAGATGCTAGTCACTCTTAGGGGTTACAGGGTTTATTGGGAGGAGGTGAATTAACATTGTTTGAGAGAAAAAAAAAGTGAAGTCAGTTTTGGTTTCAAATTGACAAAAGTTTTGAGAAATCAAGGATTTGTTAGATTGAAGTTCTTCTGTAGTAGAAATATTATGCTATTTGTAATGGTTCAGCTTTCAGTAATCTTGATTACAAACTCCCTCATTTGCTATTTGTTACCAAATTTACCAAATAAGTACTAATATTAATACTTAGTAAGTATCAATAGAGAGGGAACCATGGTGGATAGTACATGAGAGAGGGACCCAATAATTTCTGACTGAGAGACGAATAAAACCCAATGTGTGTGAATAAATTAGGTTGTACAATTAAACCTTTCACCTTAAATTTTTTCCTATAGTCATCCAGCATGGTGTCCTTCCCATAATTTACACCACATGTATGAGTTTTCATGTAATTCACCCAATGACTCGCTTTCTCAGCAACAAAAAGCATTCCAGGAGTACAGCATGATGGTGTGGGGCCAACAGTGAAGAAATACTTTGATAGATACCTTAACTGCATTAGATGTGGCCTATTGATGAGAAATGCAGCTATAGTGAAGTAAAATACCACCCATATCCAGATATTGTAGACATTTTTAGGCTTACATCTTCTATTTTCTTTAGAACACAGTAAATGGTGCATTAAAAAAGTTACAAAAGTTCCACATACACAACCACAGCTAAAAAGTTCAGGAAGGCGTTCTGGTTCCAGACTCCAAAATCCTTGAAGTCTTTCAGGATGATACAGTTTATAAAACAAAACGTTATTGGTTTGTAATCGAGAATCCATCAAGCGTTTTTTCTCCTCAATATGATAATACAAAGTCTGAAACAGCTGTGGATGAGGAAAGGCATCATCTTCAACCAGAAGAGAATACCTTGGTCTAGACTTCATGCTCTCCTCCAGGCAAAATGCATAATCTTGCTTTTCTTTCTCTTTAATATAAACAACCGGCAAACTTTCTGGTTCCACTGAGTACCGCTGAATATACTGTACCAAAGAAGAGAAGTTTTGTGCTTCTTCATAAGGCTTTGGATCCACATTGCATATTGACAAGCCAAATTTCCATGGTAATTGTCTTGTTTCAGTGCTGTTTAGAATTTGAAAAAACTGCCACAAAACCTGAGTTAAGAACCTCGGACTATTCCCATTTGGAAGAGAAATATACCGAGAAGTTGTGATGATCACGACGTCAATGTCCACATCTTTAACTGTCTTGGTAAAGTTAAATGGTTCACTTTGAAGTGCATTCCAAAACTGTGATGCAACAGCACTTCGCATCTCATTTTGTCTAATATGGTATGCCATTTCAGTTGTTTTGTTGTGGAAAGGGTTCTGGTAGTATAAAGAATACCTCATGTCTTTAAAAAGAAAAGGAAAAATACCAAGAAATGATATGCCATATACCAATAAACTGATCGCAGAAAGCTTGTTGAAGCAACATCTCGACAGAGACAGACACCAGCTTAGCATTGCACGTCTTTGGAAATCTATATAACGTTCGGATCCGTTGGGCTTAAATCCTACCGGCAAGAGGTACGCCTGAGGAGCACTAGTGACGAGTTTCCGATTCGGGTGATTGTCGTTAGTATTTTCTAAGCTTCCTGAGATCCTATTGGCTAGAGGGTGTCTACAAAACGAAGACCGAAGACCGAAAAACGAAGACTTAATTTTTTTGCCCGAATAAAGCACGGACACGGACTTTCGAACGCTCGAAAGCTCCAGTTTTGTAAGCAGACGTTACAAATTATTCAAAGAGAAATTAATTGCTATTACAAATACGGTTCAATGCGTCAACGAGCAAAGTGTTAACCCTGTGTAGCGCATCTTTAGCTTACGAGCATTATCCTGTGTGTTTTAGTTTACAAAATTCTTAGAGCAGTGTATTATCAAACGGGGACTAACTGAAATACCTGAGTGCCCCTCCGGATGTCAGACGCCAGTTGACGTGAAATCAAGGGGGTCTTCCTTTTGTAGAAAAGACCCTCTGAATCTGCAAAACGAAGACCCCCGCTAAAACACTCTGTCAGACACCAAATGACGTGAAATCAAGGGGGTCTTCGTTTTGTAGAAAAGACCCCCTGAATCTGCAAAACGAAGACCCTCGCTAAAACGCTTTGTCAGACGAAAATGTCATGACCCCGTCGGGCAGCACATACCCTTATACGCAAGGTATAGGAGTTCCCCCTCCCCCCCTTCCCCGGAGTCTGACAAAGCGTTTTAGCAAGGATCTTCGTTTTATAGATTCAGGGGGGCTTTTTCTACAAAACGAAGACCCCATTGATTTCGCGTCAATTGGCGTCTGACAAAGCGTTTTAGTGATGGTCTTCGTTTTATAGATTCACTTTTCTAAAAAACGAAAAAAAAGGATTTCGCGTCAATGATCAATAAAACTTTTATTACTAGTTTTGATTCAGGGGTCTTTTCTAGAAAAAAAAATTTAATCAATTTTCAATCTGTTTGGTTCGTTTTAATGTCCAAATGGTAAACCTAACCATTTGGATGCTGAAAAAGAAAGTTCAACGAGACGAGAGGATGAACGACTTGTTAACCAAGCAAAATATCCAGTGGCAGTTTAATCTCAATAGAGCTCCAGACATCATCAAAGGTTGTTTGAAGTGAGTATGTAAAACCGATAAACGGCATTTTAGTGAGCAACGTTCCGCCATTCACGGACGCAATTTCAAGGTTGAAAATGAAATAATGATTAACCTCTAGATATTATCATCAACAAGAATCGAGTGTAACGTTTCGGTCACGATATGGAAAACATGAGTTCTCAAAAGGTTTAAAATTTCAAAAGTTTCGTCCAAAGGAGGTAGACTTCGTTAGGCTTATCATCGACATCGTAACCTTCCTCTGAGGGATTTCAAGTGCTCAAGCGCACTAAGGAACGCGGGCTCATTTCCCGAAGCAGCGGCTGGTAATTAATCGCTAGTACAAGTAAAGGTCGATGAAGGATGTACACGCAAACGCACCGTGTTTGAATAAGCAGGAACCTGTTGAACAAACTGGCTAACGTGTTGGACAGGTTGGCTAACTTTTTCATCTAGGCAGCCCTTGTACTCTCAACCGGAAGCCTCGTAAAATTTCTTCAATTTCAAAGGGCATTGATAAGTCCTTTGGCGTTTATAAAGTGATAAAAATCCCGTAGGAAGAACGAGACCAAAGTTAGTCCCAGCAAACTTAAACGAACTATATTGGTTACTAGGAAAATTTTGACATGGTCAAGAGTTTATATCAAAGAGTTGCAAAATGAATTATTATATGAAACTATTCCTGGTTCATATAATGTATGTTTTAAATATCCTTCGAGACGCTTTGTTTCTGGGTTTGTGACGATGTTACTATAAATTTTTTTTTCAAGTGACTTTTCTTAGAATTTACAGACTTTCTAAATAATCTAAATAGGCTAACATCGTTTTTTATGTTTCTTTTGTTTTGTTTCGGATTTAAGTGTCTTTGTTTGTTTTATCACGCGATCAAGACTTAACTAGCAGTGCAAGATATGACCATTTTACCTGCTCTGCATGGTAACAAAACAAAACAAATATAACTTGTTTTTCATCTTGTGCACTTGCACATATACCAATCATACGAGAAGGGAATTGCTAAATGCGAACGGTTTATTTCACCGACTATTAAAATTAACGACACTGAAAAGGCTTAAAACTAAATGGTATTTCATCTTAACTGAAATGTTCATAAAGTAAACACTTTGCATATTTAATTCATCTCTATTCAATTTCAACAAACTCGATGATAACACCTGCATGTTCCTTTCACGAGATTTTGAATAAATTCATCAAAAATACAAAAGAATCCAACTCAAGGAAGCTGTGAAGAAACTCTCAAGTTATTATCACTTAGTAAAATAACACAATTCATAATGCCTTTGTTCCTTTCTTTATTCCTTATTATCTTTTAAACGCCGGCGACATACAGAGCTTTTATATTGGAACGCTCATTTATTAAATGAATATTTCATTAAGCTCTTATCTACAGAGCTCTATCTCTAAATATAGGTGAAAGCATTTTTTCCCTTCGTAAATTTTGTTTGGCTACGAACAGCAGAATGTAATTGATAAGGACAAAGAAAAACATTTTATAGTTCAATAGCATCGATTAAATGTAGTGTGTTGCGGTTTAATTTTTTCTAATTTTCATTTTCTGTCTCGTTGTCTTGTATTCATTATTATAGTAATCTATACCAAAAGAAAAGAAATATAAAGCGGTTGGCAACATTTTAAACAAATAAAAACATAACATTGGTTTAAAAGATCGAAAATCGCTCAATTCCAGCGAACTGTATGAATTATGGATTCGTCCGGCAGGCAAACATAATCACACTTTTGGAGTTCTCTTACAATTTCCTCCACTGTGTCATCTTCCATTGTTTTTGATAAAATTTCTGGCGTGTCTTCTCCCCAATTTTGAAGCCTGGCACCCCAGTAATGGTTAAGTCTTATCTTATTTTCATCAGCGTCCACTGAAAAGCCATGTGACAAGTCGTGGTGATGGACATGAGATTGCTTTATATGCGAAGTCTTGTAGATGGGTTTAACCAAATCGTTGGCCGGTCTGTGTGTTCTCCGCTTGAGGCGGTCGATAAGGATCGGGTGTTGCTTATCGCTCAGAGGTTTACCAAGAAACAGGAAATTTTTCATCGTTATCTGAGAAACACGAGGTTGTTCTCTAGAAAAATTAGCTATGAAACGTTGCATAAAATTGGGTTTAGTGTCCTCTGGACAGAAAGGGTACTCATCCATATCGATGCTTGCCTGCCAATACGATTTATTGCCCCAAGTTTTTAAGCAATGTTGATAGGCACTTTCCTGAGTCCCAGTTATTGAGTAGGGAAACGCGTTGTGACTCCAGTCCACATGAGTGACGAAATCTTCCTTTACGAGGAATTCGAGAGCGTTCTTTTGTGATTCATTCTCATAAACATAAGCATCGTACACGTAAACATGTTCAAAACCAGCGTACTTTAGATAATAAAGCCATTGGAGTAGTTCTCTTGTGCTGAGTTTTGCCAAGTCGCTGGAATAAATTCGTACAAGCAAGACTCCACTGAGAAAATACGTCGAACTGGCTGTGTTTTTTTTATGACACCAACGTTGACAATCATTTGTATGAGCTGATCCATCTTTTGTAGAATTTTGTATCACAGTCGATTTTTGTTTTATACTGAGACTTGCATTTAGAAGCAGCGATACCGCATGTTTGAACTTGCCTCCGACGAAATTCTTTCTATCGAACTCACGTATACCTAGTTCTTCCCCATTTAGGTGATAAGTAATCATCATAACTAAGACTGTTAAAGAACACAACCACATGGCCCTGTAATATTTTCGGCTGCAAAGTACTTGTAGGAAGCCAACCTCTTGAATTGGACGATACCTTAGATGAAGCTTCATCATTTGCAATACAAAGCTCAGATGAGGTTATTTGTCAATAACGTCGCGTAGATCCGATGGAATCACTGATCTATGCCACTGGAAGGTTCATTGGTTACGTTGATCAAAATAAAACGGCTTTTAATGACGGCGAGAAAGATGCTGGTTGACCGCTAATATATTGAAGTTTCTTTGAACGATTCAGCTGTTTGTATTCCTTGTATCACATTACTTGCCAGTTATGTGGTTCAAGCCTAGCCAGTGAGATTACAGATGGACTATTTTAACTCAGGATCTAACAAACCAAAAGGGTTATCACACTCTAAGATTGCATCCAAATTCAATAGAATCTTCAAATGAAGTTTGGATCGTTTCAAGCTGTCACCAGTTGGATGCAGACTTCCGTCTTCCAGCCAAAATATTGACAGTCTCACCACGAGCATGTCTATTATGGTGCTCTGAGGTGACCTTTGGTCAGACGTTTTTGCGAGTTCCTGAATCAGAATAAGGGAAGATAAGATTAAAAGCATTGAATACAAAGAATTTTCCACAATTATGAATATTGGTCTGGGATTGACGACAACTTAATTGATATAATGTTTCAAAGGTGAGTTGATATTGAATACCGTGTATGTGTCTTCATGACAAATTTATTTGACGGTTGTGATTTGAATTACACTCTAAATTACAGGAATTGTTAATCAAGCTAATGATTGGAAAAACGTTTTTTTCTTTTGTTATTTTAACAATTGTTTTTCGCTCAAATTTACACGTGAGTTTGATATATTATTCTGTGTGTGTAACCGTGGAGAGCGTGGACAGAAGTTTCCGAGTTGTACAACGTCGTGAAAATCAATAAAGTTCAACCTGAAACTGTGACCCCAAATTGATCAAAAGTTGCGGATTTGAAAGCCACTTTTGGCGGGCATATTTAAAAACTTCATGATAAAGAATTTTAAATTGTTGTTGTGTTTTTTAATATTGCAATAGGAGAAGTATTTATATGATATAAGCAATATATTTTGGACGGTAGTTCATAATCTTACGGTTTTATTGCGTTCTTACGGTCCGTTAACTTAAGGAAAACCGTTACAAGTCCAGTAAGTCATTCTGGTGACTAAAAATTATAACTGTACTAAACTCAGAAGCGTGACACCATAATCAGAAAATCGATCTTCGAACTCGAAATTAATTACGAATGGAAACTGAGTGATAGTGTTATTTTTTTGTTGAACCGAAGCTTACAAACAAGGTTGCTTACTGCTTACGACTAAGTCGACGAGTTCGTCAAAGAATGAGTAAAAGATTGTTATTTCCGGGTTTACTAAGAAGTAAGGTCTCTCCGTATTTCAGTAAATTTGCTTTCCAAAAAACAATAGAAAGTGGTTTTAAGTAAATGCTGTTCAATTCGAATTCGAATCATAATTATGTAACCACTTGAAATTTTTAAAGGCTGACAAACTCAATTCTCAATTCTTGGTCATGCGAAAGGAATAACATAAAAATTAAAAGAAAATTAATTGCTAAAAAAAAATTAAGCATCCCAAAAAAAAAATGCGTAACGATGTAAAACAGAAAATAATTCATAAATCTTAAATATAAATTGATAAATATATAGAATCAAGTTAAGCCAATGCTTTCTTCAAGACAGGTATATGAATGAAAATATCTTGCGACAAAAAGCTTAGTTATAGATAGATTAGGAAATAGTTTACCAAATTTAATCCTTTTGAAATCAATGTTCTAGTACTGTTGCTCGGTTTTGTAAACACTGCAATTTTCGGTATTTTACGTATTTAACAACCATTTTTCAGTATTCATGAATTAAAGACTGAAACAGCTTTTCGCTTTTTGATGTTGGCTGATCCAATGCTATGGCATATCATAAATTCCCCTCGTTTTAATTTATTTCTTTACTCGCAGTTTAGTATACAGCGATTCAGTTGAATCTTGTTTTACCCCTCGATAAAATAGTCGGCCTGATTTCTGATCTGATTTCCCCTAATGTCTCCTTGATTTGACGAACAGATTTCCAATGATCGAAACATGTATAGAACACTGGAGTCTAAAAAAATTGAAATACTCTCCAAGAGTAAAGGTATTTTATGAATCATTGAGGAAAATTTTGTGGCCTGAATCTGCTGAGTAAAAAACTGAAATGTCTGTAACATGAGAGCTCACACAGTAATCACGTTTGTTGAGACTTCTATTAGAACCCTCCACATCAATAAAATTTTGGGGTGAAGTTATTGTTTTCCTGTAGTTATATTCCAGAAGGTGTAACACCAACCTGCATTGCATTGGTCATGGTGATTCGCAAGAGATTATAAATAGTTCGTCAGTCTGAAATTTTAACATAACAGCTCTCTTATTGACTGAATACTCCAAACTATCAATGAAAATGTATTCATCAATTGGAAAATCCAACAATGAGCAATTCTTTAGAGTGAAAAAAGTTCATGTCGATGTTAACAGAATCACATTTAGACTCACTCTACATTAGCTAATTATTCACGGACCACACGAGAACCGAAAACGAGTTAATTTCTATGAGTATGCCAAGAAATGGTAGGAAATTACCGCGAATTGTGCGCCTTTTTTTTTGTTTGCGTTCAAGACCAAGACGAAGTCGAGTTCCATGAAAACACGGAAAAAGAAGAGGTTAATATTCAGCCACCTTGATCGAACGAGCAGAAAAAGAACTCAGCCAGTATTCAGCCAACTTAACCTCAAGCTTGGTCAATAAGGCAAATGTATTGGTCAAATATCGATTCAGTAGTTATCAAACTGATTCTTTGCCCGGTTTATATAGTCGGATACTTGCTTACCAGTTGTTTCGTACCCATGGATGTTCCCTACCCAGTCGATTCGAACTCATCTAGGACCATTCGTAACCAGTCAGATTAGTCGTTTCGTACCCATACTAATCAAGCGTGGTCTCCATATCAAGTAGGTATAAAGTAAGGTCGGTATGTTAAACGCGTGAAATATTTTGTGAAATCTCCTGGTTGTCGTCACCAAGATAACATTACCTGAATCTTCCCTCGTTGTCACTGAATGTTGAGATGTGTACAAATTGTATGACCAGCGGATCGGGCACGAACCACAAAAACCGTAAAAGGATTCTTTGAAAGAACATCGAGTTCAAATTTAACTATTAAGTACTCTTTAGGGGTTTTATCCTGACCACATGACACGAGATGAGGCTCCTAAAAGATTCCTCTTAAAAATGTGCTGGTTCTGTGCAAGGTTCCGTTTCCCTGTTAGCGCATGATGTTTTCCGGGTTATGGCGAAAACCCTTTAAGAAAGGCAGTTTTTTTTACTTACAAGTTAGCTTTCTGTGTTTTGGTGATGTGCTTCTCTCGCAGAATTTCACTTTTAGGGTGTTTTACTATAGTGCTTCCAGGTATAAATATATATTTCATGCACGCTAAGCAAGATGCAAAAGCTTGAAAATAACAGCAACGAATGGAAGACTAATGTACTCTCAAATGTAAGAACACAATCTTGGTCGTATCACGATAGGTCTCAACCGAAAGATTGTAAAACCAAGAGCGTATTAAGAGTATTTCGTAGTTACTTCTATATATATAGTTCTCAGGAGCCCTGAGGCTTCCTCGTCACCAGCGCTAGGTGGGCGACACGAACAGAAATATGTGCATTGAGAGGTCTCAGCTATGGACCTCTTTCATAATAGTGTGCGATTAGTTATCTTTCTATGTGTGCAAATTAGCTTTCTTAGCCTTGCTTTTGTGTAAAAACTCTATTTTTTAAAATATTTTGTCGAAGCCAGAAAGTATAATTTACATGAATTTAAAGATTGAGAATTAGACCCACCAATAACCCTACCACACTAAAAGTTTCTAATTTTTCTCTGCCGATTGGAACCGATCTTTTTTGCGCAAAATCTGGGTCCATAACAGGTTTACTTGGTTTGTAGCGGCTCTGATTAAACTGAGTTTCTCCGAGAGCCAGTTTAACCAATAACGTTTCTCCATCAAAACCAGTCTCCGAATTTGTCGTCATCTTTTGGAGAGCAAAGATGCATTGAAAACAAGTGGACGTACAGAGATTTGATAACTTCCCCTTCAACTCCCTAAGGGTTTCATTGGACGTCATAGACAGAAATCATAGGGTGGAACTTTCCTTCATTTTCCACTAAATGTATTCATAGTAATGTGCATTTGATGTTGAGGCATAAAAAAAATATATATAACGAAAAACCTTGTAAAAACCGATAATTACGGCACGAGGACACAAATTTAAGTTAGCGTAAAGACAGCCTATGCCTGTTGTAAAGTTCTGGTTGAGGTAACTAAAGGTCTCACGATAATGTTGTTTGTTTCATTAGCATGGAAGGAGGGGAGGAATTTCTGGAATTATTATGAGTATAAGAGAAATTTTGGACAAACTATTTCAAAAAACTCTTAAAATGGCTATGAAACAGAAATGTTTACATCAGATGTCACAATTTCAGGGTCATCTTCACAGTACACTGGTTCAGCGCAATCCTTCCATAATGTTTCTGGTACTGTTGCCAGCACTTCCCTGGGAAACCAATGGATTCCAGAGTCATTGAAGATATCACTGTGATGAAAAGTGTTAGGAATCGGTGTCTCACTCGTATACGGAAGTATCTGAATGGTTACAGGTAAAGGAACAAAGACAACAAACCAAAGGTTATCCATAATAATTACAACTTCTAAATGAAAAAAATTTAATGTTTGAGTTGTTTTTGGAATAACATTTTACAATAAACTAGCTATTATCACAGAATTATACCTCTTTTCAGTGGCACATTTGAAAAACTGATGAAAAGGTGATCTAGCAAAAGACTGAAGAAAAAAGTGACAAAAATGTTCTTATACAGTCACAAATAGCCTTAATTGTGACAAGTTGTTGCCCAAAGATAGTTTATATGAAACAAAAACAACTACATGTTTTTTTCAAGTAGTGCCTAACCACTATCTTGGAATAAAGGGGGTAAGTTTCTAAAGAAACTGTGGTGCTGCATTAGTGGGAGAGTATCACAGGGAAATTTTGTGTTATCAACTGAGTTGATAATGTAGATTGGCCACCATAAAGAGTTTAAAGGCTGACATTTCGAGTGTTAGCCCTTCGTAAGAGTGATTGGAAGCATGGATTAACTTCCCCTTAGAGCATGAAATTTTTTCAGGCTTCTTTTTCAGTTAACCTGTGAAGATTTTTTTCCTAATTTTAGATTATTGTTAAATAGCAATTAGGTTACCTATAGGAGCTTATTAACTGTCAAAGTAGAATTGGAAAACAAAGTATCTCCTTAAGAAACTTAACTCCCTCTCTGGCAACACTCTTGGCATGAAGTTTTAAATTCAGATTTAAGATGTTATATAGATGGAAATATGATAGACTGAAGAAAAAAGATACATTGTAAATATATGATGCTTCTTCTCTTAGCTTTCTGGAGGGTATTCTGTAGAGAACAATATAAAAAAAATTGATGTTCCTTGATACCTATCATTTAATGCTTAATCAAGGTAAACTTGTATCTCCTGTAACCAAAGTAAGTGAACATCTTTATTCAGGCTTTTCCTGAACTAAGGTTTAGTCCAAGAATTATTATTTCTTATGTTCAATTTTCTTCTTTTTTATTTGTTCAACCAACCAACCCACTTTCACAAAAGGGAAAGCCATGGAGCACAAAAACAGTTGATGGTAATGACCTAAACAAAAAAAAAATTAAACAAGACCCCTACCTTTCTTGATAGCTTGTAAATCTGTTCCCAAGAATGATAACATTGGATAGCCCCAGACCCCAGTTAGCCCAAAGAACACTGTTGTAAAGGGGTTTACCACAATGAAGCATGAAAAAAAGAGTTAAGTTTTCTACCCTTCTCTTTCCTTCCTAAAAAAAAAGAAGAAAAAAGAAAACAGTCATTAGAGTAATTAGACTAAAGTGTAGCATTGTTTTGACTCCTTCATGTTTCAAGCGTCCATCACCTTTTATTCATAAATCTGATACTTAAGAAAGAAATCTTACCTCATTGTGATCAATAAGAGAACATCCCAACTCTTCAACAACTACTTTATCATCTTGAGAAAAATGAGGTTCATAGATGAAACACAATCCACTAATCTAGTCACAAAAAAATTGATAGAGAGATTATTAATTACAAAACAATTCTACCTAACCATGATGGAAAAGATCACTGCAATTGAATCTCCATAACAGTCAATAAAATATTGCAGATCTGTTGTTCAAAAACATCCTAGAAGTCTCTTTTGGAAATGTACAATAACATGTTACAACCCTATTTCTAAATAAATATCATCCTTAAAGTAAAAAAGTCTAATGCTGAGTCACAGGTACAATTCATACTTATCCTAGTTTCTATGCCCAAGTTGACTAGGAGTATTGATTATCCTCCTGAATGGGAAACTAGGACATAACAGGTTACTGCAAGAGGTTTTTATCATTTCCCAGATAATTTTGGGTACCCAATTTTACTGCCCTTGTAGAAGTAAGTGTGAGACTTAGGTGGCTTGTCTAAGAAAAAGATTAGAGAAATAAGTGTTCAGCAGCTTTGCTATTTGGACAGTTAAGGATATCACCAGACATAAGTACCTTTAACAACTCTCTCAATAACAGCAAAAAGGCAAACTGATATCTAGCTATAGGACATGAAGATAGTTTTCCAATTCCATAACAAACAATATCAGTAACAGGTTCTTCTGGGATGACTTTAAATTTGTTATCTGGTCCAACAGCAGACTCAGCTGGACAACAGGACTTCTTCTTATAATGACCATCACAAAGTAGTTCTAAACAGAAACAAAATTGAGGACTTGTTAGGGAGGGATCCCTTTGTATAGCACCTCTTTGTACCTCCTCTGAAAAATGATCCTTCCACTGGCCAACTAGTTAATGAGTAATTAATCCTGGCAGGCAGCATGGTTGAGCGAAGAGCACAATGGACTCTCAATGCAGGGTTCCAGTTCTGCTCGGACCACCAGAATGCCTGGGCCATAACAAAAACCACTGGGTCACCAGCAATTGTACCACCCTTACTAGGCCATTTTTTTTTTTTTCATGGTTGAGTGAGACATCCTTGATGAAATATTAAAATTTTTAGGGTATGGAACATGTAATATAAATGAACAATAGTCTCTTCCTGTTTGTCCAGGGTTTAGAAACTGGGCCTCAGGTGGATAAGTGAGGCAGAAGGGGGTGGGGGTGGGGGTGGGGAAGGGCTAAGGAGGGCTGACAAAAGTTGACAGATAATGCTCTAATTATTGTATTTTACCTTGAACATTTAAAAGAAACTCACTCCCGAAAATTTCTTCCCTAATGGATAAAATATCTGGATTCAGTAAAGTAAACATGTAGAACCTTCATCTTCAGTACATCGTCAAGGCGAAATACAAAACTTTCGTAAAAAAGTAAACCTTTGCCTGCCTGCATTTCTCGATTTTCGTCTTTAACTCATTTACATCGCACTTTTCTGAATCATAGGAGGTCGAGATGTTCCGAGATTTCACTAAAGATCCGTTTTTATCTCTGTTATTCCTGTGTTTGCGACCTTTACTTTTCTTTACCACTCGAAATCCATCGTCGTCCGCCATTTTGTTTAAACTCGTCGTTTCCAGAGCCCGCTCACCCGTTCATTAAAATCCTTTGGGGGTGGGGTGAGGTGAAAGAAACAGCCTTTGTTCTCATTAAGCGATCCATGTATCTCTCTCTCCAAATGAACATCCCAGTGGAGAGAAGTGTAACACAAATGCAGACAAGCTTGTAAAGCAAAAATGAGGGCTTAGAAACTAGGTTGATGGTTGAACATGGTGAACCCAAACCTTCAGGGGTGAGGCAAGGCAGAGGTGTTGCCCTTTCCAACAACCCTTCACCATCAGTATTGAAAGCAGGAATCCATCCTCTTTCTGGCATGCAACACTGTGTTTTGGGGGCATTAAAATTTTTTTGCTCTCATGGTAGGCAGCTTGTAGCAAAGGAAAGTGTTTTTGCAAGGAAAGGGTACACAAGCCAAAGGATTGACTTTGTACATCAAAATGTTCCCCATTTTATTGTTTTCATACACCAATATGGCTGCCTTGACATCATTTGAAACCCTCTAAAAAAATCCAGCTTTAGCATTCAAACAATAGTTAAAATGTAGCATTAAAAATTTGCTGATGATAAATTAATGTACATTTCATTCCCTCATTACCACTTCACCCCTATTTATACTAAGCAAAGGTTTGGAACTGAATTAAAACAAGAATTGGGAAAAGAAGGAATGCAAAGTTCATTTTCACTGAAATGTAATTTTAAATTAAACTATCCTGTTAACTACATGACTGAAAAGTAGCAATTGCATTAAATTGTAAGAATCAGTAACAAGGCATTTGCAAAAGCTAGTAAAAGTTAACAAAAAAATTACACAAGGTGAAATAGAACATCAAATGCAAAATTAAAAAAAAAAACCAGATAATTTAAAAACATCCCCTGATGCAAACAAAACAACAGTGATATCAGTGTTCATCAACAGTAAATATTGCCTAAGCTCTGTGTTGTAAAAAGCTGGCTAAGATAAATCAACATGATTTTGCTATCTATAAAGAAATAAAACATTAACTTCAAACATGAATGACCTGGTCTAGCCCAAGCAAAAAGAATAAATAGGCTATTTATAAAATTATATTTACAAATTTATATCAATCATATCCATGAGGAGAATGAGTTTCAACTTGCAGATCTCCTACAATTTTATCAATTAGACTTCTCCATGCCTTTATGAGTGGTACAATATCATTGTCACAAAAGTCATGTAATGTACTAGTAGTATTCCAGTTGTTAATAGTTTCTTGAATACATAACTTACTTTCAAAGTGAAGAACTCTTTCAAGGAGACAGCCTTACTTGTGATCAAACTTTCCCTATTAGTAGATCAGAGTTCAACCATCTGAACTCTCTGATTGTTGCAACAAAAACCATTGAAACAAGTTAATTCAACTTCATTGTAAAAGCTGTGTCTAAAATTATAGATTGAAAGAATTTTAAGCAAGTATAATTTTAGCACTGTCTCCTGTGCAGAGTGACCCACACTCTCAATTTATGAAAAAAAAAAATTATCCTGAGCAGGGAAACAATCTTTCAGTTATTAGATGAATTCATTTCCTTGTATTCTGTATACTTTTTGCTTGATCCCTTCACCAGATCTGCAGGATATTTCTTGGAATTCAATGCTATTTTAGCCACCACCTCCTTGGGAAGATCAACATGGCATTTTTCTGCAAGTCTGACCAGGTAAATAAGTACATCACTGAGTTCTTGGGCAAGATGATGCTTATCTTTCAGAGACCAATCTGAAAAAGCAATCACAAACAATTTACTGAGATGTTGATCAAAATCCACCCATTAGGATGAACAGTTGTGAGTTTTTGCTTTCTCTAAGTTTTGATTACTACCTGATTTTAAAACAAGAACTACTCATACAATAAATGGATTATTCTGATGCTAGTCCATTTACAGGTCATTCCCCACTTTCCATTATGTTTCTATGATCATTTGCTGGGGTCATTGTTCACTTCTACTCTTAGAGGTGCTACAAGAGTTGAGTGTTTTGCCCAAAAACTCAACATAATGAGTAGCCCTGTGCTCTTGTTCTGACCTCTCCATCTTGTATTTAAGTGAACCAACAAATAGGCCATATTCCTTATAAAGAGATATGTTAGCCTATCTAACAATTGTTATACTTGATTCCAGTGTGAGAGGGCCAAGGTCAAGACCTTGCCAGGTTATTGTGTTGTGCTTTTACTCCCCCCATGCCTCTCTCGCCAACAAGGACTTGGCTATTATAACTTAATACAAGAGAAAGGAATATTGCTTTGTTTCTTTCAGATATTTTAGTGTGGAGATGTTCATGGAAAGAAAGTAAGGACACTTCTTACACTCACCTGGGAGTCCTTCCTTTACTTCACCTTTCCATTGGCTATAAATATGAAAAAGGATAGAAGAAATGACAAATAATTAAGCCTACCAGTAGGTACTTGTTCAATTGAACCTATCTTAATGTTTGTGGTACAACAGGACAACAAACTTTGAATCAGTAATATTTCACTTACAATAATTCTGCTACTTCTCCAACTTCCCCAACCTACAACAAAAGCAGGGATAAAAACTTGAACAAAATAGGGGCTTTGCATGAACATTTTAAACAGCTAAATAATTATATAACTATAGAAGATCTGTAACTAGACTTCATGATAAATTAAAACAATAGAAATGTATATTTCTCCAATTTAGGAAAGAGTTGCACTTAGAGAACACATGGGAAGGGGAAGACAACCTGGGGGGAGGGAGAGGGTAATGAATTTAGAATATATCAGCTGCATAGATATAGGCAATAATTTTATATATAAGTGGGGAGCCTACCCTTGGGTAGCACCTAAACTTAAATTTGATTGTGTCATCCTTTCCACACTGTTTTGAATACGAGAACCAAACAATGTCATGGAGAGCATGTACAAAAGAAATAATTCAAATTTGGTAAATCCTCCCTTTACATGTTAAGTAGCTGAATTTTTACACAACAGTGACCTTGGTGATCCTCAGTTTGCAAGAGAAAGAAAAGATCTGGTTTTCTCAGAAACTAAAGCACAAAAAAAGTGTATTAAGTTGAGTGTAAGTCAATTAGTTCAACTCCCAAGACACGTTAATCAGTAATTAACCCTTTAACTCCCATGAGTGACCAAGACAGAATTTCTCCTTACAGTATCAATACAATATCAAGCAAACAAGTAGTGAGAATAAAGAAATATATCAATTTGAGGATAATTAGTTGATCAAATACTAAATTCTCTGAACTGAAAAATAAGAACTGTATTGTTGAAAGTAAGGAGAATTACAAATTTGATCTGGGTGTTAAAGGGTTAATTAGCAAGTTCTCATACCATTGCAAGCACAAGGTTTCTGGGCTGGTGAAATTGGTCCCAGTCTCTTTCTTTAGCAAACTGCGACTGCATCTGTCGACTGAAAGTAAAGAGGGAAACTAAAATTGAAACCTGAAATAATAGATATATTCGTATCAGCCTGCATTCATGTGAAAAAAATCGAAGGGGAGAAGGTTATCATTAGTAGAAAGCGAAGGCATAACATACGTAACGTAAAGTGGCAGAGTTAGCTTACATTTTCTCCAAAGAAGGCTCTTCGCTGAACCTAAAAGCACTTGCTTCTTGAACATCCATGTCCTCAGCGTCCACTTGTGAGCTATCACACAGCATAGTCGACATTCGATCGTTGAACTCTAATAATTAGCAGCGAAATCACTGAACGCTTCACGCCGAAAATTCGAACGATGGTAAAGATGGTGAATATTGGCGCCAAAATGACGTAATATCCCATAGGTCTTTTCACACTCCAAACGTCAACCTGACCATCATCCTTTGCAAAATTAAAGTACAACAGCCGCCATCTTCGTATGTGAAAAGCCGGTTCAAACTTTAGACGGTTCAGGATTCAAGAGTGACGATGAGTATTGGTAGAACAGTTTACAATGCTTTATTTCGGCGAACTTCAACCTTTGCTGTAACCATTTTTGTTGGAGCATTTGCATTTGAGAGAATCTTTGATGTTGGAATGGATAACTTATGGGAAACTATGAACCGAGGGGTGAGCTGACTCAATATTTGGTTTTAACAGATAGTCAGTTTGTTTACGTACTGAACGTAAATTTGTGAGGTAGAGATATAAAGCTTGTACTTTACTGCTAGTAATGTGATCGTAATGAGAAATACATTTAGTTATTAACTATGCGAGTTAGGTTATTTGATATGAAATTACACAAGATCAAACGATACTTGATAAATTAATATCAGAAGGAAATATTAAATGTACTATTTGATGAAATTTTAAGTTGTATGTTAAATAACTCAGTTAGGTTTTAGTGTATCGTTACTACTCAGAATTTAATCAGAAATCATTGAAACCAATCCATTAGTCGCAGTGGGTAACTGCATGCAGAGCAACCGCAGAATACCCAGCCACTCATTTACATGTCATTGAATAAGAATAGTGTCTATTGTGTTATGCCTTGATCTTCAAAGCCTCCAAACACATGTAAGTGAGGTGGACCAAAGTGAGCAGCATTCTGCAGTTTAGCCCTGCATGCAGTATACTCAGATAGTTGACTACATTACTCAAAAGCATTTGAGTGTACTGGAAGCAATACTACATGCCATACAGAATTCTTAGTTTATGATAACTTGATTTAAGGGATAAAAAGGTGTTCTAGGTATTATAAGGACAAGAAATTCAGGTACTTTATGGTGTCTATATAGCATGTACTTCTTCATGTAGAATGCAGTCAGTTTAGTCACTTCATGTCAGATTGTTCTGAAAAGGGATTTAATGGTTCCACAGAAATAGGTCATTCCACAAATATAACAGTTGCAATAAGTAAGAAAGATACACAGACCAAGATTATTATCTCACAGAAACTATTAGGGAAGGAGTCTATACTTAATGCCAAACTAACTGCCTTCTTTTGTAGAAATATCAGATAAAAAAGTGACTATAAACCATAGGAAATAATTAGGTAAATCACCCTAGATGCAGCATAGTAATTTGCCTCTTACAAAATCTTATAACCTTCCTGTCTGAATAGAAAGGTACCTTTCACGTTTTCTTTCTAGCTCTGATTCTAGGTAAACAAAAATCTTGTGAATGCATCATTGATTTGTATTTATTTGTGCAAAAAACACCCATATCTTTTGCCTTCTTTTATCACCAGAAATTGTGGAATCACGTCAAGCACCGATATGTCAAAAATGCTGAAGATGATGATGAATGACAGAGGAATTGTGAATTATGTAATAGACTAAGAATGCCTTATTTAATGTGGCTTTCATGTGAACGACTGGGAATTTTGTCCTGCAAACTTCATGTGCTTCATTTTCTTCATGATGGCTAGTCTTTGGTGAATTGCATGCTGTGAAAACTGATGTCAACAGTTGTAAATGTCCACTGCAACCTTTCTATAAAAGAAATAAATACAATTGTTTTGTCATGTAGTATCATTTTGATGAGAATTGCTTTTCAGTTAAGGGGCAAATGAAAACTTCTTTTTCTGCATTGAATGTTTAATTTTAGTAATGAAAATGATGTTTTTCAATCAAGTAAAACTTTAAAGAGATTAAAAAAAATCTGGTTTGAGTTTCTTGTGATGCATTTTTATACAGGCTCTATTTTATTTAGGTTATAACAGCAAGGCAGTTTTGTTTATGACAATTTGTTTATTTGAGACAAAGGGATTCCCATTGTCATGTGGCTTGATGAGTGTTGTCAACATGAGTGCAAGTGATAAGTATGGAAAAGGAAGTCACAGTCTTCGACGCTAATCTCTTCTCATAAATTAAGAGACAGATACTGCCAACAGTTTTTGTCTATGAAAGTAATCCATGCTCACATTGATGTAAGAATAATAAGCTTGGCAATTGGTGTGAATTCCTTATCACTTCCTGTGATGAGGAAGATTGTTGATAAAATATTTGATTATTTTAGTTATATTTACAAGTTTTTGTGCTGATTCTATTGGAAAACTTTGGAAGAAATTGGCATCCAATGGTGTTTCTGTTGTGGTCTAGTGTTTCAAGGAGAATTTGTGGTTGTCCCATCTCTGTGTGAGAGAAGTGGAAATTGGAAACACTTATTAACTTCCTGTCCTTCCTGTGGTGAGAAGGGTGGGAAGGGCTGATTGAAACTTCATGGATGAGAACCAAGTGGTAATTACTTTATTTCTGGCTGTGTTCAGCTTTATTCAATACCACACATCCTTTTACAGAGCTGTGTTTTTCAATTGAAAACTATTAAAGGCTGACAAGTACTAGTATATTTTTAACTATACTAATTCTTGACCCAAATGAATAACAATGCTAGAGTATTGGTTAAGAGGTAGAGGGAATAGGGCCTTATTGCAATCTCAAAGCACTACATGGAGAGCTTATTGTAGAGGGGTGCTATGAAGGTGTATATGGTGTACTTGTATTTGAAGGCTACGAGAAACGTCAGTTAAATTTACTGAAAAAAAGAGAGAGAGAAAAAAAACCAAAACAGAGAGAATACCATTTAAAAAGTGAATCTCTCATTTTCGAAAGATCCGTGCAAAAATTAAGTTGAGTGATAAAGAATGAACAACCACGTCTGAAAAAGAACGAGAAACGAGGAAGGGACTGGCAATGATGATGGGGACTCGTCCCCAATTCTTCCTCGGTCAGTGACTTCCATGGTGCGAAAGTTTGAAAATAAATGGAGGAATGTGTGAACAACACAGAGGCAGGCTTCTTTGGTGTTTATCTTCTATACTGTCTAAATCCTCGCTATAAGGGACGCACTTATATCGGATTTACTGTTGATCCTAATCGCAGGATCAAACAGCATAATGGAGGGGTGCAGAAAGGAGGTGCTTACAAAACAAGCGGCCGAGGCCCATGGTGAGTGAAAAGCGTACCCCGAGAATAATTAATTTTCTCTTCTTCTTCAGGCACATTGACTTGTTAATTTTACTATACTATGGCATCCTGTATTGACTAACCTAATGATTGATGTAATTTACCGGCAGAATCTAGATCGGTGTGCAGAACCAGTTGGTGTGATGTCTACATATTTTACAAACTTAACAAATGTAGATATAGATGTTCCCGTTGATGACGACGATTTTGATATCTGAGTTGTTGGTGGCTAGGAAACTTTAAACATTTTTGCTTCGAAGGTCCAAATATCAATTCTCTGCACTCTCCTCTGTCCGTTTGTTTTAATTTTAGTGTGAGACTTTTGTGTGAAATCAAACTATTACCCAGTTGAAAATATTATTTTCCTTTCTCTTCATACCCAATGTTTGTGATAATTTCCTGATGTGGGTGAAATTCTCTTTTTGTCACCCCTTGTCTTCGAAGACTTCCTGCAAGAGGGGTGGATCTGTCTGGTCCAACATCTGATCTTGAATCTGTCACTTGTGTGAACTGTTTTGTTGAATTTTGATACAGACAATCTTATCTTGTCAACAGGGAGATGATTCTGATTATACATGGGTTTCCCAGCGATATTATTGCCTTACAGGTGAGTGATTCCATCTCTTCTACATGTCCCTTTCATTATCATGGTATTGATTTTAATGATTTATCATAATATTTATTTCTTTGTGACTAAACAGTTTGAGTGGGCTTGGCAAAATCCAGGAAAGTCCAGACGTCTTCGCCACATCTCTAACAAAAAGACTAAAGAAAAAGATGTTGAATTCCGCTTTAGAGTCCTCTCTGAGATGCTTAATGTTGGTCCTTGGAATCGACTTCCTCTCATGATAAGATGGTTGAAGCAAGAGTATAAAATGGAGTTTGAGAAACAACCACCCACTCATATGCCTATAGCATATGGACCTCTAAGTAAAAGAAAACCTGAGAAAAGCAAGAGGCGAGGTAGAGAGGAATTAGAAGATAACCATATTTCCCACTATACTTGTGTGGTTTGCTCTGAAGAGATCAAGGTATGCATGTATGTACTGCATGGAAATTACTGCTTTACTAGCATATATTCTAACTCTGTGTCATTTGCCATGAAAATTTTTGATAGCCTTGTTAACAAATCTATAATCTCTGAATTTGATATTTGAATATAATTGACAATGCATGTTAAAGCAGTTGTATTAGAGAACTTTCGCTTGCAGGATAGTTAAGCCATCACAAAAAGTGCTCATTCTAGATGGTAGCCCTTCTTAGATGAAATACCACAAACTGGAAACTGAAAGAAATGTCCATTCCAATGTTTATCATCCATTCTTTATTAATTTGAGAGCATCTGAACCAGGGTGTAACCCAGATGTCTGCTATTATAACTAAAGGAAGCTAACAAAAAATTTGTTTTATTTCAGGATGCAGATAACTGCCTTTCATGTATTTCAGAGAGTTGTCAAATGAAAGCTCATCTTATCTGTTTGGCCACAAGATTCCTGATGGAAAGTGAGGACAGCTCACATCTAATCCCAGTGGAGGGAGATTGCCCAATTTGTTATCACACATTTTTATGGCGAGATTTACTCAAACATCGCAATGGCATGGAACAAACTTCAGATTCAAATGCAAATAGTCCTCACTGGGCAGAGGCACTTCAAAGTCAAGATGATATTTGATAAACATTAACTGTTCAAAATCACTGTAACATCAGATGTCCTGTCCTAATTAGCACTTAGCAGCAGTTTCTGATGTAATAACAATTGTTGTTTTGTGATACAAAAACCTTGAAATCACAAAGAATTTAATGTGGCCCACTAATTGGCTGGTGCTGTGATATTTGTAAACAGATAGCTCATATCTAACTTTGTGCTTTGCATGACGAAGAAAAAATGAAATTAAAAGATTTCCTTTCCTGAGAATATTGTAATTAAAGCTTCCAATGGCCAAGCTCAAAAATATGTTCTCAGATGAAGTTACATGATGTGTTGACATGTTCTTAGTGGCAATTTTTCAATTTAATATTATTATTTACTTTTTGGCAAATCTGCCTCTTTCATAAACAGACAGACTCATGCAAGAAATAAACAATGCAACAAGCACATTAACAAACCCAGATATTTATTTATCTCACACAATCATGGGTATATTCATTAATTAATGGCTGTGCTGACTATATGTGCCCATTAAACAGTCTTTGATGAAGATAATGCAGTTGAAGTCAAAAACAACCTCCAGTAGACCAATCTTCAACATGCACCTCCAGTCTTCAAAAGGGTCTTATTTTGTGCAAGGTAAAGAACAGGACTTTTTTTTTTACAAAGTTAGAAATCAAAGGTTTAAATGACAGAATCCCTTCATCTGTAAAGAAAATCTGCCTGAAGATTCCCAGCTATTTCAGCCTCCCATCTGTCACCATTGTTAAGAAGTTTTTCTTTGTTGTAAAGCAGCTCCTGATGAGTTTCAGTGGCAAATTCAAAGTTTGGACCCTTAAAACAAAGAAAAATATTAATAGAAAACAAAGTTATGGTAAAAAAAGTAATTTTCATGTAAAACATGAACACTTAGACTACACCATTTATCAGTTTTGAGGGAGAGGAGCATATCAGTGATAAAAATTCAGCACCCATAGAAATATACCGTATATGGTGTCTATTGGAACAAAGTTTTAGAACCTCAGACAGTAAAATATGCCACACACATTTTCTTAGAAATTTTAAATTTTGTAAAAGTAAATATATTTGTCATGGATAACAGCATCCAAACTAAATTTAAAATAATGAACCTTAACAACCTTTTTTTTTAAATGTTGAGAACCAATGTCTAAATAAGATGTGGCCATATATTGCCATGAAAAACAGTAATCATTTGAGAATTAATTCAGTTTTTCAGTTTAAATATTGCATTAATAATCCCAAAATCATTATGTGTTGCAATTCTCTATACCTCCACAATTGCATCTACAGGACAAGCTTCCTGACAAAAGCCACAGTAGATGCATTTTGTCATGTCAATATCATAGCGTGTTGTTCGTCGACTTTCATCTGCTCTAGGTTCTGCCTCTATGGTGATTGCCTGTAGATAACAACACATTAAACTTGAGAAACATTATGCAGCTTACTGACTAACACTTGAGATTGTCAAGTTGGTGATGAGAATTTATCTTGTCATAGAGACATAATGTAGTTGTCTACAAAAATGTGACTACCATTTCCTGGGTTTTATAGCTCAGTTGGTAGACAAAACTTAGTTTTGTTTTGCTCTGTTTTGTTGTTGTTTTTATTTCAAACTTCCCTTTCTAATTGCAAACATTTTAGATTTCAATGTGAACATCTATAAGCTTTTTACTTTTTAAAGTCTCATAATATTCCAAGCTTCTTTTATCAGCATCATTAATATCAATTTCTATAGGTATACAGCTGACAAGATAACTTAAATTGTCACATCTAATAGGCTCAGTTTCTGCCACTCTTTAAAGTTTGGTCTTTGTTTGTTCATCCCAAAGAGGAGACTCCACAAACTCCTTGTATTAGGGGTGTTGGTTTATTTCTCTCACAGGGGCTGGCTGTCAAGCTTAGATGTTACACTGAGAGGAAAGATGAGGATGTTTTTCAGCTCTGAAAGAAAAACAGCCAACAAAGAACCCATGCAGGAATTTAAATCAACTGCTGTTCTCCCTTATATAAGGGTGCATCAGAGGTTCTTTGCCGCTGCCCACAACATCAAGGCATATGAACCATTTTCAAGTTGGACACAACACTTAGGTCTCACTTAGTATGACCTAAAGACACCCTGGAACCATCAAAACAAGATGGTGTCCTTTACAAGATCCCATGCAAATGCAGCAAAGTGTATATTGGTGAAACTGGGAGATCAATGCAAGAAAGTATATAAGAATATGACAGAGACATACAGTTTGCTCTTACTCAGACCTCTGTGGTTTCAGAGCATGCTAACATAATGGGCATATTCCTATTTGGAGCAAGGTCAAGTTTATTGATCATGACCCCCACCGGTACACATGTAGGGTCAAAGAGGCTATCCATTTAAGACCTAGTCCCAACAACATCAATAGGGATAGCGGAATCGACATTCCTAAAGCTTCAATACCCACAATCAAATAACACAACAGCCAATTCATGAGGACCTGAGAGAACACTATCTAACAACCAGAATTATAATGAAGATCAAAATGCATCAATAGCAGCATACCAACATGCTACAAATAGCAACACATAAACAATCGACCTCATCACCTGATGAAGACTAGCAGTATTGCAGTCGAAATGTCACAATCTACATTGTAAGTGACTCTATCGTGACAAGTTCATCTCCCAACAAATGAACACATAAAATTTACCTGTGCAGGGCAGATAGCTTCACACAACTTGCAAGCAATGCACCTCTCTTCTCCAGATGGGTATCTCCTCAAGGCATGCTCCCCTCTGAACCGAGGACTTAATGGGCCTTTCTCAAAGGGATAGTTAATTGTTGCTGGCTCCTGGAACATCTTGCTCAATGTCATTTGAAGACCTTGAAATAGAAATATTGTGTGACATTCCCATTGTTATGTAATACACTTTGAAAGGGAAAAAAAAAAGATGATTGTTATAAAATCATATGTTAGTTGTAACCATGTTCGGATGATTGTCCATTAACCTTATCCATATGTTCAAGGGGTGTTGTCATTTAAGGCTGCAAATAGCATGTTGGGTAGCTTCATGTCTAACAAAAACTGTCGCCCTGTGTCCGGACCCAATGGAAACTCTCTAATGATAATTACCAGTGACTAGAAGTTGATGTGATAGGTAAACCACTGAGGTGTATTTTAAAAAGGGTTTTTTTTTTTAAGCGTGTTGATTTTCCCTTTTTTTCAGTAGGTGCCCCTGTTTCACAAGCTGACTAGCAACAAGTTATGCAACATAGGTTAGGGGAAACCCTTGTTTTGTGCATTGACTCATTGCAATTGATATCTAACCCATAGTAAATGTCATACTCAACACGTCAAAAAACACTGCATTAATCAACTAAGGCAAACTTAACCTATGGCGTAGAGTTGAGGCCACAGTTTAAGGGAAGGAGGGTGGGGGGGGGAGGGGTGTACTCATCAAATAAATTGGGTGTGAATGGGGTATCTTGGAGCTTAAGCCCTCTGAACCCATTGGGCCCCTCCTTTGAACGTGCCTCGGAAACAGAACGTTGGGTGCTAAGTTTATACTTAAATCAAACGCTGAAATAATTCAATTTGTTTACCTCTAAGCAACTCTGTGATGAAAAGCGACTGTGCATTCCTTTCTGTGGCACTATGCCAATCCATAGGTATATCTTGAGATTCCTTAGATATGTATTCTACAAAAACACAAATGTAACACATTCAAACGTTTTTTCAATAACAATTAAAAGAGCATGATATTTCGAAGTTACCTAAAGCTCAAAGTTCGTACTTACTATATGCAAGTCTATTGGACGACATCGAAATAGTTCTGATCGCCAAAGAATTGTGCGTTGTAATCTTTCGTACTTAGGGAGTTTTCAAAAGTAAATATAATTAGTATAGAGCATCAATCGAACACATAATTGACAATATTCATTTACCAACTCGCCAAAGATGCGCCATCTTGTCTTGACCTCTGCAAGAGCGCAGGGACGTATGGGACAGGCGAAGCTACTTCGCATACCATTGCATCTTGGGAAGGTTGGAAAACACAAACAAACATGGCAGACGCTCTCAGGGCTGCATTTACCTCAGTAACAGAGACTGTTTTTCCCTCATCACGTTCGATACGAAACCATCCACGACACCATATGGTGAGCTCAGGTTAGCAACTCTCTTTCCCCTTTTATTGTTAGTAATTCTTCTCGTGTTGAAAACTTTTTTGATCCCAGACCTGTCACTCTTTCAACGTAGCAAAGTCAAAATAAACTCGTGTGGGACTCAAAATGAATGGCTGACGTTATTAGAAAAATTTATTCAGGCCATAGAGTTTTTGTGACCCAAGTGACACCTTCTTTCCTTGGTGAATTATGATAGGACCTGGCGGTAGGTAGGTTGGGGGGGGGGGGAAGGGACCAAAGATTCCATCGGCTCATCTTTAAACGGGCTGTGAGATTCTTAAATTTTTTTAATCTGACATAATAAGATAAATGAATTTAAGTGATGTATTGGCAATTTCATCTCATCTTCACTGTCTTTCCTAGGAAATGAAATTGTATCTAACTTGGCCTTGCAGATGTCATTGTACTTCAATGTCTATTTTTCCCCTTGTTGGTACATAACATGCATTGTCATGCTTGTGGCAAAGGTTAGATAACTTGCCTCTATAATTGTAACTCAACAATTTTTTTTGTTTGTTTGTTTTTTTTAGTTACGTTCACAAACATTTCTGCTATAAATGTAATAACTAAGAAGCAGGTGGATGCAACTTTCAAATTTGTACTTGATCTGCAAGTCTTTTTCTTAAATAAACTGACTAATTATCATCTTGCAAAAATCACCTATTACTCAATGAAAGTAAAGGCTACACTGCAAGTCTTGATTGTCAAATTCTCAGTCACTGAAATTATGGGAAACTAGCGTAGATTAACTACATTTGAATAACTGTATTGTTACATCAGTTGGGGTATTGCAAGATGATTTGCTTTTATCAACTTTGTTAATAATGTGAGCTGGCGACAGTAGAGAGATTCTAAAGCTGACTTTTCAAGAATTAGCCCTTTTCAGGACAAATTGGCTCTGCAAAACTGCTAATGCTCAAAATGTGAGCTTAAGAATCAGTCTGATTCACATGATCAACTCAGTGGATGCAAAAAAAAAAGTTGAAAAATACCTTTGGTCTGCAAATAGTCGCGATACTCTCTTTCTGTATCTTTTAGTATCAAAAGCTGGACTCAGTATACAAGTTTATAACAATTGTTATATATGTTGCAATGGCATTGGTGGAGATTGCCAGACTTTACCTGGGATATGCTGGAAATCTTCAGGAAAAGGTAGACAGAGACATTTAATCTTCCTTTTCAAAAAATGTTGAATCTATTGTTCTTTGACATATAAAAATTGGTGATAATGTACAAAAAAAGGGCATAGTCTATTAGTACCTTCATTAAGGCTTTGGGATTTGTTGATAAGCAGCAGAGGTGTAAGAATTAATGGGCAAGAGTAGCCAGAAGAAGAAGAAGAAGAAAAAAGAATTTCAAACAAAAATTAACAAACAAAAAAATTATTATTGTATAACTTGTAACTTGTGAACATGCTTTTGGGAATCCTTCTGCAATAGAGGGCCAGTCTGCCAACATTGTTACCTTAGGGGGATGTTCAACAAGTTCTTGAAAATTCCAAGAGGTATCTGACAAGTCTTTTGGCTGAAACAGAAGGCAGGATCATGTCAGCCACAAAGTATTTTTTCACAATTATTTTACAATTTTTTTTTGTATAATTTAACCAAAGGTTACTAAGATTGAAACGAAATTATTCCAAGGTCACCACTGTCCTTAATCACTCTTTTTCCCTTCATCAGGTTCCTGAGCTTGCTGGTTTCTGGATCTTAACCCTAGTGCTTCAGCTCCCATTGACGTTAATGCTACTGCTCAATGAGAGTATGTTGATAATGCCAATGGAGAGAGCTGTCAACATTATTATGGCAGTCTTTGTTTTGTTTGAGACAGTTCAGGGCTACAGGGTGATAAAAACAATGATAGACCACCAGGTATCAAAGTTTCATGTACAGCAGTTTGACGAGTTAATTGAACTTCAAGAAATGCCTGATGGGGTTGAAGAAGTGGGTTTTAGACCTCAGTAAACTTCAAAAACTACTCTAAATTATTGAGTATGTTAGCCTTTCAGATGAAAGGGTCATCTGTATTAAATGTCCTATTTATTTTTGATGTATGTTAAATGTAGATTTTAATCTAAATTTATTCAAACTGTTAAATTACAGTTGCAGTATTAAAATGAAAGAAAAGTTACCTTCATATACTTCATGACTTATATACAAACAGGCAGGATTTCCCTGCTGAGAAAAGCCATAACTGTGCATATGTAAAATTGCAGCGTTTTGTTATGAGTTAGATGTTGCCAATAAGCTGCTGACACATCACTCACCTTAAGTGCCATGTGGTCTGGTCGATGGATGAATGGCACAGCATTTACCATTCTTACTGATTCTCTCTCATCAATAATGTCATTAATTATTCTATATTTCTTTCCCATAGAACAGGAAGCCAAATTGTAAAAATTGTATAAATCACCTTGTTATCCTCTTTTTGTCCTTAATTCCCCATATATCTTAATCAGAAACCTTTGACTTCTGTAATCGCTACCCCTTTCCCTTCAGAAATGCTTCATCACTTTTCCAAATTTGTCAGCTGTATTAATAATTTTGAAATACCAACAGGTGCAAGAGGTTTCTTTTATTTGTACAAACACTCTTTGTCAAATTTTACAGTAAGGAAGACTTACAAGACACTAATTCAGACTGTAACCTATTAAATTATGGGCAGCAACTAAACTGCCAAAAGTTTGCACCCCCTGAGGTTTGTCAAAAGCCTATAAAATATTTTACATATAATTAAATTAGAGAGAACACTCAGACATTAAACTGTATCAGTTTGTATCAACCTAGAATACAAGACATGAGCGACACCTGAAACCAGGCTCATATTCACAAGTTCTAATATTACTTGCACAATGCTGTTCATGTCTTGTCCACCATCCCTGCTTCCCATCCAACTCAACAATAAAACCTGCATACACTCAGGGAAAAGTTCTTTGACAAGAATTGATGATGGGGGAAGATTATCAATTGAAGTTATATGCCTTTTCTTGAACTCGGTTACTCTTTCACTGATTTCAAGCTGGAGTCTATTAAATTCATCACCAAGATATTTGCTAACTGCTACAAGTACCCCTGATAATCCAATTTGTTTAGGAGTTGTTTGAACTTCATACTCCTTTAAAATTCTAATAATGGTGTCAAGAAGATCTTCAAAGTCGCAATGATCTGCTTCTTTCGAAATTCTCTCGATTTCTTTCATGTATCGCTTCCAGTTGGGTGTTGTAATGCATCCGTGATAAAAAGAACCTGATGCAGGCGAGTAAGAAATGTTGCCATCAGATTTCGTTATTTTAGTGGATGTGATTTCTGATGGGTTAACGTTTTTATCCGAGTAAGGCTGTCCAGTTGAATCTGTGTCACCTGGGCCTGCAGGGATTTCCACCTGTTTTTTGAAAGTATCTTGAAAACTGAGTTCAATTTCTCTTTGCCTAAATGGCTTGTCTGTAAATCTTAACTTCCACGAGGCGCAGAGCTTTGTTAGGCATTCTAGTTGTTCCTCGCGATTGTAATACTCAAAGCAAACTCTGAAAAGGCCTTGAATTGAGTAGAACCAAACACCACGAGCAGAGCCATGGATGCCATGCAATCGAAGAGAATTAGGGAAGTTAACTTTAACAGCTAGGCCTTGCTTGGAAAACTTCGCATGCATCCTTGGTAAGTTAGATACAGCGATAGAACACCCAGATAGCACATCAGCCCCAAGAAATAAAGGAATGTTATCTTTTTGCTCTTGTGAATTTGAAATCGTGTCGTCTGTCGTTGCCCATTCCAAAAACCGTAATTTTCTTTCACCAATCTGAACCACACTCATATGGATAGAATCGTCCGCCATCTTAGTTTAAGATGCATTACCGCTGACAGTTCCTCTTAGCAACAATCGGCTCAAATTTGTAATGACCCACCTGATCAGCTGTTGCTTAGGAACGTCGGCTTGTTTTCCAGGACTTCCCGCAACAAGAATTACAAATCAAGTTTACTCCATTGAAGACGGACATTTTGAGAAAAGGAAGCAAGATGGCCAGGTTAGTACAGCCTCCACCGAAGTACACTCCCGAAGAATGGCACGCTTCGAACCATCTTCAATATTTCAATGCTGAACGGGAACGCGCTGCAGCAGAAAGGCTTCGAGATGAAAGCTTTCGACTCGCTCATGAAACCGAAGTTCGTACGACACAAACTCAAATGGATGTCAATAAGAAGCTTGAACAGCGAATCACTGATATAGGTTTTTGGAAATCAGAGTTAGATCAGAAGCAGGAAGAAACAGAAGACGAAATCTCCACCTTACTTCAGTTCAAAGCCCGAGTAGAGAAAGCTTTGGCAGATACAGAACTCCCTCTTATGATCGCTCAACAATGTCTGGTCAACCGCGAAAGGCGAATGAAAGTTGATCTCGTCCACGACAATGTGGAAATGCAACTTCAAAAGGTAATAAAGCGATTTTGCGTTTCATATTTAACCAATTTCTCAAAATATTCGATGAATGGTTTTTTTAATGCGATCGATTTTTGTAGGAGGTGGAGGTTATTGAAGGAGTGCAAGCCCTGTTACAGAGAACTCTTGAACAAGCAACTGAGCAAATAAGGCAAGTCCGCCAATGGTTATTCTTTGTATATATCTAGATCGTAGATTTTCTGTTGAAATCGCTTATAAAAAAATTACTCTAAAATAGTAATAATATCATCGTGAATTTGCAAGAATGCGTTCTGTCAACAGCAGATGATTAATCTCGTGAATCTTGAGGCTATCACATACCAATATTTTATATCCTTTTATTAGCCGAACATGTTAGCTTAGATGGTCATCTTTTTCTTCCTACATAAATACAAAACTGAAAGACTTTAAGAACTACGTACGGATGTCAACAACCATCAATCATTCCATCAAAAGTACCACTTATTTTAAAATAGTTATTATAATTACCTTCCATGAAATTACAGGCTTTTAAGATCAGCCAAATACTACTTGGACAAAGACAGGAAAGACAAGTTCCAAGCCAATAATATTGACAACAAGTGTGCATCTCTAGAAAATACTTCAGCTGGGCTGCGCTTTGCCAAAGATGCTGTTAAGGTGGAGAAAAAGTAAGTGAGTTGATTTTGTAATAGCTTTCCTCATGCTTTTAAACTCAGAGAAACTTTGTTATCAATCTTAATGAATGAAAATGGACCTTTTCAATTAAATTAATGGCAAACTGCAGACCGATTCCTTGTGAAAACTTTTTTGAGTTTGTGGGGATCAAGGACAATTTACCAAAATTAAAACAAGTGAAATTTTTACTCTGCACATACTCACATGTAGTAGAAAAACAGTGCTTTGATTTCACAGTTTTTGCCAGGACAGGAAAAAAAAAGTTAAGTATTGTAAAGATTGGTGTCTTTCACTACTTCATTTCAACATTCGCCTTAAATCCCTGTCCCTTTCACAAAGAGATCTACCTTATAAGCTAAACAAATGTGATCAAATTGTTATGTAGAGGTATAAAATCTGCATCCTTCATAATGGCTGGTGATCTTAGCTTCTTGTTTTCTTATCAAAGCTTATGTAATCTTGTTTTCAGCTCTGTAACTCCTGATGAATGGGAAGATTTTTCCAACAAGAATGTTCTTAAGGCAGAACGCGAGAAAAATTCTTCCATTAATCTGCGTAGCATCATAGATGGTATACTTATGCAGACCTTAAGTGACCTTCAAGCCCAATGCCAAGCTGTTAATCTGACATTCCAGAAGCGAATTGAAGAAACTGTGGAAGCAAAAACAAAGTTAGAAAAACATTTAGCTCAGGTGAGTTATAGTGACCTTAACAACTTAAATTCCTTCGCAACTGATTACTTCAATGTCTCAAGAGATATAAGAATCTAAATAAAATCAAATCAAACATCAAGTAACAATTGCTTGGCAAAGTTCTACCAATTGACAATAAAATGATGATGATGTATATTTGTTGTTATAAATAATCATTATTACATCATAATGATTTTTATTAACTATAGGCTTTTTGGCAAAGTATATCAGTAGAAATTATATCTGATTCATTAACCCCAAATATCTTTAAATTATCCAGAAAACAGGTTATGAGAATAGTCAGACCTATCAGCTAGAAGTTATCTTGATCTAACACCAAATTCTTACCACTAATTTACAAGGAAACATGTAGTGACCAGGGAGGAGAATTAACAAGTAGATAGTGGGAGTAAAACAGTTGACTTAACTTTTTTATTTTCTTAGGTGATGGAAGAAATAGCTGCCATGGAGCAGAACATTGAAATGCTCAAAAGAGCTATTGCTGATAAAGAGGCTCCAATGAAGGTTTCTCAGACGCGACTGGAGAACAGAACCTTTAGGCCAAACGTAGAGCTTTGCCGAGACCGTGTACAGTATCGGCTGATAGAGGAAGTATTTGAGATCTCTACCAACATTGAGCGACTGCGGGAAAAACTGGCTGATGCAGAAGCATCCCTCAAAGGACTGATCAGGAAGCAACTTTCTTTGGAAGAAGATATTGAAGTGAAAGCAAACAGTCTTTTTATTGACAGAGATCAGTGTATGGAGTTACGCAAACAGATCAACCATGTACCTCATTGAAAGGCCTATTTTAGGAGACATGCCTCCACAACTCAAACATTTTGAGATGTATCAATATTACAGATTAGAAAAAGTATCTGTTAGTGTTCTAACAGTTTTTTTTTTTTATTATTATCTTGAGAATCTTCCAAAAATGGAACTGTCTAAGCCATTTTTTTAAGTTGTTGTTACTTGTAGATTTTTATCACTTTTTTCCACTGGCACCCTGACATTTCTGAGCATTAAACACAAACTTTAAGCTGCAAAAATGGTAATTCTGACAAGTGATTTTAGTTTTACTTGTCAAATACTGGTTAAATTCAAATGCTAATTTTAATGTAAATACAATGATGCTATGTTACAGCAGAAGCTGTTTAGCAATCAAACACAACCTTTCATTGCATTGTCCTTAGTCTTTTCTCAGTTCGTCTAACTTCAATGAATGTTGATAGTGTGTGAACTTCAATTTATTTTCTTTTGTTGTTATATTAATTGTTCGCGGGAAAACTATTGGCTTCCTGTTATTTCAGTGTAGACTAGTCAAAACTCATCGAGAGATACTGTGGGGTTACATTTGTTGATGCTTGACGAAGGTAGAACCAGCAAAGGTGTATATATCGGTTGTTATGGCCACAGCATCTGTAATCGCCAACTTGAAGTGCTGAAGTACTTGAAAAAAGGCTTGAACCAGAGCATGTTCCTTTTGGCAGCCACTTACAATCATCTAGGGGCTTATCTTTATGGCCTTAGCGACCTGCAGGCGGCAAAAGAGTCATGAACGTGCAATGGCCATTCGTCTGAAAAAGCTCGGATCGAAGCATGTTGACGTGGTAAATAATTACAATAATCTTGGTACTGTGTACCGTATCCTTGTGATCCGTAGTGGGGAGAAGAGTGTCATGATTGTGCTCTTGTCATTCGTCTAAAAAAGCTCGGACCTGAGAATTCTGATGTGACGTTTAGTAACGATGATGTGGGTACGGTGCATGCAACAGGCACGCAAAGTACGGTTACGATAAGGCTTTGAATATTCTTTCATTCATGTCTTTTCACCTCTTCGCTTTTATCTCTTTTGAGGCTTCTTGTTTCAACGTTTTTGCCCGAAGAATGCTCGATATTGTCACGCAACAGAACTTTGCGTGTCCACAGGAAATCGCGTGAGCCGTTAAATTCTTTTTTGATGTCACGCATACTTGGATCACGCATAGTTTGTCTAAAATGTTGTGCTCACTTTCAAAACGAGCTTTCACAAGCTTCAATGGTTTTTACTTCTGACAAGTTTTAATTATAAACGGTTCAACGCACATTTAAAATAGGCTTTCAAATGTACGCGTCATTCGCTTTCGATTTTAGACTCTAAATGATTAGAGACAGGAACCTTTATCCTTTACTGTATTATCACTTTGCTGAACACCTCCGGAATATTTCGGTGCAGTAAGTACGATAAATATCATTAATTCATGTTATATTACTGAAATAACATTTCACAGGTGTTTACACATCTCTGGCAAGCTTTGCGAAAGTGATGAAGTTACAATGCTAAGACTTAAACGTTGCATGATACTTAGTAATCGATGCTCTGTTACTTCACTCTATGTTACTTAGTGTTTAAAATAGGAAGCTTTAAGTAAATTCCCTCTAAATTTGATCCATTACCGTTGACTTAAATTTTTTTTTGACAAATGTGCTTTAGCAGCTCTCATCGTTGTGGAAGTGAAGTTCTATTAAGTGCCAGTCTAGTAAAGGTTCAATATATCCCGAGAGCATCATGAGCCATTTTACATTGCAGTTTCCTCCCGATTCGCCTTTCCTATTTATTTCACTGAGAGCGTAAGATCACATAAGCAAAGATTTAGCCATGAGCCGAGAAGAGGAAGATAAATTCAAAGGGGCTTTCTCCCCGCGGCTGTTGCCGTTCTTAGCTTCCTTAGTTATAGTTCTATTTATAACGAATACTTGATGCCTGACGTTTGGTTATCGGATGTATTTCCTGTTTACGAAAGTCGCGGGGAGACGAGAGATCCAAAGATAGATGATGGAAACCTACATTGCTGGTTTGAATTTCGAATTAAAGGTGTTGAGTCATAAGTTTACTAAATTGTACAACATTCACCCGATTGGAACATTCTAGAAAGCGAAATCCATCCCAGGGCGGATTTTATTATGTAAATTTGATTAACTTGTTTATTTCTTTACCAAGGATTTCCAGCTGAGTCGATGTTTTTGGTTATTGTTCTCATTACGTCTTAATCGTCGTCAAAGCGACGTAAAACCCTCCATATTACATCCCAAAATGATAAAATCAACAAAATATTCTTTACTATAAAAATTAACGTTTAAAAACAACGACGTTTCAACGGTCATTTTAAGGTTGAAGGATAAAATTTTTATCATACACTTTGACATTTCTTTAAAATTTTGAAATTTCTTTCGATGGTCTCAGGATCCTTTCCATGTTCGTCGTTTACGTGATTGTTGATTGTTGATCGCTTGCGTTCCTCCACACGTTGATGTAAGCGCCGGCTCGTGAAGCCGACATAGCCTGCATCACACAGACCACATTGTTCTTTGATCTTCTGACTTGTGTAAACGGGCTGAACATTGGCATCAATCTTTCGGCTGAGGTCACCGAGTTTCGACGAGTTGGTGTCTTACCGCATTTGCTTATTTCTGTTCTTTTAACTATAAGGAGCATCATGTTCATCGGATACTTGTTGTTTAGCCAGTACACATCTTAGTGACTTTCATTTGGCTAAAATGTCTGATGGTATTCTCCATGAAAGTTTCAGGATAATGCAGGCGAGCAAAAACCGTTTTTAAACGTTCACATTCTTGATAGAAAAAATCCAGTTCGAGGAGAGTTTAAACGCACAGTTTAACATTGTCTTCGGCAGAGAATGTTTGTACTTTTCCTCAACATGGCTGTCTTAATGTAGTAAAAGTCCAGTATCAGTTGGTTTCACGTAGACCGTCGTCTGGTCGGGGACTATTTCTGATAACCATCATTCCAAGAAAGGGAAGTTTGCCGTTGTTCTCGAGTTCCATTGTAAAACTGAGTGAAGGGTGGATTTCATTCAGTGTTGACAAGAAAACAGAGCCATTTTACTGAGGGTGTCATCGACATAGCGCTTATAGAAAGCAGGCATCTTGTTTCGATTTTACAATTTTTCTTCAGCATGGCACATAAACACATTTTGCCAATGTATTCTTCATCTACTTATCTACTAATACCAAACGAGTGTTTATCTTCTGAATTCAACCATGTCCATGAATTTCCACTTTTAAACCTGCGCCATAAATTTTCAGTTAAATGCGTTTAACTACCCCAACACTTTTTGGGCCTGTCGCAACCACTATTATTAAAACGTACACGGAGCGGCAGAGGCAACTTGAACTTCTCCCGTTTCGGCTTTATGCCGGAACTGATACTCGCAAAGCTAGATCATATCAGTATGATATTAAAAATAGATAGTCTCTCGCGAGAAATTCAAAGGATATTAACACTAACACATTGTATGCGGGACTTCAGTGAATATTTTAACCGAATTCAAAGTAGAATTACGTATTTGCGCTTAGTTATCCCAACACCGCCACCACGATGGCATAGTCACCGCGCAGCCACCAGGCATGACTATTTGGCGCAAGCCCCATTTCTTCGGAGTCGGGTACCGGGTAGGCCCTTCACGAAAATGCATTTTGATCGGCATTAAAGTTAGCCCGTCCTTTGATATGATCTGCACTCTGCCCTACAGCCCTTTCCTTTCGAATGGGCTTATTTTAAACTCATTCTTGTACAGTCTCGCCACTTATAATTGCATATCAGCCCATCCATTGTTAATTTTTCTTTCGCTTTGCCTTTAGTTGTTTTTTCGCAAAGGAAACCTTACAACTCCTAATGAGAGGTTAAAGAAACGAACGTTTTATTCAGAGTGATAATTTTTATCAAAAGTTCAAGGTGAACAAAGTGAAGGGGTGGGTGAGGCAGTTCTTGGATTATCTGATCTCCCCATAATTACGAAAAACAACCTGTCATACTTCAAGTACGAGTGAGGCAGTAACGTAGGCCCAAATTCTGCAAAATCTTGCGATGAGCCTTAGTCAAATGTGCTTACATGTGTGGTAACTCCGAGTTAAACCGTATAACGAGTCAAGTGCAAGCCCAAATCCAAGTTTGAGTCAACTTAATTTCTCCCTTTTTATAAAATCATATCGATAGAAAGCACACTAGTATAGAAGCTTTTAAAAAAGAAGAGCTAAACAAAACAAATAAAAATCAAAGCTTTGCATTTAGTAGGGTGTTTACTCGGGTCAAATTTGTCTGAATTCCCGCAGCATCAATTGTTACTTCAACGGTGTTACCATGATACAAAATTGCCGTCAAGGTTACAAAACATATCAAAGGCTGTTACTGTCCGATAACATACATTAGAACCCTAGTGATAACCACAATTGATGCTCGCTACGAAAAAAATGGACTCGTGGTATTTTCAACGTCTTTTTTCGCAGAATATATCATGCCTCACATATTCCACACATTATGTAACGACGTCTCGACAACTTTGTGATGCTTCCAAAATCTTGAAAAGTGAAGCCTGTATTTAACGAGTAAACCAAGAAAAGTAGGACAAGATCATTCTGGTGAAACAAACGTTCAGAGGGAAATTATATGTGTTCTCCATAATTTCGACCTGGGAGGGAGAGAATTTGTAGCGCTATTTTTCAATGGGAACCCTGTGAATGAAACAAAATGGCGGTCGAGTGCGAGAAATGTTGAGATTCGTTTTCGTACTCCGAGTCAGTTTAGACAGTTTGTCGTCGAAGTGGGACTTATCCTGTGGATGCAAAAAAATGGCAGTCGAGTGCGAGAAGTGTTGAGTTCGTTTTCGTATTCAGAGTCAGTTTAGACAGTTTGTCGTTGAAGTGGGACTTATGCCGAGGTGTGTGTGGTTAAAAGAGATGGAATCAGTAAGGACAACTCGTAGATGCCTGGGAATTTATACTTCTTTGATTGCAGCTATGAACCAATGAAGGATTAACCCTCGCAAACGGCTGTCAAAAAATTAAAAGTTTTAAGCTTAAACTAGGTGTTCTTGTATCCCTGATGCATCATTTCGACAGGGAAAAAAGAAACCTAAAATCAAAAGAAGAAAAAAAATCAATTTGACTCGAACTTGACTAGTGATATGGTATAACTTGGTAACTCCCATTGTTCGGACTTTAGCCATGTACTTGGAGTAAGCGTCACTGCTGTAAGTTTAACCGTAACACTGACTCTCATTCTATAAAAGGCGAGAGTACTTAGCTTATTTAACTCAGTTTAAGACAACACAACTCAAAGGGCTTCTGAGCAATTTTTCTGCTCAAAAAAAATTTTAAAATTTCGTTTTCCTTTTTCAAAGGACAGTCACCGAACTTAACTGAGAAATCGTTCGAAGTGAGAATGGCATCTTCAGTGAAATACAGTGAAGACCAACTAAACTACTTCAGGATTTGTTACGTCACCACTGACATTCTGACCGAGGGACTGCGAGAAATCTTTAAACAAGAATGGGATAGTCGCTACAAGGCCACGTTAGGAGAATGGAAAGATGATCCGAAAAATGGATTGGACTTCTGGAATGGCGAATCGCTACGGAACCAAAAGAAGCATGCACGTCTATTAACAACCATGACTAAAGGCAATAGAGCTGAGTGGGATTGTACCATGCTATTTTACGCCATTCTTTTCTCCGATTGCATCCATAGTCTCAGTACAGTAGTTAAGTCAAATGTGGATAACCTTAGGCTGTTTCGGAACGAAGAGTTCGCACATATCGCACGAGGTCACCTCTCGGACGTAGAGTTTCAAAATGGCATTAGCAAAGTGGAAAATGCATTTTTAACTCTCGGTCTTTCCACTGCGGAAATTCAAGACGTAAAAACTCAAACATGTTTTCCCACAGAGCAGCTGAGACATGTTTTGAAGAAGGTGGACGACCTCAAGCTGGAAGTTCAGGAGAAAGAGAGAGAAATTCTGGAGAAAAACAAAAATCTTCAAGAAAAAGAAAACGCTTTTCAGGAAAACAACAAGAAATTGCAGGAAAAAGGAAAGGAACTTCAGGAAAAAGAAGAACAAAGGAGGACCCTTGAAGAACAGTTAAACAGCGATGCTTCTTCATTTTGCATTCTTCCCCCTAAGCCTTCTCATGAGGTCGCACCTCGACATTCTCATGTATCTGAGATTATACAAAAGCTAAAAGAGCTAAAAAAGTCCACGGAATTAAGTTACTTGTTCATATCTGGAAATCCTGGAAGTGGTAAATCGCAAATGGCCTCACTCGTAGCCAAGCGTTTGCTTGACGAAGTCAAGGAAAGTGCATCTACTGCATCGTTCGTAATGACACTGGATGCTGAAAACTCTAAAACACTTTTGGAATCGTATGCCACTTTCGCTCGACATCTGAGGTGCCCAGAATACGCTGTTACCAACACCTTCAACTCCAAAGATTTGAGTACTGATGAGAAGATCAGAAGTCTAAAGAAATTGATCAGCACGAAAATCGAGCTGTACTCATCGTGGCTACTGATAGTTGATAACGTCACCAACATGTCTCATCTGAGTGGTAATTTACCTGATACAGGAAATGGGCAGTGGGCAAAGGGCCAGTTGCTTATAACAACACAGGACACCACGTCTATCCCCCCGTCAGGTTCATTTATTGAACATATCCCAGTCAGCAAAGGTATGGATCCTCATGAAGCCGGCTCTCTATTAGAAATGCTTTCTGGTTTTACTGACCCCATGATGGAAAAAGAAGTTGCTAAGGTATTAGACTACCAACCACTTGCCCTGGCAAGCGCTGCCACCTATGTGAGAGAAGTAAGAAACAACAAATTAACTCCGGATTTTGGCTGGGATGACTTTCTAAAGAAATTGGACCAGGGGAAGAGAAGTACAACAGAAGTAATGCTCTCTGGAAGTAACCCAAGTTACAAAAAATCCATGACTGCAGCTACAACACTTGCGGTAAAGAAGGCGATCGCAACGGATAAAGTTTTAGAGCACACTTTTCATTTTCTTTCTGTCTGTGCACCACACCCTTTGAGTCTAGAGATTGTTGTAAATTATCTTAAGAAAGTGAATGAAGAGCGTAAAGACCCTGAGATACTTGCTACGAGAATTTGCAAATGCTCTTTGCTGTTATTTGAAGAAGATGACAGTGGCGTCTACATTCGAGTGCATCAGATTGTTCATGACGTCATCAATACTGTTATGAAAACCTTGGCCAAAAACAAAGAGCTTGAAGCCATTGATGGGGCCATTCTGTCATTCTGCCAAGTTATAGGTCATATCCTGGTTGAGGATGACTCGCATACTCTTATCAGAAGCAAGAAGATTGTTCCTCACTTAGTCACATTGAGTGAGATAATCGATGCTCTATTTTCTGAAGAGGGTATATCCGACGCTATCAAAGCCGGATCATCCACTCCCTATGACTACCGAAACTATTTTGAAACCCTTGGTAAAACCTGCAAGAAACACTGTGAATTCAGATCAGCATTAATGTACTTCAACACAATGTTGCGATTAACTCAGTGTGACGAGGTGTTTGGTGACAAAGACGTTATAAACGCATACGGTTTCATAGGTACTGTGCACCATTCCCTTGGTGACTTGCAGCAGGCAAAAGAATATCATAATCGTGCACTGACCTTTGGTCTGAAAAAGTTCGGACCTGAACATGTCGATATGGCAGAAATTTACAATAATCTGGGTTCTGTGCATCATGATCTTGGTGACCTGCAGCAGGCAAAGGAATATCATAATTGTGCACTGACCATTCGTCTGAAAAAGCTCGAACCTGAGCATCTCGATGCGGCAATTAGTTACAAAGATCTGGGTTATGTGCATCTAGAACTTGGTGACCTGCAGCAGGCAAAGGAATGTGAAAATTGTGCACTCACCATTCGTCTGAAAAAGCTCGAACCTGAACATGTCGATGTAGCAGAAAGTTACAATGATCTGGGTATTGTACATCATCATCTTGGTGACCTGCAGCAAGCAAAAGAATGTCTTGATCGTGCACTGACCATTTATTTGAAAAAGCTCGGACCTGAACATGTCGATGTGGCAGTTTGTTACAATAATCTTGGTACTTTGCATCATGATCTTGGTGACCTGCAACAGGCAAAAGAATGTCATGATCGTGCACTGGCCATTCGTCTGAAAAGGCTCGGACCTGAACATGTCGATGTGGCAAGCAGTTACAATAATCTTGGTACTTTGCATCATGATCTTGGTGACCTGCAACAGGCAAAAGAATGTCATGATCGTGCACTGGCCATTCGTCTGAAAAGGCTCGGACCTGAACATGTCGATGTGGCAAGCAGTTACAATAATCTTGGTACTTTGCATCATGATCTTGGTGACCTGCAACAGGCAAAAGAATGTCATGATCGTGCACTGGCCATTCGTCTGAAAAGGCTCGGACCTGAACATGTCGATGTGGCAAACAGTTACAATAATCTTGGTACTTTGCATCATGATCTTGGTGACCTGCAACAGGCAAAAGAATGTCATGATCGTGCACTGGCCATTCGTCTGAAAAGGCTCGGACCTGAACATGTCGATGTGGCAAACAGTTACAATAATCTTGGTAATTTGCATCGTGCTCTTGGTGACCTGCAACAGGCAAAAAGAATGTCATGATCGTGCACTGGCCATTCGTCTGAAAAGGCTCGGACCTGAACATGTCGATGTGGCAAGCAGTTACAATAATCTTGGTACTTTGCATCGTGCTCTTGGTGACCTGCAACAGGCAAAAGAATGTCATGATCGTGCACTGGCCATTCGTCTGAAAAGGCTCGGACCTGAACATGTCGATGTGGCAAGCAGTTACAATAATCTTGGTACTTTGCATCATGATCTTGGTGACCTGCAACAGGCAAAAGAATGTCATGATCGTGCACTGGCCATTCGTCTGAAAAGGCTCGGACCTGAACATGTCGATGTGGCAAACAGTTACAATAATCTTGGTACTTTGCATCATGATCTTGGTGACCTGCAACAGGCAAAAGAATGTCATGATCGTGCACTGGCCATTTGTCTGAAAAGGCTCGGACCTGAACATGTCGATGTGGCAAGCAGTTACAATAATCTTGGTACTTTGCATCATGATCTTGGTGACCTGCAACAGGCAAAAGAATGTCATGATCGTGCACTGGCCATTCGTCTGAAAAGGCTCGGACCTGAACATGTCGATGTGGCAAACAGTTACAATAATCTTGGTAATTTGCATCGTGCTCTTGGTGACCTGCAACAGGCAAAAGAATGTCATGATCGTGCACTGGCCATTTGTCTGAAAAGGCTCGGACCTGAACATGTCGATGTGGCAAGCAGTTACAATAATCTTGGTACTTTGCATCGTGCTCTTGGTGACCTGCAACAGGCAAAAGAATGTCATGATCGTGCACTGGCCATTCGTCTGAAAAAGCTTCGGACCTGAACATGTCGATGTGGCAAGCAGTTACAATAATCTTGGTACTTTGCATCGTGCTCTTGGTGACCTGCAACAGGCAAAAGAATGTCATGATCGTGCACTGGCCATTCGTCTGAAAAGGCTCGGACCTGAACATGTCGATGTGGCAAGCAGTTACAATAATCTTGGTACTTTGCATCATGATCTTGGTGACCTGCAACAGGCAAAAGAATGTCATAATCGTGCACTGGCCATTCGTCTGAAAAGGCTCGGACCTGAACATGTCGATGTGGCAAACAGTTACAATAATCTTGGTACTTTGCATCGTGCTCTTGGTGACCTGCAACAGGCAAAAGAATGTCATGATCGTGCACTGGCCATTTGTCTGAAAAGGCTCGGACCTGAACATGTCGATGTGGCAAGCAGTTATAATAATCTTGGTACTTTGCATCGTGCTCTTGGTGACCTGCAACAGGCAAAAGAATGTCATGATCGTGCACTGGCCATTCGTCTGAAAAGGCTCGGACCTGAACATGTCGATGTGGCAAGCAGTTACAATAATCTTGGTACTTTGCATCATGATCTTGGCGACCTGCAACAGGCAAAAGAATGTCATGATCGTGCACTGGCCATTCGTCTGAAAAGGCTCGGACCTGAACATGTCGATGTGGCAAACAGTTTTGAAAAGTGTTGAAAATGATACTCCTATGACATCAATTTTTCCAAGAAAACTTGATTTGTTGGAGAATTAGATACCCTGGAAAAAGGAGAATTCCACAAGTGCCAAAACTAAGAGGAAGTGCTTCAAACTGTTTTACCTCATCCGTTTCGTCAGATATCTTATATTTCGTTAGGACAGTTTTTAAATTTTGCACAATGAATGAAAATAGATATAGTTGAAAGAGTTTGTAAACCCTTTTGTGTATATCGGTCCTCCTTTAAAACACTTGTCCCCTTCTCAGTTATTTTGTAATATACTAAGGCAAGTGTTGAAGGTTTAACTGATCCAAATTTTTCCTGAAAGAGGAGAGGGCATTTATCATGAAATTGTCCTAAATCATTTACTAAAAAAAAAGGTTTGAAAGTGGTTACAATTACATCGGGAATACCAACGTGAATTTGGAAAAACAAAAGTAATCATTAGTTGCAAGAGAATATTCTCTTGTCCGATTTTCGAAGACAATCCGGTCTGATTGTCGAAGAAAATCCAGTTTTACTATGCTCCTCTCTGCGATTGGCCAAGAAACTAGCGTCACCTCCTCAACCAAGCAGATGAAAAAAAAAGTCGCGTTGCTCGTGTTTTCCCGTGACTCAGTCTTCGTGTTTCTTCAAGTTAATTCCCGTTTTTACTGGGATACCTGTGGTAGCCCAGTCATAAAATGCCTTTGTTTTTTTGCCTTTTTTTTCCCCGCCACAAAATGGAAAAATGGCGCAATAGTACCCGGTGGTCATTGGGCCCTCAACACCTAACTGTGATCCAATGGGGTGTTCACATGCTGATCACGCGTGTTATCTTGATGATGATTGACGTTGTCATGCACAGACAGGGCCGGGTCACATGACGAATCACGACATTTTTGCTTATAAAACTCTTTTGTCAGTCGTTTTGTATTTCAACGTATTTGGATTGCGATCTCCTGGAGCATTATGGCGCAAACGCTCAAAATACTTACAGACGCATATACAAGTCGTATTATTCGCGGCTAATCCACACTAAAAGATGTTATTGAGCGGTAATTTTGGAACGGATTGAGACGCGAACGCTTGAAAGCCATGAAAGCCTTGAATGCCTTGTATGCCAAGTATGCCAATGTCAATTGAAAAACGTTCACTTGTTGTAAAAAGCAAAATCTGAAATCTGAAACCAAACTGCATATACTCTATGTAATCCATTGAACAACACCACTACCGTGAGACTGAAGAACATAACTATAATGGATGCAAACTGCTTGTGAAGAAAGACGCCATGTTGGATTCACTTGATGGCAAGGAACGTAGCTACGATAACAGTACGAATGGTATTAATTTCACGATCAGAAAGGTGAATCTTATGTTTGTTTTCATTGTAGTTGTATGGATATTCTTTTTTAATAAATACGTGATCCAAAACCCTGTGTTTTTCTGTGCATAATGTTATTATGTTAAGAATTGTTTACGCAATTGTCTTGTCACAGGCAGCCCAAGCTCACGTCTCGAGAAAAAGCCAACGATTAATTCATGAACGCGTCACGCGTTGTGTGACTCGGTGTTAAGTTAGGAGAGGAACCGTTGGAAATTTGAACACGTTATAAGGAATAGTATAGGGAACGAAGTATGGTCGATCTAAAACGATAAATATTTCGAAATATGAACATTTTTCTCGTAAAATCAATAAAACTTACTCATACCCTGTGTATCCGTTGTAGTTTCTGGCGATTTCTGCCGTTTTAAGCTCGCTTTACCATCACTGTTATTCACGACATCTACTTTTATTACGTTGGTAAAATCTGTACAGACATCACACCAACCAACTCGCGTGCAAAGTAAGAAGACTATATGGAAGGCTTGAAACAATATTGCGATCGATTTTCATCAAGAAATCGGCCAGGAATATTCCAAAATAGTGCAAATAATCGTGAAGGCTGATCGCAGAAAAGCGATTGCGTGACGCTCGGTAAGCTGTAAGATGACATACCAGACGTAAAAGCTCTTCAGATTCTTAGTCTGCATTTTGTACCCACTCTGCAGTCTATATTTTGTATCCGGTCTGCAGTCTGCTGTCTGCATTTTGTACTAACAGGTATCCATGGCACCAATACAGTTTATTTTTGGTTACATTTATTCGCAACACAACACACATAATCTACCACAAAATACCTGTGAGTGAGGTAATTCGACATTTTCGTTTTTTCCCGCATTAATATTCTTCTCTCCTTTTGTAAGAATGTAGACATCACTCACAATGTTTCAAGTAATCCACCCACCTTACAAAAAAATAACTCTTGCATGCATAGCATGCCAATTTTTTGAAATAGGTGTATGCCCTTGGCCAGACTTGAGCGCACTATTTCAGTATACTAGTCCGACACCCGTATTATCACTACACTTGATTCCAAGGATCCAGTACCGTCCAGGTATCCCAGTTACCCTGCTCACAGGGTCTAGTTTGGTTTTTTTTTTAGCCCTTGCGATTACTAGCGTAACAAAAATGCAGGAAATGTAAACACGTGAATAAACGTATTAGTTGTAATTGTACATATTAACTTCATATATTTAAAGATCCTGAGTGGAATTGATGAGTGCTGTGAAATTTTTTTGAAATGAGTAGACTGTGCCGATGCTTTTTTTGTATCTGAGATCAAACTATTTCATGAAAAGTTTTTCTTACTTTTCCTTTAAGAAAATTCAAACTCTTATCGTAAATAGATCAGTCAGCTGGTGAAAATAGAATGTAAACTTTCCAGGTAATATGAAATTAAAATGATTCGTTTTTCCTTCGACAACTAATTGCCAAGGAATGGTGACAACTTATTCCACACTGCAGGATAAAAAGCCGATTATTGCCGGAAAATTAATTAGTAGTAGTTATACCAATGCAGCAAATGCAAGGGGCTAGGGGAAACACAAAAACCTCAGTAATTTAATTGGAAACTTTTATGATCTCAGTAACCGTGAATTTATGACGATTGTGAAATCTTTGCTTAACTAAAATCGCATTGACATTCGCGGTCTTTTTCCATGACTAAAATTAATCAAGACTGCTTACAGAAAATTTGTGATGCCTGGAGGATAATCTAAACAAACCGGTGTTATTACATCTTTGTTAAATGAGACGGCAGGAAATAGATTTTGAAAGTGTAGCAATTGTCTGTAGGAAAAGCAAGCCGACGACTTTGCGATATGCGTTGAAAATATTTAATCATTTACCTTAATCTGTGCAAACGACTGATTAAAAAAATTTTTCGGCCTCCGGATGTTTCTTTTAAAGATCTTTAGGTTTCGAATGTATTTTTTTGCTACAAATATATTCCATTCCCTTTAAATGTCCTGAACTTTTTTCCCTAGTTTCTACAATTTTTCGCAAGAAGCTTTCCCTTGCTGTAAAATGTAAATTTTGAAGGAGTAAGACCACAGATTCAGTACCTACCTCTACCTACTCCATTACTTGTGCGCGAGTCTTAATTCGATACGAGAGAATATGAACATGGTAAAGCAAGAGGGTGGTAAAGAGTCTTTACGTGATGCGTAAAAAGGCCCAACTGTTTTGCGCATGTTTTCATCTTGAGTGCACAAACTCACTTTACGATTTTTATTCGGGGATTGTCGATCCTTTTATTTTCGTTTATTTTTCTTTACTGACAAGAAGAGTCGACTTTATTAAAATAAAGCCGACTTTTCCTGTCAGTAGAGGGCTATTGTGTTTATATGATAAACAGAATAATGCTTGGCTGCTTGTAGATATGAAATTTCTCTTCTCGTGTTTAACTCGACATCTCGACATCTCGACTCGTTCGACTTAACCCTTTAACTCCTAAGACTGACTAACATCTGATTTCTCCTCACAATATCACCCCTGAATCAAACATTAAGGTCATGAGAATAAAGGAGATGATCACCAACTACAGAATCTCTTGATTATTGAACAAATTCTCCTTGTCAGAACCTTAGGAAATGTCTAGGGTGAGGTATGGAGAATATGCATACTGATTTTAGGGAGTAAAAGGTTAAACACTCGAAGAGAAATTTCATATCTACACGCACCCATGTATTATTCTCTAAGTATCAAATTGCTAATTAGACAAAGTTTCTGTGAGTGCTTTAACGGTTTTTTAATATAATTATTATTGTCATTTCACGAGAATCTTCTAAGAATGGAACTGTCTGAGCCATACTTTTTTAGGTTGTTATTTTTGCGATTTTTTTTTTTCTGCTGGAAACCTGACATCATTGACCACTGAACAGAAATCTCAGCTGAAAAAAATTGTAATTCTGAGAAGTGATTTAGGTTTACCTTGTTAAATACAGGTTGATTTCAAGGGCTAATTTTATTGTAAATACAATGATATTATGTTACTGCAGAAACTGTTAAACAATCAAACACCACCTTTCCTTTTTTGTATGTTCTCTGTCGTTTCTCAGCTCTTCTTCCTTCAGTGAATGTCGATAATGTGTGAACTTCAACTTATTTTATTTTCTTGTTGCATCAGTTGTTTATGGGAAAAACTTTTGGCTACCTTCCGTCATAACTCATCTAGAGATACTGTGGGGTTGTATATATGTTGATGCTTGACGAAGGTGTATATATCGGTTGTTATGGCTACTGCAGCTGTAATCGCCAACCCAAAGTGATTAATTTTCTAAAATGAACGTAATTCCGCACAATTTATGGGTCGCTAAGAACAATAAGCCTCATCGACCAGTCGCCAAAATGTTGAAAAAATCGCATTAATTAGCGAGTTATCGTATTCTCATTAGAATTTTATTTCTAAAATGATGTCACAGCGATATACAACGTTTGGAAGTGCGGAAGAATGCGATCGAGTCTTCTTGTTGATGACGAAGGTATCAAGAGATTTAGATTCTTGACTGGATCTATTGTCGAAACTTAAGTTCGAGGTGACAAGAGCATATGAATCCTGATATTGCGCGAGAAATTAGACAAAGAATTGCAAATCAATGACTATTTGTCTGGAAGCTCAGACCTGAGCATGTGGACGTTGAAAAAAATTACGTAAATCGTGGTGATGTATTTCATGCTACAGGTGACCTCATGGCGGCAAAAGAGCGATGTAACTCCGCGCTGAAGCACTTGCAAAAAGGCAAGGAAAAAAAATGCGAGCTCCGCTTTTAGGCTTTCCTAAATCTATATATTAAGACTTAAACGTTGCGTGATGCTTAGTCACTGATGTTCTGTGCTACTTGGTGTTTGAAATAGGTAGTTTAAAGTAAATTCCTTCTAAATTCTATCGATTAGCGTTGCCATAAGATATTTCTAGCACATACTGACCATTGTGCTTTAGCGGCTCTCATTGTTGCAGAAATTAAGTTATGTTCTATCAAGCGTCGGTCTAGTAACGCCGCAGTTTTCTCCAGATTCGCCTTTCCTATTTATTTCACTAAGAGCGTAAGACCACACAGGCAAAGATTTAGCCATGAGCCGAGGCGAGGAAGAGAGAAACTCAAAGGGGCTTTCTCCCCGCGGCTGTTGCCGTTCTTAGCTTCCTCAGCTATTCTATTTATAGCGAATAGTTGATGCCTGAATTCAGTCACGTTTAGTTATCGGATATATTTCCTATTTACGAAAGATGAGGAGATAAGAGATCCAGAGATAGATGATGGAAACCAACAATGCTGGTTTGAATTTTGAATTAAAGGTTTTGAGTATAAGTTTACTGAATTGTACAACATTCATCGGATTGGAACATTTCATCGGATTGGAACATTTGATACTCGCAAAGCTAGATCATATCAGTATGTATTAAAACTAAATAGTCTCTTTAGGGAAATTCAAAGGATTTTAACACAGTGTATGCGGGACTTCAAAGGATTTTTTTTAGCTGACTTCAGATACGTATTTGCGCTTAGTTATCCCAACACCGCCCTCACTATGGCATAGTCACCGAGCAGCCATTGGGCATGAGTGTTTGGCGCAAGCCCAGTTACTCCGGTGTCGGGTAGCGGGTAGGCCCTTCACGAAAATGCATTTTGATCGGCATAATTTGGCTTAATAAGCGTTTTTATTTTTACACTTATTATCAGAAAAGAATTGCTGCATAATTCAGCATTTTGCGCCAATTTGATCCACATTTTTTGTCGCCAGAAGCATAATTTTACTTGTTTTTTGGTTTTTTTAACACTGGTACTTCCAAAGGCGTTCAGTAAACTTCAATTCTCCAAGACGGCATATATTCTCCGATATATGCCGTCTCTCCATTATAGTTGTGACTTGGAAAAGACGCTTAGCCGGTCAGCGGTTCGTTTACTTAGGTTAAACCCACTCCTTGCTTAAAAATCAAAACAAGAGGAAGGTCGCGAAGCAGAAAATAGGTAAGCCCTTGGGAGCGATAAAAGATAAAAGTCCCCTTAATGCAACCATCTTCTGCTGCAGCAGGGAGAATCTACTCAATAATTAAGTCATCGTTCAACGAGAAACAGGGATGTCCCCTTGTCGACGACTTGCAAGCGAGTGTAATGTCGCAGTACAGCGAGCGACGAACGCATGCCATAAAACGTATAGAGTATTCTTCAAAGGACTAATTAATAAAAAGCTAACGTTGTGTTATGTGATACCAGACACATTTGAGAAACATAAAAAAGTGTTTAATATGTGAAGGTGTAAAATGAAACGAAAGATGTTTTCACTAAACCCAGTCAATGTAAAAGTATTTTTCCTTCAAAATAAAACAAAGAATTTTCACACCAGAGGAGCATAAGTTAGCTGAGGTCGTTTGTGGGTTGTAAGTGAAATGATTACGATTTATCACAACTTAGCCCGTCCTTCGACATGATCTGAACTCTACCCTACAGCCTTTTCCTTCCGACTGGGCTTTTTCCAAACTCACTCTTGTACAGTCTCGCTACTTACAATTACATATCAGCTCATCCATTGTTAAGTTTTCTTTTGCTTTGCCTTTAATTGTTTTTTTTCGTAAAGGAACCCCTACAAGTCCTAATGAGAAGTTAAGAAACAAACGTTTTATTCAGAGTGATAATTTTTATCAAGGGTTCAAGGCGAACAAAGGGGAGGGGTGGGTGAGGCAATCGTTAGGTGTACCTGATCTCCCCATAATCACGAAAAACCAACTTTTCATACCTTAAGTACGAGTGAGACAATAATGTAGACCCAAATTCTGCAAAATCCAGCAATGTTCCCTCGGTCAAATGTGCTTACGTCTATGGTAACTCCGAGTTATACCGCATAACGAATCAACTGCGAGCCTAAGTCAAGTTCGAGTCACCAGTCAAGTTTGAGCCAACTTAACTTTTTTCCCTTTTTATAAAATCATAGCGATAGAAAATACATGACTAATGTAGCTTTTAAAAAAGAAGAGCTAAACAAAACAAAAAAAAATCAAAGCCGTGCATTCAGTTGGTTGTTTACTCGGGTCAAATTTGTCTGAATTCCCGCATCATCAATTGTTACTTCAGCGGTGTTACCATGCTACAGAATTGTCGCGAAGTTTACGAAACGTTTCAAAGGCTGTTATTGTCCATCAAGACATATTAGAACACAAGTGAGAGCCACAACTGACGCTCACTACGAAGAAAATGGACTCGCGTTATTTTCAATGTCTTTTTTCATGCACTGATGCAACACAGAATATATCATGCCTTATATATTCCACACATTATGTAACGACGTCTTGACAACTTTGTGATGCTTCGAAAATCTTAAAAAGTAAAGCCTGTATTTCACGACTTGTGCCTAAGGTGTGTGTAGTTAAAAGGTGTGGAATCATTGAGGACAACTCGTAGATGCCTGGAAATTTTTATTTCTTTGATTGCAGCTATGAACCAGGGCAGGATTAACCCTCGCAAACGGCTGCGAAAGATGTAAGCACATTTGACCGAGGGAACATTGCTGGAAAATTGAAACCTTAAATCCAGAAAGGGAAAAAATCAAGTTGACTCGAACTTGACTCATGATATGGTATAACTCAGTAACTCCCACTGTGCGGACTTAAGCCACATATTTGGAGTGAGCATCACTGCTGTAAGTTTAACCGTGACACTGACTCTCTTTTTATGAAAGGCGAGAGTACTTCACTTATTTAGCACAGTTTAAGACAAAACAACTCAAAGGGTATCTGAACATTTTTTCTGCACATAAATTTTTAAAATTTCGTTTTCCTTCTTCAAAGGACAATCCAAGCACCTAACTGAGAAATCGTGAATATGGCCTCTTCAGTGAAATACAGTTAAGAGCAACTAAACTATTACAGGATTTGTTACGTTACCACTAACATCTTGACCGAGGGAATACGAAAAATCTTCAAACAAGAATGGGATAGTCGCTACAAGGCCACGTTAGGAGAATGGAAAGACGATCCCAAAAATGGACTGGATTTCTGGAATGGCGAGTCGCTACGGAATCAAAAGAAGTATGCACGTCTATTAAAAACTATGACTAGAGGCAATAGAGCTGAGTGGGATTGCACCATGCTGTTTTATGCCATTCTTTTTTCCGATTGCATCCATAGTCTCAATCCAGTCGTCTGGTCAAATGTGGATAAACTCAGGCTGTTTCGGAACGAAGAGTTCGCTCATATCGCACGAGGTCACCTCTCAGATGTAGAGTTTCAAAATGCCATTAGCAAAGTGGAAAATGCATTTTTAGCTCTCGGTCTTTCCACTGTGAAAATTCAAGACGTAAAAACCCAAACATGTTTTCCCACAGAGCAGTTGATACATGTTTTGAAGAAGGTGGACGACCTCAAGCAGAAGGGTCAGGAGAAAGAGAAAGAAGTTCAGGAGAAAGACAAAAATCTTCAAGAAAAGGAAGGAGCAATTCAGGAAAAAAACAAGAGAGTACATGAGACAGCAAAGGAACTTCGGGAAAAAGAGGAAGAAAGAAAAACTCTTGAAGAACAGTTAAACAGCAATGTTTCTTCATTTTGCATTCTTCCTCCTAAGCCTTCTCATGATGTCACAAATCGGGATGCTGACGTGTGTGAGATTATACAAAAGCTAAAAGAGCTAAAAAAGTCTGCAGGATTAAGCTACTTGTTCATATCTGGAAATCCTGGAAGTGGTAAATCGCAGATGGCCTCACTCGTAGCCAAGCGTTGCTTTGACGCGGTCAAAGAAAGCACATCTACTGCATCGTTCGTAATGACACTGAATGCTGAAAACTCTAAAACACTTTTGGAATCGTACGCCACTTTCGCTCGACATCTGAAGTGTCCAGAATATGCTGTCACTAACACATTTACCTCCACAGATTTGAGTACAGATGAGAAGATCAGAAGTCTAAAAACATTGATCAGCACAAAAATCGAGCTGTACTCATCGTGGCTAATTATAGTTGATAACGTCACCAGCATGTCTCATGTGGATGGTAATTTACCTGATTCGGGAAATGGGCAGTGGGCAAAGGGCCAGTTGTTAATAACAACACAGGACACCGCGTCTATCCCGCCGTCAGGTTTATTTATTCAACATATTCCAGTCAGCAAAGGTATGGAGCCTCATGAAGCCGGCTGCCTATTGGAAATGCTTTCTGGTTTTAATGACCCTAAGATGGAAAAAGAAGTTGCTCGGGTATTAGACTACCAACCACTTGCCCTGGCAAGCGCTGCCACCTATGTGAGAGAAGTAAGAAACAACAAATTAACTCCCAATTTTAGTTAGGATGACTTTCTGAAGAAATTGGACAAGGGGAAGAGGCGTACAACAGAAGCCATGCTCTCTGGATGTAACCCAAGTTACAAAAAATTCATGACTGCAACTACAACACGTGCTGTTAAGAAGACGATCGCAACGGATTAAGTTTTAGAGCACATTTTTAACTTTCTTCTGTCTGTGCACCACACCCTTTGAGTCTAGAGATTGTTGTACATTATCTTAAGCAAAAGAATGTCATGATCATGCATATAGCATTCGTCTGAAAAGCCTCGGACCTGAAGATATTGATGTGGTAGCCGTGCAGAATAACTGAGTGATGGTACAACTGGAAAGGGAGATTGGACGGACGTCTACCATCTCTCACAGAGTCTGTTGTGTGATATTCTGAGTTAACTATGAACTTTGAATATAAACTTAATAGTGCTGTAAATGATACTTCTAGGTCATAATATCAATTTTTGCAAGAAATCTAGATTTGTTTGAGAATTAGATACCCTAGAAAAAGTAGAATTTCATTAGTGTCAAAGCTATGAGAAACGTGAAGGCTTTAAACTGTTTACCTTGTCAATCTCGTTAGTTTTCCTATCTGTCATTAGGAAAGTTTTTAAATTTTACACAATGTAATACACAAAAGACAGCCTTATTTGAATTCCAATGACCGAAATAGAAATAGTCGAAATAGTTTGTTAACCCTTTACACCCTAACATCAGTATCTATATTCTCCTTACTTTTCTCCATACATCTCCTCTGGTACTGACAAGGAGATTTGTTTCATTAATCAAAGCTTCTTAGGTTGGTGACCATTTCCTTTATTCTCGTGATCTTAATGAATGATTCAGCGATATTAATGTAAAAAGAAATTAGATGCTGGTCACTCTTAGGGTATAAAGGGTTACAACTATACTAGAAGTCAGCCTTTCCATTTCTCCACCTCATATAAATATGACTTGAGTGTACATAGGCTTGAATGTTAATAGCATGACGTAGGACTTCATCAACTATTCATCAGTGTCATTTGGTTGAAGTCCAAAACTTGTCAGTGATCTCTCCTGCCACACCCCTCTTGTCTGCTTTAGCACTAATCTCAGTTAACTCAGGCAGGTTTGGTCGTCTGTGATAGCTCTGCCAAACCCTGATGCTAATGAAGTAAACAGGAAGGATATTGTGTATATCGGTCTTCCTTTAAAACACTTGTTCCCATCTCACTTATATGCGTTGAAAGTATTAAATCATTTACCTTAATCTGCGCAATCGACTGATTAAAAACATTGGTCGGCCTCTGAATGTTTCGTTTAGTGATCTTTAGGTTTCGAATGTGTTATTTTGCAACAAATATATTCCATTCCCTTCTAATGTCTTAGAATTTTTCACTAATTTCCATAATCTTTCGCAAGTAGCTTTCCTTTGCTGTAAAATTTAGATGCTGGAAGAGTAAGAGCGCAGATTCCGTACCCACCTCTCCCTACCCTGTTACTTGTGCGCGAGTTTTAGTTCGATACGACAGAATATGAACATGGTGAAGTAAGAAAGTAAGAGGGTGGTAAAGAGTTTGTACGTGACACGTAAAAAAGCCTAAAATAAGTACGTGACGTGCAAATTTTACAGTAGAGGAAGTTAAAGCCCCGCCATTGCTTTCCTCTGTTGAACTTCCTGCTCTTTGCTGAGTTTCGAGATTAGGGCAGAAATCTATTCGTAGTATTATGGTAAAATCATTGTTCCTTTGATTACTGCAGTTGGCTGTTGTAGCGATAAAACGTTTCCATAATTAAAATTTTCCTCAGCAAGGATTAAGGATTTAGTCGGTTTAAATATCAAAACAGAGAGAGAGAGGATTCTCCGGCTCTCGTTTTAATTAATCAATGGAACTACAGGTTACAAAATACGCGTAAAAAAGCCCAAATAAATACGTGACATGCAAAGTTTACAGCAGGACAAGTTAAAGTAAGATTTGGAGTTATTCCTTTTAAATTCGTGACGGGTGAAATAGATAAACTGATGGATAGTTTGATCATCAATACTTTGCAGCCCGAAGACTGAATTGCGCATTTACAAAACTAAGAACAGTAAATAAAAAAAGTATAAAAAAGACTAAAAATCTACGTACATATATTATCAATACAGGATCTAATAATAAAACTATTCCTAAAACGATTGCTCTTGCATTTAGGGACGATAAAGCGCTTATTGCACCTCAGAGCATAACGCGATGGTCCACTGCATGGGATTAAACTGTTCAGAGGGTGTTCAGGGACCTTAATAATGGTGTCAAAAGTATCACTACTTAGCCCTGTGATGAAATCTACAGCAGCGACAATGTTAACCGGTTCGATAGCCTCCTGGTAAGGCAGTCCTTGGCATATTATAGACATTGCCTGCTTTTCAACTCGCACCAGCTCGTCTTTTAAGTACTTTGGCAGGGCATAAAAAAAAGACGGGTGCCGCGTACATAAGAACAGAGCGTATACAAGCAGTGTAAAAAGTGGACATATCCTGCCGAGGAACTCTTGATCTTTTTAACTGCACTAAGAAATAAAGACGCTTTGACACTTTCTTGATTACGTCACTAATATACTCGTTCCATGTAAGGTTGCTCGATATGGTCAGACCTAGTAGTTTAGCACTCAGTAGACACCCTCTCTAGTTCATTACCATCTATTACAATAGGCGCAAATTGGGGCTCACCTTTACGAAAGATATTTTGAGCTCCTTATATTTGTCGCTATTGAGTTGGACTCTATTCTGCATAGACCATTCCGCAACCTTATGTGCGGTCTCCTGGGCACAACCGCTGTGCTCAGGAGACCGCCACTATAAGGGCAACCGAAGTGACTTCGGTTGCCCTTTGCAACGACTTGCGTCCGTATTGTCAACGTACTTACATACATTAGCTAAATTATCAACATCTAAATCATTTATAAGCACAAGAAATAACCATGGGCAATATACTGTTTAGAGTAAACGTGACGCGCGAATTTCCCCACCTCCCTCACCTCTCGTTTCAAAACATTGAAATGCTCAACAGAGCTATTACTGATAAAGAGGCCTCAGTTAAAATTTCTCAGACACGACTAGAGAACAGAACCTTTTGGCCAAACATAGAGTTTTTCCGAGACCGCGACTGCGGGAAAAACTGGCTGATGCCGAAGCGTTCCTCAAAGGACTGATCAGGAAACAACTGTCTTTGGAAGAAGATATTGAAGTGAAAGCAAAAAGTCTTTTTATTGACAGAGATCAGTGCATGGAGTTGCGCAAACAGGTCAACCATTTAATTACCTCATTGAAAGAGCTATTTTAGGAGATATGCCTCCACAACTCCAAGATATATAGATGCTTTAAAATTGCTAATTAGACTAAGTTTCTGTTCGTGTTTTGACAGTTTTTTTTTATTATTATTATTATTTCATGAGAATCTTCTAAAAATGGAAATGTCTGAGCCATATATTTTTTCTAAGTTGTTACTTTTGTGGATTTTTTTTTTTTTTCGCTGGAAACCTGACATCGCTGGGCATCGAACTGAAGTTTTCAGCTGAAAAACTTGTAATTCTGAAAAGTGATTTTAGTTTTACCTTGTCAAATACTGGTTAATTTCAAAGGCTAATTTTATTGTAAATACAATAATGCTATGTTACAGCAGAAGCTGTTAAGCAATCAAACACAACCTTTCATTATATTTTTCTCTGTTGTTTCTCAGTTCTTCTTCCTTCAATGAATGGCGATAATACGTGAACTTCAATTTCTTTTCTTTTCTTTTATTACATTAATTGTTCATGTGAAAAACAATTGGCTTCATGTTATTTCAGTATAGGCTCCTCAAAACTCATCTAGAGATACTGTGGGGTTATATTTGTTGCGGATGCTTGACGAAGGAAGAACACAGCGAAGGTGTCTATATCGGTTGTTATGGCTACAGCAGCTGTAATCGCCAACCTGAAGTGGTTAATTTTCCAAAATAAACGTAATTCCGCACAATCTATGGGTGGTTACGAACAGTAAACCTCATGGACCAGTCGCCAAAATGTCGAAAAAAATGTGCATTAATAGGCGAGTTATCGTATTCTCAGTAGAATTTGATTTCTAAAACGATGGTGTATTTTACGCTACTAGCGAGCTCATGGCGGACAGTAGCATGATGACTTGGCAATTAATCACCATGTCTTGGGTACTGCTCACAATAAACTTGCTGACCTGCAGCACTCAAATTGCATTCAGCATTTGTCTGAAAAAGTTCGGAGCTGAGCATGTTGATGTGGCAACTACTTACAGTAACGTGGGTATCGTGCATCGTCCCCAAGGAGACCCTGATTAGGCAAAAGAGTATTCGTCTTAAAAAGCTCGGACCTAACCACGTCGGTGTGGCAAATAGTTACAATAATCTGGGTTCTGTGCATCGTGAACTTGGTCAACTGCAACGGGCAAAAGATTGTCATGATTGTACACTGGCCATTCGTCTGAAGGAGCTCAGACCTGGACATGTGGATGTTGCAGTTTGTTACAATAATTTGGATAGTGTACATTGCGATCTCTTGACCGGATACGGGAAAAATAGTGCATTGATCGTGCTTTGATTATTATGAAAAAGCTCGGAACTGAGCATATTGATGTCGCCTATGCGCGGAATAACATGTCTAGATAAGCTTCAAATGGAGAAATAGATAGACAGTCGGCGGTCGATCATTACAGGGGTTTACATTCTCAAACGGGAAAGTGTATGATCATGTAAAAAGGTTACAGATTTCCAAATAACCATAAAATAGAAGGACATACGTTTCACAAGCATAAGCACAACGCAAGCGCTATGAGCATCCTTTCACCTATCACTTTTATTTCGCGCCCTCCTCGCGCTCACCCTAGTTATTGCAAAGTTTTCGCTTGAAGAATGCTCGACTTTGTCACGCAACAGAACTGCGCGTCCACAGGAAATCGCGTGAACCGCTATATTCTTTTTTTGATTTCACGCATACATGGATCACGCATACTGAAATGTTGTGTTCACTTTCAAAACAAGCTTTCACAAGCGTCACTGGTTTTTCCATCTGATAAGTGGTGATCATAAACGGTTCAACGCACATTAAGAATAAGCTTTTGGAAGACATTCATGACTTGAGTGTGTTTGGCTTTCGACATGCGACCCTGGATGATTGGAGACAGAAGCCTTCTTTCTTTACTGAAGTGATTGTATTTCAACTTTGCTATATAATCCCTGAATAATTCGACGCAGTAAGTATAATACATATCATTGATTCACGTTATATCACTAAAAATAACATTTAACAGTTGTCTGTAAATCTTTTTTTAATTTTTTCGGGGTCGGTGAGTTACAATACTGAGAGTCGTTGTGTGTTGCATGTCAATGTTCCTCAGAGTTTGAAAGAAGTAGCTTTAAGTAATTCCTAGTTAAGGAACTTCAGAGAACTTAAAAGAGCCTTTCTCGCCGTGACCGTTGTCATTTTTCTTCTGACATTGTCATCATTGTTCTATTTATAGAGAGCATTTGATGCCTGAATTTAGTCACTTTCTGTTGTCAAGTGTGTTTCCTGTTGACGAGAAACTCAAAAAGAGAGATCCAAAGATAGAAAAGGGAAGTCTACAATGCCTATTTGAATTCTTATCCATGGGCAAGACTCATAAGTATATAAAACTGCACAAACTTCTATCTATTGGAACATTCTTGAACACGGAACCATCATAGAGCGGCTTCTATTATGTAAATTTAAGCAATTTGTTCATTCCTTCACTCAAGATATTCGGTTTACGATATATTCTTTTATCTATCCTCATCGAAGCGAAGTAAAACCCTCCATAAAACATTACAAAGAAAATCAAAAAGAACAATCTTTTGGATTCCAAACAGTTGTTTTCTTGCAAAGTCTTTATCTATCGAATTCAGCCTTGTTCGTGCATTTTCACTTGTTTAAGCCAGGCCGTGAGTTATTATCAATTATGAGCACTTGACTGCGGGCACTTGTTCTACTTCTGGTAACCACTATTAACTCTTTAACTCCCATGAGTGACCAAGACTCATGGTTTGTACTGATTCTTATTCCGTGAAAGACAACAGGCCTCGACTTATTTAGCTCAGCTTAAAACAAACCTTCCAAAGGGAAGAAAAGCCATTTTTTTAGATAAAAAAATTTTAAAATTTCTTTTTTTAAAATTAAAGGACAGTCGCTGAACCGTATGAAATTGTTCAAAGTGAATATGTCCTTTTCAATGGTATGCGATGAGGAGCAGCTAAACTATTTCAGGATTTGGATTTGAATATGGCCTTTTCAATGGAATACAATGAGGAGCAGCTAAACTATTTCAGGATTTGTCACGTTACCACTGACATCTTGACCGAGGGATTGCGAGAAATCTTCAAACAAGAATGGGATAGTCACTACAAGGCCACGTTAGGAGAATGGAAAGATGATCCAAAAAATGGATCGGACTTCTGCAATGGCGAATCGCCACGGAACCAAAACAAGCATGCACGTCTATTAGCAACCATGACTAAGGGAAATAGAGCTGAGTGGGATTGTACCATGCTGTTTTACGCCATTCTTTTCTCTGATTGCATTCATAGTCTTAATCCAGTCGTCCGGTCAAATGTGGATAAACTCAGGTTGTTTCGTAACGAAGAGTTCGCTCATATCGCACGAGGTCACCTCTCAGACGTAGAGTTTCAAAATGCCATTAGCAAAGTGGAAAATGCATTTTTAGCTCTCGGTCTTTCCATCGTTAAAATTCAAGAATTAGAAACCCAAACTTATTTTCCCACAGAGCAGCTGAGACATGTTTTGAAGAAGGTAGACGACCTCAAGCACGAAGTTCAGGAGAAAGAAAAAGAAGTTCAGGAAAAAGAGAGAGAAGTTCGGGAGAAAGACAAAAATCTTCAAGAAAAAGAGAAAGTAATTCAGGAAAAAGACAAGAAATTGCAGGAAAAAGGAAAGGAACTTCAGCAAAAAGAACAACAAAGACAGACTCTTGAAGAACAGTTAAACAGCGAGGCTTCTTCATTTTGCATTCTTCCTCCTAAGCCCTCTCATGATGTCGCAAATCGAGATTCTGATACATCTAAGATTATTGAACAGTTAAAAGCGCTGAAAAAGTCCACAGGATTAAGTTACTTGTACCTATCTGGAAATCCTGGAAGTGGTAAATCGCAGATGGCCTCACTTGCAGCTGAGCGTTTATTTTGCGAAGAAAGTATATCTACTGCATCGTTTGTAATGACACTGAATGCTGAAAACCCTAAAACACTTTTGGAATCGTATGCCACTTTCGCTCGACATCTGAAGTGCCCAGAATACGCTGTTACCAACACATTTACCTCCAAAGATTTAAGTACAGACGAGAAGATCATAAGTCTAAAGACATTGATCAGCACAATAATCGAGCTGTACTCATCGTGGCTACTGATAGTTGATAACGTCAGCAACATGTCTCATCTGGACGGTAATTTACCTGATCCAGGAAATGGGCAGTGCGCAAAGGGCCAGTTGCTGATAACAACACAGGACACCGCGTCTATCCCGCCGTCAGGCTCATTTATTCAACATATTCCTGTCAGCAAAGGTATGGAGTCTCATGAAGCTGGCTCTCTATTGGAAATGCTTTCTGGTTTTTCTGACCCCAAGATGGAAAAAGAAGTTGCTCGGGTATTAGACTACCAGCCACTTGCCCTAGCAAGCGCTGCCACTTATGTGAGAGAAGTAAGAAAGAACAAATTAACTCCCAATTTTAGCTGGGATGACTTTCTAAAGAAATTGGACCAAGGGAAGAGAAGTACAACAGAAGCCATGCTCGCTGGAAGTAACCCAAGTTACAAAAACTCCATGACTGCAGCCACAACATTTGCTGTTAAGAAGACGATCGCAGCGGATAAAGTTTTGGAGCACACTTTTCATTTTCTTTCTGTCTGTGCACCACACCCTTTGAGTCTACAGATTGTTGTAAATTATCTTAGCAAAGTAAATAAGGAGCCTAAAGACCCTGAGATATTTGCTACGAGAATCTGCAAATGCTCTTTGCTGTTATTTGAAGAAGATGACAGCGGCGTGTACATTCGAGTGCACCAGATTGTCCATGACGTCATCAATAATGTTATGAAAACCTGCGCCGAAAACAAAGAGCTTGAAGCCGTTGATGGGGCCATTCTGTCATTCTGCCAAGTTATAGGTCATGAGGATGACTCGCATACTCTTATTAGAAGCAAGAAAATTGTTCCTCATTTAGTAACAATGAGTGAGATAATCGATGGTCTATTTTCAGAAGAGGGTATATCCGACGCTGTCAAAGCCGGATCATCCACTCCCTATGACTACCGAAACTATTTCAAAACCCTTGGTCACACCTGCCAAAAACACTGTGAATTTCGATCAGCATTAACGTACTTCAACGTAATGTTGCGATTAACTCAATGTGACGACGTGTTTGGTGACGAAGACGTTGTAAATGCATATGGTTACATAGGTACTGTGCACCATTCCCTCGGTGACCTGCAGCAGGCAAAAGAATGTCATGATCGTGCAATAACGATTTGTCTGAAAAAGCTCGGATCTGAACATATCGATGTGGCAAATGCTTACGATAATCTGGGTAAGGTGCATCATGATCTTGGTGACCTGCCACAGGCAAAAGAATGTCATGATCGTGTACTGACCATTCGTCTGAAAAAGCTCGGACCTGAACATGTCGATGTGGCAAATGCTTACGATAATCTGGGCACTGTGCATCATGATCTTCGTGACCTGCCGAAGGCAAAAGAATGTCATGATCGTGCACTGGCCATTCGTCTGAAAAAGCTCGGACCCGAACATGTCGATGTGGCAAATGCTTACGATAATCTGGGTACTGTGTACCATGATCTTGGTGACCTGCCGCAGGCAAAAGAATGTCATGATCGTGCACTGACCATTCGTCTGAAAAAGCTCGGACCTAAACATGTCGATGTGGCAAATGCTTACGATAATCTGGGTACTGTGCATCATGATCTTCGTGACTTGCTGCAGGCAAAAGAATGCCATGATCGTGCACTGACCATTCGTCTGAAAAAGATTGGACCTGAACATATAGATGTGGCAAATGCCTACGATAATCTGGGTACTGTGTACCATGATCTTGGTGACTTGCCGCAGGCAAAAGAATTTCATGATCGTGCACTGACCATTCGTCTGAAAAAGCTTGGACCTGAACATGTCGATGTGGCAAATGCCTACGATAATCTGGGTACTGTGTACCATGATCTTGGTGACTTGCCGCAAGCAAAAGAATTTCATGATCGTGCACTGACCATTCGTCTGAAAAAGCTTGGACCTGAACATGTCGATGTGGCAAATGCTTACGATAATCTGGGTACTGTGCATCATGATCTTGGTGACCTACAGCAGGGAAAAGAATGTCATGATCTTGCACTGGCCATCCGTCTGAAAAAGCTCGGAGCTGACCATGTCGATGTGGCAAATAGTTACAATAATCTGGGCACTGTGCATCGTGCTCTTGGTGACCTGCAGCAGGCAAAAGAATTTCACGATCGTGCTCTTACCATTCGTCTGAAAAAGCTCGGACCTTAACATGTCAATGTAGCAAATAGTTACATTAATATGGGTGCTGTGCACTTTGCCCTTGGTGACCTGCAGCAGGCAAAAGAGTGTCATGATCGTGCACAGACCATGGGTCTGAAAAAAATCGGACCTGCACATGTCAATGTGGCATATAGTTAGAATTATCTGGGTGCTGTGCATCATAATCATGGTGACCTGCAGCAGGCAAATGAGTGACAAGATCATGCACAGACCATTCGTCTGGAAAAGCTCGGACCTGAATATTATGATTTGGTAGCTGTGACAAATAGTTACAATAATCTGGGTCCTGTGCATCAACACCTTGGTGACCTGAAGCAGGAAAAAGAATGTCATGATCGTGCACTGAACATTTGTTTAAAAGAGCTCGAACCTGAACATGTCGATGTGGCGGAAAGTTACTATAACCTTGGCGCTGTAGACCGTGGCCTTGGTGAGCTCCTGAGCAGGCAAAAGAGTTTCAAGATCATGCATATAGCATTAGTCTGAAAAACCTCGGACTTTAAGATATTCATATGGTAGCCTTGGAGAATAACTTAGTGATGATACCTCGAGAAAGGGAGAGAAGACGGACTTCTACCATATCTCAGAGTCGATTGTATGATATTCAGAGTTAACTTTGGATTAAACCTAAAAGTGCCGGACATGATACTTCTGGGACATAAGATCAATTTTTTGACAGAAAACTAAATTTGTTGAAAATTAGATGCTCTGGAAAAAGGAAAATTCCATTAGGCAATCTAATACACAAAAGACAGCCTTATTGAATTCCAATGACCGAAATAGAAATAGTCGAAATAGTTTGTTAACCCTTTACACCCTGACATCAGTATCTATATTCTCCTTACTCTTCTCCATACATTTCCTTTGGTACTGACAGGAGATTTGTTTCATCAATCAAAGCTTCTTTGGTTGGTGATCATTTCTTTACTCTCGTGATCTTAGAATATGACTCAGCAGAAGAGTCTCTGTAAAGAGAAATTAGATGCTGGTCACTCTCAAGGTATAAAGGGTTAAAACGATAGTAGAAGTCAGCCTTTCCATTATTCTACCTCATATAAATATGACTTGAGTATACATAAGCTCGATTGTAAATACCATAACGTAGGACTTCATCAACTTTTCATCAGTGTCATTTGGTTTAGGTCCAAAACTTGTCAGTGACCTCTCTGCTTCATTACTAATCTCAGTTTACTCAGGCTAGCTTGGTCGTCCGTGATTGCCCTGCCAAACCCTCATGCTAATGAAGTAAACAGGAGGGCTATTGTGTATATTGGTCCTCCTTTAAAACACTTTTCCCCTTCTCAGCTATTTTGTAAACTACCAGGGTAAGTGTTGAAGGTTAAACTGATCCAATTTCTTTTGAAAGAGAAGAGGGCATTTATCATGAAATTGTCCTAAATTATTAACTAAAAATGAGTTTCAAAGTGGTTACAAAAACTAAGAGAATGCCAAAGTGAATTTGAAAAAACCAAGGGTAATCATTCGGTGCAAGAGATTATTTTCTTGTTCGATTGTCAAAGAAAATCCAGTTTTACTATGCTCCTTTCTGTGATTGGCCAAGAAACTGGGGTTACCTACTCAACCAGTCAGGTGGAAAAGAAATCGAGTTGCTTATAATTTCCAATGACTCAGTCTTCTTGTTTCTTCAAGTTAATACTCTCCTGGTGTTTTTTTTTCAGTCCTTGCGATTACTAACGTAACAAAAATGCAGGAAATATGATCATATTAACTTAATATATTTAAATATCCTGGAATGAATGGACTGTGCTGATTCTTTTTTTGTGTCTGAGATCAAACTAATTCATGAAAAGATTTTCTTACTTTCCTTAAATGTCTTACTCTTTTTCTGTAGTTTCCACGATATTTTGCAAGAAGCTTTCCTTTGCTGTAAAATTTAGATGTTGAAAGAGAAAGACTGCAGATTCCATACCCACCTCTCCCTACCCCATAACTTTTGCGCATCTCTTAGTTCAATAAGAGAGAATATGGACATGGTAAAGTAGGAGGGTGGTAAAGGGTCTTTACGTGACACGTAAAAAGCCCCAAAATAAACACGATGTGCAAATTTTACAGCAGGGCAAGTTAAAGTGAGATTTAAAGTTATTCCTTTTAAATTTGTGACAACTGTGACGGTAAAGAAACAAAGGCAACAAACCAAAGGTTCTACAAAATAATGACTTTCATAAGATAAATTTTTAATGTTTGGGTTGTTATCACAATGTTTTACAAGAAACAAGCTATCATCACAGAATTGTACCTCTTTTCAGTGGCACATTTGAAAACTGATCAAAAGGTGATTTAGCAAAAGACTGACAAAAATGTTCTTATACAGTCACAAATAGCCTTAATTGTGACAAGTTGTTGCCCAAAGATAGTTTATATGAAACAAAAACAACTATATGTTTTTCCTTGTAGTCCCTAACTAATATCTTGGAAGCATGGATTAACTTCCCTTTGGAGCATGAAGTTTTTTTAGGCTTCTTTTTCAGTTAACCTGTGAAGATTTCTTCCTCACATTTATATTGTTGTTAAATAGCAATTAGGTTACCTTTTGGAGCTTATTAACGGTCAAAGGAGAATTGGAAAACAAAGTATCTCCTTAAGAAACTTAACTCCTTCTCTAGCAACACTCTTGGCATGAAGTCTTAAATTCAGATTTTAAATGTTGTATAGATTGAAATATGAAGAAGAAAAAAGATACATTGTAAATATACGATGCTTCTTCTCTTAGCTTTCTGGAGGGTATTCTGTAGAGAACAATATTAAAAAAAAAACATTGATGTATTTTGATACCTCCCATTTAATGTTTAATCAAGGTAAACTTGCATCTTTTAACCAAAGTAAGTAAACATCTTTATCCAAGCTTTTTCTGAACAAAGGATTAATTGTAGAATTATTATTTCTTACCTTTTATTTTCTTCTATTTATTTTGCCTAACCAACCAACCCACTTTCACAAAAGGGAAAGCCATGGAGCACAAAAACAGTTGGTAGTAATGGCCTAAATGAAAAAAAGAAAATCTGATCCCAAGAATGATAACATTGGATAGCCCCACACCCTAGTTAGCCCAAAGAACACTGTTGTAAAGGGGTTTACCACTGACTATGAAGCATGAAAAAAATATTAAAGTTTTCTACATTTCTCTTTCCTTCCTAAAAAAAGAAGAAAAAAGAAAAGAGTCTTTGGAGTAATTAGTGTAATATTGTTTTGACTCCTCCATGTTTCCAGTGTCCATCATCTTTTATTCTTTAATCTGATACTTTAAAGAGACATCTTACCTCATTGTGATCAATAAGAGGACATTCAAACTCTTCAACAACTACTTTATCATCTCATGAAAAACGAGGTTCATAGATGAAAAACAGTCCACCAATCTAGTTAAAAAAAATTGACTTAAAGGTTATTAATCACAGAACAAATTTACCTAACCATGACCTAAAAGTTCACTTTAATTCAATCTGCATCACAGTCAACAAAATATTGCAGATCTGTTGTTTAAAAACATCATGGAAGCCTCTTTTGACTATGTACAATAACATATTATGACCCTAACCCTTAGCAAATGTCACCCTTGTGCTGAGTGATAAGTACAACCCATACTTATCCCAGTTTCTGCCTAAGTTGACTTAGAGTATTGATTATCCTCCTGAATGGGATATTGGGACATAGCAGGTTACCACAAGAGGTTTTTATCATTTCCCAGATAATTTTAGGTACCCAATTTGTACTGCCCTTGTAGAAGCACTGCGAGATTTTTAAAAAGCTTGGAATTACTGGGAATTTCTGGGAAAGGAAGATTCCAGTTTTGTGAGGACTTGGAATTCCTTGGAATTCCTAGGAATTCTCAGCTATACAAACTACCTATAATTTAAGAAGGGTGGAATTCTTGGGAATTTCTGGGAATTGAATTTGAGGCAATTTAAATACCCTGAGGTCTACATAAATTCTAAGAAATTCTCAATACCTAGAATGTGAAGGTTTTAAGAAAAGGAGTAATTTCAGAGGCTTAAAACTTTGGCTCAATAAAAGGTATGCTATACAAAACTTACCAAGAGATATACATACATGTATATGTTTATAACTTAAAGATCATAAAATTTATTATTCAAACTAAGTTTTAGTAAATCTCTACATTAATATGGATTTTCTCATGAACCAGCAGTCAATTATGTTAAATGGAAATTGCCAATTAATCCAATGTACTCCTATCACAGATTTGCTTTCTAACCTAAAAGGACTGTTGGATTCCATGATCATAAAATATTTTTATTGTGATGCAAATTAATGTCTCATGTTCACTGATGTGCCAAAATCATCACACATTAATTAGCTGTTCCTTGGTACACAACTTCCACAATAATTAACAATAATTACATTGTTATCTACACTTAAAGAACTTTGTTAGTTATGAAAATAAGTTACTTTCCTAACCAACATTACTGGTTGCCTTTGTTAGAAAACCTTGGAACAGTCAAGCTCAGTTGCCTCAAACACTGTCTGAGACTTTTTGTTGACACTATTTTTAGTAGAAATTTCATGCCTTAGACAAACAAATTCAACACCTAATTAATCTTTCTTTTTTCATGATTGTTGTTGCTGTTTTTTTTTTTTTCAGTTTTTTGCTCTGTTTTCGTGACTAATTGCTGTAATTTGTTTTGCTGTTTTTATTCTTACAAAACATTTTTGTAAGAGTTCCAATACTTGTGGATCATCCACACACTTTGCAAACATTTGGCATGCAGACAAGACAGAGGTAGTCCATGTTCCCTTTGAGAAAAAACACCTTTTAAATGATGTCTTCAATTTACTTTATTTGAAACTCTGATCTGAAAATATTTGTCAACAAGACTTGCCAGTAATGAGAAGTACAAACCAAGTTTCCTTTCATAACTTAATTTCTTAAATGTTCCAGTCACTGGATCTCCCAAAAAATATTACATCTTTTTATTTTTGGTGCTTGCTACGGTCAAGCTTTGTAGATTTAGGTACTGGTACACTGGGATCATCTAGGTATCTCTTATATTTCCTAATGTGGTATCCTTCTTTTATAAATATGAGGGTAAAAGACGATTTGTAGTCGCATTCAAAACTGTGATTGGCTTGTGTTATTTCTCACCTTTGCCATGAACACAACTCAAGTGAGTTTCGAGTCTTTGTTTCCTCGACAACTTTCGGCCACAAATCGTGCATTTGTAGTACGATCGATTCTTGTGGATTATTTCTACATAGAGTGAGCTCACATCATTATTAAAATCACCAAGGTATCCATCGTCTAGAAGCAGAGAACCGGTCGGAGAAGTCACAATAAAGTTGTACGCTTCTCTTAACACTGCAATCGGCAAGCCAGCGGATTCACTTTGCTAGCCAATGACAAGTCCTAAAAGATCCACGTGATCATGCCCGTGATCGGAAACAAAGAAGACTCCATTTGGCGCTCATCTTTGAATGTACTTTTCATCGGTTGATCGCTTTTCTCAACTGTTTTGCTTAATATAACATCTCTAAAGATAGCTTTTATTGTGGTTCAATGAGAAAACGAGAACAGCGTGAGTGTTGTAAAAGAAAAGAAAGTCGTTGGCGCCGTGGAGTTAAAAGAAGGGACAACAGTTGACATATTGACTGGTACAAACAAGGGTCGAGTGGCCATCTGTAAAGCTACGATTTTGAAAGTTTGTGGTGAGTAAAAATTGCGATATTGGTTACGTGATCAAAATCTTATAAAAGAATAGATGTAACGGGTTGAATTAAGCATACATAACGCTCGGCGCAACTGAAACTAGAATAATTCTGAGAATCGAATAGGTCACTTGCATGCCGCAGTTTCTTAAGATTATGCTTTACAATGAAATAAATCTATCAGTAAGGTTTCAAGAATCCTTTAGTCACATTTGGGAACATTCAAGATTCATAATAGGAACTGTTATTAAACAAACCTTATTACATAAAGAAGCGCTCCTTGGTAAAAACAAAATAATGTATTCAACCCTTTTTTAGTAAAATATATGGGAGAGATGTACTAACTCCAATATTAAAGTCACTCAATATAACCGAGATTTCCATCTTAAAGGCCTGGTGTGAGCTTTAAATATATATATATTTATATATATAATTTTTTTTCGAATTCAGATGTCATGGAATCCAGATACAAAATGGTCAAGCTTCTTGTAGACAACCTCATTCAAGGCCAACTCATTGTGAGCCCAGGGAAAAAAATACAAACAGCAGCTAAGTTTGCAGTTTAGGATAACTTCATTCTAATTTATTGTTACAGTTACAACAAGATTTTAATTAAAAAATCAATTTAATTTATCTGTAATTAACCCCTTCACTCCCAAGAGTGCTTGGTTTTCAAATATAATTTAAGATATTGTATTTTATGGAAAAGAATCAACAGATTTTGTTCACAATTTGTGTCCAACCAAATTTAATGATTGATTAGGACTATTTTAGATGAATAGCTGTAATTGAGGATTAATCCATATGAAGTTTTCAAGAAAAGAAAAATAAATCAAATTCCATCCTAATATTACCACATGTTGATGTTAATAATTAATCAAAAATATTTTACATGTAAGCCTAATTAAGCTTGTAAATAAATTTCATTGAATACTTGGATTTTAGCTGGGTTTTTTTAATTTAAGTATTTATTTCATATCATTAGCCTCAAATTTTTGCTTAAAATTCCCAGTAATTCTTAAACATTCCTAAAAATTCTTAAAATTCCCAGAAATTCCTAGGAATTTTTTAGATTTACAGCTTTTCAGGGAAAGTCATTGGTTCTCTGAGTTGGAATTCCTAGGAATTCCAAGTCCTGTTGGCTATAAACTTGGAATTTCTGGGTTGTTGTGGGAATTTCTGGGAATTTCTAGGTTTTTAGAACCAGAGTTGTTATGGTTGGGAATTCCTACAAATTCCCAGTCTGAATTTACTGTGGAAATTCACACCTTTATTCCTAGGAATTCCTGCAAATTCCAAAATCCATTTCACAAGGGTCACCAGACATAGCTGTAGGCGCAAGAATTTGTATTATCATTTTTTGTTAGTGTTGGCGTTTCATAGTTTCGTGTTAGGTGATTATTTTCTCGTCTTCCATTAGTGTCCTTTGTCAGTTACCAGTTTTGTACTTGTTATATTTATTTGCATATGGTATATATATTGGTTGCGCGTAATTTATTTGGTTAGTTGTCTAGTTTGTGAAAATTACCGTTACATATCTAGCTCTGAGTTTCATGTTTTCGTCTTTGGTTTGGTCACATTCGTCTTGTAAGTATCCTTGTTTATTTCGCTTTGTCGTTTTCCAGTACTTTCACTCATACGATGTAAGTTATTTTATGCTCATTCGCGTGTTTGTAATTTTGTCATTTTCAGTTACCGTATTCAACAATGTGTCAAGTTTGTTCTAGTAAAGTTTGAAATACGAGTGATTAGCGTTTGCGGCTATATTTTGTAAAAGACGAATCTGGTTTATTGGAAGTTTATGTCGATGTCTCGCAACGGTTCTGATGTCTACCTGTCTTATTCGGCCGGGAAGAACGGCCAACCTGCCGAAAACGGTCCACGTGCTCGTAAACCGAATACCTCTTTGGATCACGAAGGAATCTCTCTTGAACGCATTCGTGAACTCAGAAAGCGGAGAGGAGGAGTGTTGTCTTCGTTAACGTCCAAGCGTCGAGAGATCGATAGTCTTTTAACGGATGTAAATAATTTGGAGACGGTGAAAGTAAAGCTGTCGGAAATCACGTCGCTATTTCGAAGATTTACCGAGGCTCATGACGCGTATAATGTAGCTCTGGTTGAGGAAAGTCAGAGACAAGAATCAGACCTCTATTTCGCCGACATTGAAAGCAGTTTAGATTTTTTCTGCCGTACGGTCAATGATTGGTTACGTGTCACGGAAGCCAGGCTTCAAGATAACCTGATAACGCCTGACGACAGCGCTTCTCAAATTGGGTCCGAGGTTCGTAGCAAGTCTAGACCATCCATGTGTGGATCGAGAACGAGTCACTTTTCTAAAACGAGCTCCATATCTGCTGCAAGAGCCAAAGAGGCAGCTCGCATCGCGGAACTTCGAGCGGAGGCACACGCTTTGAAACACCGCCATTCGCTTCAGGAATCGGAGCTACGCCTCAAGAGGCAAGAGTACGACCTGCAGTTGAAGAAAGATGAATTAAACCTCAAAACTGAGTACGCTAAAGCGGTGGCTAGAGAAGAAGCTTACGCTCAAGCTGAAGCGGGTAATTTCGCGCCTAGCAACGTGGCCTCTAGGAATCCTCGTTGTCCCGTTTCAGTCGTATCCTCCATCACTGAAAAGTCAAGGACTGGTGGTTCAAAACGTGAGTCATTTGTACCTGCCGATAAGAAAGAGAAATTGTCTGTGAAGTCAAGTAACCCGGTTAAAGATCATAAGGGTGCTGTGAGTGATTCAAGTTCAAGCTCTGGCAACTCAGGTCTGAGCGACCAGGCCTATGGCATTCTCGTCCAGCAGAACCGAGTAATGGAAGAGTTCGTGAAACAGCAGCAAAGGAACTTGTTACCCAGGAGACGTGTACCTGTGTTCAGTGGAGACCCTTTACATTACTGTGCTTTCATTCGCGCGTTCGAGACCGTAATCGAAACTAGAGAACTAGATTACGCTGGGAGACTCTATTACCTCGAACAGCACACAGCTGGCAGAGCTCAAGAGTTGGTACAAAGTTGCCTCTACATGAAAGCCGAAGATGGGTACGTAAAGGCAAAGAAACTCTTAGAGAGAAAATTTGGACAGAAGCACAAAATCGCTATGGCATATATGGATAAAGTCACTAATGGTCCAGTCATCAAAGCTGAAGATGCAGACGCCCTAGAAGGCTTTGCCGTTTTGCTCTCTAGCTGTACAAACACTCTTAAGGCTATCGGCCATTCCAGCAAGTTCGAAAGTCCGGATAGCATGCGGAAGATTATTGAGAGGCTTCCCCCGAAGTTGCAAGCCAGTTGGCGGGACAACGCTGATCGGATCCTCAACTCGGAAGCGAGAGATGTCTGCATTGATGATATTTCACTCTTCGTTGAACAGAAAGCTCGCATTTGTCCAATCCAGTTTTTGGCAAGCTTCCTTGTTTGGAAAAGGAGAAGAAGAACAGCAAGGATAGGGGTTCGAGATCGAAGTCTGAGAGACCCGGTGGAAAACAGCTAAGCCTCGTCACGATTTCCGAGACGAAATCCGCTCTCAATTCATCTGCTGATGTGTTGAGTGCAGTTCATTCTTCTAAGAAGAACTGTCTGTTTTGTAATGCAGATCACAATCTCACCGAATGTTCCAGTTTCGCCACAGTACCTCCTACAGATCGTCAGGAGTTTGTCATGAAGCAGAGGCTATGCTTTTCGTGCTTAGGTGGAGGCCATCAGTCTAGAAGTTGTCACAAAAGGAAGCCCTGTATTCACTGTAATAAGAGACACGCTACTGTAATGCATGTAGGTGCACCAGAAGCTATTGTTGCGTCCGACCGTGGTAAGGATGGACCTCAGAGCGAGAACAACCAGTCCAGTACTGAGAAGAACAGAGCTGATCACTTTTGTGGCCTAACCACAATGGAGGGTTCCGTGACTGCATTGCCCATTGTTGCTGTGAAGGTCAAAGTCAAAGGAAGTCCTCGGTCCGTGGAGACCTATGCGTTGCTGGATAATGGATCTAACACCACCTTTTGCTCGGCTAATCTGTTGAGACGTCTGAGAGTCTGCGGCAAGGAAATGAGACTCAAGCTAACCACCATGGATAGCTGCAACGATGTGGACAGTCTCGTTGTTACGAACCTGGAAGTGGCTGATCTAGACGAGAACGTTGTCATTTCCTTGCCAGAAGTTCTTTCCCGACCTTCTATGCCTGTAGTGAAAGACGAGATCCCGAAACAGGAGGATGTGGAGCGATGGCCGCACCTCCAAGGCTATGTATACCTAGCAGAATTGAATTCCGAGGTGGATCTATTGATTGGTGCAAACGTACCTGAAGCCCTACAACCGAGAGAAGTTGTCCCTGCCTCTGATGGGGTCCATATGCAACTAGAGTTGATCTTGGCTGGGTTATCAATGGCCCAACTGGAAGAAAGCAAAAGTTTGTCCCATCTTCTAGTTTCTTCGTTAACTGTAAGGAGTCTCATCCTATGTGTATAGCATGTGCTGATTTTGCAGATGCCACTCTTTCCGATGGTTTAAGCATGTCA